TATTCCCATATTTGAGAAGTGAATATTTTGTAGAAAAATAAGTTATAATTCATTATATAATTCTAATTTAGGATTTTCTCTTATTTAGAAATTAAATATAAGTGTTTAATTGAGTCATAAAAGTTGAAGAGAATTAAGTTCTTCTGAAAATTGATTAATAATATTCATAAAGATTTGTAAATAAAACTGTTGTATGAATTAATTCTAATTTTATTCTTTGAGAATAAAAAGAATAAGATTGATTTATTATTTTTTAGAGAAGTGAAATGAGGCCCTATTATATTATCAAATATTATAAAAAGCTAATGTTTGTATTCTAAATAAATAAATTATGATTTTGCTTAAATATATCCGAAGAGCTGATATACTAGTTAAACCTTTCTAATTTAATATTCATAACAGAAAGCGGACATAAACTCTAATAGGTTTGTAATTCTGAAATTTAGGGGGCATATTTTCAATATTTTTATTTGTGACATACATTTTATATGGGATTAGTTTGTATAATCGTTAAGAATTTAACTAAAACACTATTTATGCAGGTTCCTAATCAGATTTTTAAGAAGATTACAGTCTTAATTAATCAATAGTTAAATTTGCAATAGAAATATCTCCAATATAATCAGAACCCTTTAAAAACTATTCCTATATCTAATAGTATATAAATGTATTAATATTTAGGTATCTTAATTTGGATGTATTCTATATTGATTAAAGAAGGGTAAGTGAAGTAGTTGGATATAATAGAAATTAGACAAAACTCACAATTAAAAAATGTGATACAGCATATATAGAAGAATTCAATTTTTAAAATGCAACTTTGACAGAAAGTTAAAAAGAGTAGCTTCTTTGTTTTGAGGGATAATTTAATATATCTGGATAATTTTATGATCCAATATTTCAATATGTAAAAATATAACTAAATATTTGTGATTTAAAATCAAATCCTAGTTGTAAATCAATAAAAGAAATAGAAGATTTTATTAGTTAAGGGTATTTATTAATGTATATTTATAAATCATAGAATAAATATAGATCTTTTTATTAAAGGAGATAAGGTAAAGAAAGCACTGAATTTGAGTGATCCTGCTGAAACATATCCAAAAAATATGTATTGGAGATTAACAACTGGAATAGCTAATAATGAAGATATATATATGGCACCAATCTCTTTAGATATAAGTAGAATTTATATATTTTCAAGAAAAAAATAGTTTATTTGAAAAATTAACAAGCTAAGGACCTAATAAAAATATTTTTAAGTCTGCAGCTATATTTAAATCAGAAAGAAGATAGGAATCAATTATATTTTAACATGGAGCTTTAATGAATTCTTTTTATTTAAGAGCTGGTTCTGAAAGCTTTTATTATTTTTGTAATTAATCAGATTGGTTAGTGATATTATTATCATCCATATCAGAAACTACATCATTAATAGTTACATTCTTAAGGATACTTTAGTTTTTTTATGGATTTTATAATAAGCATAAGACTTTTGAAACTTTAATGAATAATGTGTTCAAATTTGATATCACTAAGAATACACGAACTGATATTGATGAAATTTAAACTAGTGGAATTAATAATATTAATATACAAAATGTATTAATAAAAAAATAAAAATTAGAAAAAGTATTTTTATATTTATTTTAGATTATTAATTTTACTATATAATATCCAATATGGAGATACATTCTTTATAAATTATCTAAATTATTTCTATGTTTAAAAAAACTCAATATTTGTTAGATTGCACAAGAAGAAACTATAACCATTTCATAATTGGCAAAAAATAAAATTTAAAATGATTTAGATTTAACTAATATTTTGAAAAAGTTATATGAAATTGATTGTCTTAAGCTTTTATTATTTGATGATGACTAATTACTAATATTCAATAGTTTTAGTTCACCTGTTTTTTAGGATAATATGGTTTAAAAATAACATTTTAAAGAAATAGTAAAATAGTAATCTATTCGAAAATAATTAAGAAAATAAACTTTTAGTAAAGTTGACTTTAAATTTGTTAATTCATAAAGTATATTTAATAAATATTTAGAAATTAATATTACTTAAAAACTAAACAAACTCTCCAGATTCTTTATTGCATAAATGTTACCAAATGATGCAGAAGAATTAACAATGATTTTTAGAAGAATTTAGGAGGATTAAAATATGAATTTTAAAAAAAATAAGAAATTGTTAAAATTTGCATAAATTAATTATACATTGTATAAATTAGTTTAGCAATATTGTTAAGCAAGCTAAAATATTACTATTGAGAAGAAAACTCATGAAGCACTTTCATTGGAAGGAGAGGATAGACATAATGTTTAGAGTATATAAATACATATGAGAACTTTGAATAAGTGAAATCTAGTATACTTTAAATTAATAATTATTATTAGATTTTATTATCTTTATTAAATAAAAATAATTAATTATTAATTACTTTATTCTAATATTAATACTAAATTGAAATCTCATTAATAAATTATTAATTCATAATATAATTTTTATTCATTTTTTATTTTATTTCATGTTAAGGATCAAACTGGCTAAGTTTAATGTTTTTAAAATTCCAAAAATTCATGATTCTTATTATTTAAAGTAGATTCATTCAATTTAAGTAGAAATTTATAATTTCTCTAAAGCCATTTTTACTAAATAAAGAATAATTTTTGCATCCTTTCCTCCATTAAAGCTGATTGTAATTTATGGAAATCTAAAGATCTGAATAAACTAACTAAAAAATCGATAGCTTCTTAAAATAAAAAAGTTGATGATAATTAAATCTGATTATCCCTTAATAAATTTAATTATTATGTAAAAGTATTATATTCATCAATTAAAGAATCTTTGATTAATTTTTCTATATTTTTTTTGAAAAATATAAAACTTTCAATAAATATGCAATATTAAGCATTTTTCTTAAATTGAAGATGTAATTTAAAATTGAGAATCCAAAGAAGATAATACTATTTATAATAAGAGAGAATTAATATAATAAAGAAAAAAAACCAAAATAGGAGTAAAATAATAAGACTTTCTATCTAAATGAATGTCATTGATATTTAATTATTGTTATATGGTATTTTTCTACTTAATTGACTTACTAATAAATAACTTAAACAGTCTATCGATACATACTTGATCCTTGTTCTGGATGAGATAATATATCAGTATAAAATTTCATAAAAGCTGAATGATGCTAATAATCAAAATAAGTACTTTGTTCATATTTTTATATTTAAGTATTTGTTAATGATTAAAAAGTTATTCTTATTTAATATAAAAATTATGAGTAAAACGTCATTTTTAATAAAAATTAAATTAATTTCTAAAAATGGCGTAATTAGTAATAAATTATTGTCACTTTTGAAAAAAATAATTAAATAAAAATAATTATATTGTTCAAAAATAAGATAAATTGGATGAATTAAGTAATAAGAATGAAATAGGAATTAATAATATAATTATTTAGCTGATGAGAGGATATGACATAATGTAGAAATTTGTAAGGAAATAAGAAATTAAAATAATGGTACACTTCATTTGAATTTGATGAATTAATTCTTAAAAATAGATGGAGAAATAAATGAAAATCAATAGAGTTTGAATTAAATAAATTTAAAATTTTTGGTTTAATTTAAAAATTTATACTATGTAAATGGAGATGATATAAAAATCAAAAATTGTTTTAAATATTATATTTATTAAATAATTTAATTAGATAAGGTTATGGATTCAATAAATTATCAAACAACGACATAAGGTGTAAAGGATGCTTTAGAATTATCATCAAGAGATCTTGGGTAAAAAATTAATTAAAATTAGAGTTTCTTCAATGGAATATCAAGGTGAATTTGATGATCAATATAAATTGATTGCAATCTATTATAGAATAAATAAGATAAAGAACGCTTTTTATATTTTTTTAGTATTGATAACAGGAGGTTTTATATATTTATTTTATCGATGGTTTCTATCATTTCGGATTGCGATCAGATTTTCATAGTGTAATTTTACTTAAATGACGCATTTACTTATAAATAAAACTAAAAATGATATCAGAATAGCAGAAGATTAATTAGTTGAAGTATAATAAAATGCACGTAAATTACCAAATAGTAATTATGCACGATTATTTGAATATGAGTAATATTATGAAATAAATGTATTTAGGTTAAGTTAATTTTATATAGATTGTTAGACATATTAATTAAATTGTTTAAAGAATTCATTTTCTCATTTGACTTGTTCATAATTAACAACAGCAGTTGATTTAAATGAATGGTCAGAAGTTTATGGTAAAAATATAATGGATATTCCAATAAAATCAATACCTTTATTAATTTTAGATGAGATTCTTACTCCATTTAATGTATTTTAAGTAAGAGTATATTAATAACTATGAGATATTTGCTTTGGTAGTTTGGGCTGTAGATGATTATGTATTATATGCAGTATTAATATTTGTATTGACATTTATGTAGATGTTAATGTAATTAAGAGAAATAAGAGCAAATTTATTTAAGATACGTAATATGATATTATTTAATACAATTGTAAAGGTTTGTTAATTTGAAACAATAAGAGAAAAGTCATCGATTGAATTAGTACCTGGAGATATAATAATAATAGAAGGGAATACAAAGATATCATGTGATTGTATATTGATATAAGGAACTTGTGTTATGAATGAAGCAATTTTAACTGGAGAATCAGTACCAGTAAATAAAGCAGCTTTATTAAAAGTTAATTAATTATTTAGATAAAAAGAGAATGAGAATTCAATGTTATATTGTGGAACATTTTGTTTGAGAAGTTATACAAATACAAATGAGCCAGTAAAAGCATTGGTATATTAGACAGGGTTTTAAACATTAAAAGGTGGATTGGCAAGATCGATATTATTTAATGTAAATTAAAGTTTCAGTTTTTAGAGAGATTCTTTAAAATATTTATTTGTTTTAGCATTTTTAGGAGTAGTTTAATCTATAATATCTTTATATTTAGATTTTTCTAATGATGAATCAATAGGATAAGCTATAATAAATGCATTAGAATTATTAACAATAATAATTCCACCTGCACTTCCAACAGCATTGGCAGCAGGTGTATCTTTAGCAATGAATAGATTAGAGAAATAAAGAATTTAATGTATTAAACCTGATAAAGTTAATGTTGCAGCTAAAATAAATGTATGTGCATTTGATAAAACTGGAACACTTACTGAATTAGGTTTAGATGTAGTTGGATTTAGACCTATCAAAGGAATTGGATTTGATAAGTAAGTTTCAATATCTGAATGTAATTCAATTACAATCTAAGCAATGGCCACTTGTCATTCTTTATCATTAATAAATAATGAAGTTCATGGAGATCCTATTGATTTAAATATGTTTCTATAAACTGGATGGAAATTCACAGAAAAAGAAATTACATTTTTAGATCAATCTTTAAGTATTATTAGAAGATTTGAATTTTAAGCAGAATTATAAAGGATGTCAGTTGTTCTTAATGATTATAAATTATTTTGTAAAGGATCACCTGAAATGATTTAAACAATATGTTTGAAAGTTCCAGATAATTATAAAACTATTTTAAATAGATATGCATCTAAAGGATTTAGAATTATTGCATTAGCATATAGAGATATTCCTAAACTATTGTATTCGGAAATTTAAACTGCTAATAGACAATTATTTGAATCATAATTAACATTCCTAGGATTTTTAATTTTTGAAAATAGACTTAAAGAAGAGACATCAAGAACAATAAAAGAATTAAAAGCATCCAATTTAAAACCTTTAATGGTTACAGGAGATAATCCTTTAACTGCAATTAATATAGGTTAATAATGTTATATTTTGGATTAAAATTCAAAAATATATCTAAGTTATATAAAAGATTAAGAAATTATTTGGTAAGAAATGGCAATGGAAGATTAAAGGATTAATGAAGGTAGTTCATATAGTATTGATAATATTGAATCTAAAACTTTAACAACAGATGATATTATGAGATCTATTACTAGTTATTAATTATGTATTACTGGAGATGTATTTGAATAATTACAATATTAATATAATTAAGGAAATAATAAAGAATAAATTTTGAATTTGTTTAGTCAAATATTTATTTATGCTAGAATGAAACCAAATCATAAAGGAGATTTGATGATTTTATTAAAATAAGATAAAAGAAATTTCTTAGCATTTTGTGGTGATGGAACTAATGATACATGTGCATTAAGATAAGCAGATGTTGGTTTAGCATTATCAACAGAAGATGCTTCTTTAGCTGCACCATTTACTTCTTCTATTTTCAATATATCAAGTTTAATCACTTTAATTAGAGAAGGTAGAGCTTGTTTAGTTACATGTGTTGAATGTTTTAAATTTATGACTCTTTATTCATGCATTTAATCAGCAATGGTATTATAATGTTATTTTTGGAATACAGATTTATCATTATATTAATATTTATATTAGGATCTATGGTTAATCATTCCATTAGCATTTACTATGGATTTGACTAATGCTTTTCCTTCTTTAGCTAGATACAGACCAATAAGTGATTTAATTTCAATCCCTATCATATCATCTGTCACTATAACAGCATTAACTAGTATTGCTATCTAAATTGGTTTGGTTTAGTATCTTACATCATAAACTGAATTTGAATTAGATGAACCAGATGAAGGTACTCCTGGATAAATTAATACTGTAAATAAACTTAATTATTTTTATAGATTTTAATTCTTCTATCTAATTCTCAAGTATTAGCAGTAGCTATTGCATTTACTTAAGGACCACCATTTAGATAATAAATATACAAAAATATTCCATATATTATAACTGTAACCTTAGGAATCTTAGGACACATTTTTGTTATCTTTTATCCAGATGGATTTTAACATTTAGAAGTAATACATATTTTATAAATTAGATTGTATCAATTACTTCATTAAGATTTTAATGGATTATTGTTGGATTTAGTTTAGTCATTGCTGTTTTTATTATTCTTTATGAAAAATTTGTAACTTCAGCTTTAGTCAAAAAATACTCTCAAGAAGATATTAATTTATCAGCTTGAAGAATTATTTATTCATATTATAAATATTNTAAAACTTTAACAACAGATGATATTATGAGATCTATTACTAGTTATTAATTATGTATTACTGGAGATGTATTTGAATAATTACAATATTAATATAATTAAGGAAATAATAAAGAATAAATTTTGAATTTGTTTAGTCAAATATTTATTTATGCTAGAATGAAACCAAATCATAAAGGAGATTTGATGATTTTATTAAAATAAGATAAAAGAAATTTCTTAGCATTTTGTGGTGATGGAACTAATGATACATGTGCATTAAGATAAGCAGATGTTGGTTTAGCATTATCAACAGAAGATGCTTCTTTAGCTGCACCATTTACTTCTTCTATTTTCAATATATCAAGTTTAATCACTTTAATTAGAGAAGGTAGAGCTTGTTTAGTTACATGTGTTGAATGTTTTAAATTTATGACTCTTTATTCATGCATTTAATCAGCAATGGTATTATAATGTTATTTTTGGAATACAGATTTATCATTATATTAATATTTATATTAGGATCTATGGTTAATCATTCCATTAGCATTTACTATGGATTTGACTAATGCTTTTCCTTCTTTAGCTAGATACAGACCAATAAGTGATTTAATTTCAATCCCTATCATATCATCTGTCACTATAACAGCATTAACTAGTATTGCTATCTAAATTGGTTTGGTTTAGTATCTTACATCATAAACTGAATTTGAATTAGATGAACCAGATGAAGGTACTCCTGGATAAATTAATACTGTAAATAAACTTAATTATTTTTATAGATTTTAATTCTTCTATCTAATTCTCAAGTATTAGCAGTAGCTATTGCATTTACTTAAGGACCACCATTTAGATAATAAATATACAAAAATATTCCATATATTATAACTGTAACCTTAGGAATCTTAGGACACATTTTTGTTATCTTTTATCCAGATGGATTTTAACATTTAGAAGTAATACATATTTTATAAATTAGATTGTATCAATTACTTCATTAAGATTTTAATGGATTATTGTTGGATTTAGTTTAGTCATTGCTGTTTTTATTATTCTTTATGAAAAATTTGTAACTTCAGCTTTAGTCAAAAAATACTCTCAAGAAGATATTAATTTATCAGCTTGAAGAATTATTTATTCATATTATAAATATTAATATTTTAACCTATAATTTATTCAAGATATGAATATATATTACAAACGGATGAAATAGCAACCAACATATATGAACGAATATCAAAAAGCATAATTAAATAAAGTATTTGCTATTAAAACTATCTTTTTAATCATTAAATAAGAATAAATAATTAAATTATAAATGTTAATAATTAGAAGAATATATTTAAAATTCATATCCACTTTTACATACTCTTGATTAATTTTATCAACTTATTTGTTAAAATAGTTTAATTTTCAGATCCTGCTTATCTTAAAGTCAAAAAAAATGCCTGATTAATTTGCTAATGATATTCAAAAAACAAAAGATATTAAACTTGAATCTCTTAGCAATATTTATTCTAATTATTAAAAATTCTAACCATTATCAAATAGAAATGAAGTTGAAGTAATCTAATGGCGTGATCTGAATAATGATTTTGAATAATTGATATTTAAAACTGAAAATAATTGAATTTTGTATTTTTATATTTTTACATTTTTAATCAATTTCATCAACTCATTTTTAATTAAAATAACCGGATAATAGTTTTCTGAATGTTTCACTAAAATCAGCCCATTCATTTCTTAACAAAATACCATCTCCATCTTCATCCATATATTCAAAGATTTCTCTTACATGTACCATAGATACTGCAAATGTATTTAATTATGCAGCACATTCTTTTGGTGTTAATTAACCATCACCATTATCATCTAATAATTAAAAGATCCAATTAAATAACCCATCCCATCTTTCAAATCTATCAAGAATCCAAAACCCAATTTTTCTAACAAATATATCTTTATCATTTTTAGTATGTTTTGTTTATTCTTCAAAATGTTTTACAAATGTCTTGAAACCATCATGCAACATCTGTAAACCTCTATCTAATTACAAATGAATTAAATCTTTATGATTTCTTTCTTCTTTATTAATTGCTGTAAATTAAGCAGTAATATTAAATGGATTAGATAATGCTCCATGAAACTTTTCCCATTCTTATAAATCTTGAATCATTTTAGGTCTTAAAACTTTATTACAAAAATTAATCCATTCAGTCCTCATAATTTTTGTATCTATATTTCTATCAATTAACATTCTTAAAGAATCTAACTTTTATCGATCACCTACATCATCAATCATATCAGCAAATGATTCATATTCACTCTTACTTATGTAATTATTACCTTGATAAACCTATTTATCTACCTGTAACATCGAATAATTAAAAGAGCATGGTTTCAGTGACTCTCCATTTTATATCGTTTCTGATTAAATAATTGATCAAATAAACATTTTCAGCATGTTCAGCAAATTTATTATGTTTATTCAATAATATATTTAGGAATACTTCATAAAAATGGATAGCATGTTCTCTAGTGATACCTTTCCCTTATGAAAGAGTAGGTTGTCTACAATTAAACTTTTATTTACAGATCTTCATCTAGATCAAATCTTTTTTGTTTTGGTTTCATATACATATATAAAAGAAGCAAGATAACTAAAACAATAAATGGCTTAACTAGTTTGTTCGTAGCTTTCATTGTAAATTATTAAATAATTAAATATTTATCAACCAAACTAAAATTCCTGTTTTATATTATCTACATAAATTTTATATTTTTCATTTCAAAAATCCATTGTTGAACGTTCAGACCATTTACTATGTTTATTTTTCTCTATTATTCTCTTCAAAATAGCCCATTTTCTTTTTCTTATTTTTTTATTATCAATAGTTTATGTTTCTTTATTAATTCTTTTTTAAAATCTGTATTGAATGATTTCTGCATTTCGATCAAATTATAAACTCTCCACTTTTTCTTCGATGAAAACAATTTAATACTTCTGCTAGAAACACTATCCTATTAATTCCTTTAACTAATTTATATATTACATCTAAATATTATTTATTATATATAATAAATTTTATTGGATATTTATACAAATACTTGTCTAATAAATTTTGGTTTAAATCTTCAATCTACATTTTCAATTTCAATTAAATAAAATGAACTTATTAATTTATTTTCTTTATTTGAACTTCTCTCTTATTATAATTATTATGTTTATTCTTTTTCAAATTACGTTAATTATAATACTTATAATATAATTTATAGAAGTGTGTAAATACTTCATAATTTTGATAGTATTTACTATAATAGTTTTAAAGAAGAGAATGAGGAATTATAATATTTTAATCAAATTATATTGCAACATTTATTTATTTTAAGGTTATATTGGATTGTTGTTGTGCTATGTATTATTTTTATTGAAGATGATAGAGTACGAATTATTTAAATAAATTATGAGGAAATGATTCCATTTTCTATTCCAAAAAATAATACTTTAGTATGAATAATTGTTTTCATTAAAATCGCTTCAATCATTTGTTTTATTTATTTTCTTAATACTTTTTTATCTTATGTACCTATTCGATAAAACAATAGTTTTTTTAATATGATATAGGATATCAAAGTTAAGTCAAGTCTATAAAACTTTTCATTATACAAAAATATATAATATTAATAATTCATTCCGAAACAAATACTTTCTATTATCTTTACGATTATTTCATTGACAAAATCTTTTATACTTAATCACCTTCTAAATCAGAATCCTCTTCTTTAAAGTATTTGTAATTTGGTCTCTTGTATTTTATTTATTTCTTCTCTTCCACATGTTTTGCCAAAGGACTTAAATTCATCACCATAAGTACGCTCGATAAGTGCAAAGGATTGGTATTTTATACTCTTTAGCATAATTTTTCATATAAAATGTTTCACTCTCTCTCAAATCACTTTTGTCTAGAAACCTCATGAATTGAATTCGCAATGGATTTTAAAATTTCATCTTATAACTTGGATTAAGTTTCAGAGGTTGACGATCTAATTATGGAAGTTTTAAATCTGATTTCATTATTTTTGATAAAATTATATTTTTACTCATTCCAAATATGTATTTAAATTGCTCATAAAAATCTCTACAAATTCTAATCTTAGTAAATTATATCATGATTAATAATAATCAGAAATCCAATATTATTTAAATCAAGACCATTTAAAATAATTTATTAAATCTAGTTATTCTATAAAAATAATGTTTAAAATTATATCCTCTATAAAATGTTAATAGATGTTTTAAAAATCTATATCATACAAGAATTAAATTTTCAAAAAGGCTTTTCTAAATTTTCACATTTAACATCATAATATAATTAATTTATTGTTCAAAATTTATTATATGAATATTTATTAATTAAATTAATTTAAATAAAATTTTTATCTACAAAATAATGCTCTTCTTAATTCCTTTTCTTTTTTATTTATTTAACTAACGATGTCAATTTATCTCTTTAATTTGAATGATTTATAGATAAGGAGATGGTTTTGATCAAATCAAATACAAATTATATTATGAATAAATATTTAATTATTAAATTATCAATCAATTAATTTTTAAAAAGTCCATATTTTGAAAAATGACCATTAAATTTGAGAGTAGGGTTATTAATTCATGATATGGAATATGAATATTGACTTTAATATTTATAATTTTTAACTAAAATAATAGAAATTATTATATGTCTATATATTCGATGTAGAAGCTAAATTAGAATTATTTATTTATCCGTAGTTTTTCATCAAAGAACTAGATGGAGTACCTAAAAATGAATTTTAATGATAAATTACATATTTTAGATTAATAAATTATCTCTAATATTTTTTAATTAATGGTGATTCAATTAGTATAAATAATCAAGATATAATATGATCAACTATTCTTTTCATTTAATAAAGATTTAATTCATATTATATGAATATTTTATATCAATGACAGATTGAACTTAATATTTAATTTTAAAGTACAAGAATGAAATCTCTAACATTTATGAAGATTCTTAACACTACGATATATCACACTATGATAATTCAAGAATTCACAAGATAACCATCAAAACTATTCTATTTTATAGCATCATTCCTAAATGAATTGTTAGTACTAAAATGTGGTTTGCTAATATAAAAAAATGACTATAAAATTGAAAGTTTATTTGAGAAATTCTTGGTACATCTCATTCAACCTTATAAATACTTTATTCAAGAATAATTAGAGATATAATACAGTATAGTAACTTTTATACTTCTCTAACTTATAATATTGTTTTGGGGTTATCTTGTAATTGTACCTGGAAATAAAGAAAAAAAAACATACATATAACTGATCACAAAATATGAATCAAGCTCAAATTTACAATTTTTATTAATGTACTTTTGGAAATCATTTTTTGTGATGTTATCTGAATTTTTAGGTTTGATGATAATTGAAGGTTGTTTCGTAATTTTATTTGATTAAAGAATTGATAACTTATTCTGTGTGATAAGTTCTATTGTTATGCTATTAGAAATATTAATTATTCTAATGCTTTAAGAAGTGTTTATGAATTAAAGTTTGCATTATATACCTAAATAACTGAACTAAATAATTTAACCAACACCTCTGGTTTTTATTAGTAAATTAATAAAAATAATCATATTATGTCTTTTTTAAAGTTCAATAGCAAATAAATAGATTATAGTATTAGTGATTTTAATTTTAAATGGTTTGCTTGAATTATATATGTTATTAATTTTGACGATTAAACTGGATAGATACTTAGTGAGATAAAATGTACTTATGCAATGTTTAATAATTTGTGTCTCAGCTTAATAAATAATCAATGAATATGTTAATTATTCATTACAATTTTTATGGATAATTATTTCAATTTTATTTTATCAAGCTATATCAATGTATTATTTGAATTATGATATTTTAAAGAATTCACAGCATCAAAATAACTCTAATAACATTTTTAATTAATTATTACAAAACTAGAAGAAACTGTATTACTATTAAGGAATCACAGAAAAAAGAAATTCAGAATATAGATTAATCAATAAGATTTTTATATCATATCATTAGAAAACATGTGTAAAATAACCATGCTATTGTAAAAATGAAGAAATGGTAATGATTAAATTTGAAAATATCATGATTAAGGAATTAATAAAAGAATTAAGAATATTAATTTAGTAATCTTAATAATAATCCTCATTATTTTATATCTAATATATTTAGCTACTTATTTAAAATGGAAAATACTTTGAAGCTTTGAATGCTACTTAAAAGGTACTTAATTCATTCAATAGAAGAGTATAATAATTTAAGAAATAAGTTCAACTAATCAAAGGATAAATTTCACTATAACATAAAATTTTATTTAAATTACTATAATAATAAATTTTAATAGCTATTAAATTTTTAATATAAAGTAAGTCATCTGGAACTGCTAAACATTAAATTATTAAATAAGCCCTATTATCATTATAACAAAAAATTGATTCTGAAAAAATTTTATAAGAATAATTTAATTTAATATTAAAAGCAAAAATTGATTTTTTAGAAGAAATCTCAAAAAAATCAAATTAAGAGGGTTATTTTTTAAGTTTGTAAGCTGTAAAAATAATTCAATAAATAGAAGAGTTAAAGAAAAGATTAGTAAATAACTTTTAGATTGTTCCTAGTAAATTATTTATGATAAATTTTAGCTCATAATAATTAAAGTTTACTATTGTTTTTTTAAATAGAGATATTGAATGATTTGATAAATTCTTAGACAGTCAATACTATTAATACATAACTTGATGATTAAGAGCAAATAATAAATGCAAATATTGTTTATTAAGAGTTTGTCAATTAATATACTCATGCTACTTTTATATTAAAAGATTAAGATAATATAGAATTAATTCAAGATGGCATAAATAAAAGTATTCGGATAGGTTAAAATAAATATACTTCATTTGAAGAAATGGTCCCTTCTTCCTTAATTTCAGTTCATAAATATTTTATGAAGGGTTTTTTTTAATCCGGAAAAAATAAATATTATTTAAACATTAGCTAATCATTTTTATAAATTTCTTAAGGAATTTTCACTCCAGTTGAAATTTGCTTGGATATTTCATTTGATCTATCTATGAATCAATTGTTATCTACAGTATTTATTAGATTAATATCTAATAATACTTTAATTCATTATTTTTTATTGGATAATCACTATAAGATTAAAGAAATATCTCAATTATTATATTAAAAAATACTAGAATATCCAATTAATTAAAAGATGATATTTTTGGATTAATCTATTTTTAATTTTATTCCTGCTTTAACTGAAAAAGATTTTCTTCATGATAGAACATTGGGTTTATATTAAATAAATTTTCCTGTAAATTCAAATAAATCTTTTACAACTCATTCAAAATCAAGTTAAAGATCAACTGAAGTATTTTAAGGTGTAATTAGTATTTAATTAAGAAAAATAAATCAAAATAATTTATATTACATTTTAGAATTAACAGATTTAAAATCTGATAAGAAAGGAATTTATGATTCTGTATAAGTTATATGTTAACCTTAAATTGATGTAGATGAAAAAGAAATTATTAATATTCCATTTGATATTTGTTCATAGCCAGAAGCAAGTAATGCAAACTAAGTAAATATTTAATAACTAACATCTCGTCTTGATTCTTAAAGACCATTATTATTTACAAGTTTAGGTGAATGTTTAGATGCCTAAATAGATAATATAAAAGATAGTTAAAGTTAGATTTCAAATAATATAGAAAACTCAGTTAATTCAAAGAAAAAAAAATCAAATTCAGATGAAGTACTTAAATAATTTGATGATTAAGGATCCTAAATATCTTCAGTAGCTGCTGTCAGAAGATCTGCATACTTTAAATAATTTTTAATTGTAAATTAACTAATCTTTTCTAAAGTTTTCCCAATAAATATTAAGATATTTAATTTAATGTATTTTCTATATATTTTGGGTGGAATTGTCAATTTAGGTATGCTACTTTAATAAGTTTAAAACCTTTAAAATTATTAAGACCTATTGGCTTTATTAAGTATTAAGTACGATATCTATGAACCAATTGAATCTTTTCTAAATACTAGGTATACTATTGTGAATTTGAATTAAGCATTAGCTACATAAGTAATAAATTAATCTTTATATAATGAATTAATACTTTTTCCTAGATCTAATTTAGTTAAAGGTTATGATGATTTAAAAGATAATATTTTTGATGTTATTTCAAGAAAAGAATTCTAATCATTTCTAAAAGATAAATATTTTGATAGTGTTTGGTATGTCACTACAAATTAAGGAATAGAAAAGAATATCACTTTTAGGAGTGGAATTTTAGCTTTATTAAATTATTAGTATGAGTTCAAATTAGCATACACAGTTAAAGTTTTATAAACAGATGGACCTTATTTTTATTATTCATATAAAAATTATGTTCCTCTATTTAAAATTTTTACTCAATTAAATTTGAATATCTTAGATTAACTTACAAATTCACTTTCTTATTAATCTGATTAACTTACAATAATATCAGCTCCATTTAATGTGTTTTTAGGTATAATTTCAATTTTTTACTTTATTTATTTAATAAGATAAAGAAAACTAAAAAATAAATTATTAAGTTTACTTTATTAGTAAGATAATGAAATTATTGCATACGAAGTTCAAAGATTGAAATAACTTCAAAACTTAATTAATTCAAATTACAATTCAATATATCAATATGTACTTGATGTTTAAAACTTTGATGATAATTTAAAAAATTAAGAAGTTGAATTTTTTAAATTAATAAATAAGAAAGGAAATAGAACGACATCTGGGTTAAGAAAAAACCGATAAATTAAGATATATAGCTTTTTCTAAATAAGCATGCTATTAGTAAATATCATTGTTTTATAATTGTTATATTTTCTAACTATTAGTTCTCTTGACACTTATTTATAAAGATGTTAAAATACAGGTAAAATCTATGAGTCTCTTTCTAATACAGGTGTAGATGTTCTTATCATTTATGCATAAAGAGAAGTATTGTATAGAGCAACTTTAATTCCATATATTACAGTTTAAGACATTCAAGATTTGAAAGATTAAATAAATACAAGCTTAGAATCAATTAAGAAATTTAGTGGATAACTATTATAAATCAATTAAAAAGATTATTTATTAGATGATTCATCAATAGAGTTATTTAACTAAATAGATTCATAAAGTTTATGCAATTATCTGCCAAAAGTAAGTATATTATTTATTCTTAAGTAATATTAAAATGTTTCAACAACAATTTGTCCATATGTATTATAAGGTGTACTTACTTAAGGATTAATATCTACATTAAATTTAATGTATAACTCTATACACTCTGAAAAATAAGTGAATAATTTTACTAACAGAACAATAACATAAGTACCTATAAGAGAAATGGAGGGAGCTACTTTTACTGCAAAAATAATAAAGGAATTAGTAATAAAATTATATTCTAGTATTTATAGTTATACAAAAGAGATATAATCGAATTACTAAGTATTATAATTTAATGATTATTAGATTATTTACATATGTGCTATTCTTATATAATTATTTTTTGGATTTAGTATAATTAATAGAATAAGTACATATGAAATGTAATAAATGAATGATTTACGTAAAGTTGTGTATTTATTGCCTTAATCAACACTTTTATTTGATGATTCATTCCAACGATTAATAAAGATCATCATAAAATAAGGATAATTAGTTTGAATTAAATTAAATACTTATAAAATAGAAAGTAAAAAATTAATTAATTTTTCATTCTATCCATTTAGTTCTTTTTTCTTCTTCAAAATAACATTATCTTTCATTGGCATTTATTTACCTTTATAAAATGCAATTTCATGTTATTTTCCGTTATTCCATTATCCTTTATAATATTTATTATCAAGCCAATTTAATTCTACATAACCATCTTTTTTATCATTTTCAATCATTCCATCTAAATTCTACTTATCCATTCATTTTACTATCTTTCCATTCTCCTTCATATTCTTTATTTTTCTATTTAAATATTCCAATTCCATCCATTTTATTATCTTTAAATTCTCCTTCATAAATATCTCCATTAACCAAATTAAATATTCCTCTTCCCTCTCCTTCAAAATAATTATTAAAATGACATTATATAATATATAGAAAATGTTTAAGCTATTATTTAATCAGGTACTAAAATTTCTTTTTCTCTTCATCTGTTATTTTGTTACATTTTTAACAACATTATTAAACAATAAAAATAATATATTTAGAATATCAATTATTAAACTATTCATCAATTCTCACACAGGTATCTTCTAATAATCTTAATAATTAATCTGCCATAGATTCTCTCTATTACTTTTCACTTCTCAATTCAGTCTAAATTCTTTAATGAATGTCTTCGATCATATTAAATATTTTCTTTTATGTTTCATCTCTAATTTGTCTTTCAACATGTAGCATATCTTGAAAGGCATTAATCTAATTATCTATTTGCTCTATTAAATTATTTTGTGAATCCTCTCTATTTTATGTTTCTCCTTCTAATAAATATTTCAATTCACTCATTTATAAATTAATGCTTTGCAATAATTTGTTAGTTTAATCTTTACAAGATCCATTATTCTACTAAAGATTTGAATTTAGACTATTGAATCTTTCTTCAATCTGTTTTAACAATTATAATTCCAATTTTCTTTTGTTCTATTTCATTATTAAATTCAAATATATACACTTTTTTCATCTTCAACTTATTGGGTTAATTGTTCTTCAAAATTGCGAAGATCTTTTTATTTAATTTCATCAAATAATTCTCTATCATTCTTTTCTTAATAAACTTAATCTTGCAATTTTAATAAATGATCTTTTAAAGTCTTAAACTTTTATTCTTCTTTAGGTCTTTCTTAATTCAAAAGAGATTCAATTCTTATAATGTGTTATTCAACTAATTCCTTTTTGTCATTCTTTTCTTTATCTAATCCTTACTTTAATGAGGACCACTTTTCAGTTAAAACTTTCAATCTATCAGTTTATGGAGATTCTAGAGAGATAATCAAAGATCAAAATACCTCTTCTAACCTTTTCTATCGATTGAAATTATGGATTATTTGAATATTTCATTTCAAATTAAATACGTTAATATTATTTATCATTGACCATGGTATATTATTATAATGATACTATTTAAATAAATTATGTAAATTTGTAGATTATTAAAATGTAATTTAAGTTTAAGTGATCTCAGGATAGCATAACATCAAACATATGTTTAATTAGTTTTAATTAAAACATCAATTTACACCTAATATGGTAATAAACTAATTAATTATTCTTATTCTTTCCTAAAACTTTTGATTTTACTTATAAAAAATACTTAATCTAAAATCTCCATTTGTGTTTGTTAAGAATTAGAAGAATCTTTTGTTAGGAGATTAACTCAGAGAATAAAAAATAGTAAAATAAAAGTAATTAAACAATAAAAATATTGTAGAGAATAATGAACTGAATGTGAATGGCATTTAATAAATAATATAAATATTCATCCATAGTTAATAAATGGAGCTAAAATATCATCAGGTAGACCTCCAATAAGTTATGGAGAAGGTCCTTTAAAGTGAATCCAACTATTAGGTATTTCAACAAACTAAATGTAAAATCTATATTCATATTAAGCAGCATCAATTGAGATTTATGTACAAATCAAGGAAGCTGAATTAATTCTAAATCTCTCTTTGCCCTTTTCACCAAATACCATATAACCAAAAGTGAGAGAAAATTAATAGATACTTTCTGTTTGAGAACAAGGAGATACTTGTAGCCATTCATCAGTACTTAAATTATTTGAACCAGAATCACCATATCTAGCTACAAATTTTAAATTATCAGCAACATTCTTATAAATATTCGAAGATGTAAAACTTATAGATGATTTTGAACAGGAAACTTTTTGATCTTCTAAGAATTTTATTTGAAAAGAATGACTTAAGTCTTAAGTAGTACTTGAAATACATAATCCCTATATACATATTAATTAATATATACATCATATGATTATACACCTATAAACAATTATTACAATAATTCATCATTTGTATTATCTAATGATTTTTTAAATCTTAATGGAGCTCCTCTTGCATATCCACCCTTACTTGATATATCATAAGCTTCTCCTTTTACACTCTTATAAATAATTCCACTAATTGATGGGATAATATAATTATTTTAAGCATTAGGTTGTGCTAAATCAATTAAAAATATTGATGCTTCGATTGAAACAGGCTTAGAACTAGTAGATTCATCATCTATAGGAATAGCAGCCATTGTAAATTAATATATAGCACCTATGACTAAATTACTATAAGTTTCTCCAGGATCAGTTGCATTTGTTATTAAAGCATATTAGTATTTTTTTATGGCATCATTGTATGTTACATAGTAAGTGCCACTAATTGTTATACTTAATCCCCATATTGTTCCTGATACATAATTTGAGTATTTGAATTCTGTTTATAACAGCTCTTTCATTTGCTCTTATTTCAACTCTTAGATTATTGAAGAATTACATACATCTTTAGCATATACTGACTGGATAAGTAAGATAAGTTCTAACATCATTTTATTGACATCCATTATCATTTTCATTTCTTGGTCGATGTATGTACATAATTGTTTAACTACTTATTTTAGTGGATTCAATGAAATTTGATGCTGACAAACTTGTAAATGTGGGTTTTGTTTGATATTTTGTTGTTTACTCTTATATTTTAGCAGTATAATCATTTGAATTTAATTCTTTATTTTACAATGTCGACAATGTGTTTTGATTAGTAACACAACCAAGATTTTTAAATAGCTGCCAATACTATATGTAAATATACATTATATGCAATCCTTAAACCTAAATACAAATCACTTGAACTTTTTTAATAATCTCTATTACATTCTGGTATTTAATATGCAGATGAATATACTACATTTAATTTTAATTTACTTACTTTTATCGCTACACTTTCTTGCCAAATCCCATGTGATTATTGCATTACTATCACATAAAGAATCGCAACAACAAAATTCATCACAATGTTCAGCTGAAAAATTACATGCACAACTTGTTGATTCATTTATCAATGATTCTGTTGTACCCAAGCTTAATTAAAATAATTGACAATCTATTCCTATCAATAGTAAACTAATCAAAAATAATTAATTCATAATTTTAATATTATTATTAAATTTAATTATAAAAATAATTGAATATTTTCTTTAATTAATAATAAATTTATCGCGCTAATTATTCGATATTGTACTCCTAGGCGGAAAAGAATTAATAATAATAATTATTATACATGAAAAATAAAAACATTATTGCTCCTCCTCATCTTAATCAAAATCTTCTAAAGAAAGTTAAACTTTGTGAAGATAGTTAATGCAATACACTTTTAAATGAGAATTCCAATAATTTTGAATCATTTCCTACCTTATCAAAAATTGCATCAAAATATCTAAATAAACCTTCTCTTAGAGAAAGATTTCAACAAATTAATGATACAGGAAATATACAAACAAGTAAATATCACTCTTTAATCTCAATCCTATCTACAATAGATGCATAATTATTGTTTTTAAAATAAAGAGTATTTTTATAATTTATTTTAGAGAGAATCTTTATTTTGGCCTAATATTGTTAAAAGTTGTTATGATTCTTCATAATTATAAGTTACCACTAGATAAATTCTTGAAATCATGACTGTATGGGATTAAAGTTATATCATAACATGGGAAAAATTTGAAAAACAAAATGGAAATTATGAACTTCTTATAAAATTACCTGATAAACAATTTTTAAACTCTTTAGAATTGAATTCTAGAAAAGAATTATTTAAAGAAAAACTTGAATTCTATCTATAATTAAATGGAGATTATATAGAACCATATAAATTACCATAAAAACCATCACTTCATGATACTAATTTATAAAAATAGACAAATATATAGACTAAAAATGAGTGTGTTCAATTTTCTAAATCAATTAATATATCCAAAATCTTTTCAGATAAGGATAAATAAAGTAATAACAAACCTTTATCTAATGTATCCTAAAAGCTTATAGATAAATTAAGAGAAAGAAAATTGGAAGAAAAGCAAAAGACAGAGTAATCTCAAGATGAAAAACAATTATTTTCCAAAAAATAATGTGTCTTGATAGCATCTATGCTACATTAATATTATTATTAAAGAGATGTATCAAATATGTTTTTCAATAATGTACTTAAATATATTTATGAACATAATTAAAGTATTTTAATGAGTGATGAGTAAATTAAAAACATCATAAGTATTTATTTCAAATTATCAAGTAAATTTTGTTGAAAAGATTGACAATTGGCTTCAGTTAATTGATAACCCTGCAGGGTAAATTCTTAGATTAAATAAAGAAATTGATCTGCCAAATATTATAAACTAATTACAATGAATAACATGTTTATAAATCTCTAATTCTAGTATGATCTATATTTATTTATTAACATAATCAACTAATCTATTCTCAGTATTTAGTTATAAACTAATCAGAAAAAAAAAAATTATTTTTAATTTAATTTTATAATCACACAGCCAAAAATGGATTCAATTAGATTTGGATTTATATAAGATATATCTGATACTGAAAGTTAAACCTAATCTTGGAGTACTGATGATTCTAGCATGAGAAATTCCATATAAGATTTAACAGAAGATATCAATAATAATCTAGAATATAGAATATCTCAATATTTGAATGATCTCAATATAGAAACATTTACTAATCCAACTATTAAAGAGGATATTTACAATTATTAGTTAAAATAAAAAGTAGTAAGATTTTTAAAAATATTTATAGTTTAAATATTTTGATACTTTTCAGTCAAACTTGGAAAATAGTAAGCTTTTGAAAAAAAGAAAATAACACATCAAATGAATTGTATGATATTTACTCTATTATACTACATCAGTTAATTAATTTTATATACATAATTATATTATTTCTAATAATTTTATTAAATTTAAATGAATTTCATAAATAATGTTAAATATTAGTAACATTATTCAACAATATGATTGATACTTAATTTATAAAAGTATAATCATATTAAATTTTTAATTAAATATAATCATAATTAGCAAGGAAGATAATGGGATGCATTTAAAGTCAAAACAAACCGAAAAAATATCAAAGGGTAGCTTTTCCTGTTGAAAGACATTTCCTTTAATAATGTTATCAGACAAACACATTATATGTTAATGAAGTAGGATAAGAGTATTAAGTCATTCGAGAAGGAAAAAAATTAATTAAAGTACCAATCCTGAAAAAATTATAACAAAATCCTTTGTATCTTAAAAGGACTATTTCATAATCAGATCTGAGCATTTAATCAAAAAGCACTTTCTGATATTTAAATTCTAATGAGTTTTTACATAGTGTACTTTTATAAATAATTCTATATAAAAATAATTTTTATAAACAAATAATCGAGTCAATTATATTCTTCCCAAGGCCCAATCTAAATGTCTTAGAAGGAATTGCAAACTTTATTTTAAAAAGTTGATAGTCTTCGAGGATATTAAACTGAGAAGGCTTTTTTTTCTCTACATGATCCTATCATGGGTTTTGATAGTGGCTAAGATGATTTAATAATGAGACTTTTGAAAAGTGGAGATTGATCATAGTTTTCTTTCTATTAAAATATTTTTTCTTTATTTTAAATAATGAATTTCATTAAGGTTGATTATTTATTAGTTGTAATTAAGGTTTTACTATTTTTTAATACCTTTTTTGTTTATTTTTATATGTCATTTTTGTGAATTTATTAATTATTAAGAAGTTTGCTTAATTACTATAAGTTGTCATCAATATGGATAACATGTATATGTTGAAATTATTTTGGTTCTCGTTAAAGCTGGAATTTAATGTATTTTTTTGAATTCAACATAATTTGATCACTCTATGAATTTTAAAATATTTAATTAAAAATTATGAAATTTATGTGTTTATATGTTTTTAAATAATTAGAAATGATTAATATGGAAACACCTTTTGTAAACATAAATATAGTATTATATAAATTGTAATATTTAATTAATTGAGTAATTTTAAAGTAATAATGTTGTGTATTAAAATGGTCAAAGATTGTAAAAGTAAATAATTGAATATATAATGATGATAGTAAAAAACAAATAAATTTCTTTTAGTATATTATTAACATTAAATTATATTTAATAAATATTATAAAAATATGTAAAGTATATATAATTTTAAGATGTATTAGAATCAGTTTAATTTTACGGATATGTTCTATGTTTTATCTTCTGATTCTATATAATTTTGTATTTTAACCGATGAATGGAGTTTAATTAAAATAAATGACTTAAATAACAAACAAGATTTTAACTCTAAGCTTAATTTTAGTATATGCTTCTGCATAAACATAATTAAATGTTTCTAAAGAGAATTAAGTTGAAAAGTACCTGATAACATCAACAGAATAATTAGTTGTTATAGGTTTTTAAGGATAATAAGTATGAAATATTGAATACTAATGTAGGAAGTTAGAGATTATATATTCTGTAGATTGAAGGAATGTACATGTGAAGACATGGTTTCAAAAGGACCAAGAAGTCATCCTAAGGTGAACTAATATTAATAAACTGGAAATGTAGAATGCATAAATGAACAAACAATAACTTTTGAAAGAATAGAGAACGGTTACATTCCTTATGTTTGGAATAATAAACCTTAAGAAGAAGAATCTAGATCTTATCAACCATAAAAAAGAATAACATAATAAAATACAGTAGTTTACTCTGATAGTGATATGACAGCCTCAATGACTGTTGGCTCATCTTTGGTATTGAAGTGGAAATTCAACACTGATGACACAATAGAGATGTGTGTAATCCTAAATAAGAAAGCATGGGTTGGAATAGGATTTGGTAAAGGGGTATTTATAATTTAATTAATTTTAGATGAAAGGAGTAGATATGTTTGCTATTAATATAATAGATGGAGCAGCAGAATTATTGGATTTGTATTCTACTTAAGATGCTACACCTCCAACAGATGCCACTAATGATATTACATTGGTTTCTTCAAGTGTTACCGATAGTGCAGTAAAAGCAAGAATTAAAAGAAAATTAAATACAGGTGATTCAAAGGATGCTATTTTAACTAAAGGATCAAAATATACATGGAGTTTTGCTAGTTCTTCCTCTCTCGTGATGGAAGATCACAAAAGTAATGTTTAAGAGTTCGAAATTACTTTAAATGAATCAGGAGCATAATAAACTAGTCATGCTTATTTAATATCTTTAATCCTTGGATTCATTCTTTAAAGTTTGATTATTTGAGTTTTAATATCCCATTTACATCCTTATTATTATAAGATTTCATTTATAAGTTTTATATTAATCCTACTATTTCATTAATATTTTCAACCCAATATTAAATCAATATATAAAAATAATATTATATTGCAAAACATAACTATATTTACATAATACAAATTTATTTAATTCAATATAAATCTAAAATATTTAGTTGTAATTTAAATTTATGGAAATTTTCATTTATTTTATTAATAAAATGAAACGATAAAATTCTGCTAATGTTACAGGAAGTCCTAGTCGATATTTCTCAACAAATTAAAATTAATTTGCAGACATACTTAAATAGATTACTTAGAATTGCAATAATAAACCTATAAAAAAAGCAAGCAGTCCTATTCCAAATAGTCAATTATAAAAGCGTATTAAAACATAAAATAGTTGTTAAAAAATGGCAAATTAAAACAATTAAACTAAAAAAGCTAGTTCAAGTGTACCTAAGAATAGATTAGAGTATTTTACAATACAAGAATAGATTGGATCTGGGAAATTTGGTAAAGTATATAAATGTATTCTGAATTCAACAAAGAAGATATATGCAATTAAAATGATTGATAAATAGTAATTAAAGAAAAGTTAAATGAATCATTAATTGTAAAGAGAAGTAACAATTTAATAAATGTTAAAACATCCAAATATAATTCAGTTAGTTGAATTTTTTGAGACAACAACAAATTATTGTTTAGTAATGGAATATGCAAATGGAGGAACTTTATTTTAATCATTGATGAGATAAAATAATAAACGATATTCAGAACCTGCAGCATCAAATATGATAAAACAAGTAGCTTTGGCAATATAATAAATGCAAAAATAATCAATAATTCATAGAGATTTAAAACCAGAAAATATATTATGGTGTGATGGTGTATTAAAAATAAGTGATTTTGGATGGTCAATTTAAGATAAAAAAGAAAGAGAAACCCTTTGTGGAACAATAGATTATTTACCTCCAGAAATGGTTTATGGATAATCTTATGATAATTCAATAGATTTATGGTCATTAGGAGTTTTAACTTTTGAATTAACTACAGGTAAGACTCCTTTTTAAATATAAGAAGGATTTGCATTATAATTTCCAGATCATTTATCAGGAGATGTAAAAGATTTAATGAAAGGATTGTTGGCAGATAAAAAGAATAGAAAATCAATTGATTGGGTATTAAATCATGTATGGTTATGTTGATACTATTTATTAACTTTCACAAATTTGATTTATATTTCTTTTAATCTGTAAATACTTTATTCCATCCTAATTTTTTTCTAAGATTATGTACCCATTCATTATAATCTATATCTGATTTATCTTAGATAACTAAATATATATATATAATAATATACTGCTAACAAATTTTTCTGATTTTAAGATTTGAAATATCATATCTTTGTTAAATTCAACAGTAGTTTATCCATCAGCACATATAAATCCATTAGCTCTACATTAATTAGCTAATTTTATAGTAATATTTAGACAAGTAGGTAAAACAATCGGTCTAAATGACAAAGATAATGGACAAATTGGAGCAATTGATATAGATGGTACTTCATTCTATATAATTGGACCTCCAGCTGATAAAAAATATGCAGTTGAACCTGTTGGAGTAGATACAATTATTCCATCTCCTGATGCAAGTGTTAATAGTACATCATTTATATATATCTCAATATATAAGCAATGAGGGTTTGCTCCTCTTGTTATTACAAATTCATTTAATACATGATATTCAAATTTCTATCCTCCACTTTATATTAAACAACCTTTCAATCTTAATTTTCTTTCAACTATAAATTATCCAGCTGTTCTAAAATGTTCTATCTACTTCGATAACACTTAGTATTTATCTTTTAAGTCAAATACACACATAAAACCTAACGTCCCTTTTTAAAATGCCAATATTGGAGGTGGTTCTTAACTTTAAAATTGTCTTAATGCATATAATACAGTTCCATCACCTCCTACTACTATTATTAAAGATATTAAAGTTATTTATTCTTTCGTAAAAACATAAAGACGATTTGAATGAGTTATATTTGCTATCTCATCAAATTATCTCTATTCTAAATATATATTGCAATTCAACTCTATTAAATTATCAACAATCTCCTTTACTATATATTTACATTCATCATCAAATTATTTATAATAAATTAATGAATTCATCTCACCTTTTAGACTATATGAAACAGATTCTTAAGTTTACCTAAAAACTGATGTCGTTTTCTATTTATTTCTAAATTATCATACTCTCTAATCAAGTTTTAGGAATTCATAATAAGATATCTCACAACTTTCATTTTAATAATCAAATTTATCTTTATATTCAACGTTACAGCTTTTTATTGACTAGAGATGGATCCCCTTTTAAACTGCTAATGCTCCATTTATCTCAAATTTAAGTACATTAAATATTAATATGACTCTCCTCATTTTAAGATTATACAGTTTTTTCATTTATTTATCCTTCATCATCATATTCTTCTGATTACACATTATACATTTTATTAATAATTAATCTGAATTATTTATTCGATATTAAATGTCTACAAAATGGCAATAAAACAATGTAGATAAATTTATACATATATAGGTACCAATAAGATTAAATTTTAATGATGATGATGATCCTTTTGAAGAAGAAATAGGTATTTTAAGTTCTTAAATTATAGATAGACTGAGATAGTAAAAAGAAATGTAATAAAAGTTAAAATAATAACAAGCGGCTATTCTCGATCATAATAAAAAGGTATCTAACCTTATGAAATTAGGCGGAATAATTAAGATAATAAATTGTGAAAGATATATTGCCAAAACACAAAGGTTTATAACTTGCATATGATTATGATGGGACATTTATGTTGGCAAAAGATCATACATAAGTAAGAAATAATTAAAGAGCACCTGAAATTCAGTACTTATTTTAAAAATTAACAATAGCAAAATAACTTAAGTTGATACAGTTTTTTAACCATAGAAACCAGTTTAATAAGCTGTTATAGAAAATGATAAAGTAAAAAAAGAGTAACTTCGTTAATCAAAGGCCAAAACTAATCCACCTTAAATATTTGAGGCATCATTAACAAAACCATTTGATGGATTCACTCCTAATCAAGGAGTAAAATTGATTTATCAAGATTAAAATTAAGAAGTTATAAAACAATAAGATATGTAAAATTGGGGAGATGGATAAAGAATGACAAAAAAGTAATTTGAAGCTCTTAAGAGTGAAGGTTTTAAATCAACAACATATTCAATGAAATAATAAATGCTTCAAAAAATTAATTCAGATATTGTTGAAATACAGGAGCCTAAGAATACTCCAAATTTAGTAGAATCCTTTAATTAACTTAATGAGTTAAAGATTTCCTAGTCCTATACCAACTTTAAGTAACCTCCAACTTAATAAAATATATAGAAAATACCTTAAACAGCATAAAATAGAAAATAAGGAAGTAAAATTAATGTTGTTGATAAAAATTTACTTGATCAATTACTTTCTTGATTTACTAACTAAATTATTTTCGTAAAATTTTATTAAATCATGGGCTTTTTCTATTAAAATAGAATTGTCACCATTGTATAGATATTTTTTTATTAGCCCTTCTCTAACTTTATAAAATATATTTATTTTAAAATAAGATGGATTCTTCTTCATCGATTAATTATGCAAAAAAAAGAAATTTGTTTACATTTTTAATATAATGATCTATGAGTAAAAATAATCATTCATTTAAATTTTTTAGAAAACTTTCAAAAGGAGAACAAGTAAAATAATCTAAGTTGTCAAGATTATTCTATACATCAATATTTTCAATAAAGATCGATGAAATATTGCTGTTGTCTGATTCTGAATCCTAAAAATAAGTTTTTCAATTAAATACTGAGCTAGTATAGTCGAATTCCAAAGGGCTTATTACATCTTTTAATTATCTTCTTCTAGCACCACCTAATAATATAAGGAGCATTTTATACTAAAATAGTCGGTTTCTACATCAGAATCTTAATCCTCTTCGAAAAAGGATTTAATCTTTATCATTTTTATGGGACTTGAGTCAAAAGTAAATAACACTGTTTATGTTTAGTACCAGACCTATACTACTCTATTTTCAGTTGATTCCCAAATTATTTTTTCACATTCCACAATTACTGCTTTGAATTTGATCAATTAGTCTTTGATAATTAATGACCCTTACTTGGTTCTAAATCTCCTAGTAAAGTCCCTATCCATAATGGATAAATATCGCTATTTGTTTCAAGTTTAATTCCTTTTTATGGATTCCACTTTCCCATTAGTTGTTAATCACCAACAATATAAACTTGTTGTTTAAATTAAGTTTCACATCTCACTTTAAAGTAAATTTAAATCGACATATGGATATAATTTAGTAAAAGATAATAAGATAAATAATTATATTAGGATTCTACTTTAATAAATTAAGGATTGATATTATTGAGTTATATTCTTATATTTAAGAAAAACATGTTTTATATAGATTTAGTTGTTATGCGAATTTCTGAGAATTTCCTAATAAAAACAATTTCTATTCTTATTAAAGAATACCATGACCACTTAATTATAGTCTAGAATTAGTGATAGAAAAGATTATTATTGTAACACTAAATGTTATCTGGAAATATAAAAATAAGAAATAACCTAAATTCTTTAAAATTTTATTTTCATTTGAGCTCATTTTTTCCCATTATATTCAATAATATTATAATCTAGAAGGAATGAAATGAAAAACTAAAGGAATAAACAGTTTATTTGGGGTATTTTCATGTTAAATAAGATATAAAATTAACATTTTTCATATAGATTTTCATTAAAATCATGATTTGAAAACAGAATTTATTGTAAACTGTATAGAACTTATTTTAAAAAGAATAAATCTTAATAAATAATGTATTCATTAAAATATCTGGTTAACATTTCAATAATGAGTAATGTAAAAAGTAATGAATAGAAGTTTATATAAATATAGATATCATTAAAATTTGCATTAATAAAATTTCTTATAAATTCTTATAATAAAATAAATTGTTATTGTGTTTTGTAAATATGCTTTGTTAAATTCAAATTTGATATATAAGCAAATTATCTGTGTATTAAATCATTAATTAAATATATCAACTTGAAAATGGCTGAATAATTAACAGAAGAATAAATTGCAGAATTCAAAGAAGCCTTTGCTCTTTTTGACAAGGATGGTGATGGTACAATTACTACTAAAGAATTGGGAACAGTTATGAGATCTCTAGGATAAAATCCAACTGAAGCAGAACTTTAAGATATGATTAATGAAGTAGATGCTGATGGTAATGGAACAATCGATTTCCCTGAATTTTTATCTTTGATGGCTAGAAAAATGAAGGAATAAGATTCTGAAGAAGAACTTATTGAAGCTTTCAAAGTCTTTGACAGAGATGGAAATGGACTCATTTCTGCTGCTGAATTAAGACATGTTATGACAAATTTGGGAGAAAAATTGACAGACGACGAAGTTGATGAAATGATCAGAGAAGCTGATATAGATGGTGATGGACATATCAATTATGAAGAATTTGTTAGAATGATGGTTTCTAAATGATTATTATATCATTATTATTTAGATATTTTTTTAATTAAACATTAATAAAAAAGATTTTTATTTATAATTACAATTCAAGAATTATGTTAAATAATTATTATTTTTATTTTCTAATCACTCTATAAATATAATGAAGACAACCTCTTAAACTTAGTATAAGTTTGATTAATCTTAGGTGAGTTGGAAAAATATTCATTACAAATTTATTGATAAGTTATAATAAAAACAATCTATCTTTTTGGCTTAAGATCTCAAAAATAATGCTCGATAAGTCATTATAAAATAAATTAATAATTCATCAAAAAAATATTAAGAGAGAGAAAAAGAATTTACTTAAGAACTCATAAAATAAGCAAAATTTTCTTATTATAATCCCTACGTTGTTCAATATTATGACTTGTTTGAAGAAGACGAAAGTATCTTTATTGTTATGGAAAAATGCGATAGTGACCTCGAGAAATACTATTAATAAAAAATGGAAGAAAAATCAAACATTAATTATGCTCAAGTACTCAATATCTTTTAACATATTGTTCATGGATATTAGTATCTATATTATTTATTTGGACCAGAATTTTAGCATCGAGATATTAAGCCTTCCAACATTTTAATTTTGGAGGGGAAGCATAAAATATGTGATTTTGGATTTAGTAAAAATTCTTTAGATAATCCCACCAAATATGTAGGTACTTTAAATTTTTAAGCTCCTGAAATATTTAGAAATTGTCTATATGATAATAAATGTGATATTTATTCTTTAGGAATATTATTACTTTGGCTTTTGACTGGATCTACATTTAAAGAAAATATATAAAAATTAGATTTCAATTTTTCTGAATTAGTAAAAAGTATGGTGGATGATGATCCAAATTAAAGAATAGGTTGGAACACGCTTTTTAGACATCCTGCTTTTGTTTAAAAGCCAGAAATTTTCTTAAATATAAAAAGAGATAATAATACTTCAATCTCTTTACACAGTTTAGCTTAATTATTTGATAATTAAGAGACCGATATTAGTTTTGCTACGAAAGTAAATACTTCTTTTATTAAAAACAATTGTATACCTCAATTTGAATTAAATAAATTAATTAGTGACACCTTTAAACATGTAGATAAGAACAATATCGAACTTTCAAGAATATTATTTGCACTTTGGATAAAATATTACGATCGATTAATCTTAATTGAAAATGATTAAAAAAGAAGGGATGAATATCATAAATAGAAAGTAAATATTTAAAGGCAGCAATTATTCAGAATTAAAAATTAAGTTGATTATAGAATAGAATTTTTATCTCTTAATGAACTGTGCAGATAATTATTGAATCATTTAGAACATTTTAATGAAGATTCAGGATTGCAAGATAGATTGAAAGATTTTCTAAAAAACAGCATGAAAAATAAGTGAATGTAGTTTATGAATGTTATTTGTGATTTGCGTTTATAAAATTAATTACAATCATCTCTTAGAGAAATCTCCCCAACTATATCCATATTTTTGCATGTGCTTCAGATATTTTTTAAATGTAATGATCATAACTAAAATGAAATAGCTAAACAAAAATGGCCAATAGACAGGAAGATCAAATATTTAAAAGTATGTTGCAAAATTTGAAAGGAATAGAGCAAAGATAATTTATTCCCACAATTATATTTCTGGCATAGATCTAATAAGAGGTCTGTCATCGTTATGCTATGGAAGTTAAACTTAATTAGATATATGAAAGTATTACTATTGATATCTTCATCTTCATCTTCAATATCAGGAAGTCCTAATGGTGTAAAGTATCTCAACAAAGATTAAATAATTTGGATTCCGAGCATATAGGATACAACAAAATAACTTTGTGTTTCAATAAGTCTGCTAAAATAGAAAAAGAGTAAAATAGCACAAAATGTCCATCTTTTTCCTGGATGCATAATCCATCTATAAATTAAAGAATAGAATATTACTTATCTATGATCCTTCTGTACTTCATTGAGTATTTGTGATACAATCTAGTGTAAACAGGATCAACGTCAGAATTCATTTTAGATTATTTAATTAAAAATGTATTTGAGATTTCCAAAAAAAATGAACAAATAAAGAAAAAAAGATGAATGATTAATTAAACAATAACNAATTATTTGATAATTAAGAGACCGATATTAGTTTTGCTACGAAAGTAAATACTTCTTTTATTAAAAACAATTGTATACCTCAATTTGAATTAAATAAATTAATTAGTGACACCTTTAAACATGTAGATAAGAACAATATCGAACTTTCAAGAATATTATTTGCACTTTGGATAAAATATTACGATCGATTAATCTTAATTGAAAATGATTAAAAAAGAAGGGATGAATATCATAAATAGAAAGTAAATATTTAAAGGCAGCAATTATTCAGAATTAAAAATTAAGTTGATTATAGAATAGAATTTTTATCTCTTAATGAACTGTGCAGATAATTATTGAATCATTTAGAACATTTTAATGAAGATTCAGGATTGCAAGATAGATTGAAAGATTTTCTAAAAAACAGCATGAAAAATAAGTGAATGTAGTTTATGAATGTTATTTGTGATTTGCGTTTATAAAATTAATTACAATCATCTCTTAGAGAAATCTCCCCAACTATATCCATATTTTTGCATGTGCTTCAGATATTTTTTAAATGTAATGATCATAACTAAAATGAAATAGCTAAACAAAAATGGCCAATAGACAGGAAGATCAAATATTTAAAAGTATGTTGCAAAATTTGAAAGGAATAGAGCAAAGATAATTTATTCCCACAATTATATTTCTGGCATAGATCTAATAAGAGGTCTGTCATCGTTATGCTATGGAAGTTAAACTTAATTAGATATATGAAAGTATTACTATTGATATCTTCATCTTCATCTTCAATATCAGGAAGTCCTAATGGTGTAAAGTATCTCAACAAAGATTAAATAATTTGGATTCCGAGCATATAGGATACAACAAAATAACTTTGTGTTTCAATAAGTCTGCTAAAATAGAAAAAGAGTAAAATAGCACAAAATGTCCATCTTTTTCCTGGATGCATAATCCATCTATAAATTAAAGAATAGAATATTACTTATCTATGATCCTTCTGTACTTCATTGAGTATTTGTGATACAATCTAGTGTAAACAGGATCAACGTCAGAATTCATTTTAGATTATTTAATTAAAAATGTATTTGAGATTTCCAAAAAAAATGAACAAATAAAGAAAAAAAGATGAATGATTAATTAAACAATAACTTTATAATAGATTCAAATTACTTTTATTAATATTTTCTTTTAAATATTGTTTAGAGTTTAATCTTAATTTTAATAAATAACAGATTTGAAATTTTCATATCTGTTGTTGATATTCAAATCAATGTTTTAAAAACATAATAGTTGATTGTTTCTGCAAGATTTAAGATCATGCATTTTACATGCCTCAACTTTATAGTTTATTTTAAAAGCCAACAACAAATAATTTGCTTTTATATGTATTCAAATAAACATTATTTATTGCATGATTTTTATCTTAAAAATCTAGAAATGCAAATCCCAATTAAATTAGAAAAGCCACAATCTTATTTTCATCATCAACTAATATCAGGTATTTAATTCTAAAAATACACTATTTTATTTTCTAATAAATAGACTTTGTTATCAATTGAAAATCTGTTGATATATTTAAATAATTTATCGAGATTCAATTTCATTAGATCAAGTTTAAATCAGCACTCAATAAATAATTAATTTAAAGCACCAATCATATTATTTAAGGTATTGCTCAAATTAATACAAAAAATTTATGATTATTATATTAAAATATATATTAAATTATAAATGGGTAATTGTTTTGTATCAAAACCTAAAAAAGAAATTCAATCAGAAGATCAAAGCCCTGGGAAGGAAGCTTTAAATTTATTTAAATAGAAATAAAAAATAAAAGAAGATACTATTACTGAGCAAGTAAAGAATGGAGGGACATTGTTAAAATAAGATTCTAAACATGCATCAGATGTAATCTAAGGTTAAGATGATGTAAGTGTTTCATAAGAAAGTAGCATATAAAATAAAGAAATGAAAAAAAGAATAAGAAATTTGTAAATGGGATATTATAAAAAGATGAATTTGTGGAGAATGTAGAGAAAATAGAAAAAGAAAAGAAGCCTCATGATTATTAGGTTATTTTGAACGCTCTTGGTTAACATTATTTTTTTGCTCATATTAGTGATTAACACAAGTAATAATTTAATTATGAGCCAAGAGAAGACATTGTAATGAAAATGTTTTATTGCAGAGTTACAGCAAATGAATTTGTATTTTAATAAAATGATTAAGCCAGCGCCTATTTTATAATTGATTAAGGAGTTTGTGAGATAATAATAAATGGGGAAGTAAAAAAATAATTATCAACTGGAGAAGGTTTTGGAGAATTAGCATTATTATATGGTGCTCCTCGTTCAGCATCAGTTAAAACAAAAGATGGTAATTTTTTAAATATAAAATTTTAGAGTGTTTTTTTTGGTGTATTGATAGAGGTACTTTTAGAGCAGCAGTTGAAGAATTAGTTTAAAAAGAGTATGATGAAAATAGAAAATTTATTGATTCAATAAAATTTTTTGAATGGATGACAGTAGATTAAAAGGATATGATAGCAGGAGCGATTATTACATAATAATTTAAGAAAGGTTAGGCTATAGTAAATGAAGGAGATATGGCTAGTTCATATTTCATTATAAAATCAGGAATGGTTAAAATAATGAAAGGAGGCAATGAATTAAGGTAAATGTCTGCAGGAGATTCATTTGGAGAATAAGCTCTATATTAGAATTCTGTTAGAGGAGCTTCTGTAATTGCAGTTGATGAAAATGTTTGTTGTTTAGCTATTGGAAGAGAAACAATTACTAAAATTTTGGGTGATAAAATATAAGTGATTATGTACAATAATCTTCTAAGATGGAGCTTTGAAAAAAATTAATTGTTATGTAAATTAACAAAAATTTAAATTGAAAAAATTGTGACTAAAATTGAGACAGTCACTTATGAAGCAAATTAAAAGATATATACAGCAGATTAAACATGTGATAAATTAGTTATTGTTTTAGAAGGAAGGTTATGCAATGTAAGTATATTAAATATTGAAAATTAAGAAAGATAAAGAGATAGCTACAAAAGGTTAAATGGTTGGTGATTAATTTTTACCAATAAAAAATAGAGACAAATTAGTTCCTTATGATATTTTTTTAAAAGAAGGGGGAAAGGTTGCACAAATACGTTTTGATTTATTTTTAGAATGTATAGGAGGTGAATTAGAATAAGTAATTCAAAAGAATGAAAACAATCATGAAGTGAAATATATGTAGAGATAAATTTCAAAATAATAAGTGGATTATCTAATTTTAGAAGATATGGTGCATATAAAAAAATTAGGATAAGGATAATTTGGTTCAGTTTATTTGTGTAAAAATAAAAAAGATGGAAAATAGTATGCTTTGAAATGCATAATAAAAAATTAAATAGTAGAACAGCATTTAGAGAGTCATTTAACATAAGAGAAAACAGTTCTTGAATAGATTCAATTTCCTTTAATGATGAGATTTTATAAATCAATGTAAGATGATAATTTTATCTATTTTTTGGTGGAATATATAAAAGGTTTGGAATTATTTGATGTAATAAGAGATATAGGATTATTAAATACTTATGATTCTTAATTTTATATTGCTTAGTTGTTACTTTGTATGGAATATTTGCATTCTCATCATATAGTTTACAGAGACATAAAGCCAGAAAATGTAATGGTAGATCATTATGGGTATATTCGATTGATTGATATGGGAACAGCTAAAATCTTGAAAGGCAAGGGTAGAACATTTACTGTGATAGGAACTCCACATTATATGGCACCAGAGATTTTAAATGGAAAAGGTATAATAATAATAATGCAATAAGGTTATTCATATTATGTAGATATGTGGAGTATAGGAATATGTCTATATGAATTTATGTGTGGTGGAGTTCCATTTGCAGAAGATGCAGAAGATCCATATGAAATATATGAGGAAATCACTAAAAAATAAATATCTTACCCTAATCATCTCAAAGATAGAAAGGCTAAAAAATTTATAGACTAATTATTAAATAAGACTCCAGAAATTCGTTTAGGAGGAAGTTATGCAGCTTTGAAAGCCAATACATGGTTTGATGGATTAGATTGGGTATTTGTGATATCATAATATTAATAATAGGATAAATTAATGGATAAGGAACTAAAACCTCCTTACATTCCACCAAAGGATAGATTAATTGGAGATAAAGAAATTGTATCAATCGAGAAATAAAACAAAAGTATTTAGGGAGAAATCAAAAATGTATAAGATTTTATAATACGTAGGATCTTGGTGATAAAAATATTTATAAGAAGGAATTAGCTAAGGATCCTCATTGGGATGAGAAATTTAATTGATGATTAAATATTATTTATTATTATTATTTATAATGATTTATTATTGATAGTATTACGTCATGGGAAAGCGTTAAATTATGTCATTAGGATTGAATTAATAAACAATTTATGAAATCGAAATAAAATAAAATTCAATGAAATTAGCAGTGTTGTTACTCATAGGATTGTTAAGTGTATATACATATTTGAATAAAGAAGATAATGATAGCTATAGTGAATTTTAAATTTGGAAATAAGAATATGGTAAATAATATACTGGACAGCAAGAAGTTTTCCGATTCTTTAATTTTTAAATAAATCGAAATAAAGTTAATAAACATAATTCTGATGATAAAAAAACTTATAAAATGAGAATGAATCAATTTAGTGATTTATCAATGGAGGAGTTTTAAATGCTTTATTTAAGTCATTATAATTTAGAATAGAATTATAAAGAAGATTAAATAATTGATGAAATAAATTCAATAGATAATAATAGTAAAACAATAAATTCAGTTGATTGGAGAAAGATTACATAAGTGAAAGATTAAGGATAATGTGCTGGATGTTGGGCATTTGGTGCTGTAGGAGCTGCAGAGGCTTGGTTTTATGTTAAAAATAAAACTACAGTAGTATTATCTGAATAATAATTAATTGATTGTGATACACAGTCTTTTGGGTGCAATGGAGGATATTAGAATTTAGCTTTAAAATATATTGCTAATCATGGATTGAATGATGCTAAAGTTTACCCATATATATAAAAATAATCAGGTATTTGTAAAATGGATTAAGGACCTTATAAAACTAATGGAGCATAAAGTGTTAGTTCAATTAATTTTAAATCTTATTTAACAGAATATCCACTAGTTGTAGTTGTTGATGCTACTAATTGGTAATTTTATGGAGGAGGAATTTTCAAAGATTGTAATAGATCTGTTAATCATGCTGTTTTGGCTGTGGGGTTTGATGACAATGACAATTGGTTTGTTAAGAATTCATGGGGTAATTCTTGGGGTGAGAAAGGATTTATTACTTTGGCTCCAGGAAATACTTGTGGCATTACTTCTTATGCATATAGAGCTATTTGATTTTGATATATAATTAATTAATCTTTAAATAGTAATTATATGTTTAATTAAATAAATTAGAGAGAGAAGAATGCAATTGAAACACTATTGAATTTGAATGAGGATTCTCAAAAAGAAATTGATTATGATAGAGAAATGCAACGTTTTTTGTTCAAACCTCAATAAAATACTGTTACAAGCATTGTTCAAAAACCAAGATCTTAAATTCTTAAACTTATTTGTCCAAAATCTAATTCAAACTTATAAAGTTTTGATTATAGAGGTAGATCATTGGAAAAGTAATCAGAAAGAATCGTTGTTCCTAATCAATACAAACCGAAATATTTATTATAATAATTAAAAACTCAAAGGTATTTACGTCATGTATCAGAACATTAAACAATTAATGTACCAACAATTTAAATTGTGCAATCTCTCTAAACAATAAGTCTCATAGAAAGAAAAGGTCTAACTTAATAAAAGATATATAGAAAGAAGGATGTTTAATTACCAAGATTTATATTGAAATCAAGATAATAGCTATGATAATAACTATAGTTGATAACTTATTAATAGCTATCAATAGTTTTATTTCTTTTTTCTCTCATAGATTGGTGTTTTGATATCTTCAAAATCTTAGGAATACAATTCTTTTGATTAAGATTTAGAATGTTTTGATTACTTACTTTTTGATCTTAATATCCTTTTCTTTTCTAATTCTTTATCATAAGCAGCAGTGTTATTATCTAAAGATATTTATAATAATATTACATTCTTCTGCATCTTTTAAACCAGATTAAACCCAAGGAATTGGAGGTTTAGATTCTCTTAATGAAATTTCTTTCATTTTAATAGATTCTTAAAGACTTTTTAATTTACTATCAGTTGGTTCTAAATCTAACAATAAGTAATTATGTGAGTATGAACATTCTTTTTGTCCTTTTTTACATCTTCCTTCTTTAATAAATTCAGGACACATTTTCATTGATAAATCTTTACCTTTACTTTTAGCTTTTTAATCTTCTTTGTCTTCAATTTTATTAATTCTTTATTTCATTAATTAAATATCATTCACATTATCTTATAATTTAGATTCTATTTTTCTATAGAGTAATTCTATCTATCTATTAATAAATTATTTTGTATCAGGTTCAGGATCATTATCATCAAGATGTGTTTATTTTGCATACATATATAATTTTTATGCTTCTTATTTATCATCAGGATTCAATTTAACAGTTGATTCATAAACTTATTTAATAGTTACATCAGTATCTGGATCTATTTATAATTATTTCTTTAGATTCATTTAACTAGTCTCAAAATCTTTTTCTTTTTCTTCAATTTCTTATTTAACAATTTCAATAGCTTTTAAAATAACTTCAAAGGCTTCTGAAAATCTCTCTTTATTATATAAAGCATTAGCTCTACTTAAACAACTTAATTTAATATTATAATTTTTAGCTTCTTTTTCTTCCATTTTTCTTCTTTCTTTAAATTTAGGTCTTTATTAAATTTTTAAATAGGCTTTTTTTGCTTTTCTTCTTAAAATTTCTAAAGTGGCAATATTTTTTTTTTTCATAGCACATTCTGAACATAATGCTTTTTCTGAACAACCAATACAAAGTTTCATTGTATTTCCTCCAGGATTCCATGCTTTAATAGCTAAATTACCTCCTAATCTTTCAGTTACTGCTTTAAGTGTACCTCTTAATGCAGTTTTTCTTGCTCTTAATTCCTATCTAAATCTTAATTCATATAAATGATGTGCAAACATACATTCTGCTCCTATAGGTGTTACACCAGATACATTTGAATTTGGCCATCTTGTTTATATAGAAGGACAATTTTATCCTAATGGACACATTTAATCTTTAACAGTTAATTTACGTAAATCATAAGATTAAGATTTATTTAATGCTTAAAGTGATGTATAATAATGTTAATCTTATTTAAGCATTCTTTTTAGATTATTTTATGATTAAAATAATTGATCTTCATATGATTCTAATTATTTAATAAAAAGATAAACTTCTAATAAGAATTTATATTCAGGTTTATTTTAATATTCAGGTTCCATTAATTATAAATTTTCATGTGGTACTTTTTTAAGTTCATCATCATCAATACCCATATTTTAAGGATTGAATATTGGATGTGGTTTAGGTTATTTCATTTTAACTTCAGGATCTCTAAATATCAATTTAAGATCTCTTATATTAAAACAAAGTGCCAATAATTAATAAGATTTCCTATAATCTCCTTTACGATAGAGTACCTAAGATCTTTTAAAAATACCGAATCTATATATAGATGGAACTTTCTTAAAATTATCTCCAAATTATGATAAGAAATGTTTTAATGATCCACTTTTACCAACATTATTTTAAGCCCAATTATGTGTTGATAAAATAACTCTTTTCAACTTTTCTGGCATTCTATAACAAACAGCAGGTTAGAATGTACATTCTTTTGCATCAGAGAAAGTCATCATTATATTACATCTTTCAGATTAATAATTATCAGAATCCCATACTGATGTTTTAGGTCTATCAGCAAATAATTATGCTTCTTTTACTAATTTACTTTAACCAATAACTCTTTAATTTAATGTTTATCTTGTACAACCAGGAGGACATAATGAATCTTTATGAACTACACACATACTTTTTCCATTTGTTGGTACCCAAAATCCTATTCTATTAGTTTCATCTTTTATATAATCATATTTCCTTCTAACATAAGATTTCATCATTCCAAAAAAATATCTCTTTAATGAACTAGGATAAGATTTCTTTCTTAATTTCTTACTCTCTCCATATTTCAAATGTGGAAAGTTTTCCCTTGTTGCTTCTTTATGAGATATCAACATTTATTTATACATTGTTGATAAATATTCATTTATTGTTGGCACTTTCTCTTCTAATCTTTTCTTTCTTAATTCTAAATACTTTTTAGCCATTTATTCTATATATTTTTTAAGTTTAAATTCTGCTTATCTTTTCTTTTTTCTTTCCTACTCTTCTTTTCTTAAAGCTGTTTATTTCTCTGAATAATATAAATCCATATGTTTTTCAAATAAATCAGCTATTTCTTCTATTTTCATTTTAGTTGGTACTTCCATTTCTTCTAAAGTTATTACACATCCACCTTTTTAAGATAAATGTCTCATTTTCTATTTATTTTCTTCATCACTATCAACTACATCATATTCTAAAGGATATTTTGCTACTTTTGTATCACGAAACTCTTATAATAACATTCTTCTTAATATTTTATCATTTGGATACATTTTCTTTAATTCTAATAGTGTCTTACCTACTCTTAAACGATCCTTTGGTTTTGCTATTTCTGTTACTCTTTAATAATTAATTTCTGTTTTCTTTTTCTTCATACTTTTTTCCATTTCCATTTTACGTAATCCTAAATTAACATCTTCTTAATCTTTTTTCATTTACAAATATTAAGTTAAAAGTGTTCTTAAATTATCTTCACTTTCATATGTTACTATCTCTTATTTTGAATTTTAAAGTGTTTATTTCCATACTTTAATTATATCTTCTACATTATCAGTATAAAATCCTTTAAATTTATAAAATTAATCATTTATCATTTCCATTGAATCTTAAAAATACAAATCAAAATCATCTCCTTTTCCTTCAGGTTTATTATTCTAAATATCATTCCAATATTATCTTAATCTATCTGGATATTTAAAATTTTTATGATCTGGATTTTTAGCTTTATAATGTTATATTACTGCTTCAACAAATTATTCTCTCTATTTCTTTTCTTTTGTTTTTATATCATCTTCTTATTAAATTAAAGGTTTTGGAAACAATCTATCTAAAACTTACTTACTCATTTTCTTATTTTTTTTTTCTTACTCTTTTTTCTATTATTACAATTAAGATTATCTTTCTTCTATAAATTTACTGATATTAGCATTTTATTCTTCAGCTTCACCAAATTATTTTAATGTATATTAAACATCTTTTTCATTTGCTTAAGCATAAAAATGTAAATTTCTTTTATGTTCTAATTGTTTCTTTATCAACTCCTATAAAATATGATAAACTTAAATTAATTTACATTTTCTGGTTCTTTTGCTGGTTTCTTTGGAGGTGGTTTACCTGACTAAGATCTTGCAATTACTTTCCATAAATCAAACAATGCTTTATCTGAATAAGTAGTAACTTTTCTTGTATTACGATATTCATTCTAATAATAAGTTATTAAATCTATTTACTTAAAGTGTAATGAATAAATCCTTCCCTAAATTTGTTGGTTAATATGCTTCTTAAATTACTGGTTATCTTGAAGACTCAAAGTCATTCGCATATCCTTAAGTTTATTCAAAATATGATTATTGCTCAGGAAATCTAATTAATCTAATACTTAACACTTACTCTTATAATAAATCAACTCCAGCAAAGTTGTATTACTTGTGCATAATTTAAAAATCTGTTAATAATAATATTGCTAAGAAAATAATGAAATTATTTTTATTCAATTTTATAATCAAACCCTTTAATCCCCATTATATTGAGAAGAATTACTAACATTTTATAAGATATATTCCATAAACGACTATTTTAGCCTTATATACATTGTATATGTTATTACTTAATTCAATCCATATGCCAATTTGAATTCTTTTTTTAAGGTAAATAATAATCTCTGACTAATCTGTTCCTATATAAGTTATAACATTAATTTTTAAAGCAATTGCAAAATTAATATTCATTTTAAAAGTAGTTCTACTTATGATATAATTTAGTAAGACAAAAACTCATGCATAAATTAATCACAGTATTAAGATTTAGAGAATAATTTTAAAAAGAAAAATATATCAATTATTAATATAAGAAATTAAAAGTTAAAATATAATTAGTATAGATAAAAAAATATGAGAAACCTGAGTTTATAACTAAAATCATTATAATTATAGACTAAAGATTATAATATGGAAAATGTAATCAACATAATATCAGAATAAAATCGAATATTATTGAATAAACTTATTTCAAGAATTAAACTAGAATTTGATTAAATCAGAAATATATATTTAAGTTTCATATTATAATAGACAAAAATATGTGGCAAATTGAATATTATCCATAAGATATAGAGTCAGTAAACCAAATTTGAATTCAATTATCCACTATCCTTTAAAAAAACATTTATTTGAAATAAAAATTAATAATTATAACTAAAAAGTAGAATTAATAAACCTTAGTATTAAATAAAATGTCACTTAGAAAATCAAAAAAAATATAGTTATGCAATTTTGATAGATAACAAATAATAAATTTTTGATTATGATAATATTATCCTTATGAATCAAATAATAGATTTCCATTATGGTTTATTTTGTATAGAAATATAATTAAGTTAAATAATGGATGATTTTTTTGAAGAAGTGACAACTTAAGCTGTTCCAACTGAGGCTCCATAAAGTGATCAAAGCCAAATCTAATAGATCTAAGTAAGAGATATCAAATAAAGTAGTATGATGTATTTAGTGCTTTTTCTAATGAAGCACCTGTTCAATTTTAGTCATCTGTAGTCTACGTGGTATTTTATAATTCAAAATTAGAGCCCAGAATAATAGATTAGAAAGGATAAACTGAAAATAATTGAAGAGGAAAGGCTTGCTTAGATAAGAGAAAAGGATTAATAGGAAAGGATATTGAAATAATAAAAAAAATAAAAAGGTCAAGAGTATTTGCAATAATTCAAAAGGTAAATTGAAGAATAACATGAAATAGTTAATTAGAAACAGATATTTAATAAAGAAAAGTGTTGAATAAGTAGAAATAAGAGGTTTGGTTTGAAAATTAAAAGAATCATAGTTAGTATGTAAGATTAGTGTTTAAATATAAGAAAAATTCATGGGACTAAATTGCATCTAATATAGCTTTAAAGGATGGTGAGTACCCAGGATAAAAGGATGTGACAAAGATGAGATAAGCAATCCTTAATAAGAAAATCGATTTGACTAAGTGAAGCTGAAGATTTATAATATCAATATATATTTATAATGCTTATATTCTTTTATATTTTGCTGTTTCTATATAAAATTAGGATTTTTATAATTGTATGTTGAATTTTAGATAATTTGTAATTTTTATTATTTATTATTTATTATTAATTGATATATATATTTATGTAAGATTATATTATGTAGATTAGTAGAACATTAAGATATAAGTTGTGATTATATTTAGATGTAATTTGGGATATTAATTATATAAAATTTGAATTTTAATAGATAAGAAATGTAAGAAATAAAAAGTGAGTGGTTAAGAAAATATGATAATGATATCTGGTATTTGATATATAGATTAATTTGATGATGATTATAGTTTTATATAAATTAATTAAGATTGTCTGTGTTGTTATTCTTTATATAATTAGAAAAGGATGGTTGTAAGAACCAATAAATGTTTAATTTATATCATATAAGTCAAGTAGAAATTGTAACATTATATTGTATTAAAAAGGCGCGAACTTAAATTGGTAAAAGAGTGAGATTGGAAGAAATATAATAATAATATTAAATCTTAATTTGTGAATGTTAGGAAGACGTAGTTAATAAAGAAAATCTAGAGCCGAAGATAATTTAAATTGTAATGGAAAGCAAGTAATATCATTGGATAAAGTGATGAATACTAATGAAGATTAAAAATAATAGAAAACGAAGAAGTTATAGAAGGTGATATAAGCAAAAAAGCAGAACTCAACTAATACTGAAGACTTATCTGGAATAAGTCTAAAGGAATCTTAAAATGGGACATATAATTTGAGATAGTACACTCGAAGAAATTATTTGGATTTTGGAAGTGAAGCAGGAGGAGATGACAACAATGACATAGATTTTGGAGTGAAAAAGCAATTAAATAAGGAAAGAAAGAATAGTGATTTAGATATCAATGAAACCATTGAATATGACAAATTACCTAAAAATAAGTAAGGCTTATTAAAATTGTTATGTAAAGTAGAAGCAAGTATTGAATCTTAAAAATTAGAATGGTTTAAAGAGTAATGATTACATTCTATTAAAAAATAGATAAAATGAATTACCAACATTGATAAGTTCTGTGCCTGAGAATTCTATACCCATTAATGCTGATGTTATAACATTTAATTTTAAATCCTTGATTGCATCCTAACAAAAGATAGCTGGCAAATTATTTGATGGTATTAGTTTATATAATCAATTCAGCAATTATGATGGATCCTCCTTGGTAATTGTCAACATCTTAACCTTCAAGAGGAGTGGCTATTGCTTATTCATCATTAAAAGATGATTAATTAATGGAATTACCTATTCCATTATTGTAAAAAGAAGGCTTTCTTTTTATTTGGACAATCAATGCCAAATATCGTATTGCTGCCAAAATGATGAAATAATGGGGCTATTAATTAGTAGATGAATTAATATGGGTTAAAAAGACAGTTAATGGTAAAATTGCAAAAGGACATGGTTTCTATTTGTAACATGCTAAAGAGAATTGTTTAATCGGTTATAAAGTAATTTAATTTTATATCCAGGGCACTAACAAATTAAATTATTATTTAAAGAGTGATGTTATTTGGAGTGAAAGAAGAGGTCAATCACAAAAACCTGAAGAAATTTATGAAATTATAAATGCCATGGTTCCAGGAGGTCATTGTTTAGAAATCTTTGGTAGAAGAAACAACCTTAGAAATAATTGGGTAACTATTGGAAATGAATTATGATTTCACATATAATTTTGAGTAATTATCATCTAATTTTATATCTATATTCTTTTTTATATTAAAGTTTTTCAATCATTACATTTATTTTATTATATTTAATTAATGTATAACATCAAAAAACTCATTTATTTATTTCAATCCAGTTTCTATTTTTAATTTATTCTATTCCTAAATTCTTTTTAAAGTACTATTATAATTTCTTATGGAATCTCTTTCAATTCTAATAATTATTCAATATCAATTGGATTTAAATGATCTATCGAAATTTACAGTTAATTCAAAATAGATTCCTTTTTTAATTAAGGACAATATTTGTAAATTGTATATAATAATAAAACTAAATCTTTCCCAAATACTTTATTTATGTCCTCTAAAATATATTAATATTTATCCTCCATCTCTAAACCAATTCTTGCAAATTTATTAAAAATTAAACATCTTTAAGATATTGTTAATTTACTCCAATCCAAAGGAATTTTCTTACTAAATTCAGGTTTATCTGAATGAGACGCTAACTTTATTAATGATTCTAATTAAAAATTTTGTATATCTTACAATATTTGAGAACAAATTTTATCCCAAAATTATTAACTCCCCTTATTATTAATCGAGAATGTTTAAAACAAAGTCACTAAAGATTTCTCATCAGATTTTATTAAATTTATAGCTTAATTCTCTATTCGATTCCATGATGGTTCTTCTACTTTAAATAATTGAGAAAGTATTTGTGATTAAATTGCTATAGATTATAAAGATTACAATTTTTATGTTTATAATATAGTGTAAGCATAATTCCAAAAATCTTCTGTCCCTAAATTCAATTTCTACAATGCCCATAAAACTAATAATAAATCATTTTATTAAAAATCCTTCAACTTATCTTGTATAATATGTATCAAATTTTATTCATTCAAATTTATTGAAAGTTTTTATCTGTGTTTTGCTAATGCATATAAACCATAACATAAAGAAAAATGATCATTATTATTTATTAGTCTTAAAAATGCTTAAGCCAAATGATCCCAATTAACTTTATGAAAGTTTTTAAGGCTTTATAACATTAAACTTAAACTATATAAATCAAATTAATTTAAGTTTTAAGGTATAGAAGATATTATTTCTTCTTGAAGTTTAAGACTCTTTTCTTAAATTTCAGATTTTTCAAATGTTTTATTTTTTAATGCCCACATTGTTTCACTCTAATAATAAGGAGTCAATTCATCAACTTTCATAGTTAGACATTTCATCCATAAATCATCTTCAAGATTTAATTTATAACATAATAAAATTAAATCTGCTTTTTGAATTGAATCTATACTCTACTTTTTAAAGTATTAAGTAAACTCTTCTTTACCAAATTTTTATTTGAATTTTACTGATTTTTTCATTATTTGTATTACTTCATTTGGAACTAAATAATGTAAACTTTTAAGCAAATTTTCTATTTCATTTATTGGAAGAGGTTTATTATAGTATAAAGGTACTTTTTTAGCCTCAATTCTACTTTTTATTGGATTTTGTAATAATCTACTTTATCCAATTTAGACAAACAATTTTGAAAAAAAATAAAATTTTTTCATATTTATATTATTAAATTTGACATATTTATATAAAATTATTAAATTAAATAATTAATCATAATTTTTAGGATTTACGTATAAAAATAAATACATAGAAAAGAGATAAATATAAATGAATGAATATAATAAAAATCTCAAACAATTAAAACTTTACTTTAGTCTTAATTTGTTTGAGAGATAATTTAATTTAATGAATAAATCATATTGGGTGGTCCACATATAAAAATATTCTTTTAATAATCTCCTAAAAAAGGATTAACAAAATCTTAATTAAATTTATTATGAAATGCTGGTATGATTGAATCTAACTTACCATCAGAATATCTTATTTTCATATCAAATAATTTAAAATTATTATTCTTGTTAATTGAATATAATTTTCTAATCCATTCTTTACCAATAAATTCATCTTCATTTTAAAAGGATGCTAATAAAATCAGTTCAAATTCATTATCCAATTAATCAATTTAAGGTGCAAATTATAATATTTAAGTTTATTTAGTTGGATTAGCAATATAATATGATTTAATCAATAAAAGATCTAATAAATCTAAAAATGGTAAAATTCCAGTTCCGCCAACAAAAACAACACATTTAGATTTGCTTTGAAGTTCTAAACCTCTAGAAAAAGGACCTTAAATCCAAAATTAACCTTGGTGATTAAAAATTTAGGGAGTAAGAGCTTTTTTAAAATTGTATTTTTTAATAATTAATGGAATTGTATTTGTTGTCTAATATTATAATATAGGTATTTGTTAAGTTTTGTCTTCACAATAATCAATAATTGAATTTCTAAATTGCTGATATGGTTTAGCCATACACATGATTTTAGTATATATTCTAGTTTTAGGAGCAAATTCAGATAAAGAAATACTAAAATGTTATCCAAAGTCACTTAAATTCTATTTGAGATTTATAGTGAAATCTTTATTTGTGAAATCAAATTACATTATGTTTGTTGATAATTAGATTTTCTGAACTAAGTCCCATGGTGATCCAGGATTTAAATGATGAGCATTTTATATTTATAATGTACCTATATATCGATTTTTAAGTGATTATAAAGCAACTCTACTATGATTATGTTATTTCATTTTGATTGATTCTAGAGCAAAACCACCATTGAAATAACGACTAATTTCTTTACCATTTACATTTACAATAAGGAAATTTCCAGCTGGATGTTAATAATCAGTAACATCATATATATCTTAATCTAATAATATCCATTTAATATCAGGTAATTATTTTATAATCTAATTAGTTGGTTGATTGGTTTCTAGAAGTTTTAGTAATTTTAATTAATTTTCATTAAGTATTTAAGGTTATTCTGGTACAATTTTAGATTATATAAATTTATTTTTAGATTTATAAATTTCTAATACTATTCGAATTATTATCAATAGAGCTGTCCATATGATAGATAAAATCAATAAGATTGAAGATTCATTTTTAATAAATCCTAAAATTATATCAACCTTAGCAGCCAAATACATAAAATTCCCTAAAACAATATGAACAATTCGTATTTTAAATACTCTTTATCTATTTTCTGTATCATTTGATTCTAAATGATGTTTAACAACCATTCCCAAAATATGTTCTACAATTACAAGTAATGTAAGAAGTATTGATATTAAATTATGACCTCCCTAAACTCCATCTCCTTAAATGTTTCCTCCCTTTATACCCATTATAAAAATTAAGATCATTATGATTATTGTAGAAAAGTCAACAATAATAAAGCATATTGCATGAATCCATAAATAACTATTTATAGATTTAAAAAATCTTCCTATTATTATTCCAACATCTGCAAATACTCCCCAAGCTATAAATAATACAATAGCATGTATCACATATAATGTATTCATACCATCATCCAAAATTACTTTTCCAATATAATTATTAACAAATTCAATATCAAAATTATATTATTTATTATGTCCATCAAATTAATTTTAAGTTGACCAAGCTATACAAAATTTGTATGATCTTCCTTCAAAAAGAATTTGATCCTTAGGATCTCCAGTATTCAAATTTCTATTAAATCTAACAGAGTAACCTGTTTCATTTATAACATAAGATTATATTCTAATATCATTACTAGAGTCAATTTCAGGAATAGTATGACCTGTTGCAAATGTATCTCTTATTTTAACACTCTTACCATCTAAATAGATATATATCATATCACAATTGTTCATCTAAGATATTATAAATTATTTTACATTAGGACAAAATCCTAAACCAATCCAATTTTTATTATTAAAATCTATTGCCATATCAAAAGTTCTATTACTATAAATTTACCATCTTAAGAATAAATCATAATCACCTAATTACAATTAACTACTTAAATCTTTATCATTATATTTCACCCCTTATGAGGCTATCTAATTAATTTCACTATTTTTAACAGTCAATATCCTAAATAATTTAGAAGTTATAACACTATTTCCTAATGTTTACTCTATTGAATTTTTTTCTATTTCTTCAATATTATCTCCATATACATATGGGAACTTTATAAATTACATCAAAAATAAGCTTTTGTTTTATGAACATTCAAAATTCTCAAAAATATTACCATCACATTCACATTTATCTTAGATTGAACAATTATAAATATCCTTTTTCTAAGTCTAAACAAATTATTTCTTAAAAATACTTAATTATTGTAAAATCTTAATTTTATTTCTTACGAGGCTTAAGATCTTATTTCAATCTTTAAAAATTGTTCACTTTCTTTATTTTCAAGTTCTTATTCTACTCCAATTGTCTTACATTCTATAACTAAATATAAAACGAAGATAAGGATGTTATAATTTTATATCATATTTAATTTAATCAAACAATTTTCTAAATTCCGAAACTTAAGTACGTCAGTTTGTTACTATAAATAACATATGTAGAAATATCTATTGAAATTATTTTGGAGAAGTAAGAATGGCAATTGAAACATTGAATATAAACTTTTATAAAGAATTAAAAGGGAATTGTGATTGCGATTTTCGTGAATATCAGAAAAAATAAAATTAGATTTTTATATAAATTTATATATTATTTAATAAAATAGTTTATAATAAATTATCATCCCAAACTCTATTTCTTTGCTAAATGTATTTTAGTATAGGAATTATTTCGTTTATTAGGCTTCTTGAAAGGTTGAGGACTAAGAATACTTTTTGAATTTTCTTTTAATTTATCTTTGTTAATATTCTGTTAAGGACTAGTGTATGGTTTGAATGGACAGTTTTATATTTCTTAATTAATTTTATTTTGATTTTTAACTTTATTTGTCTATTGTATTTAATTTAACCATCTTATTTATCTTTCATAAAATTCCTCTTATTTTATAGGAATTTATTGATGGAATGTATGCTTAATTGTCATTTTTTACATAATCTTATCAACACTAGGAACTTATTTATTTGTAAAATAATTTCTAGGACTTGAACGTCCAGAAGATTTGAATCCATTTTATTATTGATTTATTAGATTTAAATCTAATGGCATGAATATTTTAGATTTTTGTCTCTCTTTTTAAGCTTGTAAGAGATTTGAAAAGTTTTAGAAATGTTAATTTAATGGCATTACATTAGTCAATTTAGGTTCATTCTCCTCTTCTCCTATTATAGCATAATCATGTATGAACTGCATACAACAAATATTTTAACAACTATTATTTATATATATATGTATATATAAAATTTTATGTTTTATATTCATTAAGATAGTATTTTTTCAAGTTCTTCAAGATCATCAAATTCATGTTTAAGAGGAAGTTTGTCAAGCCAAGCATCTTACTATTTCTAACTTTTAGAATCTTATTTATTATTAGTATTGTTTAAATTTGTAAAATCCAAAATAGAATGGTTATCATTTTCATCAAGAAGTATAATAGATTCTTCATAAAACTTTCGTCTTTTAGGTTAGTCTAATTGATCTAAGAATTATTCTAATTCATCTATAAAATCTTAATCATTAACTATAGTTTTTTTAATTGGAGGTCCTGGATTATATTTACTCATCAAGTCTAATAGATTTATATAATTTATGCTTTCGTTAATTCTACTTTGATTGACCAAAGAATGAAGTAACAAATTATTTTAAGTTTCATCTTAATCTCCCATAATATATAATATTAATTAATTAAAAATCATCCTTTAACTTTCTTAATTTTTTTTCCCTCCAAACATAAATTTAATCCTACTGAAGCAGGTTTTTCTAACACAGATTTAGCTTTATAGATTCTTTTGAATTTTCCAGTATCACATTTCTTATCATTTTCTCTATCAATAACTACTTTAATTAAATCTTCTGAAACTTCTTTAACTAATTTTTCAGTGACATGCTAAATATAATATTAATTTAAATACAGTAGAATATGAAAAGTCTGGACTACTATTAATTTCGATCAACCAAACATGAAATTTATCATCAATCATAAAATCATAACCCAAAATTTCATGTGAATTTTTTCTTTATTCTACTTAATCTTAAACACTTTATAATGACCAAATGACTGCTTATTCAATTTAAGGTCTTATGATTTCCATAAAATTTACTTAATGAGTTTTCTAATAAGATAACTTCAAATAATAATACCATTAAATAATCACTAAATTATTCTTAATTCCACATATTTCCTTCAATATCTGATTTATAGAAATTTTCTCCTTTCTTTTAAATAGAATTATTTGTCAAATGTGACATTTTATTTTCTAAATCTTTAGGATCATATTCTTCAGCTGTAAAACGAAGATAAGCTTCATCATAAATCCAAACAGTTAAAGGATTCCAATCAGTTATTAAAACCCATTATCTGATGTCCATCTTTTTACCCAAAACTATTAATGGTTTTTCAATATATTTTTAAATAATCCATTAAGCTCCTTTAGATGCAACATGATCTTCAATTTCTACTAAATTTTTATAACATTAGATTCCTCTTCCTCTAGATAAACCAGCTGGTTTAACAATCCAAATATTCTCAACTCCATTTAAATAATATTAAGGAAAACGACTTTTAAATTATTATCTTAAATATTATCAAAAGTTTACAAGATATCAATTATTTATTATGTAAATTCATCTACATCTTCAATTTAATCTTCTTATTCTTTTTCTAATTTACTTTTCTTCTTTTTTTTCAATGGTTTAAGTTCTCCAATTTTAGCCAACCAAGCTTAATGTTTTTTTTATGCTAATGCTTAAACATTTAAATCATCTTTAGAAAGTATATCCCATTCCTTTTATGTGATTACTGCAGTCTATTTTTATTAATCAATAATTTCATTAATATCTTATAACATTTTTCTACAAACTGATAATGCAATAATTGCTTAAGGTTTAATTTTTTCAATTAAATTAGCATCTTTTTTTTTGAATAAATGCAAATACATTTTTAATATAGCTTCAGCCTAAATAAAATGTAAAATTTACTTTAGACAATTTAAATTCTTCTCTAAAATTCTCAAAATCTTCTTCATCTGATAAATCAAATGCTCTTGGATAGAATGTATTTTTATCTACATTATTAAACCAGATCAAATTATTTAAAGATTTACATAATCCTACTTTAGTAGTTAAACATATAATCTTAGCAAAATGATTAACTATTTAAAAGTCTTATAAATTATTATAGTCTATTTCTGAATTGTGTAATGTGAATTTGAAATCAAAACACGGACTTCCAGTATCTGGATTCTTTACCCAACCTCTTTATGATAAAGCTTTTGCTACATCTCCATAACCACCAACAATTATGAACACTTTCACTGCATCATCTATACGTTACTTTTTCTTCCATTATTTCAAGTCTGTAATAAAAGGATATTTTTTCAATTTAACTTTCTAAGTATCCTAATCATCTGATCCACTATCTTATTCTAATAAATCATCTTTAGTAACAAATTATGCTACTTCTGACAATTGATTTAAAACTTTCTATTTTACACTTTATTTTATTATCTCTTATCTCTAAATCATCTCTTCTTTCTTCTATTTTTCTTACATTTATTTTGTCTTAATAGATTCCAAATATCTTTTTATATATTTATTACACTTACTATCTCTATTTCTCTTATATTCTCATCTTTTATTCCAACATTATATCCTCTTTCTTTAAACTCGATTATCTGTTCTTACTTGATTCTGGTGTGTTAATACTTGGTAATGACACTTATTGTTTTATTTCTTTCTACTCCTCTTTCACATATCGAGATTTTAATTTAACTACCAAATCTTATTTTCTCTTCTACGTAATCTCTTTTTCTTCCTATTCTCTCATTTTCTTCTCTCTCAACTATGCAATAATGTCCTTACTTTAAATATACAACCTTACTAAATTACGAGTATGAAAGTCTTTTTTAGTATTTTATTCTTCCATTTAATAATTTAAGTTATATAATATACTAATTCTTTGATTTCTAATTTACATTCATTAAGATCTTAAATTAATTTTATAATATTTCTAACTAACTTTTATAGATACTTATCACATGTATTAATTAGAATAATAACATTTTTTTAAACAATATATGATAAACATTTTATAATTTTTAAGAAAATATGATAAACGAATTTCCAGATATCATTAATTCACAACAATTTCCTATTTCAAATATTAATGGAACATATCAATAACAGAAATAATTGAATAAATATTCATTTGAAAAAAGCGATATTCTAATAATGTTATATAAATATATAATAAGTCTTATTAAGAAGCGATTAATTTAAATTATTTTGATATATTACTAAAATATTTAATCAATACTTGATTCATAAATTAGTTTTCAAATATGCTCTACTATAATTTTATTGTTATTTAAATGTGAGATAATATTTAAATAACTAAAGAGAATATTGAAATGTATTTATATTGATCTAATTATTATGATTTAATAAAGGATGTAGAAGTAAAGAATTAAAATTTTATTTACATTATTTTTTTAATTAACTTGAGTAAAATATAAGTTTTATATATTATTTATATTATTCAATCTAACCGCTGTTTATAATAGTGATATTTTGAATGTATAAACTTGATGTTTGATATGAGATTTAAAAAAGTATTATAGATTAGTGAAATATTATAAAAGTAATATAAAAGAAATTGATTATTGTTTATATTCAGATAAAATTTATTAATACATTTATATCTATTGGATAGAAATTAGCATCAAACATTTGATTGAAATCAGTTGTAATTCAAACATATAGTATGATTAAGATATGAATGGCAAGGTGACTAAAGTGATTTGTAAGATTAGATTAATGAAAATATATTATGTTCTTATTTATCATAATCATGCCTGATTTGTGTATTCTTTTTGAACAACAACTTTGAATTCATCCCAACTTAATGATCCATCTTTATCTTTATCAGCATATTCAACCATTTCTCTTAATTCTTAATCTGTATATCTTTCTGAAACCAAATCGTTTATTCTCTTGAAATCCTCGTAAGTTACTTTACCTTATCCAGAGGAATCAAATTCCTAATATAACTTTTCAAGCACTTATTCATCTTCTATTGTACTATATTAGTATAGATAGATAAAAATACCCTGAAAATCCAAAAATGTTAAGAAATTCTTCGAAATCAATTAAGCTGGATCCATCTTAATCAAGATCTTGAATCATGTTCACTATTTCTTCAGCTGATTATTCCATTCCTAATGCTATGATGGCATTTTTCATTTCATTTGGACTAAATTAAGATACAAATATTACGAAATAGATCCGCTCTTGTCATCATCAAAGATATCAAAGCATTCTTTAATTTTTAATACTTCTTCTTTGCTAAGTCCTGGTTTAACATATTTGGATGCATCAAATCCACTTTGTTGTGGTTGAACAGGTTATTAAACTGGAACAGGAGCTTTACCTTTAGCAGGTGCTGGAGCAGGAGCAGGAGGTTGATTTTTAGATACTTATTACTATGTTGGTTAAGCTGCTGATGTTTATCTGGATTGATTTCTACTCATTTATTTTAAAAATAAAATTAAGGATACACAAACTTATCACTATTATATTATTATTTTAACAATCTTCATACTTTTAGAATCCTTTTATTAACCATTCCTCATTCTTAATTCAATTTCTCTTATCTAATCATTCTATTCTAAACACACAATAATCACCAATATAAGTTTCATCAATTCAATCCAATTAATTAAAAGAATTCTTACTAACTTAAAGAACACAATATTCTAATGTTATTTTTAGTTGTGAAAATATACAAATCATAGTATTTATGTATCATAAAATAAAATAAACATATTAAATTACTTTAGGTTCAAAAATAAAGTATTATGTAATTGAGTAGTTACTTTAATAATTTTATAAAATAAAAACTATTAAATTACATTGTATATGCTTAGATAATTAAGTTTTGCTACTAGATCTTCAGCCTTAGCTATGGTTTAAACAAATTATATAATAAATGAATTTAAATAAGAATGTCATATAATCAAAGTATCTAATGAGATTGGAGATATGAATTTATAATATTATAAAATGCCTACAGTAGGTTTATTTACAAAACAAGTAGAATAGTATTTGTAAGTTTATTAAATTTAATAATAGACTTGAATAAAAGGCAAATGTTGCAGTTCATTCTTTTGAAAGTTTTATCTACAATTACACATAGTGTATTGTATTTAGCTACATATACAAAATTTGAATAAAGAGGAGATGTAGTATTAGCGAATAAGAAATATAATTACAAAGGTTTAAGTGAGTTAGTTACCTGATTGGTTTAATGAGGATACATCATCGCTTAAAAGAATAGCTACAATTAGATAAAGATATCCAAAATAAATATAATAAATAATCGAGGAACAAGAATTTAGAAACTTAATGAAGGATAATATGATGCAATAATTCTAGCCAAGGCAGGAATCTTAAAATTAGGTTTAGCTGATTGATTTAATTTAAAAGAAAAAGAATTCCTATTTGCACCAACATAAGCAGCTTTAGAATTCACTCTAAAAAGGAACCATAGAAAGATTAAGAGTTTTAAATGATGTTGATGCTTAAAAGAGATGTATAGCTGAAAGAATATTCCTTAATTAATTAGAAGAAGATGCTGTTTATAAGTTAAGGTAGAGAAGATGGGATAGTATACATCAAATGAAGAGTTTTAGTTGTTGATGGAACTTAAGTGATTGATGATAGATTATTTCGAAAATTAGAATAGATATTGTGTTAAAAAATTTAAGTTCTAGGAGGAGTTGAATTAATTGATAGCTTAAAATAATAAAAATGAGCTTTTGTATGAAATATAACATATCTAAATATGACTCATTTAAACTTATTAGAATATGGACTTATTTTATTCATTGTAAAGTAATCATTTGCATAGTTTGTTTCTTTGCATAGTTTTCTAGGATAAGTGAATTTTGATGGAGATAGGCTGTGAGAATTCTAATTAGATTTAGTCAATTTATTACAACTGAATGCCATCCTAATTCTTGATTGGAAGTCTATGGAAATTAATATTTCTAACGAGGAGTTCTATTCATTGTATTTAATTTATCAATTATGTCCTCTTATTGATTATAAATATTATATTACTTTCTAAAGGTGGTGAATCATCTGTTATTTAATTGACATCAAATGCTGGTTTTTAAACAGCTCCTGTTTTTTCAAGATGTTTTTATAACATAATGCTATTGTTAGGTTTTTCTTAGATAATGTATACTAATAAATAACTGTTTCATATACGTTTATGTGGATTGATGGTAAAATGTTCATAAACTTTGAGATGTTGATTCTCCTTTCTTACAGCTTCTTACCAAATTTTCATTTCCTGAGATATAATAAAATATAGTTACAGCCACAGGACTTCTGTCTCTCTTGTTGTTTTTTCCAGCATCTTACTTAGCCATTATATATTATTAATAATGAAAAAGATTAATGTTTTTGTAGTTCCTGTTCATGGTACTGTGCTATACCCTTATTAAAATTTAAAACTCAGAATATCAGAATTGTAGTTCTATGATGCAAAAATGAATAATAATTATGTTGCTATAGTACCTGTAATTGGCTAAGAAGTGGATGAAATTCATAAAATTTAGAGATTTAGTCAATATGGTACTTTGGTTCGTCTTACAAGTGAAGATTATGCGTATTTATATATGTAAAATCATATAGTGTCTAAGCTTTTAACAAAATTCATCAAGCTTTTTCATTTGCTAGAATCAAAATAGATTCTATCATAAAATCCACTCCATATTATATGGTTTCAGCAGAAGTTTTAAGCGATGACATTATTGATGAATAAACACTTTGGAATACTTAAATGATTGATAATTTAAAAGATCTAGCTAGAGTAAGAATATTGATAAAAATAGTAATATTTAACATAATTCTAAATGAATCCAAGCCCTTCACTTTTGTAAATTATACCAGAAGAAAAGAATATTAATAAGTTATTTTATATAATTGCCACTAATGCTGATTTATCATATTATTAGAAATTGAAACTCTTATAAACTGATGATCATAAAACTAAAATCAATCTTTTGATATAATATTTGAAAACTAAAGTTGAAGAATTTGCTTAAACAAAAGCTTTGGAATAAAAAGTATAAAAGGATCTAATTCAATAAACGACTAAATAGACTAGTAGAAATAATAGCATTTCAACAAATACACCATCAGGATTACCAAGTTAAAAATTGAAAAATAATGATATTGAAAAATTAAAAGCTAAAATTAAAGATGCTAATCTTCCAGAACATGTTTAAGAGATTGTTGAGTAAGAATTATCAAAAATAGAAAATGCATCTATGGGTGTTGATTCAAATGTAACAAGGAATTATATTGATTTAATACTTTAATTACCATGGAATCAATAGGTAGAGGAATCTTTAAGTATTGAAAAATGCAAAGAAACACTTGATGCTGATCATTTTGGATTAACTAAAGTAAAAGAAAGAATATTATAATTCTTGGCTGTTAAGAAATTAAGAAAAGAAAGAAAAATAGTTGATTCTAATGGTTAAGGTTCAATTATTTGTTTCTTTGGTCCTCCAGGAGTTGGTAAGACATCACTTGGTTAAAGTATTGCTAAATCTTTAGATCGTCCATTTTATAGAATTGCCTTAGGTGGAGTATCAGATGAAGCATAAATTAGAGGACATAGAAGAACATATGTTGGTGCTTTTCCAGGATCCTTTATTTAGGCTATCAAAAAAGTTAAATGTAAAAATCCTGTTATTTTACTCGATGAAATTGATAAATTAACATCTAATCATAGAGGAGATCCTAGTTCTGCTTTATTAGAAGTATTAGATCCTGAATAAAACAGTCATTTTATGGACAATTATCTAAATATTGAATTTGATTTAAGCAGTGTCTTATTTATTGCTACAGCTAATCAATTAGAAACTATTCAACCAGCATTAAGAGATCGTTTAGAATTAATTGAAATAGTTGGATATACTATAAAAGAAAAAGTGGCTATCGCTAATAATTATCTGATACCTAAATAACTATAAAAAAATGGGTTAGTAAATGAACAAGTTACTATTTCTTAAGAGAGTATCCATGGAATGATAAAATAATATACAACTGAAGCAGGTGTAAGATAATTAGAAAGAGTGATAGCAAAAATTTATCGAAATATTGCCCTAAAATATATAACAGATTAATAAAATTTTAAAACAATTGTAATCGATTAAGAAAATTTGATTGAATTTTTAGGTCCATCAATTCATTCAGATAAGTATATAACTCCTGCTATATAAATTCCAGGAGTATGCAAAGGATTAGCATGGACTCCAGCAGGTGGAAAAGTATTGATGATAGAATCTGTTAAAATGGAAGGAAAAGGCAAATTTGAAATAACTGGTATGTTAGGAGATGTAATGAAGGAAAGTATAAGAACAGCTATAGGATGGATAAAAGCATATTGGCCTTAAATAAAAATATTAAGTAAATCAAATTAACAAGTTAATTTTGATACTCTTGATATTCATGTATTCATTTATAATAAATTTTAGATTCATTTTCCTGCTGGGGCAACTCCAAAAGATGGACCATCTGCAGGAGTAGCTATAACAACTGCAATAGTATCTCTACTTACAGGATTAAAAGTGAAAAATGATATAGCTATGACAGGAGAAATTACATTGACAGGGAGAGTGTTACCAGTTGGTGGAATAAAAGAGAAAATTCTTGGGGCTTTTGAGAGTGGAATATTAAGGTTAAAATTGAATTGATTATCTAGTGTCATAATCCCTCATAGGAATAAAGCAAATTTGATTGATGTTGAGCCCGAAATTAAGGAAAAGATGTCTATTCATTTAGTGAAAACTATAGAATAGGTGCTTTAGATTGCATTAGAAGGAAATGGTCCTAATTTCAAAATGATTAATTTAGCTAATTTGTGAAAGCTATTAAATTTAATGCCATTATTAATTATAATAAATATCGTCGAATTTGTAGTCATATATATTTCATCCATTAAGATAAATACGTCATATGTGGTCATATAAAAGTGTGTCACCAAGATGAACAAGCATTTTATAAAATAATGAAACAACTTATTCAAGTATTATCAGCTGTGTTAATAATGGCAGGGATGTTATACTAATTGAGTCCATAAAAGAAAGAATAGAATTTGAGAGATTGGTGCAATAATTTTGATAATGAAAATGGATGTAAAGGATCATAAACAGATAATCCATCTGATTGGTTTAATAGAAACTTTTAAACTCCACCAAAAGAAGATCCTTTATGGCGGTAATATAAAGAAATAATAATTTAGTGAAGGATATTAAGATTATCATATTTTATAAGGTTATGCTTAATAAAAATATAGTTCCGATCTTCGATCCTGCACAGTGTCAATTTATACTAGAGTAAATCCAGAATATCAAGGTTCTTTATTTTATAGTTTTGATGGTGATTTACAAACATCTCCAACTAAATAATTTTCAGCTCCAAGAAGTGAAGTTTAAGTAAAAGCCTACTTGAAAGCTGGAGGTGATATTACAATTGCTTAGTTGGATCTTTAACCTGTAGATTTTGTATGGAATCATCCTACAGTGAATTAATCTAGTCATTTTAAAAATGGATAGAAGGGAGCAGTTGTAGAATTGTTTGGATGGAAATATGAAGATATTGAATAAGAATGTGAGATGATGGCAAAAGCAGGATATTTAGGAGTAAAGGTATTTCCACCTTCAGAATCAATATTGGATTATGAACATCCAGAAAATGGAGAATTGAATCCATGGTATTGGATGTATTAACCAGTATCATATCGTTTAAATTCTCGTATGGGTACAGTAGAATAATTAAGAAAAATGATTAATACTTGTAGATCAAAAGGATTGAGAGTATATGCAGATGCAGTAGTAAATCATATGAGTGGTAATGGTAATGATATGTTCCCATCTCATTGTTATGGTTCTAATTATTGGGGAAATAAGAATAGTTCAGGTGGTTCACCTTGGTATACATAAGGATTTGCTTATTAAAATTGGACATGGTCAAATGCTAGACCAGGTATGGAATTCCCAGCTGTACCATATGGTCCATTAGATTTTCATTGTGCAAGACCTGTTTCATCTTGGAATGATGGATTCATTATGAATTATGGATGGTTAGTTAATTTAGGCGATTTAAATACAGAATCAGATTATGTTAGATAAAGAATTGCTGATTATATAACTGATTTACTTTCAATAGGTATTAGTGGTATAAGAATCGATGCTGCTAAACATATTAGTCCTGAAAATTTAGCATATATCTTTAAAAAATTAGCAAATAATATGGGAGGGAAATTACCAGATGATTTCACTGCATATTTAGAAGTTATTATTGGCGGTGAAAAAGATTTATTAATGTGTAATGAAAATTGGTATAATTATGGAAGATCATTTGATAATTTTATGAAATAAGCAGGATTAAGTGATTCTGATATTTATAAAATAAAAATATGGAGTTCTGATTATCCAAAAGAACATCCTGCTTGTGGTTGGTGGCCAATATCATCTGAAAGATTTGCAGCATAATAAGATTGTCATGATGATTAAAATCCAGGATCATCTAGTAGAGATATGTAAGATAAAGGAAGTGTTTTAATTAAAGAAAGAAATGTTGATAGACATCGTTATTTTAATAAAGAACTATTCTTTAGAACAGATGGTAATTGGTAAATTAAATTGATATTATCATCTTATTCATTTATTGATTCGAATGGAGCATAAGCACCTCCTGATGGTCATTCAGATTGTGCTAGATGTATTGGATCCGCTTGTTCTGGTTGTACTAAATCAGTTCCATATAAAAAAGCACATAATCCTAATGTTTGTGGTTATACTATTTATCAAAATGGTTAATGGTAATAAGGAGAATGTAATTATTTATTTTTATCTATTTAGATACTAGAGTTCATAGAGATAAAGAAATTATTATTGAAATGAGAAGATGGATGGGATTATCTACCTCTGTTTCTAATGCTGAGATTGGATTACCAGATCATTGTTGACTAATTACATTAAATAAAATTAAATAAATTAAAGCAATTCATTATTTAACTTTCTTTTATGGTTTCTCTGCCTCATAAAATTAAGGTATTCTTTTCTCTTCTACATGGCTATCATTTAATGAACCACCTTCATCTTTTATCAGCTCTTAATCATATCTATAAAACTCTTTAATAAATGGTTCAGAGTATATTAAAGTCATACTATTAAAAGGTTAATAAAAGTCTAATTAATTTTTATGAATGACTGTTCTCTATGTAGATGTTCTCGAAAACAGACTCTCATGATCATAAATCAATTTTTGAGGTGTATTTGGACTATGATAATTTGTTATCAAATCTCCTTAACAATTATTACCTATATGTTTTGATATCGTATTTGCTGTTATTTCAATGAGTTTCTATCTCAAATCATCTGATTTTGATCTTAATAAAACCTCATTAAATTTAACCAATATATCATAGTGAATATATTGTAAAGTTGAACTTTTCTTTAGAATTGTTTCATGAATTTGATTTTTTAAGATTTCTAATTAAGTAGATTTAGTAGATATTAAAAATATCATCATTTATATAAGATGATGTTCCAATTCAATTTCAATTTATTATGATTTATCATTCAAATATTCCAATAATAATTCCACTGCTTTCACAAAAACTGTACTCTTTATTGAATTACATCGTACCAACAATGATGATAAATAATAAAGAGAATTGATTTTTTCTGTTTTAGAGAGTGTATTCTATATGATAAATTTAATATATTACAGATCTTATATTCTAAACTAACTATGATAGAAATAACTAATTGATTCTTTGTAAAGAATTAGGCAAAGAACAAAAGTATAAAAATACATAGTGAGCCATTCTGTAATATTGATTCTTTAACATAATCTCTTAGAATACTGATTGCAGTTCTCGGAATATTTTAAATATTAAATCTTCATTTTATTCCATTTGAAAAATACTTTTATTGGCAATTCCTAATTTAGAATCCAAATAATCAAATAAAATAAATAATAAGTGATCCACTTTTTTACACATATCATCTCTGTGTTTTTTGTTTAAATGTTATTACAGAGTAGTTTTAATAATAAAATTATTGTATTAAGGATCGTATTTTATTTCAGAATCAATTTATAAAATTTTTATATAAACCATCTTAAAGATCCGAGAACGAAGTTCAGGAATACGATCACTCAATTTCATACAATTAGTGGCATAAACTCTTTAATGAATTTCACTTTAATTTTTATGCGGGAATAAATCAGAAAGTGTTTCTAACAATTTTTCCTTACTTAATTTATAGATTTAAATGATTTCACAAATAATTTGAATTGCTGCATCAGAATGAATATTACTACTACTTTTTAAATACTTGTCTCTATATATATCATTATATAATCCATCAATTCCTTTGATGTATGAAATGTCTTCATATGAATTATCCTATAAAATTTATTAATCTTTTACCTTTTTAATAATATAGAAACATTTTGATTTGTTTTTGGATGGGAAGTATCCATATCCAATATCTAACATACCTTTTAACTTTTCATCAACTTTTGGATGATGAATCAATATTTCTTTAATAAATTATTTGTGAGATTCTGACAGTTTAACAATCTAATTTTCGGCAGTCAATTAATAGGCTTCAGTCATAACTAAGATTTGCTATTACAAAGCGGCTTTACTAGAGAATGATTAACCCATCACTTCACATGGAATATCATCTCGAGTTTATTCGGAATCAATTAACCTTGAATAGTTAAATAGTGCATGTACATTTGAAGACTCAACTTTTATACCAAAAAACGATAGATAGTAACTAATTACGATGGAGACATAGACAGAATGGTAAATAATATCTTTTTGAATTAAGGTAAGACTTAGAAATGATTGTCAGAAGTGAACCATGGTATTTTATACAATACTATATCGATGACCATTTTGGCATCATTGCCATTACGTTGCAATTAAAGCAACAGCCGATTAAATAATTCAACCCACAAACTTATTTATGGTATGTCTTTATTCTTTCGGCAAACTTCTTCAATGATTTTATTCATTGAATTTGATATTCCCTATTATAATTTATAAGAAACACTACCTTTTATGCATCTGCATATGATTTTTACAAGTAAATGAATAATTGCTCTTCTTTTTTTGCATCCTCAGGTCTCTTTTACATACTTTATTTAATTAATATAATTTAAAAAAAATAAAAATGTTTTATATCATTTAATCTTTCAGCTATTTGATGTTTAAAATCTCACATTTTAAAATAATATTTTTAATCTAAATACTTTTTAACAGTTAGAGTAAATTTAATTCAATGTTGTACTTAAATAGAATTCTATTAATACATTAATATTCAAGCATTAATAACGATATATTTAATATACAAATTCTTTAAAAGAATAAATATAAATTAATATAATGTCTAATTACAGATCACTCAATAAAATGAGTTAAAAATCAACTGAAATTCAATGGGCAGATAAAGTCGTCTGTAAAAATTATCGAATACTCAGTCCTATCAATTCTGGTTCAAATATTGTCTTATCCTATAGGAACCTTTGGCCATCTTTATTTAGCTATTCATTAAGTTAAATTGGAATATTATGCAGTTAAAATATTGTAAACTGGAAAAAACCCTGTTCTTGCTTAATCTGTTAGGCAAGAAGCTGAAGTTCTTTATAAATTAAATGGAAATGTAGGATTTCCAAGATTATATTACTTTATTTAAGATGGCACCAATAGTTTTATTGTGTAAACTTTACTAGGATAAAATTTATACTAACTATTAATGCAAACTCCAAAGAAAGTTTTTTCACTTAAGACTGTCTTAATGTTTCTAGATTAAGCATTAAATCGGTTAGAATTTCTACATTAGAATGACTATATACATAGAGATATTAAACCAGAAAATTTTATGACAGGCTTGAAGGAAGATGAAATATACTTAATTGATTTTGGATTTGCTTAATTATATAAATAATAAGGATAACATATTGAAAAATAAAAAAATGAAAATATGATAGGAACTCCAAGGTATTTCATTGAATAACTTAGACAAGTCTAGATTCTGCCCAATTTGCACACATTTAAATTAATCTCAAAATAGAGCCAGTGATTTAGAAAGTTTAGGATATTTAGCTATTTACTTTTTAAAAGGATTGTTACCTTGGATGAATATAAATGCAGAAACTAAAGAAGAAAAAATTAGACTTATAGGTTAGAAGAAAATTAATACATCAATTGAAGAATTATGGTATCATTTATCTAGTATATCTTAGTTCTGGTTTACCTAAATAATTTGAAGAATATTTTAAATATATCTAAAATATCCCATTTGATGGAGATCCAAATTATGATTACCTTCAAAAATTATTTAAAAAGTTATATCAAATAATGGGCTATCCTTTTGATCAATAATTTGATTGGAATTCTAAATGGGAAGTTAGAAATTCTGACGATAATTTTGATAATCCAAAATAATAATTATTTTTAGAAGTTGGTAGAAAATCTTTTACTGCAGATGTAAATATAGAAGAATTACCATCTTAAATATAAAAAAAGTATATAAATATCATTAATATACTAGAAATATAGAGAGAATTCATGGATTAAAAATTTAAGAAGATTTATTTCTCATTACAGATTTATAATAGGAAGAAATTTAAGAATTTGAACCTGGATATACATTATTTGATAGAATGCAATAAATAAATAAATAATAATTAAAGAAACAAAAAAATGAATTAAAATTTTATTAAATTTTATGAAAACTTATATATTCATTCATTTTTAATAATCGGATATTATTTACATAAATGTATACACACTACAACCTAAAATTTACATATTTAATTCATATAAAAATGAAAAAATTTATAGAGAATTTATCAATTTCACGCATACAAAAATAACTAAATAACTGGAAACTAAATTAATCAAAAAAAACTTACATTTCTAATTTTAGAATAAAATCTTATATACCAAGATTCTTTAATTTTAAGAGTTTAATTGTTTCTATTTCAATAAAAGAAGAATCAACTAAGATTGCCAAAATAATAATGGTTTTATCAATAATTTGATAAGATAAAGAAATAAAAATAATAAATTTAAAATTGCAATAATTTTAAATAGCAATTGATTGCTTAATATACAATTCCATTTGATCAATATATGACTAATTCATCAGAATGTAGCAAAATGAAGTTAATTTCTTATATCAATTTTAAATCAGAAAACCATGATTTTGGATCATTTAAATTACTTTTTTATGCCATTATTTAAAATTTTTGATGATATATTGTGGATAATTCATTCTTGAATAATAAACTCAACTGAAATAAAAAATGATTGTATACATCAAAAGCTAGATAAATTGAAAGAGCAATGCTTATAACAATGTTAATAATCAATTTCATTTATAATTTTTTTATAAATCAAACAAAAATAATTTTTAAGTTTATTTTATTCAAACACATATGCATTTAAAATTAATTCTTATTAATCAATTTAATCTTCTTTACTTGAGAATGATCTATTTATTTCAATATATATACCTAGATATAGAGTATTAAAGTTTCATGAACAATCTTAATTTCATGAGTGATTAAATGAGGAAATTTAATAAACATATTAATTATTTTGGGATGTATATTAGATTGAAGTTTGATTTTATAAAAATTGATTCTAAAATGAATTTTTCTAATAAATGAAATTTAATAATTTTTCCAACTGAATTTATGTTTAATGAATTTTAAAGATAATTATTATGATTTACTAAGAACTAAATTAAGAATTATTTTAAATATTGATTTGATTATATAAAACTAGGTAGAAATGAAAGACAATAAATGTTTATAAATGTTGTTTGATTATAATTAAAATATATTGATTAGATTGTTTCTTGTAATAGATTTGATGTTAATGAAAAAGTTAATAGAAAATATATATAGTTTAAAGTTAAAAATGAATTTCTAGAAGATATTAAGTAATTTTGTGATTGTATTTTAATTCCTATTATAAAGATAACAAAAGCATAATTAATATTATTTTATAAGTGTAAATCAGATGTAAAGTAAATAAATTATTGTTATGGCTTAGACTATAGATTGATAACCAAGAAAGGAGAAGGTACTTTTTCGGAGGTCATAAAAGCATANAATAAAAGAAGAATCAACTAAGATTGCCAAAATAATAATGGTTTTATCAATAATTTGATAAGATAAAGAAATAAAAATAATAAATTTAAAATTGCAATAATTTTAAATAGCAATTGATTGCTTAATATACAATTCCATTTGATCAATATATGACTAATTCATCAGAATGTAGCAAAATGAAGTTAATTTCTTATATCAATTTTAAATCAGAAAACCATGATTTTGGATCATTTAAATTACTTTTTTATGCCATTATTTAAAATTTTTGATGATATATTGTGGATAATTCATTCTTGAATAATAAACTCAACTGAAATAAAAAATGATTGTATACATCAAAAGCTAGATAAATTGAAAGAGCAATGCTTATAACAATGTTAATAATCAATTTCATTTATAATTTTTTTATAAATCAAACAAAAATAATTTTTAAGTTTATTTTATTCAAACACATATGCATTTAAAATTAATTCTTATTAATCAATTTAATCTTCTTTACTTGAGAATGATCTATTTATTTCAATATATATACCTAGATATAGAGTATTAAAGTTTCATGAACAATCTTAATTTCATGAGTGATTAAATGAGGAAATTTAATAAACATATTAATTATTTTGGGATGTATATTAGATTGAAGTTTGATTTTATAAAAATTGATTCTAAAATGAATTTTTCTAATAAATGAAATTTAATAATTTTTCCAACTGAATTTATGTTTAATGAATTTTAAAGATAATTATTATGATTTACTAAGAACTAAATTAAGAATTATTTTAAATATTGATTTGATTATATAAAACTAGGTAGAAATGAAAGACAATAAATGTTTATAAATGTTGTTTGATTATAATTAAAATATATTGATTAGATTGTTTCTTGTAATAGATTTGATGTTAATGAAAAAGTTAATAGAAAATATATATAGTTTAAAGTTAAAAATGAATTTCTAGAAGATATTAAGTAATTTTGTGATTGTATTTTAATTCCTATTATAAAGATAACAAAAGCATAATTAATATTATTTTATAAGTGTAAATCAGATGTAAAGTAAATAAATTATTGTTATGGCTTAGACTATAGATTGATAACCAAGAAAGGAGAAGGTACTTTTTCGGAGGTCATAAAAGCATAATCAATAAAAACAAATTAATTGGTTGCAATAAAATGTATGAAGCAAGTTTTCTAAACAATTGATTAAGTATTGTATTTTAATTCTAATATTGGTTAACAAACTGAAAGAAATTCAAGCATTGAGAAAGTTATAAAATCATGAACACATAATTAAATTAATAGAAGTATTATAGTAAAATATCATTCATAATAATTAGTGATGAACCTACTGGTAGATTGGCTTTGGTATTTGAGTTGATGGAATAAAATCTGTATGAACATATAAAAGGTGAGAGTAAAGAATACTTATAATTAGGAAAAAAAATGCCATTAAAATAAGAGAAGATTAGGAGTTATACGTATCAATTACTCAAAGCAATAGATTTTATGCATTCTAATAATATTTTTCATAGAGACATAAAACCGTAAGATTTGAATTAATTTGTTTTAGTGAAAATATCTTATTACTTGGAGATCATCTTAAATTAGCTGATTTGGGTTCATGTAAAGGAATATATTCAAAACATCCATATACAGAATATATATCAACAAGATGGTATAGATCTCCAGAATGTTTGATGACTGATGGTTATTACGATAGTAAAATGGATATATGGGGAGCGGGTTGTGTTTTATTTGAAATTACAGCATTATTTCCTTTATTTCCTGGAAGTAATGAATTAGATCAAGTACATCGTATACATAACATTTTGGGAACACCTAATCCTAAAGTCCTTGATCGTTTTAGAAAACATGCTACACATATGGAAATTAATTTCCCATATAAAGTAGGAACTGGATTAGACAATTTAATACCTCATGCACCTAAAGATCTTGTAGATTTAATTAAACAAATGCTTGTTTATGATCCAGAAGAAAGAATTAATGCTAAATAGGCTCTTAGACATCCTTACTTTAAAGAATTAAGAGATTAAGAATAATAAAAATTATTAGAAACAAGTTTATAATCTATCAAACTATTAAAAAAAAAGTATTAATTTACATTTTTATAAGTGATGATTCCCTCATGGAAGAAGAATAAAATACTTCCCATATACTTCATAAAAAGACTTTATTCAATTAAACCAATAAAATCTTATAAAATTCTTTTAAAAATAAGAATCTACATCTCTTAGATTCTGTTAAATTGCCAACTTTAACAAAAAAATAAGCAGATTTAAAAAAAGCATATGGATAAGCACATTTCTAAAGTAATCCTTTCAATTTTTATTATTAGCTACAAAGAAAAAGTCTATTTAATATGAATACATTCTATATGGTAAAAAGGCAAACTTAGGTAATTTTCTAAATACTCTCAGGCATAAATGAACATTACATTCTGATTTATTTTTTTAAATTTTAATATATTAGACCTAATTTTTTTATGTTCTGTTAATGTTATCTTATATATTTATATAATATTCTTCTTATTAACTAATAAAAATTAAAATACATTATATTTAATCTTTAATCTCATAATTAACATATTTAATATATAAATAGCTTTTCATGATGAAACTTCTATTAAATTATATTTCAATTTTCAATTGAAAGATTTATCAATTTTACTAATGGTATTAATTATAGTTAATTTTTTTTGTTAAGAGATTACCTTCATTTGAAATATTATTATTTTCGTATCCCTAAATTATAAAAAATAAAATAAATAACAAAAATCAAAACTGAAGTTCCTAATATTTAGTAATGATGAAAGATGGGCATTGAACCTGATCTTTTTAATATTGTTTTTATAATATTGTAGTAAATTATGTATTTTGATTTTAGCCTTTCAAAAACTCAATCAGCTTTTATCTTCTAGTATATTTTGGATCCGGAGATTTATTTATATTTTGTTATTTTTAAGGGCTGTTTTTAATAAATTTGATGAGTTATATTTCATCATTAGTTAAATTAATATATTTATTAGAATTGATATAAATACTTAAATTGTTGAATTTTTTGTTAAATCTTTTTTTATTTCTAATGCTTTTATCTGGCAATAAATGATCAAGTGTATTTATTTCATGTGAGATAGGTTCAATGACAAGAGATTTTCTATTTGTAATAGTAGGCAAGAGAGATTATTAAATAATAGAACGATTCCTTCTCGGATTGTTATTAATATGTTAATATAATTCATTATTTTCAATAGAGTTTCTATATCTACAATTTTAACCATTTAATGCTTCAGGTAGACCAATAGTATTTAAGAATTATTTGAATTTGATTACAGGTTTGAATTTAGGTTTAGATCTTTAATTAGTTAACATTTATTTATTTATTATATACTTAACATATTATTGATCAACGTGCTGAGATCACCAAATCGTCAATTTTTAAAATCATTCTAACACATTCTGTAGCTAAACTTAAAGCACTTCTGGTGACTAAAATAGGTTAAACAACTTATTCTGTTGTAATATCATCAACAATATTATTCTAAGATAATAAATAGAATTACTTTTTTCATTCCAATTCCTGCAAACTTTTATGATTTGAGATGTCTATTCCTTAATTCTGTTACAACATTAATTGGATTCAAACCTAAAAAATATGAGAACATAAATATACCTGCATTTTCAGCAAGAGTATATGGAATGACTTCTAAAGCATCAGCAAAAGCTCTTACACACATAGATTTAGCTCCTGTTAATGTATTAGCCATTTATGTTAATCTTAACGATAAATGAATTTCTGGAGCTCCTCCTCCTGGAATCAATCCTTTACTCTTTACTAAACTTCTAACAACACATAAAGCATCATGAATGCTTCTATCAGCTTCATCTAAGACCAGTTAATTTGATCCTCTAACCAATATAGTTAAAGCTTTTGATGAGGCTGGAACTTCAGTAATTCTTAAAACTTTGCTTTCATCATTTAAATGAACAGTCTCTACTAATCCAGCTGTACCCAATTTTTCAGGTGTTAATTAATCAATATGAGCAACAGGTACCAAACATAAAGTCTATTTTAATAAATAATATATATACTTTAGAAATAAATTCAACATCCTCTCTCTCAATATCTTTAACAACCATTATACCTTTCTTAGCCAAAAAGTGTAAAGATAAATCATTAACAGCATCTCTTAAAATACTTTTTTAAATTAATAAAACATTAGCACCAGAAGCAACAATCTTCTTGACTAAATCTATAATGTATTTTCTTTCCTCTTTCAATATTTTATCCATTTCAGTATAATCTTTTATAGCGATTGAATTTTCAACATCAGTCTTAGGCGCAGATAAACAGAATTATAAAAGAGCAACTTTAGCATTCTTTATTTATTATGGTCCTCCAGCAGCTTAACTAGCCTTTTAATTTGAAAAGACAATCCCTTCAACTAACTCTGTGTCATCAATTGTTCCTCCTAATTTCTTGACTATCTTAATATCCTTTAAATCAACATTATTAGGTTTCTCAGGGTCAACAATTCTTAATACAGCATCTACTGCTAATGGAGCCAATTAGGCACTATTAGAAGATACAACTTTTGATGAAAGTGCTGTCTATACACACTCAATTAATTATTATTTGTTCTCTAAATCAACTGGTTTTTTTAATTCATCCAATGCAGTCAATGCATACTCCAAAGCAAATTAAAATCCCTCCGAAATTGTTGTTGGATGAATTCCCTTCTCTAATAGTACCTCGCATGATTTCAACAAAGCACCTGCAAAAACAACCACAGAAGTTGTACCATCACCTGCTTCAACATCTTAGGCATTTGAAATTTCGACCAACTTTGAATATTAATAATATATTCATACCATTTTAGCTGTTGGATGAACTAAATCCATTTGCTTTAAGATTGTAGCACCATCATTAGTTATTAAGACTTAACCCTTAGCATCTTAAATCATCTTATCCATTCCTCTTGGACCCAAACTTGTTCTAATAGCATCTGCCACAGCTAATCAAAACTCTTTATTTAAGTTACCTTTTGCTGCTTGAATATTGGTCAATCGAATATCCTTTGTTTTTTCAGATTTATTGAATGTACTAGCCTTCTGCGCTTATTATTATCCTGCTTATGGTGCTTGACTCATATTAAAAAAATTAATTTCTTTTATTTAATTTCTGGAAATTAATGTACATATATATTTATACACTTTTTATTTAACTCAAACTCTATTTGGATAAAGGAATACTCTCAAAGTTGATCCAATTGCTCTTGCTGGAAGATTTCTATTGAATCGAGCAATTACTATTCCATTTGATCCATGAGATCTACTCACTCTACCCCAAATTGTCTTCATATTAACTCATAATCTTTACTCTAAACTTTGTATTATTTTTTAAAGAGTGAGCCTTATATATGTAAGCAACTCTTTTGCCCCAATAGAATCTGCTTGATGATACATCATCCACATGTTAAATTTTTAATAAAGCTTAATTCTCATTTTATTAAACCTTTGATCTTCTAAAACCTGTAAATACAGCCTTAACCCATAATCTTTCACTTAAATTTAAATTTATTACCTAACTGGTGCTTTTTTATTCACTTTTATTTTCTTCACTGTTTTTGGGGTTTCTTTCTATTATTATTCACTCTTCATTTATTAAAATCTTTATAATTTTAATTTTAACAAAATAACCACTTTCAAATACCCTCTAAGTATGCAATAAAAAATGATCAAAATTAATCATCATATACTTAAGAAAACTTATTATGTTTTTTTAATGGTAAATGCATATTTAACAAGACTTAATTTATTTTTTATTTTATAACTTGGAAAGAAATTAAAAATTAACTAAATTATTTAATGAAGATTAAGAATTGAATGAATGTATGATATAAATCTGGTGATTGTGTTAAGAAACAAATTTATGAATAAAAAATGAAAACTAAGAATTATTATTAGTTTTTTTCTCTAAATTAGTTGATTCCTCAGTTAAGAATTGAATAGATAATTAAATATATTTGAAATTTCTTATGGTTATAATTTTCATTTTGTACTCTGAAATATGATAATTTTTGTGAGTCTATCTTAATTCTTTAAGCTTGATATCTTATAATAAGTTTTAGATAAGTAAAGTCTATATTAAGTTTGTATCTACAATAATGCTTACTCCAAAACAATTTCAGTATATTGAGGTTTTATATTATAAATAATAATGATTCAAGCATTATCTAAAATTGATCCAATTTAATAGTATTACATTAATGATCATTATGTTCATTCCATATCAGTAAAAGAATTTAGAACAAATCAATCATATTCACCTAAAGCTTTAATTTAAGGTTATTGGAAGAAAGATTATTAAACACTCATGACACTTAATTGTTCAAATGAAGAATAATAAAGAATTAGTTTACCTTAAATAAGTGCAAAATCTTATTAAACAAGTGAAACAAAAATTGAAAAAGAATCATTTGAGACTTCTAATAGTTTTAGCAAGAATATTTGTGCTGATCTTATTTTATAAAAATATAAAATAAAACCAACAAATGGCAATGATTAATAATAAAGAAAAGAAAAGGAATATTTTAAACTACCTGGTAAACTAATTAAAGGTAGTTTTTAACATAATAAAAATATTGAGACCAGAGTTTATAAAAAATATAACAACGAATTATCAATAGAACGTTTAGATATAAAGTAATAATTGACTCCAAAACCTACAGTTTAATCTACTCCTCCTAGTAATAACTCATTAGATAGTTAAATCAATTAACTTAAGCCCATTTTCGATATATCAAAAACTATTAAAATTTAATTAAATAAGACATTAACTCCTAATCCTAAACTCATTCAAGAATAAATTATTAGAAAAGAATACCTTAATAAAGTGTAATTGAAACCTTTGCTTATTAGAACTTTTAATCAATAAATTACTAATTTGGCTATAATATAATTTGATGAATTATTAGGATTTTGGGAAGGAAGCTATTATGGATTATAATTTGATTTTGTAGAAAGTGAACTCTTTTTTGAATATTAAAATACAAAAGAACATTATTTCTAAAAATTATTGCATAATTAACAAATTTATGCTTTAAAAAATTTAAAAGAAGCACTATTTTCTTTATCAAAAATGTATTAAATAATCCTAATTACAGAAAATATGTAAAAATAATTAGTCGAATATGTAAACTTAAATAAATTACCGATTAGTGCCATTTATTAAATGAAATCATTAAATGTAGCATTTATTGGAATTAAAACAATAGATTGTTATTAAATTTTAGAAGATTTATAAATTAAAAAATTCAATAAAATTGTCTTAATTTAAACATATGAATTATTATATAAATCAAATGATGTAATTTCATAAATATAGGAGTAAAATATTATATACCCTTATGAGAATGATACTCGTTTTGATGATTTTTTTTTATTACTTTTACCAAGTTTATGCATGTAAAGTCTACTAAAAAATGAATAAAATCACTCAAAATTATTCTTACATTCTCTCTACTTTATTGAACAATTTTGTTAATCTATATTAGTTGATAATATTAAGGATCGTTGTGCATAAAAAATACGTTAATTATTATTATAAGAACATTATAAAGATTTATTAGAAAGAATCTAAATCAAAATCTAAAATATTGATTAATTAAAATAATAACCTCTAATATAATAGTAGAGATATTCAAAAAAGGAGATGATTGCAAGAATATCAGAAAAATTTGAAAATCAATAAAAACTATAAGAATTATCATAAGATCTAGTTTTAAGAAATAAATAAATTATAAAAAGAATAAGTAGATATAAATAGGAGTCTTTGAATATACTTTAAATTGTGAAAGATTAACTTACAAAAGAACATGAATTACTAAATTATTGTTAAAAATTACTTGATAATTGTTATTATATTATATTTTGAAAGATATACACAGACTCATTATTTTATTTGAAATGCTCTATATTTGTATTAAAAATTAAAAATTTCTTTTAATCATCATATTAATTTACAAGAAGCATTTTTATTAGAACTAATTATTGTTGAAAATATTAATTTATAATTATTCTTAAAAATATTGCTCTTACTAAACTTTAACTAATGATTAATCAATTTTAATCAACTATATTATTCCATCAAAATAAATATATTTGTTTTGTAGTTTAGAAATGAAATACAAAAACTCATCAAATTAATATTTTGGAATTATTGCATAAATATAATTTATTAGTTATTTAAAACAGCAAGTTTTTCGTATGAATAGTTAAGAAACCGTAGATTAGATTTATTAATTTGTTTTTTAGATTGCTCTAAATTAAATTTAATAATAATTGTAAATTATCTAAACATAATTTCATAAATTTAGTCTGTCTTTTTTTATTTTATCTGAATTAGTGAAAATTAACTAATAAATCTATTGATAAAAAGTGAAGAAAATAAAATAGATTATTAAAAGTAGTTTTTAATACAATCAGGAATATATGATAAATAATCAATTAATAAATAAATGAACAGAATGAAATAGCTTGATCTATAATAAATTTTTTGTATAAAACATTTTAAATTTCATTTTGAATTTGATACCTTTCTTTTAATAAGAATGACCATTCCTAATGCTCCAACTAATAAGAGAATAACAATGATGAAAAATGCTAAAGCCCAACCTGGAGTTTCATTTTGGATCTGAATAAATGAATTATATCATAATTATACAGGGATTTCATCATCATTAGGAATTCCACATTCTTTTTTATAATCTACTTATTATGCCATGAAAATGGAATGTAAAGTTGAATATTTGCAAGTCTAACCCTCATCTGAACAAAGTGGCATATATTGGCCATTATATAATACTTTAACATATGGTCCTGTGATTGAGTTATTATAGAGTTCAAAAATGAGATTAGAAGCGAATTCAACATACTAACAAATCAATTATTTTGTAATACTTAAGTAATACAATTTTTATGGGTTACATTTTTATTTAAATAAATATCAGCTTGGCATTAAGCACTTGTTAAATTTAAACCAGATAATAAAGCTAAAATTGTAGAATCATGAGATGAAGATCCATAGTATTTAAAATGTGAAGTTCCATTCAGAATGCTATCAAAATGATCTATAACTTATTTAAAGTAGGGAGTTGAATAAAGTTTAACTTATCTATAAAATAATTGAAATGATTTACAATGGTGTTTAAAATTTCTCAAGACTAAAAGCTAAATTGGCAACATCATCAATTTATTTTAATGTTTCTGTTGTTAAGTTTGGCATTTCATCACCATTGTACCTATTGCAAATAAAGGTATCTCTATAATTAGAGAGAACTACAAAATCATTAACTTGTTCTTCTCCTTTTAAATTTAGTTATTCATTAAAATCTTTATATAATTTAGCAGTGGCATCATTGACTTCTTTATATAAATCTGATTTTTAATTTTCAGCAGTCATATTAACACCCTTAGGACATGAAATAGCTACAGCATAATCCAGACTTTTTTATTTAGTATGGATAGGTATCAATTAGATTTTGTTAGGTAAAGCATAATCTTTAATATCTTTAGGAACAATAGCTCCATTATTTGGTGGTAAAAGCAATGAAGTATTTTCACCTTCAAAATGAGGAACAACAGGTCCTTCTGGATACATTCCTTATAAATTACAATAGGCACTTTATAAAGTCCTAGTTATTTTTCATTCTATGTATACCTATTAACATCTGAGCTTTCAATGTATATTTCATTTTCATTAAAAGTAGGTGATAAAAGTGGAATATCTAAGATGTATCTTTATCTAAGCCATTTTCCTAATACATATTATTATCTCATTCCTGTAGGTGTTAATAATGCTGCATCTCCTTTTGGTACATTTAAATCACATTTAAAATTACAATAGTAAGGATTTCTTGCTCCATGTCTCCAAATTGCTTATACAGCCAATAATTTATCTTAAGCGAACACTAGCCATAAGCTTAAAATGAAAATGAGAATTTATTTCATTTATTAAATATTGATATATGGAAATGAGTTGCATGATGAAATCTATAATATATTGTAATATTCGTATTATTAAGTTAATCATTATAACTTTTTAAATATATCTAGATAAATTAATTCTTCCATTTTATTCTTCAATCTCGACTCTAAATTTATTTTTTATTTTAGATATGTGATTTATTGGTTACCCTTTAATAACATTAACTAATACCAAATATTAAATTAAAAATTATCTTAAATCTCCTGGTTTTTAGAAAAAGTAAACAAAACTATAAATTACAATTCTAAGTAATTATTATTTCCTGATATCAAGCAATCTACAGCTTAGAGGAGAATTTTAAGAAGAAACTTAATCTANAAATTGGCAACATCATCAATTTATTTTAATGTTTCTGTTGTTAAGTTTGGCATTTCATCACCATTGTACCTATTGCAAATAAAGGTATCTCTATAATTAGAGAGAACTACAAAATCATTAACTTGTTCTTCTCCTTTTAAATTTAGTTATTCATTAAAATCTTTATATAATTTAGCAGTGGCATCATTGACTTCTTTATATAAATCTGATTTTTAATTTTCAGCAGTCATATTAACACCCTTAGGACATGAAATAGCTACAGCATAATCCAGACTTTTTTATTTAGTATGGATAGGTATCAATTAGATTTTGTTAGGTAAAGCATAATCTTTAATATCTTTAGGAACAATAGCTCCATTATTTGGTGGTAAAAGCAATGAAGTATTTTCACCTTCAAAATGAGGAACAACAGGTCCTTCTGGATACATTCCTTATAAATTACAATAGGCACTTTATAAAGTCCTAGTTATTTTTCATTCTATGTATACCTATTAACATCTGAGCTTTCAATGTATATTTCATTTTCATTAAAAGTAGGTGATAAAAGTGGAATATCTAAGATGTATCTTTATCTAAGCCATTTTCCTAATACATATTATTATCTCATTCCTGTAGGTGTTAATAATGCTGCATCTCCTTTTGGTACATTTAAATCACATTTAAAATTACAATAGTAAGGATTTCTTGCTCCATGTCTCCAAATTGCTTATACAGCCAATAATTTATCTTAAGCGAACACTAGCCATAAGCTTAAAATGAAAATGAGAATTTATTTCATTTATTAAATATTGATATATGGAAATGAGTTGCATGATGAAATCTATAATATATTGTAATATTCGTATTATTAAGTTAATCATTATAACTTTTTAAATATATCTAGATAAATTAATTCTTCCATTTTATTCTTCAATCTCGACTCTAAATTTATTTTTTATTTTAGATATGTGATTTATTGGTTACCCTTTAATAACATTAACTAATACCAAATATTAAATTAAAAATTATCTTAAATCTCCTGGTTTTTAGAAAAAGTAAACAAAACTATAAATTACAATTCTAAGTAATTATTATTTCCTGATATCAAGCAATCTACAGCTTAGAGGAGAATTTTAAGAAGAAACTTAATCTACAGTTAATGTAATAAATGATAATTTTGTAGATTGAATATGTATATAAATAACTTGTTATAAATAATAAAATCATTAAAGCATAATTATGGAATACAGCTGGATAAGTAATTATTAGTTTTATTACATCAGGTTTGTTTAAGAGCTATCATCTGAGCTTATTACAAAGGAGCATCACGAATTATGATTGTCTTCGATAAAACCAAGTAATCTACATTTGGTAATGTTGATCAAAGGATAGCAATTATTTTGGAATAACTAGGTCTTAGACCAATTTTTAATTGCTTTCTATAGTCTAAAATTAAAAGAAGTATCAAATCAAAAAATCTAATTTTATAATTATAGATTTTTTTATTATGTATCTAATAAAGGCAAATCAATTAATATATTAGACAAGACATCATTATCTAGTAAAAAACTAACAAAAAGTAGTCTAAGGAATAGGAATAGAGTTTCGGTTTTTTAGTAAAAATTGGAAAATTCAATAAAAATGCTAAAACAATTATGATATTCTCTGTAAGCGTATTTTGTTCCAACCAATTGCTATTATAAACCATCTGGATACCTATTATAATATTTATTTTTCCTAATTTTTTAAATTTAGTCAACATTCCTGATTTTGGTACGTTCAAATAACAATTAGGAGTTTAGAAAGATTAATTAATTAAATTTAATCAAAATGTAGAATAAAAACGTAATGAATGTATTTAAGATCCAACAAAAAAAAGGATGAGTAATTAAAAAATAGTTAGCAAAAAATAATTATAATTTTATATCATTTTACCGTATATTTGGGAATTAATTTTAGTTTATCATATGATTGAAATTTTAGATATTTATTGATGATAAACTATAAATAGTCTATTTCAAAAAGTTTTGCAACAACAACCTTCATCTTATTGGTTTTTTTAATCTTTTTATTTTGGAACTTAAATTAACGATTATTTATATTCGTATCCTAGTCTTATAGCATCTTCAAATAAATCTTTCAATCCTTCTTAAGTTAATGCTGAACATTCTTTATAAGTTATGTTTTATTTTTTTAATTCATTTTATACCTAAACAAATTAAGTTGGCTCTTACTTCTTCAAATTATAAATGATTTTCATTTGTTTCATTTCTACAATCAATCTTATTACCCACAATAAGTTTTGGTATATTTTTTAAGTTTTCAACATTCAATTCTGGATACCACTTGGATTTTGCATTTTCAAATGAAGATTTATCGATGACAGAAAACACAATTAAAAATACATCACTCTATTAGTATGAAAGTGTTCTTATTCTATCATAAGTTTCTTGACCAGCAGTATCCCAGAGGCTCAAATTTATTTACTTACCATTAATATTAACAGATGTAATGTAATTCTCAAAAACTGTGGGGACATACTCAGTTGGAAATTTATCAGTTGTGTAACTATAATCCAATTAATAATTACCTCAACAGTATACAGGTCTTACCAACATTGCCATCCCCAATGACAACTAGTTAAATTTTTTATTGTTCTTCACTCGAATCCATAATAAGTGAATATAGAATATTTTTAATAATCATTAGATTAAATCAATTTCTATTAAGCCAGAACACGAACCCAAAATTTGAAAATCTAATTTATATAGAATACTTTTACTCTAACTTTATTAAATAGGTTGAGCATAAATTCTTTAAGCTTCTAAATTTGTCTTAAGATTCCCTTATTCAATTCTATCAGCCTCAACAATTTATTATCCTCTTCTTTTAATGACTGGCCTCATTCCTACGACTTCATACATAATAGCCAAATTATTATTATCTTTATTTTTGTATTTTTTATCATTTGTAATTCTTAATGATCTATTATCTAAGATAAGTTTAAAAGTACCTGATCTTTAAAGAATCATAACAAAATCTTTGACTATGGTATAGAAATAATATTCAATAAAATTCCAAATAATGGCTGTGATGATTAACGCAACAAATATATCAATAACGCAATAATTTTTTTTAGCTTCTTCTTAATCCTAAATATTAGATTTATTACATCTTTAAAGATTAGAGTACAATTAATAATAGGAGCAATCAACCTATCAAGAGTATTGAAAAAAACAAAGAGTAATTTGAATTTTCGATAAACATAAATAGGTTTTTTGTTATTTTATTTAAGTGCTCTCATATTAATGTAAAGTGCTAGAGAGGATTAGAGTACAATTAGAATAATATCTAAAATAGTAATGACTAGAGAAAAGGATGATTCCCTTTGGAACATAAAAGCACATGTTACGGTTCCTAAAAATGATAAATAAAAGAACCCCAAATGATTCTGCTAATATCCAGATACACAATCAAAAGGAAAGCTTTTTCTGTAGGCAGACAACAACATTTGTTTTACATAAGTTGTTTTTTGTTTGAGAAATAAATTATTAATTAAGAATAATTTATATGCTTTTGATATATTTGTAATAGATCATGCTCCTTTGAGTTATGATTTAACATAGTCTTGGAATCTTGGTTGATTGAGCAAATCTAAAGCTTAATTGGCAGCATTAATTTCCTTATTGTATTCAGCAACAGTTGCATTGTAAACATCAGTGGCAAAGGCATAGTCATCATTTTCAGCTTACAATTATCCATTAAGGGTAGCCAAATCAGCATCAAGTTCATCAATTAAATCAAGAGTTTATTCTTATTTGGCTATAAATTGTTAGATTAGAATATATACTTGTGTTAGCTTCAATTTCAGCATTCTTAACAACAACAGCTCTTTAGAATTCAGCATGTTCTTAGTTCAATTATATAACTTAAGCATTGAATTCAGCAACTTAATCAGCTTCATCAGCAGTGATTTAATTGAGTGAATCAACTAATTCAACTCTCAAATTATTGAAAGCAACAACAATCTAAAATATATACATTAAATATTACATCTCTAAGAGCACCTTAGTCAGCAAAGTTAGAATCAACTGTGATTTCCAATAAAACTTTAACAAAGATTTGGAATTAGTTGTGCTTTTTCAAAGAGTTTTAGATTTTAGTCAAATTCTTTTAGACCTTCTTGATTTAAGCAAGAGATGGTGCTTCTAATGTGCTCAATAATTATAAGCATTCGTCAATAGCAGAAATAGCATCATTATGTTCAACAACTTAAGCTTCGAATGTTTCATGATCATTGGCTCTTTAGACTGTAGCTTATTCAAGTGTTTATCTATTTTAAGCGATGTTTTCTTATAATTATTCAAGTTAGGCAGCAAATCTTTCTCCTTATGGGATGAGGACGTTGTCATAGAAATCGTGAGCATTGAACAATTCTAATTAAATATTAAAACTTATTATTTACCTCTCTCTTTATCTTAGATTTCTTATTCGAGTCTGGCAACTTCTCTATTGTGGACATCTGTTCTTCTGTTGAATTCATGATGAACTCCAGCCAATTCCTCTTCCAATTCACCAATCTATTAAAATAATAACTCTTTATATGTACAAGTTTCTCAATCTCAGAGTTGAGCTCAGAAAGGATACCTCCTGTTGTTAAATGGAGTTCAGCAAAGTTCAAGATGAATTTACCCCAACCAGATTAGTGAATTTAAGCAAAAGCCTTTTAGTCTTTGCTTGTCCAAATTGAGGATTAGACGTTAATGGCTGTTGAGGCAAGTACTAACAATGCACACACGGCAACTTTGAACATTTATTGTAATTAATAATGAATTCCTTCAAAGGATTATTTTGCTAAAAAAAGGCAAAAACGAATTTTTTCTTTTCATATTAATTAAACATATAATTCAATTTTCATTGAGTTCATCGTATTCATACTACAAAACTACAAATAACAATATATATATTATTATCATATGATTTTTTAACTCTATTGTCATTGTTATCTAATTTTTTCGATTATTAATTTTGATCCATTCTCATTTACAAATGCTATTTTCTAAATCTTCATCTACTCATCTCTCTATAACTCTTCTTCAAACTAATCCTATTGATTCTATAAACCTTACATATCCCCTTTAAATATTGCCATTTCCACTTTATTTTATCTCTCTCCCCTTTATGATCCCTAACTTAAATTATCCCTAACACTTACTGAAATCACTCCAAATCAGTATTCCTATACCATTCTCCTTATATCTCTTTAATTGTCCTTCATATTTAATTTATATTATTCCTTTACTACTCTTACTTGCATCCATCCTTATATTATATCATACCCTAAACATTTATTTTGTCCATCCTAAAACTATCCATAATATCGCTAACTATCTTTTCTGAACTCTTATCCATCTCCCTACAAATTATTATCTACCTAAATCCCTATTTTTCTTTCTCCTTAATTACCTTTCATTACTCTTTTCTAAAATTAAAACACACCGAAACCATACATCTTCCTCTATATGAATATACATTCAAAACTAATCCTTTTTATTATTATTCTATACATATCTTTTATGAGAATACAACATCCGACAATACCCATTCAATTCATCATTTACTCAAATTTCTATTTTTATAAATTATTATTCTTTTTACCCATCCAAAAAATATTTCATAACTCTGGCCAGATTTAGATACATGTCCTTATTTTACAACCTTTCATTTCTTAACCAAAATGTATGCTCCCATCTATTTAGTTAGAAATTTTATAATTTTCCTTTATTTCATAAAGCTGACTCAAATATTCATACTCCCATATCAGGTATAAATTAAACTTGAAATCCTTTCATTTAAAGAAAGCTTAAACAATTTTTTCAGAAAATTTCTGTTATTTATTGTTCATAAATAATTGGAAAAGAATAATATTAAAAAAAAATCTATAGAATTGAGTTAAAATAAGAATATTTAAAAGATAGTAATTTTTTAATTTTAATTAATTTAACATCCTTAAGAAATGTCACAACAAGAATTCTTAAATAAAGTCAAACTCAGAAAACCTACAATTTTATTCTAAATATATACTAAATTCCAAATTCAATTTCATATTTACTTCATTAAAATGAGATCTTCTAAATTTATAAATAATAAATATTTTAAAATCAAAAATGATACAATCTATCAACATTTCTCTTTATTTGCCAAAAGTATCACTTATACCTGAAATAATTTAAATCTAAAAAAGAATTCATTCAATAAATTAGGCTTTTATCTTTATAATATTTAAGATAACTTATCTTTACAATAAATTATTCCTTATGTAATTATTTTAGATTTTTCATTATATGTTTAATTCTTATCAATAATTGCATGGACTATACTTTTTTTTAGTTAAAGGGATCTAATGTAGAAATACAAATCTTAAATTTTTAAAAGTCTTAATTATTATCATTCTAATTTATTTGTTTGGATGATTTTAAAAATAGAATGTTTAAAATATAAAATTAAGAAGACAATGAAAGCATACAGAGTATATTGATAATGAAAAATAATTATTTCTAAAAGATTCGCAGCAATGTAGTTTATTTTATAAATATTAATTTTTATTGAAATTTATAATATAAATCAAATAGAAACGTTGTTTATGAAATTACTAAAGAAGAATAAGAAATTTAGGTAGATTTAAGTAAATTTGAAAAATTAATTAGAAATTATAATAAATGGAATTGGTGATAAGATCAATAAAGCTTAAGTGATAGGAAATGTTTTTTTTTTAATTAGAAAATTTATTAAACATAAACTTCGATTTAATTGTCATTAAATCTTATTTTAAAAGAATATTCATAATATAATAGATTTCTAATCCATCATTTAAATTTAGATCAAGAACTTAATTTTAATCGAATAGATAATTTTAATTTAGTATAAAATATAAATTTTATATTTTATTCAAACAAACAGATTTTGATTTAGATTTTTGAAAATAACTGTACAAAATAACGATGCAATTTCTATGTATTTTACTGAAAAAGACCAATCAAATTTGATTAATTTCTGAGTTTAAATATCTCATAATAATTGTTTTATTTAATTTATGAGACTATATATAATACTAAGTCTTTACTTCATATTAACAAAAGAGTAGATGACTTATGAAGAATGCAAGAGAGATTGTACTATGGATTGGTTAGATTGTGTGAGTGGTTGTGATAGTATAGGAAATCCTTCATTTTGTCATAAAAATTGCCAAAAGTATAAAATAAATAATTTAGTTAGTGTAGTCCATGGTTGTTTAGACGAATGTCCAAAAATAATTTGTATTGATGAATGCAGAATAACATTAGAACAATGCAGAAAAAATGGGAAAGGGGTTTGTGAAATTTTATTCAATCAATGCGAACAAAATTGTCAAGACACTTATAACTAAAAAGAAGACATGTGAAATTATATTATTGAGATAAGCTTTATATTTTTGTAAAAATTGTGGTTATTGAAATTACTCTTTCTTTTTTTGAATTTCTAGCTGAAATCTTATTTTTCATTGTTAATCACTATTTTTAGTGATTAAAAGCATACCTATTACTTTGAAAAATGAATTATGATACATCTTTACATTAAACAACAATCCTTTTGAACATACTTTACATAGAGGATTATATATTAGTTGAAGTATAGTATTTTGCATGTTTTAGGTCTTCATAATATTAAACGTTTTTACAATTATTAATTAAAAAGATTACAATCTTTTTTGAAAGTTATTTTTCTAGACTGCATTGATAGTTAAGATCATTATTTTGAATATCATTAATATTATAAATTTGAAAAATAGAGAATATGATAAAAACTTAAATAAATGAAATTTAATAAATATTCTAAATTGCTTGAATCTATAAATTGATAATTAAAAAATTAAAGATTATTAAACTAGGTATTATTCTAATCTTGTAAAATTTCTTGAAGAAAGTTAACAGACTTTTTCTTAAAAAGGCATTTATCAAGTAATTATAAAAAGTAAATATTAAAATGATTGATAATTGAATTTTACAAAATAAAGTTAGCTTATTTCAAATTGGACCATGAGGTATAAAAGAAAATAATTTTAGATTTATTTTAATTTATGATGCAATATTTAAGGAGCTGTGCATTCCATAATTTAAGAATTTAGAATTTTAGATATGATATATATAAATAGTCTATTTTAATTCATTTTAAGAGTATAAAATTTGTGATATAGTCAATAAGATTTTTTTTTAGAATTTATTGTTTTCTGAATTACATTTTTTTTTTTCAAATGATTGATAAAAATGAATCAATATATATTTTAAAATAACTTTTAATATATTTCTTTACATAAAAAGTCTAATAATAATTATAAATATCAATTTTTTATGAATTTATCGATAAAATGTAACCCCTATCATATCATCATCTTCTCCATACATGGAATAGAAGAAAATACATTAGAAAATGTAATATTGATTTTCAGCCATAGCCTGTAGATTCGTAAAGCATTTCCTCAGTCATCTTAAAATCTGTCTGCCTTGGCTTTGATTATAGTAAAAAATTAATTTCTAAAAGTATAACTTTGACAAAAAATTTTCTATTTAAATTATGAGAAGCGTTATCTGAACAATTTTATCTATGTTAAAACTTGTATTACAGAGTTAGGCTATAAATTTAATAATGGATTTTTCATGGATATTTTTAAAATTCTGCAAAAAATTTAAACAAAAAAAAGAACATGTGAAAAAAAAAATCTGGGATTTTTAGCACTAGATGTTAGAAATTGATTCATTTTTAATTTAATTATTATCTATTTATTTATAGGGGTGCGTATAATATTTTTCAAAGCTGCTATGTGTTTTTCAAATTATATTCCTGAAATTTGCCTTAAAAAATCATGAATACTTTAAAGAAATTTTTGGTTTTTCATAAGCTCCAATTTTCATTCACTAATAAAGTTATTATTAATCATCAATATAATTATAAAATAAAAGTTCAATGCAATAGAATCGAATGTTTAAACAGCACACTAATATTATCATTGTTAAAATTCTTTGATTATTAATTTCAATTCTCAATTTTAGCGTTTTTAATTTCTTATTGAAACCTAAAATTTATTAATCTAATCTATAATTAAATAAATCTGGAGTAAGTTAAACTTGTATTAATAATATTCATTAAATTAAATAAATCCAAAAATCAAGATCTGTTAACGGTCTATATAATTAGGTTGTTCTTTAAATAACAACTTAGTCTGGCAACATTATTATGATTTTTCATTATGAAAATTTTATACTATCTTTGACAAATTGAGCGTTGTAATTATTTAAAATGCTCCAAAAATCTTTGATATAAAATATCACTATCCTTAAATATTTTCAAATAATTTGATTTACCTTTATCAAATATTTCACTTAAAATGGTTTTATTTTTAATTTTGCATGCGTATCCATTTTTTTCAAAGTTTTTACACATTTTCGAAAGTTTTTAGCTATCCAAAATTATGTTCCTTTTTCGCCAGAATAATTGGATATCTATTTCCTTCTCTTTTTATTCATATTAACTTGTCTTTTTGAATTTAATTATAACAGCTGCTTTTTACAATAATCATTGTTCTTTTCAGTCACATCCTCAAAAGTATGAGATTAAAGTCTTTGCTTTGAATGAATAAAAAATTAGAAAAAATTAAGTTCTATTTAATTAAATTATGTTTCATATTTAGTTTATTTGTTAGTATCTTACAATTTTTGTAATAAAAGAATTCGTTAATTTCTTCATAGTTCATTATTCTAAAATATCAATATCATCTCTAAATTAATTAGCTGTTTTTTCATCTTTAGTTATGATTTTTTTAATACTATTAAAATTGAAAAGAAAGACATTAAAAAATCAACTTTTTTTGCAATCATCAAAAGTTGATTTCAAACAAAAAATTTAAAAAAAAAAAAATAAAAGAATCATGAACTTTGAAATAATGAATTTTTCACAAAAGAGTGGATTTTTGAAAAGAACGGAAGAAGAAAGAATTGTTATTGCTAAAAAGAAAAGTAAAAAAAATTGTACCAGCCATAAAATTGATTAAAAGAAAGAGAACTCGATATGAAATAAAAGCTTTAAATTTAAATTCTTTGATTGTAAATAAAAATAGATTTTTTGTATCACAGTTTGTAAAGATGCTTGTGAGAATGAGAAAAGCTAAACATAAAATATAATTAGATAAAATAATTAGAATATAAGAAAAATGAGTGTAGAAATATGGGAATGTTTGGAAATGGATTAATTAAATTAAAGTTGAAGATAAAATTTATAAATAATAAACTTTGATATGGATGTAGAATGAGAGTTTGTATTAAAAGATATAAATGTAAGAGATAAAAGTAATTCATGTTAAGATTGGGAAACTCAAAGAATTTGATAGGAAGTATAGATAATTCTAAGTTAATTAATAATTAATTAGTGATTATTGTATTATTAAAACGAAGAATTTTTATTCCGTTTTTGGTATTAATAAATTAATTATGAGAACTCTTGTTGCCCTTTGCTTAGTGGCTGCTGTCTTCGCTATTGACACAAACAAATTTGCCGTCCTCCTCTAAACTGGTACTAGAGGAAACGATGCAGTTGAATCAGTTTACAACCTTTTGAGAGATTTGAAAACAGAGAATGTTAATGTGTAGGCTGCTGCTGATAAGAAGAATAATACAGATGAAGGTATAATGTAAATTAATGTTTAGAAATCTTTTCTTAAGTTATTGGTGACTTGACAAATGTTGCTTCCCTCAATAAATAATAATGGGAAGCATTGGGTGCCGTTCGTACTGATGTTGAAGCCTAAATTAGAGTATTCTATATCCTTTAAGAATTAGGATGGATATTCATGGTTGGCATGGGCTGAAGCAAGACTTGCTGAAGTTGAAAGAAGAAATGCTTAACTCTAAGACTAAAGATGTTGGGCAAATGGACTCTTTGTCAGATCATTGGCTGATCATGCTGATGCCGTTGCAGTTGTTTAACTCTTGTAACAAGACGTTGCTGGATGGCTCACAAACAATGCTGGTGTTGAATTAGTTCAAAAGGCTGAAACCATTGCTGACAAATTGTCTGCCTACAGTCACCTCTTCTAATAAGATGCCCTCTAAAAATTCTAATCACTTGCTGAAGTAAAGAGAGAAGGAACAACAGGAGAATAAGTTCTTTCCATCTTGGGAGATTTATAAGCTGAATTAGAAGCAACACTTGCTACACTTTAAGAATAAGAAATCCATGCTGCTTTTGCACTTGCTAAATACGTATCTGATACCAATGCTGAAGTTGCTTGGTTAAATTCTGAACACGAAAGAAGAACAGGTCTTGTTGAGAAATTAGAAACTGTATTAATCTTTTAATTTATTCATAGCAACTCCCAGCAGTCCTTGCTTAATAAGCTAAAGCTCTCAAATTATGGAAAGACTCATTGAATGCTGTTGCTGGTGCCACTGCCGATTTAGAAGAGAAAAGAGAATTCTATGCTTCAGAAACTGCAAGAAGATAAGGTATCTATTTCCTTTTAAACATTTTTTAGAGGAAAATGCTATCATCGATGTTGTCATCTAATTGTTCAAGGATCAAGTTAGAGCCTTAGCCTCATAAACATCCCTTGGAAGAAAGTGATTAGATTATTAATATTCAATTCAAAAATAAGCATCAATTACATAAATTCATTTAATTATATATATATATTTATTAACTCATTCATTTATTGGAGAGTAATCATATTCAGCTTTATTATGCATTACTAAAGTATCACCAACAAAATAAAAACTATCCGATTTTGTATCAAAAGGATTTTCTATCATTAATTATTTCTTTTATATATAAAACATCCTTACAATATCTTCACTAATCTCTGGAATAGTATAAATATGTTCCCATGTATTTGTTGAGTTTGGAATACAAAATGGAAATTGGAATTCATAGCTTCTTAATAACTAATTCCTAAAATAATGCCTCTCTATTATTGTAAAGTTTTTAACAGGTTTCTCACCTACAGAAAATGTTAATTAAGCTCCTATTGTCTTTAATTCAAAAAATTAAGGTCCAAAATGATACTTGATTCTCCTTGCTTCATCTTAAAGTGCAGGTGGTAAATTTTCTGATGATTATTAATTGAATCAACTTATTACCTATTGATTCTTCATCAGGATCTCGTTCAACTTCAAATAGTACCTATCCTGATTCCATATCTCTGATTCTAAACTTCAAGAATTAGATATTATAAATATTTGCAGATATAGGGCATAAAAATCTATTCAATTAATATATCAATTACTCTTTAGTTATTTCTTAAAGATTTCTTGCATACTCTTAATTGATTTTCTATCCTGCCTGCATTAAAATTTAAATATTATAATATTAAAATATTTATCGTATTCAATCTTTTTTTATAACTCTCTGAACAACCTAATTCTATTTTTTGTAAGTTCTGAGTACTTTCCTTTGTTCAATATTCTAGTTTCCCTTTTTCCTCTTATTTTACCTAAACTCAAGGTACATTGGTCACTTCCAAAATTTATTTTTTTATTATAATCTCCATTTTCAAATATGACAAAATAGTTTCTATTTTCTCATTTTGATAATTGCTTTTCTTTATATTATATCTTTCTTGATAACTAAAAATATTAGTTTATTTAAACTAGAAGCTTCTAAGTATATTTTCTTAAAGATCATGAAATTTGAAAATTCTCAAATAAAAAAGTTAATATCATAAATTTAAATACATTAGCATCGAAGTTTTAATCATAAGGATTATAAACAATTCTTTGCTAGTTTTTTAATCTTAAGCATATCAATTTGAATATTAATGTACTTTATTTTAATAATCATTTTCTTGCAGCCAAAGCTACTTATGTTGCAATTCTATTTAAGTCTTATTAGCCTTCTTTGGTAACAATTCTTGATCCCTTCTTAAGGAGTGATTTATTGTCTTTCTTCAAAACTTTAATCGATTCCAATTATTAGAGCAAATATCTAATAACTTTTCCTGATCCTGATTCATGTTTTCCATTATCATTCATTGATCCAAACATGTGAGTAAGATTTCCTACTCCCTAAATTTGGTTATTTTAAATAGAGTACCCAATGGCCTCTTACATAAATCTTTCTAGCAAGTGCTGCTGCTCTAACATACATCCAATCTAAATCTATTGGTGAAATTTCTTTGCCAAGACCTGTTTTTACAATAGATGCCCAATCTGGGATTTTTATTTTATTATTTTTCTTTAAGTACTCTGCATACGCACGAATGAAGTCTTGAGCAGGAACATCCTTCAAATAAAATAAGTGTAATACCTTAACTGTATAAAATGGTGCTGACATCCTATGATAAAAAAATTAAATAAATATTTTTTTTTTTGAATATTTCTTAAGATTCTTTTTATTATTAAGCACCTTAAATCAATATCAAAAGTTAAAAGGCTAAGTGAAAATTAATACAACAATTACATAGCTATTTCTTGAATTCTTAGTAAAGAAATAAATTATAGAAGGTAATGCTAAAATAAATTGAAACGATACATACTTTACTTTTGAATGAGAGAGTGAATAAAAGAGTTATAAAAAGATATACTATAATTGAATGAATTAAAAAATTAATATATGAAATGTATGATAATTCAAAAATAATTTAAAAGTTTGTATAGATCTAAGTAATAAATTAGATTAGAAAATATTAATAGGATTAGTTTTTGAAATATAGGATGTATGAATGAGTGGATTTAGGTTGAAATGAAAAGGAAGGAAAAGAAAGTGAAGAATGGTTTTGAGGAATAGAATGTGGATGTTTTAGGATTCGATATTTGATATGTAAAAAGGAGGGAGAGAAATAGAATGGTTATGAGATGGATATTTATATAAATAGATTGTAATTAATAATAATTAATTGTATATTATAAGCATTTGATCGATCCGTTTTTAAAACATTAATAAAAATATATGCAAAAACTAACCATCTTGACATTAGTTGTTGTCCTTGCAGCTTCAAAGTTTGTTGATACTCACGCATCCTTGGCTCAGATAGATTCTGATCCATTTGGAAATGTTGTGTTGTCAGCAATTAAGGCTCACATTCAAGCCTAAACACCAGCCAACGAAGTTAATATGTTATTGAATGGTGTTGCTGCTGGATTGTAATAAGATCAAAATGACCATGACCATGCTTTCGAACTTGACACAACAACCAACAACAGAGTAAGAATGTTTATTAAAAATATCTTAGATTGTCGAAGATTTGGAAAAGGAAATCTTATATCACTAAAATTAAATTACATCTAACACTTAATTGAGAGATGACACAATTGAAGCTTTAGCTGTTTCTGAAGAAGACATCAGAGTGACAATTTAAGACATTGCAACAAATGAATCAACATATGCCAGAGAAGAAGCCACAAGAAACTAATAACACGAAACCTTTGTTGCTAAAGTAGCTGCCATTGATGATGTTATTGATGCCATTGATGAAGCTGCCAAATTAATTCAACATTTAAGTTTAGGTGCTTCATTTGTCTAAGTCAAATCAAAATATGAAACAATTCACAAGAGACTTACAGACAATACATCCCACTCTCAACTCTTATAAGTATTTAGAATCCAATATATCTTTATTTTAGCCAGTTGTTGCTGCTCTTACAGAATTAGCCACTCACGGAGTTAACTAAAAGGCTTTAACCAAGATTGCTTAACTCTTGAGCGAAATCAGATAATAATTAGTCTCAGAAAAGGCTGCTAAAACTGTAATCATTTTATCTTAATATTTAAGGATGTTGAAGAAAGATAAGCTGCTCACTGGGCTGAATTCAGCGCTCATTTGAGTAATGAACACACTAGATTGGTTGAAAGAAAGGCCTAATTGGAAGTCTAAATCTAAGAACAAAAGGATACCATTGAAGATGCTCAATCATGGATCGAATTCCACACATTAGAATTAGAAAACAGTGAAGAAAGACTTGCTGGATAATAAGCATGGTATGCAGTCTAATCAGAAATCTATGAAACCTAAACTGCTGAAAGGTATAATATATATCTTATCAAATAGAGCTGCCTAAAATGAAATTGTTGACAGACTCCAAGAACATATTAGCGAGAAATTATCAACCACCGCTCAATTCATCAGCAAGAGAAATTGATTCATTAAACAATACAATTATGGACAATTGTTCTATTATACATTTACCCAAAATATTCTTTTCCATTTCCCACTTTTTCCTATTCATTATTTACAATCATTAAATTATATTAATAATATTATATATAATTAACTTCTATTAAATAAAAATTGTTTAAAAATCAATCATTTTTTATAATTTTTCCTATCAGTCTAAAATTTTATTTATTCTTCAAAAAATTCTAGCCTTATTGTATATAAATTAAGGCAAAAAAAATTAGATGTATTACAAAAAGTATTTTGCGTTAATTATATTTATATATTAACACAAATACTATATCTTTAACAGAATTCTTCAATATATAAAAAAGTATATATTATTACTTAATTTAATTTTATAATGAGTGCAATATTTTCTTTTTTGTCTTCAACACAATTAAGTTTCTCTATTAGATTATTAAAAGGAAAAGGTTATTTTTTAATTGAGAAAGATTGATCATTTTATATTAAATTTATGAAGATTAATTATTCGAACCTTTTGCTAAGTCAAATAATTGTTGCTAAATGATAAATTCAAACTCATCAAATACTTAAAATTAATCTATAAGACTACTCATTCCTTTGAGAGCATAAGAAAACTCTTGGATTTGATATTATTCTGAATTATAAGAGATATGAAGAGAATTAATCAGATATTTTGCGAAAACATTAAAATTTAATAAAAAGTGATATCTCTTTATTTGACTTCCAAGAATTTACAACTAATATTTCAACCATTAATAATTACATATACTATTTCCAAGTCATCTTATCCTGAGAATGAACAAGAATTTTAGAATACTTTGAGAATTATTCTCGATGATGGTACTTTTGTTCAAAAGTTTTTGTCTGTATAAAATATAATAAGATATTTGATTCTAGAATAACATTTTACTATTAATTGACAATATAATTGAAGGATGCATTAAGAGATCATCAACCTAAAAATACAGAGAAAATAATACTAAAATTATTTTTGGAATTAATAGATATTTATGATTAAGAGAAAACAGAAATATTGATTGAAAAATAAGTAGAAACATAAAATCCTAAAATGAAAATTGAAGAACTTATAAAGAAAGAGTTTTCAGACCTTATTAATATTTGCAAGTCAAATGTGAGCAATATTATTTAGCAACATAATTATTTATTTTTGAAATAATATTCAGATTTTATTTTGATTATTAAGTAAATTTTTTCTTACCTTTGTAGAATGCTGAAATTAGTGAAAAGAAGCGATAGTATTTTACTGTGTTGAAAAGTAATTTTAATGTAAAATTGAATAAAAATTCATCTGATTTGAACAATTTTTCATTTTTGACTTTATTCTCCAGTCGAATCTAAATTAACATGAAATTAATATTTTGAGCTGGGATAAAATAATTATATGAATATTTTAGTATAGAATGAATTAACAATTAGAGATTTTGCATCAATGATTATGGATGATACATTTATAATATGGTTATTATTATATGAGATTGGAAGATGGAATTTGACGGTGAATTAAATAAGAATAGAGTAATAATAGCATTTTAATTATTTAAATTAACAAATAGATGAAATAAGTCTAATTAATTCAAAATAAATATTACGTATTATTATGTGAATTATTAATCAAAACAAAAAAAATAACAAAAGGGTGAAGTTTTGAAAAAAAATGGTAGAAAATTCTTTTGCAACTTGTTAGGTATCCGAAAATTGATTTGTAAAATGAGACACCCTAGAATTTGGTGCAATTTTGGATGCATATAAATCTGCTAAACTTTTAAATAAATTAGTGATTGGAGGAGGGATTGATTAAGAAGAGGAGATTTATATTTGAAAACATGTTATTAAGCTTAGTAGATTATTAATTAGAACATGAGAAAACATTCGAGAGAGCAGAAAAGTTTGAAATATTAGAGATATTTGAAAAACAATTCAAAATTAAGAAAAATTTTAAAACCTTTTTTATTGAGACTGCTACATTATTATTAATTACATAATTAGAAGCAGGAGAAAGTAAGAGAAATTGAGGTAATTTTTTGTTTAATTATTAAAAAAAGAAAATGATGAACCGATATTAATTGAATTGCTTAAAATATTGATAACAGGAATCAGATGAAAGGATAAATGGCAAATTGAAATAATACCAGAATTAAAGGAATTTATAAAAATATTTCTAGAATGAAAAGAAGGAAATTTAATGGGTTAAGAATCTTAATTCAAAAGTGTATTATAAAAGTTGTATAATATTAAGTGAATATATCTAATATTAATAATATCTTTTTGATCATAAGTAATGTTGCATCACTTGTGGAGATATACATATAATACTAGCAAAGCCTTGTCTTTGGAATAGTTAACAAGATGGGGATTGCACAATGTATCTGTGGTCAGAAATGCCAGTACTCCTGAATTATATGAAATTGCTGCTATGGATCCATTATCACCAGATCCTGAAACAAGACCAGGATCAATCTCAAGTACAGGAGCAATGGTAGCATATTCTGGAAGAAGAACAGGGTAATTAAAAAGAAATTATGATTTTTAGACGATCTCCAACAGATAAAAGAGTAGTGTTTGATGAATAGACAGAGCATGAAATATGGTGGGGTAATGTCAATATTCCAATTCCAAAGAGATCACATAATTTATTGGAATAGGTTGCCCTTTAATTTTTAAATACAAGACCAAGAGTAAATTTATAATATATTTTTTAGTTATTTGTTGTTGATGGATATGCAGGATGGGATCCTCATAGCAGATTAAGAATTCGTGTATTTTGTACAAGAGCTTATCATGCATTATTCATGTAAAATATGCTTATCAAACCAACTAATGAAGAGTTGAAGAAAGATTTTAGTGATGATGTTGATTTTCATATTTTTAATGCAGGACCGATGTCAGCCCCAAAATTAGTAGAAGGAGTTGGATCAGAGACTTGTGTATCTGTTAATTTAACAGATAAAAAAATGGTCATTTTAGGATCTTAATATGCAGGAGAAATGAAAAAAGGAGTATTCGGAGTTACTCATTATATGTTTCCTAAATAAGGAATTCTTACACTTCATAGTTCAGCCAATGAAGGAGTCAATGGAGATGTAACATTACTCTTTGGTTTGAGTGGAACTGGTAAAACTACTCTAAGTGCAGATCCAAAGAGAAAACTTATTGGAGATGATGAACATGGATGGTCTGATAATGGTATTTTTAATATTGAAGGTGGATGTTATGCTAAATGTGTAGATTTAAGTTATGAAAAAGAACCTGAAATTTATAATGCTATTAAGTAATTCTTTATATTCATTTTAGATTTGGTTCTGTCTTAGAAAATGTTGAATTCCTGTCTAAAGATTCAAGAGAAGTTGATTATCATAATATTTCTATCACTGAAAATACAAGAGTTAGTTATCCTTTAGATTTTATTCCAGGAGCTAAGAATCCTGCTGTTGGAGGTCATCCTAAAAACATCTTATTCCTTACTTGTGATGCATATGGTGTTTTACCACCTGTTTCCTTGTTGACACCAGAATAAGCTATGTATCATTTTATTTCAGGCTACACAGCTAAAGTATTCAAATTCTTTATATAATTATAGGTAGCTGGTACTGAAATGGGAGTCAAAGAACCTGTTGCTACTTTTTCAGCTTGCTTTGGTGAAGCATTCTTACCATTACATCCAACTCTTTATGCAACTATGTTAGCTGAAAAAATGAAAGAACATGGAACTAAATGTTGGTTAGTCAATACTGGTTGGTCAGGTGGCAAATATGGAATTGGCAAAAGAATGTCACTTAAATATACCAGAACCATTATTGATGCTATTCATAGTGGTGAATTAGCTAATGCAGAATATGACAATTTTGAAATTTTCAATTTATAAATCCCTAAAAGAGCAACTGGTGTTCCTGATAATATGCTTCACCCCAAAAATACTTGGATGTAATAAATATTTTTTATCATCTAGTAATAAATCTGAGTTTGATAAAACCTTAAGATAATTAGCTGATAAATTTTAAAAGAACTTCAAAAAATATGCTGATAAGGCCACCTCTGATGTTATCAATGCAGGTCCATCAATCTGAGCTTGTATCCATAAAATATAAATCAAATATATAATAATCAATATCAAAGCTTCCTTCATTTTGTTTGTAACAGTAACAATCGAAAATTTGTTTCAAATTTCTGATCCAAATAAAATTAATATTGTGGTATCAAAAATATCATACTCCTTACAATCTCTTGTTACTAAACCAAAAATGGAAGATATTAGGTAAATAATACCATAACTAATACTAAATCCAATAGAATATAAATTATACTCAATACCTAAAATACCCTAAATACAATACTTAATGAGTTATTCTTATCTTATTTATTGCTTCTGTCACACTATCTAAAATTTAATCAAGAATCGACATAATTGCATCAGATGTTATCATTCCTAACTCTATTTCTTCGTAAGGTGCTATTACTGGCCTCAACTTTGCTTCAAATCCATTTGTATTAGCATATTCTTATGATATCTGTTAATGCAATGTGGAAATAGAATTATAAATTCCTAATTTCATCACTCCATTAAAAACTGAATCACAATGTTCTTGAGCCAATGATTTGTTGAACTAAATTAATAAATATTTCGATACATGTGTTATAAAATTACAAACATTAGTAGATTGAATATTTTCTAATAGCTCAATCGTTTAGTCATCTATAATCATTGATTCACTAAATTATAATTATAAAAATAGTTACTAGTCTAAATATGGAAATTAAGTAATAAAATCATTTATTTTTTCTAATTCTTCAATCACTTTTTCATTTTATAAAATTCGAACATCATCTGAATAAAAAAAATAATAAGGGCTGTGTTAACTTATTTGATAATTAGTTTCTCTGTATGAATAAACAGCAATCAAAGCTGAACTAGTTTATGAAATCTTTTCCAACCAATAACTACTTACTTAATACTTTTCATAAAAATTGCTATCAATCTATTCTAATATTACTTGAGGACACAAGATAAAAGCTGTGAACATCAAAAATATTATTAAAATTTTTAAGCTAGGTGCTTTATATTATTAACACTGCAATCTCACTTAATTATTTTTTGAATTGTAATATGCTAAGTTTTATTGAATTTTCTTTTCATGTATAACTATTTCAAAATTATAGTATTATGATGCATTATCTTTCATCAAAAGTTAATCTATCTAACTTAATCGTTGTAATTCAATTTATAATGCATATTAATTAATATCTGTATATAAATTAAAATGTTTTGAATGAGTTTAATAGTTTTTTAAAACATAAGAAAATCCTAATAGAATGAATAAAATCTAAAGAAATGTCATTTTTAAAAATATTTTAGTTCCTTCATTCTCTTTGTTTAAACTTCTATTTATGATTAGTAGTGAAACTTCATCACTTAAAGAATCAAAATAGTTGTCAAAGGTTAATAAGTTTGCCATAAAGTAAACAAAGTCATTTGAAACTATTAAATCTATTAAATTTAAATTAATTTCTGAATTATCTGATATTACAAAGTACTAAGACTCCAAATAATGAAATAATGATGTTTTAAGAGGAATCTACCTTGATTCTAAAGAGTTATCTTTAAGAAATTGCATTTAGATATTTTTATCATAAAAAAACACTTATAAGTTTCTGTTATTTAATTGTGCAATATAAGATTTTTTAAGAATTTCATAAGACTTTCTGATAGCATCTCGAGAAAAAGGCATTTTCTTTGTGGCTGTTTCTAATGTGATCACTTAGTATTTTGATAACATATAATAATTTACAAATGCATTTTGAGAAGTTATGCAATCATGAACAGGCACTAAAAAATTAGATTTTATTGATAATAAATCTGCATCATTAGCAACTTCATCAAAATTTGGCATAATATAAAATACTTAGATAAGAAAATAAGTAATGTTTATTATTAAAACAAACAAAAATAATGAAATAGAAATATAAATGAATAATAGTTTCTTGTTTTCCAGAAATTTATTCATTTAATTATATTTGCTATAAAAAATAGCAGTATCAAGAAATCCCTTTGAAAACTTTGATGATGCTTAATCATCATTATTAATATCCTCTTAATTTTAATTGAGACTATTTTTTGAAAGTCTTTAATCATTATCTTTGAAAGATTCACTTTTATCACTATGAAATTTGCTTTTCATAGTTCCAATACAAATTTTCTTTTCATCTTATTACAATAATTCTTAATCAGTTTTATCTCTCCTCTCTTCTGAAAGCGGGAGATTTATATCTTCAAAGAATTGATGGTTAGGTATTATAACAAAAGATTCTTAATTAGGCAATAATTTTTAAGATAGACTTTTAATAACACTTTGTTAATCTTCTGAATCAGAATTTATTATAAAATCTTAATTATCAATTATTTGCAATTCAAATATATTATCTTTTTCAATCATTATTGCATTTAATTCTTATTAATTTTATAAAAGTTTAATTTTTGTGTTCTTTTATAGAGGTAACTTTTTAAAATTAGATATTAATTTATTTATATCACTTTATATAAGAGATTTCTTATCAAGTCCAAAATCTTTAACTTAATTTATAAAATTATTCGTAAAACCAATAATTTTATTATCCTTATTTATAAACACAGAAATGGGTTAGTTTTCTAAAAATTTAATAAATGTAAAAATTTAAATATAATTATTTGTTAAAGGCTAAACACTTAATTATAACTAAATGTAAAAAAAAGTTTCTTAATTTCCTTTAATTAATAGTTCATATGGTTTTGATGATTTTTTACATAAACCAGTTTATAAAAATCTTTTTATCAAAAACTAATGAATTTCATAGAATTCTATTGGAATCAATGTTTTAAAGTTTAATTTTTCATGCTCTAGATTATTTTTTGAATATCCTAAGGTTTAAATTATATCTTAACTATACTAAATAATCTCTAGATTTTCCATATCATCTAATATTTACAATCCAATATAAGAATATTATTCATAAATATTTTGTTTGTTATCTTCATTAATAATTTGATTATATCTAACAGTTTCAGCTTGAAAGATGTTATTAAAAAAATCCACATAAAGCATTATTAGTAATTGTTATATCCTAAAAGTTTTATGAACAAATAAGTCAATCTTTATTTTTTTGAGATACTTTAAGGATTTTTGAGTCAAAGAATAAGATAAATTAAATAATTAATTTTAGTTTTAATTTTTTCCTTAAAGCATTTATTAATAGATTTTTTCCTTGAGAAGAAATAAATTTTTAATTTCGAATTGATTTTCTTACACAATTTTTGAATAAATTATATATTATCGAGCTAATTCATTTTCAGAAGATTCATTTCCTTTAGTAATGTTATAATAAAGGAGTTAATAAACCTCTTTTTATATTAAATCTAATTATAATCTTTGTAAGAATGAAAGTTATATAGATACTCTGAAATATGATTTTGAAGACTCTGAATATAATTGATTTTAAGTAAAGTGATATATCAAAGAGATTGTATCAGTATAATTTTATTAATGATATTTTATTTAAATATATTTTTAATACCAGAAGGTTTTTTGTGATTTACTTTCCTTAATAATTTTATTATTAAAATTGGTTAACTCTTATTAAAAAAGATCCTAATCCATAAGCTATTCATTTTTTTATTTGAAAATAATGAAATCAAATTAATGCTTTTTTTAATATTTTGATTTTTCATCAGATAAAATCATTAAATTCTAGTATATTTCCTAAATGTCTCTATTTTTTTTGAAATTTAATTTATTTCTTGCTTTCTAATAGTAAATGATAATATTGATAAAAAATGGGCACAAAATATATACTAATCCAATTCTATATTCAAATTTAGCCCCAATTAATATTAAAGAAAATATATTTTAAAAAAATCCAAAAGATAATATGATTAAAGAGAGTTTATTTAAAAAGCTAGGTTATTTTAAAATTTCTGTGTATAGATAATAAGGTAAAATTATAATGTTTAATATGTAAACAAGAATTATGCTAACTTCATCACTTTTTTATTTGAAATACATAGAAAAAATGATCAAAATGATATTCAAAAATTGATTTTTTTATAATTGTTGTACATGTAAAGGAGAACTTTTGAAATGAATAGATTCTGAACATAAGATATTAATAAATACAAAAATCACTGAATTAAATAGTAGTAAAACTGTGATGATTAATACTTATATATTTTATATTACTGCATTGACAGTTGATTCAGCTATTGAAATAACATAAAAATCAAATGTATATAATGCAAATAAGTAAAAATACAATTAATATACAATTGGAAGTTAAGATTTGTGATTAGAATTCTCAATAACATTTGTTTTTATCATTTATTTGTTAAACAAATAATGAATAACCAATTTCTTCATAAACCCGATTGAAATCAAAAATAGGAATACAGTAAAAGGTAAAAATGCAAAAAGTCTAAAATTTTAAAAGCGTAACAAAACTTAATATGGTCTTCCAATCTAATTCAAGTAATAGAAAGCTTATAATAAATTTAAGGAATAATTTTAATTCTAAACTTTTATTGTTTCTTCTTCATTATATATAATCAAGCTAATCAATTAAACATGAAATATTAAATGCAATACTGAAGCAGTTTTTGTTGACTCAATCAAGATCTTCTAATGTTATTTCATATAATAGGTAATCACAAACTTATAAAATTGCATAAGAGCTGAATAATTTTTTTTTATTTTAATTTGATGTTGCTCATAATGAATTTCAATTTATAAAACCTAATTTTAATATCATTTATAGATAATTTTGAACTTAGATCATGTTAAAACTAATTCTGAAAATAATTTTAAATTTATATCCAATTACATTTTAAAAAAATTGTAGTTTGGCAATTTTTAACTATAAAGCAATGATAATAAATGATAATATTGGAAGTTTAAAATACTTTAATAAAATTTAATTTTAGCAATAATTAAGTTTGAGAAAGAGATTAAAATACATATCATCAAAATATATTATAGAAAACAATTAGAATAAATAAATAGATATGAAATTTATTGTAAAAGATGATATAATAATATGATAATTATTTATTATTGCAAAAATAATTTTAATATAAAATCTTGATTTTGATGTTTTTTTTATGATTAAATTAGATCATTATGATTATTCATATTTGATGTAAGGATGATAAGTTTAAGGGATTTAAAAGTATTATGGTGGACTGTATGGTTAGGGAGTTTAGAATGACCAAAAATGAAAATTTGGTTAGATATAAAATGTTAAAACAGGTGGAGGAGTACACATTGAAATCTATTGTAAAATGATTAATTACAAAGGGTTATTGAATTGAATAGAAATTAGAGTGAAGTTATTTATCTAAATTTGGAATTGGTTATTACTCTTAGAAGATTTGAGTTTAGTAGTTTTATTATTAATCATATTCTTCCTAATAATCATATTTTAGATTTGATGCTTAGATTTTAGTTTCTATTTTTGAATCAGATTAACAAATTTGATTAAGGTTAGATTATTTTAATGGTTCTAAAGATGTTAGATCTTGTTTGAGTGTTGCATTGAGTGAAATTCCACCTTTTTAAGAAATATAATTCTCACTAGAATAATAAAATATGAAATACTTTATTGTAAATAGTTTATTTAACATTTTTTTGATATGATTGATATCTTCTTCAGATAGCATTCTTAATTCTGATTTTTCTGTATGTCTATATTACTTGATCATATTTTTAAATTAATTTTTCATTTCTTCATCAATATTGAAACTTTTTAAAGAATCGTCATTGCAATAGATTACACCTAAAACACTAGGTTTAATTTATTTTAATAAATCTGAAGCTAAAAGAGATTCATAAACTTATTACATTAATCTAATCCCACTGCTTTACTGAGACGACGTAAAACTTTTCTTAGAGTAGCATAAAAGTAGTTTTTACATAGTAAATCAGAACGACCAGTCATTTAAGAAGCTATCCTAGCCCAACTGTTACCAAAAGATTGTTAAAGATTGAATAATTTTTGTTCTTCTTCTTCTGTCCATACACTTTTATTCAAGTTAGGGTTAAGAATGTTTTAGTATCGTTCTCTACATGCTGCAGGAGTACGTATTTTTGTTTGATTCTACATTTAAGATTAAAGTTCTATTGCTATTCGATTCCAAGATGTACAGCCATTAAGTTTGATAAGTTCTAATAAGAGTTTGTCTTCCTTTAAAAAATTATTCATAAACTTACTTGATAGGTCCAACTCTATCTAGTTTCTGAATGTTTAGATTACATGTTACTAAGTAACTAGGCTAGTTTAATTTAAAATATAAGATATAATTTATATACAAAAAAAAGTTTAGTAATCTAAAAATTTTTAAACTGATATGAATAACTTATTATATTGTAATTTTTAATAACTAATTACCTCTAATTTGTTTCTTTCATTCTTACCAAATATCAAATAATCAAATTTTATTTATCAAATTATTTTCCATTTATTTATTTTTACAACTTTTATTATCAAATTTCTGATTTAAAACATTATATCTTTAAGTTTTATCATAATTTTTAGAAATATTCATGTCCATTAATAATTATCAAATTTATTTTAAAATAAATTTTGTTTATTTAATAACTAATATTCATCATAATTCTAATTTTTATTTATATTTTTATTATTTTTATTTTCTTATAAGAATTATGGAACCTTAAAATTGTATTAAGTCTACATTTAAATTTAGAAATAACTAAAGCAGTATCAGATGGATTTGAAAATTTATTACTAACATAACCGTAATTTACAATATAAAAGAAAAAAGTATTTTTAGAAGATAACTTAAAATATGGAAAGGAGATCGAGAGAGATTATAATAAATTATAAGATATAATAGATGTATAATAAATATAGAAAATTGATTAGAATTTATAAGGAAAAGTTGATAAAATAATTAAATCATAAGAAGATGATTTTATGATAGCTTACAAAGAACAAATGACTGAAGTATAAAAAGAATTAAAGGCGATGAAAAGAAAGATAGATGAAGAAGCACTTAGATAAAAAGCTGATGAAAAAAAAAGAATTTTAGAAGAAGAGAGAGATTATTTTAGAGAAGAAGCCTTGAGATTAGATAAATTATGCTAAGAGTAATTAAGAACTATTGAAGAATTGAAGTTTAAATTGAAAATAACTTTAGAGGAAAAATAATATTATGAAGGATTTGTTATTGGTATAAAATAGTAATAAGTGATTAGATTCTAAGAAAGAAAATAAAGCTTTAAAATATGAATTACTTTATTTATATAAATAAAAAAGTGAAGAATAAAAATTTGGATAAAGAGTAGGATCAGTTGGAAATATAAATCCAAGAACAATTATGAAAAAGAATACTGATTATAGACCATTTACTTAAGAAGGCACAATAATGACTGCAACTAAAGATGATTTAGGAGAGGGATCAAAACGAGAATTCTCATCTATAAAGCAAGGATAAAAAACATAATTATCTAGTAAAATATAAGATTATGGATCATCTTAACATGATTTTTTTAAAAGAGATTTATCTTCCTAACAATAAAGTAGATATAATTAGGATATATAATAAGTATTAATTTTTATATATTAGATCGAAGAAACTACAAAAAAAGAATTGATTCAAGAGCTTAAATCTTAATTATAAAAAGAAAAATAAATAATTTAATAGTTGAAAGTAGAATTATCAAAATAGAATTGTCAAAAAGGAGAATTAGAATAAATATTATTAGATTGTGTTAATCAAATGAAGAAAGAAGTGCATTATCGTTAAAGTTAATAAAAATAATTATTAAATCACAGACTTTCAGATTCTTAGCCAAACTTAGAGGGTGAAATGAATTTTTCTTAATTCACTCATACTGACAAGATGTAATTAATTGAAAATATTCTTAGTTAATTATTAAGAAGGTATATTAGTAGTGAAGAATTTTTAGATTAATTATATTAGATTACTTTTAACAACTAAATGTAATTATCTACATCTTTAAAATTAAATGAGAAATGGAAAATGGATGCAGATGAAGCTACAAAAAAATTTAATAATTTCAAATAATTTAAGTTTAAAAACATAACAAGTCAACGTAAAATTATTATAACTTTTTAGCAATTTTAAAAACATCTCTTATAAAAAGATAAGATAAAGAGATTGTATAAATTTCTAATAATTTCACTGAAAAAACTAAAGGATTAATTGATAAAATAATAAAAAGTTGAAGATTTTAATTGTGATTTATTTATAAATTTAAATCATTATGCAACTAAATTATAATTAATAGTTTCATTATGAATAACTTCCCAATTACCTAATTTTAATTTACTTGTATTCTAAAGATATTTGTCTATAGGTTTATTTTTTTCATCATTTAAATAAATAACTAAGTCTAAGGTTTATTAAACTACTGGAGGTATAACTTAAGCTTAAGTAGTAGTATCTTAAAGATTGAAAATAAACATACCTAAAAATAATGCAGGATTAGTATTCATTTCTATTAGATAAACTTTTAAATTTGTATCTATCATGATATCACATCCCATCAATTCAAATGTTCCTAATCTTTTTTCAAATTTATCTGCTGCACATCGTGTGATATGAGCAAATATTCTCTTCATTTACAAATAAATTTTATCTATTTACTCTTATGTCACATTCATTTTGTCTTTTAAATATTACTTTTAATTTCAATTATAGAATTACTTCTAATTATTACATAGACCAAATGGTTGATTCTTTTGATGAATTAAAAGAAGGATGCTTTTTTTAAACAGCAGCATTTGTTAAATGTTTATATCTATTTTTTTCATCATCCATATCTTCAACATTATATTTATCTACAGATAAACGTAAGTATCCATGTTGAAATAGAACTAATAAAGGTCTAGAAGTAGCAACCAAAACATAACATCTAATATCAAATTTACGACCATCTAATAACAGAGGATTTTAGATATATTTTTATACAATACACTTTCTAAGATTTGGAGTGAAAATACCATTAGGTAAAAAGCCTTTTGATGCTTTTATAGAATTTGAGATTTATTTTAATCTAGTTTCATAGACAAATCTTACTTTTAAAATTCTTATTTTAGTTTTTTTGCATTTGAACATAACTTTATTCCTCTTCCACAATTAAAATAAGTTGGCTTAATAATCCAAATTGCTGAGTTATCGGTTTTTAAAAATTGATCTTCCTCATTACTTAAAAATTCTTAAGTTAAATCGATTCTGTATGTTTCAGGAAAGAAATGTGTTGAGTTGAATTATAATTCTAAATCAGTTAAATAAATTACATTTGTTTTACCTTTCATATTCTTTCATAGTTTAAATTATAAGTTATTTAGATGTAAGAATCATATGATTCGGTAAATGATTAATTATTTACTGTCCCTCTTTAAAATATTAGAATTGAATTTCAGAATTAGTTTGAACCCATTTCAAATAAAAATCATTTGATGATTTTCCACTTTCTGCATCCAAAAGCTTCCATCCTCTAAAAAATCGATTTATGATTCTTATTACAATTATTGAGATAAATAATTTGAGATTAATTTGCCATTATTGCCAGGACCAACAAAAAAATATTTCAAACATAAAGCTCTTTTATTTAGAGATTTTTTTTTTGGATCTTCTGTTTATGATCTTATTTTCTTTGAGCTCTAACTTTTTTTAATCTTTCTTCCTCTTTATGTTTGTTACATTCTGATTAATAATTTATAATAAAAATATACTTTTACCTCTAATCCAATTAAAGAGTTCAGAATACTTCATAGAACCTGCATTTATAATCCTTATGCAATAAAGTATAATTGCAAATAATGAATAAGTAAGATATTCATTTATGACATAAGCATGTTAATACTTTTTATTGCCATTTTACTCTAATAAGATTAGTTGTTTTTTTATATGTTGATGTTGTAATCAATGTTTGGATAGAATATTAAAATACTATCAGAGTTATTTTAGAAAGATTTGCTCCTATAGTGTAGTTCTAAATTTAATTTCTTAATGAATGTTAGTAAATATTCAAAAAGGACATAAGTTGTCTATTTGATATAATAAATAACCTCATCTCAAGAATTTTAAAGGGTGTAAACTATAGTTCTTTATACCTTTAAATTTAATAAAATTGACTTTATCATGATTCTAAAGAAATTTAATTAAGATGAAGAATTAAAATCTATTAAGGTTATACATAATTTCTGATAATTTTTTTATCAAATAAAATAATAATAGACTTCTAATAATGTTGAAATATAAATTATCAAAGATCTTCTAAAATATGAATCTTCAACAAAATCTAACTCAATATGAAATTAGATCCTTTTATTTTTATTTGATATATGATTACCATATAAATAAGAATTAAATTTTTAGAGGAAAAACATTCAATTATTTTGTTTGTTTTAATTATATCCTTTAATTTTCAAATCGATTTGAAAACAACTAAAAATTAATTAAAACTAAAATATATATAGAATAATGTTATTTTAATAATTTATCAAGTATTTATCAAAAATCATAAAATCAATTTATATCTTTTAACATTTATTCAACTAATTCTTTTAAATGTTCAATTGTCATTTCATTATTACAATTAAATGTATTTTAAGAACGTTCTAAATTTTAGAATTATTTCTTTTTAGATTAACTTAAGACTCTTTTTTAATTTGAAGTCGATTATCTTGTCTTAGAATTTTTTAATTTAGAATTTATTTTCTTGGCCATAATATAATCATCATGATCACTACGTTCCAAATAAGGTGCCTTTTATTCAATTTTAATATCAGATTCTATTTTTTAAGGATGAACTTAAATTTTCTTCTCATTTAATTAAACAACCTCAATTTTACTATCATTTTCCTTTTTTTCATTGATACTTCTGTATATTTATAAATAGCTTACAGATTAGATTCTGTTTCTTATATTTATTTATGATTTGACTCCTAAGTATCCTATTAAAGTTAAATTTATATTTTTTAAACTTATTAATAACCACTTTATAGAGCATTTAAGTTTGAAATATCAATTTCTGAACTTTTTTCTTTTTCTTGTAGAAAATTTTTAAGTATATTTTGTTCTTTTTGTTTTGTATTATCTATTTTTTGTTATTGTTTTTCTTATTCTTCTTTTTTCATTAAATTCCAATGATGAAGTGATTTTTAATATACAAGTTTTTAATCCAAATCACTAGATTTTTACATCTTATCATTGACATAAAATAGAAACTTTAGAGCCTTTGAAATGGTAATAAATTTTGTTTTACTTCATTGCAAGTTGCTATCCTTTATTTTGATTTTTCTTCTTTCTCTTCATAATTGAATTAATCTTGCATATTATATAATTACAAGTATTTATATTTAGATAAAATTTATAGAAAAATAATATTTCAAATTGAACCTTTATTTTCTGAATTTTTGGCTGTATGAATTATTCCTTTTACAATACTATTAATAGAAGCATAATTCTTTGGAACTTCAGCACCTTTAAATCGTGAATAAGATTTAATTTCTGGTTTAAGTTTAAGAGCCACAACTCTTTTCATTGTTCTCTCTAAAGCAAGTAATTAGTAATATGAATTAAACTATGATTTCTTTGATACTAAATCATGTTTTAATTTTTCTTACTATTATTTTTGATCTTTATCATATTATTAATGATATACATCCTTCTTTAACTTTATTAAGTTATTATGGAACATAAACTTCTTTAATTTCTTTTATTCTCTTAAATTTCTCTTCTGTATCAGTTGAAACTAATTCATTAAAATATTTTTTTCTCAAATCAGAAATCATATTTAAAGTCAATTATCCTACATCTATCTCTCTAGCTTATTTCTATATTATAATATAATTGTACTTCCAATAATCTAAGTTTTTCTTCTTCTTCTTTTTTCTTTCTCATAATTTCATCTTAATTAATCCTCTATTAAATTTGCATGATAATCTTTCTCTTTTTTGTTAGATCATCTGATTTAATAGCTTTTCTTTACTATTTTTATATAACCTTATTAGATAAAGCCATTTACATTATTTCTAATTTAGTTTAAGGTATATGCTCATCCTAATTACTAATTAGTATTTGTTATTAAATACATGTATAAATTATCAACATGAAGGTAACTTGTTTTTAATTTTGTTTTCTCTGATAATAATGATTAAATTGATTCAGTAGGAGTAAATGCAGTATTTTATTAAAGAATATCTAAAATTTATTATTTACTTGGAGGTATCATAGTATTTTCATTTTAATATTTTTTTAATCCCTCTTCTAAAGTATCAATTTAATTTGATAACTCTTATAAAACTTCTTTTGCATTTTACTTGTAAGGATTAAGAATTTTCCTAATTTATTGAGTAGTTAATTTTCGAAATAAGCTTGAATTATAAACATTTTAATAAACTATTTCATTGTCTTTTTCTTATTATTCTTCAATTTGTTGCATTTTATATATATATATTATATATAAATTATTAATAATTAAACTTTTCAATATTCTCTTTCCCTTTATTTAATAATTTCTTAAACTTCTGTAACTTTTTTAGTTTTTTTATGATTCTCTCCATATTACATAAGAAATTCTTAATAAGCCAATCCCATATAGTGTCTATATTATTCTTCATTATTAAGTTTTTTATAAACAAAGGCTTATGCTTACAGATTATATGTGATTGGCATAATATATAATTTAGTATTATTTTCATCAACATGTTTTCTAAAGTATTCTAAATTATAGAAACAATAAAACCTTCTATTGATTTTAAAACTTATAAAGCCTCTTTGAAATTAACATCATCAGGAAGACTTTCACTTGAAGGTGTACCATATTAATAATATCTCTTTAAATATTTATACCAACATTAAGAAGTCTAAAATAATTATATAAATTCAATAATACTTTTGCATAAAATTATTCAGCTTCTGGTATTTATTTCTTTTATTAGAAAATTTATCCCATATAATAATAATTCAGACTTGTCTTTGGATGTTCAGGATCAGAACTACAAGAATCAGTGTAAATCTATTAGGTAAATAAAATTATACTCCAATAGTTAATTCTGCTAATGCTTTTTTGTAATCCTTTTAAGCAAAATATAATTTTGAAAATATTTTATGCAACTGACCATTATATTCTGCATTCTCTTTTTCTGATATATCTTATCCCATTTTATTGCCATCTTCACTTCCTTTTTCTTTTGGTTTGTTATATTAATATAGATTCCAATAAGCAGCTTAAAGAAATTCTTCTGCTTTTTTTAATTTTCCCTCTGCTATATATGCTTCTGCTTATATAAATAAACCAGGAAGTAGAAGAACACTATTTTCACCTCCCAAAATCTCTTTATATTCAATCATTGCTTTATGAACTTCTTCTGTAGCCTTTCTTATTTCATTAAAGTTACATTCAGCTTGTTTTCTAAAATTGCTTGACGAGCTTATTCAACTATTTTTTTGAGTGCCTCTTTTGCATCCTCTTTACTCTTTTATGTTTTATTTTTATCTTTCTCCTTTTCTGGAATCTGTGATTCCTTTAATTTTTAAGAAGAATTCATATTTATTATTAATCTCAAATTTTATAATTAAGAGTACGACAATCATTCTGTAATTAATATTAATTCAAATTTTATATCATCATTTTTTAAAAACTCTTCCCTAAATTAATTAATTTACACTTTTAATATTTATTTTATTATATTCATTAATTTGTTTTTTTAAGATAATTAAATTTTTTTTAATTTATTTTTATTTCTTGATAGTCATCGCATAAAAAATAATGGGTACAGGGTTATTTAATATTTTAATATATCATCAATGTATAAGGGTAGTTTTATTAATTAATTAGAGTAATAATTAAAAATTGATAATTTGAAGAAAAACTTTATATCTCTAAATGGAATAATTTTTGCATTTGGCATTTTAATTTTAAAAATTAAAATTTCAAGAGAAAAATCAAATGAAATAAAGAGAAGGAATTATATTATAAATACTATTAATATGAAAAATAAAAATATATTTAGAATGGCTTTCTGAACTTTTTGATGATGTACAAAAATATTAAATAACCCAGTTCTCATAATTTTTTATACCACAACTATGCTCTATTATATTTTCTATATTAAAAATAACACAAAAATTTTTTAATTTGTTAGAAGTGTTATTAGTGCTTTTAAACTTACTATTACACTTATTTTTTAGGTTTTTGTATAATTTTGTTCATTTTGATAGGATGAATTAAGATGATAGTCATCTAAAAGGATTGAAAATCAAAATTTTAGTTCATTAAAGGATTCACTATGATACATTTTATACTATCAATATATAGAACTCAATATTAACTATTACTTAATTTTTGCTTTATTTATATATTGAGGTTACAGGGAATTGCATAAATAAATATCTCATTCCAATACTGGTTATCCTTTAATGAACCTCTGGAAATTTGAATAAAAATTAATTGAAGAGTTTTTTTTGTTATCCAAAAATAAAAATATATTAATTTGAATTTGATACTACTGTAATTGATTAAATCTATAGAATCAACTATATATAGATAGTTTCGAAGAATTGTTGTCTACATAGGTATAATAATTATACTTAATTTAATTATTTCTTTTCAAAATATCTGATGTATTTATAGCTAGTTTATTTTTATAAAATATTTTAACTTGCTAATGGATTAAGTTTAAATATAAGATAAAAAGTCTGTGTTTGAAATTCGAAATAATAGAAATGTTAGTTGAAATAGATATGTTTTCTTCTAAAAAATTATTTAATTTATGATATATGTTTAATCATACTTTGATTAACCATAATATATTCTTTTTTAATAACAAAATCAAATTAAAACTTAGATTGTTTTTAGTTATTGAAATATACAAAAAAAAATAATATTAAATATTATAATGTTAACAATAAACTCTGATGACAAGGGAACGTATTATATAAAAACACAACAGGAGATTGAAGTAATAAAAAAATAACTCTAAAAATTAAAGCCAAATTGTAATTTTAATAAAAATAAGAGTAGCTTAAACATCATCATTTCTATAAAATTAATATAACTAATTAAGTGATTAGTTGAAAAGTCTTGAAGATAAATTGTCAAATGTTAACTCAGCTTTTTATGATCAATTAATTAGCAATTTTGATAACACTGTTTAAAAATTACCAAATGTTAATGACAGTATGTTATGAATAAATTAGGAAATCTTTAACCGCAATTCTATACAAATCTTTAAAACAATATGTATCAATAAGTTTAATTACCATTTATTGATTAATTTTTGAATGTACGCACACTCCCATAAGTGAGGTATGAATATAATGTAAATTAAATTAAGCGTAGAACCATTAGGTAAATCAACATTAAAACCAAAAGGATTACATACTGTTAAAAGTGCAATATAATGTAAGTAAATATTTAGAGATGATTTAATTTAGTTAGTCGAAAGTTTTAATCTAAAAAACAGTCTTAATAATAATTGAGTAAAGTAGATGATCTAACTTTATACAAAAAAGGAATTACAGAACTTGTAAATTAAGGAACTATTAAGAAATAAGATATAAATTCTTTATTAAATCCAAACAATATAGCTTTTAGAAATTAATAAGCAAAGTATTTGAAAATAAAAAATATAATAGTTTTTTTGATTACACAGATTAATTTGGAAGTAAAATGATCTAATTGGAGAGTTAATCTTCTTAAAATATATATAAAACTGATTTAAAGAAGGATATTATTTAGATAAATACTTAAAATGAAAGTCAATAATAAGTATAAGAGAATAATAAAATTAATTTTAATTAAAAGAAGATGAGTATTTAAAATAAATAGAAACCAAAATATGTAGATGCTAAGGAAGCAACATCTTTATCTAAGGAACATGAGAGACCTATTTCAGAACAATTATAAAATTTAGGTACTAATTTGGAATATCATATAAATGTTAAAAATGGTTTATTATAGACAGATTAATTATAATATGTTTAATTTTAAAATAGATATTATGAAAATTGGAGTAAAATTGAACCAATTTTGATTAGTTTATAGAAAATAGCATAATCAACATCTGTATAAGATTGTAGAATACTTGGTTCAAAAGTATAAAAGTTATCTTAGGAATTTGATAGAAGTTAAGTATTTACGATGGCAGAATTGCTTTAATGTTTTGAGAATTGGGAAGATTTATAAAAAATATTAAAGGTTCCAACATTATTATATAAATCAAAAGATGGATAAATCTAGGCAGCAACTAAAATATCTGCATATTATAGAGGATATTAAGCTAGAAAAAACTATTATAGATTGAAGATTATGGTAGAAAAAGTGATCATAATTTAAAGATCGATGAGAGTTTCATTATTTAGAAAAAAGGTTTAAAAGTAGATAATAAAAAATAACAATTTTATGCTTGAGAGATTTAAAAATAGATAGAATGTATTTAAAGAAGAATGGTCGTATTTAAAATTATAATAAAGATTTGAAATTCATTTGAATTCTTTTTCATTTGAAGAAATTAAAAGATTATCAATGGATAAATTTCCTTAAAGATAGAATACATAAATAACAAGAATATTTAATTTAAAAGATCCTCTTGTCCATATAATATACATAGCTCCTTATGATTTACCTAGTGAATTGATTGATTACTTTTATAAAATATTAAATCTTGGAGATATTGCTGATTGTAAAAATAGACTTCATTTTGTTTGGCCTGTATAAATATAAATTATAATAGGAAAATCATAATATCTTTAATAATCATATGGGATTGTCATAATTGCTTTATTATTCCCCTAGAGCATTAAAGAGAATTAAAAATTTAATTAGAGGATAAGCTGCGTTTATAGTACCTGGAGTTTGTTCAAATGATGATATTAAAATATCTGATATTTTGAATATTCCTATATTTTCAGGAATTCCATAATTACATTAATATTATTCAACTAAATCAGGATGTAAAGTTTTATTTGATGAATTATAAATGCCTTAACCTCCAACAATTAGAAATATCTATGATGAAAAAGAATTAATTAATTCCTTATCAGTTTTAATCATTAAAAATCCTATAATCAATACATGGATTATAAAGGTGGATGATGAATCATAAGGAAGAGGAATTGCTTGGTTAGAAGTCTAAAAAATGATTAAAAAAATATAACCACTAGAAATTAATTAGTTAGCATAATTATTAACAAAGAAAATTAAAAAAAAGCTTCATTATGCTTTTCCTCATTTATATGGTGGATATCATGAATTTATTATGAGTCTAACCAATAGAGGAGGAATTATTGAAGGAGCACCTTTAAATAGATTATCATAAATACATTCAATTTCATATAACTTTAAAATTGAACCTAATGGAGAGATCTCTTTATTAGGTTCTTATGAAAAAATAAAAACTAATGAAATTTAAACAATTGCTTCTGTAAGCCCTTAATCTTATTTAAAAATTAATTAAGAAGTTTTATGTCATTAGATTGCTTCAAAACTATATAGTAAAGGCTTAATTGGATATTTTACAATTGATACCATAGGATATTAATATGATACTAATAAATAGGGATTCCAAATTATCGGCTTAGATTGCTTTTTAAATCAATATAGTAGTGCTTCTATTTACTTTGATTTTCTTATGAGAGGCAGATTAGATGTTACTACAGGGAGTTACTATGTGGAAGATACAAATAGATAAGCCAATGTAAGATATTCTGTTTATTGTCCTACTATTATGAATGAAGGATTGGATGTATTATAATATAAGACATTCTTTTAATTATGCAGGTTGGAATCCATCTCATTTAATTTAGAAAAAAAAATTGGATCTACTTTTATTCTTGTGGACTCATTACAAAGTGGTGTTATCAGTTTAATGACAGTTGGCATCAATTCTCCTTAAGTTATAAAGTACATGATTGATGCAATAGCTTTTATTTAGAAAAATGTTGGAAGAGGTACTGAACAAATTTAGATAAATACTAGGTAATAATTGATAATAAATAAAATTTAGAACTGATAGAGTCAATATGATGTCAATTCATTAAAAGCTTAAGACAATGTTAAAGAAATTGGAAGGAAGTGAGTATAAGATTCAAAATAGCTAATATTTATGATTATTATAACATTAATATGAGTTCCGTTTAAAAAGAATTACAGATTTCAGATTGCAGTGATCGTGGACTCTATTACGATGGGTAATGCTAATGTGATTTGGGCTACTTTGGAGTTGAATGTGAATTGAAATTAGAAGAACTCCATCTTGCGACTTATTTCACATTCATAGGTTTCTTTTTAATACTCTTTACATTGTTACTTCTTTTCACTATAAAACAATTTTAACTATCTTTGAGAATGAATAAAATACCTTCCTATCAAAAGTATGGAAATAGATTGAATTATTAAATAGAGGATGCAATTACATTAGAAATGTTCTTGGATCTCCACTGAATTGTATTTTATGTCTGACAATTTTGTTTAGCATTCTTAAGATTTTATGGTTAGGTTTGGACCCCTTTTAATTATATGTATGTATCATAAATTTCTCAATTATTTAGGATTACAAAGAGAGAGTTTGTGAGAGAATTCTGGCAGAAGTAGTTTACACTATCTTATTTTATATATATGGAATTTTATTAATGGTTTGGTATACCATGTATGATGAAATTTCATTTAATATTTCTGAGAAAAAGAAAAACAATTTAGAATAATCTTCAGGTCTCAAAACTGAAAGTAGAAGATTCATTCTGGCTTACTACAAAGATATTATGAAGATAAGGCTCTTTCTTGTCTTAATTCTTTAATTGAGTGTTAGTACATTAAATGGTAATATTTAAACCTTTAATTAGGATTAAGATTAGGACAATAGTATAAAACTTTATTATATATTGCATATGTAGTTTTGTTACTCAATTTTATGTATTCAAATAAAATTCATAACTTTTAGTTCATTTATTTTTGAATTCCTTTTATATGGTAGATCACTAAATTAATGCATAGAATAATAACTAAAAAGACTTGATTAAGATAATAGAGAATAAGAAAAAGAAGAAAAATTAAAATTAGCTTAAAATAATTAGCAAGTAATTTATATCTTTTTGTAACAAATAGAATATACTATCAAAAACTTAATTGATATTTTAATAAGAAGATTAATTGTAATCACCAGCCACTCCTGATTAATAAATTTAAAGATTAAGTTCTTTAAGTGAAAGTGATGAAAGTCATGAATAGAAAGAAACATCTAGAGCAATTAAATAAATTGATAAATTTTAGCCTTCATTTCTTTAAAAAAAATAAGTAACTTTTAAATAACCTAAAAATATACCAACTTAATAAAATATTTAAGGTAAAAAAGAAGTATAAAAAATTATAATTAAAACTATTGAGAGTGAAGAATCTTAAAATTCATTACCTGTAGATGAAGGTTCTAATCATTAAAAAGTCAATTCCTGTTTACTTAATGAAGAGGATTTTGATTAAATCAACTTATAATGGAATATATAAAAAGAAAGAGCTAACGTTAAGAAAATAAAAAAATAACAAATTAAAATTGTGGAAAAAACTAAATAATAAATTTATGAAAATAAAAAATAAAAAAAAAAAGCATCAATAAAAAATAATATTAAAGATATAATTAATTTTGATTCATTTTAAAATGAAGATGATAATAAAATTAATAGTTAATTAGTTCTAGCCTACTAAGCAGAAATGCTTGCTTAGTAAAAATAGATTAGAACAGCAAATTTAAATGTTGATAAAAAAGTACTTTCTAAAATCTAAATGCTTATTTATGTTGGAGTATTTCTAGAGATCTGTTTTGGAGCTTTATCTATTGTTATTTTATTAACAGATTTACTAAAAAATCCTTTAGGTTAAATTGATTCTTATTTTAGGAACTATTTGTTATTTATATATTTCAGCTATGCTTCAATTCTTGTCATTAATTACTGTTTTAAAACTTTTCAGAGATGTTAAAAGTCAAGAAGTCTTGAATCTTATTTGGATATAAAAAGTAGGAAATAGAAAAAATAAAATTAATTAAAAGTATTTTTTTACAATTCCTCTTTAATAAACAAGATAGGATGAATCAAAAAGAAAATTCGAACAAAGAATCAATATGCATATAAGATGATGTTTTTAATGTGTATTTATTAATACTTACAAAAAATAAAGATTAATTAATTTTCATTAAATCTCTTTGTCACTAAATTTAATTAAATTATTTGATTAATATTAACTTAATTATTCAGGCATCTTTATTAATCCCATAGATTATTTAACAACCCTAGTTAATTTTTTACTACTAGATCTATCATGTTTTAACATTGTTTTAAAACGACTATCTATAAGGGCTTCACTTCCATGATCAAATATATAAGTTTATCCTAATTCATGATAAAAATCATTTCTAATAATATAGAACAAAATACTCATAAAATTACACTAAATTAGGGCGAAATCTCTGATTATCTTTTATTTTATTATATTCATAGATCATTTATTCTTTATTATATTTAGGATAATAACTATGAAAATCAGCACCAACTTCAAAGTTATTTATCAAAATAAATTAAGATTCTAACTATCATAAAATTAAAATGAGTAAACCTTATTTTATTGTTCTCTTTATTCTTTTTCTCTCTATTATTAATTGTAAGCATTTAAAAGTTAATCTAAAATTTCATTTTAAGTCTAAATCTCTTTATATGTTAATTTTTCAGCCTATATATCTTCTCCTTCTTCATCAAAATCAGATGATGATACAGTTTAATAATCTGAAAATTATTAATCATCATCATCGTCATCTTCTTCTTCTTCTTTAAATTTTGAAATTACTTTCATTGATGTAGCCATAGATTTTGTTTGTGGAAATTCTGATTTAATAATTTACTCATCTTAATTGAATGTTTTTTAATGGATCAAAATACTAAATTCTAAGAGTGAAATTGTATTATACTTTTCAAAACTTCTTGACTAATCATTTATTAAGCTTTTAAAGATTTTATCTTAATTTCTTAATCATTTATATATTATTTCATTTTTCGATATTTAGCTTTATCTTCTCTAAATCTTGATCTAAAAGGACCGAATCTGGGTGGTTTAGCAAGTTTTTATTAGAATTCAATTTTTTCTTCAAAAAGTTATCCATTTTCATTATCTTCAATTAAATTGCATTCATCATATTATGCCATAAGTTTTTAAGCATGGGAAGAAATCTGAGTAACAGTCTTTAAAAATAGAAAAAATAAATTATTACAAATTTGACAATATTTTTATGACGAAGTGCGTGAATATAAATTCTGTCCTTTCTTTCAAAAAGACTTTACATTTTCTTTTAAAAATTAGTTTTAAATTAACAATATTGTTATTATTCAACTACAAAATGCATATCTGGACAATCAATAACAGTGTGATCATCTCTAAGACAACCATAACAAAATACATTAATATGATGATAACCTTTATTAAAAATGATTTCATCTTTTATATAATGAAATTTTTCCTAGAAATAAAACAAATAAGATTACTAAATCAATTTAATTTGATCTTAATAGTTAAGTAAATAAAGATTTATCAATATAAACTAAGGATGAATAATTAACACTTCTTGCTGAAGTAGTTCTAGATAGTCCAGTAAAGAATCCAATTTCACCAAAATAATCTTTTTATTCTAATTTATTGAGTTTTTGATTATTTCTTTATAATATGATTTCAATATTTCCACTTTAAATAAAATAGAGATGTTTTTCAGTAGCAATAGTTTCATTTTCATAGAATATAATTTCTTCAGGTAAAGCAGTATATTATTTAAAAGTTTTAGTAACTTATTTAAGAAATGTTTTTTAAAAGTTGATTCTTAAAGGAGGGCAATATCCAAGTATGGTACCATTGACTTAGATTTCAAATTCGAATTTGAGAGCATAAGATAGATTATCAGTAATATGTTCAAGATTAAATATAGCTTCTTATTCCCAAATGTAAGTGAGATATTTTTTAACTTTATTTTGTAATGGTACAGGTATTTACAATTTTTTCATATATTTAAGAATTTGATTAGATTTTTTACGTATTTCTGCTTTTTTATCTTCCATTCCTTAAAGAGATGAACCAATACTATTAAGTGTAACTGAGAAGACAACAGTAGCAATCATAAGAAAGAATATACCAAATAATCTTTCTAAAGGGGTTCTTGGAGAAATATCACCATAACCAACAGTATTCATAGTTGTAACAGCCCAATAGAGAGAATTAATATATTTAACAGACCAATCTTCATCATATATACCATAAAAGTAGAGCCAATTATCAGTACTATCTTCATTAACAGCAATATAATGAAATATACATCCTAACCAATGAGACCAAAATAATACAAATCCACTAAGTTTTATAAAACTTACAATTGTAGAAAGCATAATATTTAATTAAATAGCATCTTCAATTTTATCAAAGAATACTTTTAATTTAGCTAATCTAAGTAATCTTATGATTTTTATAAATCTCATAAATCTAACTAATCTAAGCAAAGAAAGTGTTTAAGTATATTTAGTAGCATTTTAAGATGATTGAATAGTTGTAGCACTTTCATCTTCACCAACTCCTGTTGATGCAGTTATTATAGCATCATAAGGAAATGATGCTGCCAAATCAATCCAAAACCATAATTTTATGTAATTAAGTACTATTTATTTTCTACCATATATTGGTATTCCTTTTCTATATATACTAGTATTAAATGTAATTATGATATCAGACATAAACATTATATCAATTATTTAATCTAATGTTGCATTAATTTCTACATCAAAACTTAATTTAAAAGGAATACTTAAGATTTCATAAAAAATTAAGAACATACAAAATGTATCCCACATTAATTTACCATAACCATCTGCATGAAATACCCATGTATCACTTTAAGTTTAAATCACATTTCTATTAATATCTTTAGTCTTTAAAAAACTCTATATTTTAGATTTCACTTTTTGAACAATTGCTTATCTTTATTTTAATTCATTTAATATACTTATAATTTTTCTTTTCTATAAATACTGGCTTAGTTGTTCTAAGAGTGCTAGTTAAAGATTCAAATGGTAGTTCTAATTGTTCTATCTATTTCTTTTATTTTTAAAACTCATCTTCATCAGATGAATTCTCTAATTTATCATTTAATGTATATAATTCAAATTAACCTAAAGGTCTCTTTCTAAAATCATTAGTCCTTGTTTCTTTTATTTTCTTTCTAAATTCTGTTTATCTTTACTAACTAATACTTCTCATGTATTTACTCTCCGTATTTCTGAAGTCGATGCTGCTGTCACTGTTTACATCCCTCCTCTTCTTAGTCCTAACTTTGAGTTTATCACAGTAAACATAAATTATTTATTTATAATATATATATATATATTATAATTAATTATTCATAACTTTGGTTTTTTTAATTCCATTCTATTATCATTAAAATTAACTTTGCTTTATGCTTATTATTACTATTCTTATTATTCTAAAGATAATTGATACTTTTCCAATGATTCTTCAACTATCTTACTTGCTTTCTAATAACAAAAATGGAAAGTTTCAATAAAAGTATCCATATGTCTAATATTTTATTATATTAAATCATACTCTTTTGTATGTTATGGTTATAAATTGACTCTCAATCTAGCTTGTCCCATTCTTACAATAGGATATTCAATTCCATTGCAATGAATACCTTCATCAATCATTAATCTAGTAACAACTCTACAAACTAATTCATTCCCTATCAATAAAGGTAGAATAGGAGATGGATATCCTATTATCTAATATCCTCTACTATTGAGTTCTTTTTTCATATAATGATAATTCTCCAAAACTTTTTTTCTTAATCTACTTCCAACCTCACTATTTAAAATTCTTAATTGTGCTAAAGCAGTTGCACATTAAACAGGATTCACTGAATTAGTAAACATATATGCTGATGAGAAGAATTTAAGATAATCAATAACTTCAAATGAATTACATGCTACCCATCCAACATTAGTAGATAAACATTTAGATCCTCCAGACATTAACAAAACATTAGAGAAATCTTATAAACCTTATAATTCAAAGACTCCCTTGCCTATTTGAATATATTTATTAGAATACCTGTTTTTCCCATACATCCAAAATCATGAGCACAATCAATTAATAAGAATGCCTCATATTTCAAAGTCATTTTTTATAAAGCAACCAAATCAGTATAATCACTATCCATACTAAACAAACCTTCTGTAACTACTAAAATACAAGCATTGGGATTTGTTTATCTAATTTCTGATACTTTATTTTCCATGGCTTCTAAACTTAAATGAGGAACTCTTAAAACATTTTTTGTAGCTGCAAATGCTCCTTCTGTTAAACAATTATGACATAATTCATCCATCACTACATAATCATAAGGTCTTTTTTAATTATCTTCATTTTTACCTTATTAATCCTTTTATTACTCCAAATCCTGCCAACCATCCTGCACTATAAAGAATGACCTCTTTCATTCCCCAATAATCTTTTAACTCTTCTTTTAACTGCATATAATATTTTGATGCACCAAATGCTAAAGGTGCTCCACATGAATTTACTGAATATTCTTTTGCAGCATTTATGGCTGCTTCCTTAAATTATTTTTAAATCTAATACTTTTGCTTATTCATTTGTACATAATCCTAAGTAATCTGCTGATGCAAAATTTATACCATAAAATATATCTCCATAATCATCCATTCCTATTCTCATCAATATTATTTTTACCATAACATTCTTGAGCTGGTGGAGACATATTTCTTCTCTCATAAAGAATTATTTTCTATTTCCTTAAAGATCCTACTAAATTCTAAAATCCCTTTACTCTCTCAAACAAATTCTATTTTCATTTAAAACATAATACCTTTCCTTCTACATTTTTATATTCTAAATGACTCAATTTCAAATTTGAGATTGTTATACTTCTATCAAATTCCTAATTTACATTCAAACTTGGATATTTTTACATCTCTTTTCTTTTTAATTCAAATATTCTAATATTAACTTCCCTCATAAATTCATGATTTGAATCACTCAAAATTACTATTCAAAATTATCATGATTAATTAAATACGTATTATTTTATTACATAATATTATTAAATAATGTATCTAATTTTCAAATTTATTTTCTTTAATCAACTCTTTTTATATAAACATGATTATAATATATACTTCCCTAATTATTGCAAATCCTTCAAATTATTTCTTTATGTCCCTAAATTTAATACACTCTTTTTTAATTCAAAGGACCATTGAATTACCATTCTCAATGATTGTGACTATGTATTTTAATCAACATAGTCAAATCTTTTAATTATTCTATATTCATATTTTCCATAGGTTCATATTAAGGAAATTTCATATATAATTTTAGATTGCTGGCATATATTTCACATACATAAAATAAATATTACAAAATATTTAATTTTTTCGAATCTATTAAATAGATCTATAGGAAATAAATTGATATAAAAAATTATTATAATAAATTATGAAAAAAACATTGAAGCTACTTTGGATGGATGAAAATATTGATAATTAATAAAATAGAGCTTATCAATAAAAACTTCAAGAATTATAAATAGACATCAATTTTTTCAATATATATTTAGATGCATAACAGTTCATTTAAAAAAATGAATAAATATTTGATTTAGTGATGATTATTTCAGAAGCTTTACTTTATAAATTAGATCCTTCTTTGAAAGGATATTTCATTTGTTTTTGTGGAAATTCCAAATTACACTATTAAAAGTTTTTAGATCTGAAATAATTGATAGCATTGATTGATAATGAATTTGATAAACTTAAATTGCTTCTTAAATAATACATTTAATTTTTGAAATCCAAATAAACTTTACACCTTTCATTCTGTCCATCTTTTGTTTAATAAACTAATTATTAACATTCAATTGAAGAGCTCAGTTTTAGGTTTTTAATGATGATTGCAAAACTAAAATAGAATGTAAATATTACAGAACAAAAGAAATTAGAAGAAATGTTGGATTCAGATCTCAGAAAAATGGTTAATGAAAATTAATTAAATGAAATTAAGTAAAAGATAAAAAGTAAAAATTTTAGCATTTTGGAAAAACTTATGTATTATTATTCTTCAAATTTAATTTATTAGAAATTAAATCAACATTTTGCATCATAAAATTATGAAGAAATACAAAACATAATATTGGTGCTTTTTGATGGTTTTTCAAAATTAAAATATACTTAAACTGTTCCAAAATTTGTATATAGAGGAATTTCATTTGATGAATAAACTTATTAAAATAATATCAATGATCTATTAAATAGCGAAAAAAATTAAAAATATATTTTTTGGAATGCTTTAACTAGTGTATCTAGAAATAAAGCTGTGGCTTAATATTTTGCTTCACATAAGAATTACGGAATCATTTTTGAAATAGAATTAAGTTAAGAGAATCCTCATCCTTATTTTTATTTTAATGATAGCAACTCAGAATATTATGAATAAGAAATCCTTTTGTTTCCCTAATTTGGATTTTAAGTCAAAAAGAATAATAGTGATGGTAAATTTTTATTCTGTTAAATTAAATAAATACAAAACAATTTTGCTCTGGCTCTTAATTAAGATAAAAGAGAATAGTATTGGAATGAGAGAATAGAAAAGGAAATTAAACAAAATTTAGAATAAGTATTGAAGTTTAACATAACAAGAATTTATTCTGTAATTAATATACTTTGTAATTCTAATGAAATAAAAAATAAATCTGAAGTTTTAAAAGAAGAAGTCATATTCTGTTTTAAGAATTTGATTGAATAGTTTAAAGAGTATTACCCTGAATATTCATAATTTCATAGCTTATTAGATAGCTTTATAAGTGTAATTCAAAATAGAATGAATTTTAATTTTTCAATTGACCAAACTTCTGTTTAACCTATTTACGAATTAATTAACGCAGTGATATAAAATTTTTAAGATGAGTTTATTAAATTGATTAAAAGATTATTGAATTTTTAACCAGATAATTTAATTAGAAATATAAAAGGTTATTCAATATAGGATGGATTGTAAAAATAAGGTTCTTATAATTCTAAACATATATATAAAGAATGGGAACCTAAATAAGAATTTAATAAAAGTGGTTAATCTAGAATACTTTTAATAGGTAATGGAGATTAAACCTATTTATTTAATAAAATTTGCAATGCCAAATTAAGTGAAAATTTTAATTAAATTAAATTTAATACGGTAGGATAATCAATAATTAATAATATCGAAGTAATTTATGCCAATTCAGATTCTTTTATTAATTTAGAAGGTTGGTTAGGACTATAAAAAGCTTTAGGTTTAGGATTATTTAATTAGATATTTGTTGTTGATTAGATTACTTACAGAAGTTCTCTCTATTTGATATCTGCTATAATTGCAAAATTTAAGTAATACATTAATCTAATTACATTTATTGTATATAATTAATATCATGAATCAGATGATGATTTTTAAGAGCATTTTAAAAATATTGAAATAACAATAAGTAAAAAATATAATAAATTGAAATGTATTGCTATTTCAAGGAAAGATAGTCCTTAAGACAGTATTTAAAAAATTTTAAATGTTTATCCAATTAACATTCAATATGAAGTTAGGTTATCTGAAAATTTGATTATTGAGGAATCATTGAGGCTTAAAAAGCATGAAGATGATGAATTTTTTGTTTTTATAGAAATGTTGACAGCAGATCTAATTGAGTGTAAAATCCATCCAATTTTATCATCAGTATAAAGGCTTCTTTATAATTTAGAAAAAAAAAATGAGGAACATATTAATAATATTGTATTTTGTTTGAGAATTTATGTATTTAATTGGATTTCAACTACAATTGTGGAATATATGAATAAAAATGAAAAAAGTATTGAGGAATAATTGAGTAAGTTTACATGTAAAGATGATAAATATCTTACTTTATGGAATGTTTTGTATGAAATAAATTAAGTTACCTAATAAGAGTACGAAAATATAAATTAAATTATATTGGATTGTTAATTATCTAATTCCACTATTTACAGAAATCTCAAAGCTTGTCCTCATTGTGGTCTTATTTGGTTGAAGGTATCAGATTGTAATGGTTTAAGTAATTGTGGAGAGTTTCCATAAACAGAAGCTAATTATGTAGAGAAATTTTTTCATTAAATTTATACATTTACCATAGAAAACGAATAAATAAGTTTTAAGAAAAGTGAGGAATAATTACAGGGGAAATATTATTAATAACCTTAGGAAAAATTATATACAGAACCTCAGAAAAGAGTAGGTTGTGGTAAGTATTTTGATTGGGATATTTTGCCAACTTTAGATAAAAAAATTATTAATGAATAATTATTTAGCTTCAATTTAGGATAATAGTAAGATGAATTAGAATAAAAAATTTGGTCAAATCCTCAAAATAATTAGTAAATATAGAAATCAAAATAAAAATTCTAAAATGAAATTCTAAACTTAATAATAAATGCAAGGGTTGATTATTTATGAGTAAATTAAATCAAAACTCTTGAAAATTATTAGTTTACTCAATCTCTTTTCCTTCTCAAAATGCTAATAATTTGATAATATTTTCTATTATTAAGCATATCCTTTATTATAAATCTTAAATTATTCTCGATGTTCTTTAAAATTTCTATGCTTCTTCATTATTTCTAGTATACATATATAATTATTTAATAATCTGAATTTAAAATTTTTAACTCTTTAATTATTAAGCATAATAAAAATATAATTTCTAAAAAAAAAATAAATATATTTTTATCAAAGTCTCTCTTATAAAATCTATTATATTTCAATATAAAAAATTGGTTTAATTTTTAAAATACATAAAGTATTGAAGTAATTAAGTTAAATTATATTTTTTTTTTCTTGGAATTTTGTCTGAAGAAATTTAACATTTTAATTTTCTATACTTTTATGGAAACTCTATAGATTGTATTTTGGAACATAATTCACTTTTATGTATCTAACCAAGCGAGTCAAAATTTTTTATTAAGTTTGTGTATGCATAATATAATCTAACTATTGATGAACTAAATCTTTTTTCAGTGAACTACTCTGTACTTTTAGAAAAATATACTATTTTTTTAGTAGCCATCATTTCTAAATTTTTAAGATCATTCATTAAATAATTAATGATCACAATCTAAATCAATAATGTAAAAATAAAAAAAGTTCCAAATAATTTTAAACTTAAATTAATTGAATAATTTTAGAACCAAATCTATTTATTATAAATTTCTAATTGCTAATTCTAATATTAAGTTCCATCATAAACCACAAATATAAAATAGTTTAAATCTAACAATTTAGTTCTTAAAACTATAATATTTTTTTAATAGACACTATTGTATAAATAAAAGATATTTTAATCCTATTTAATTAAGATATTCCAATCAGTTTCATTAAAACCTGTTAAGCTTTAATTATATATTTTAATTAAAATACTAACACCATTAGCATAAAGATCACTTATTACTATATTTCCACTTGCATCAACCAAATAATATTAAGATGTATTAGTTTAAATTTTAGGCATTCTTGTAAAATCCAAATCTTAACCTATCAATCCTTCGAACTAATTTCGAGATAAATTTGTTGTTTATGAAATGAAAACTATATCAATCCATGAAACATAAGGATCACTAACTATTATCTATTTTCCTGTTCCCATCTATGCAATATGATCTCTATACCATTATCTAGTGTGAGGGTAATAATTCTATAATGCATATCCTCTATTTTATGTAAAAAACTACTCTTCTCCAACATGGGCCATTAGGGTTAATAATTAAAGATCATAAATTCTTAATGTTTCAGTTAATAAGGATGTTAATTTTAATATATTCTCATATTTACTTATATTTAAACCATTTGTCTTATTACAAAATGCATAACAAAATGAAAAAAAGTATGCATACGAATCATTATATTAATTATTATTTAAGCAATCATAAGGCATTTTAATATAGAAATTGCTATCTATCATTTAATACAACTAATTAATTGATAAAAGCTATCTTCTACTATCTTCAAATACATCTAAAGTCGATGATTTTTCTAAGTAACCCAACATACTCAATTGGTTTTAGGTTTCTTTATCAAATATTTCTTAAGTTATAGCCATTAATTTTTCTGTAACAATGTACATATATATTAAATTGCAAACTACAAATAAAATGACACTAAAAAGAGTAATGACAATGTGAAAGCAATAAATCTAATTGCTAATCCGCCAATTTCGACATAAAAAGTTTCTATAAATCTAATTTTTCTGAATCATATAATTTTCCTTAAAAAACAAGAAATTTATTTTTTTTTTAAACATTTTTTTTTACAAGGTTTAATAAAAGCATCAACAGATTAATTATTTGATTATGATTTTACAACTGTTCACAAGTATAAATGTGTTTTTTCAAAAAATAATTTAGAAATAAAAAACTCACTAATAAAACCCTTGATTTTAAGTTTAGACTTTTTTAGAACTATATGTATTAATTACTTATTTCAAAGATGCTAAAACTATGATAAAATTATTTTCAAAAAGTAAAAAATAAGTAAAAATCATATCAATACATTAAATAGAATAGTTAGTTGGTATAATAAATTACTATTAACTATCTTCATAAAGAATCATAAGTTATTAAACTCTATATAGTAAAATTTTTAAGGAATTTTTTAATAAAATTATTTATAATAATTTTGACAAAATAATATTAATATTGGGTTTTATTTATTCTGCAGAGAAATAAATATTTTCAAATAATTACTTTAGAAATCATATTTGTTTGATTTAACATGCAAGATAACAAAAATTACAAGTTTCTAATTTTGTTTTGGAGGTTCCAATTTCAGTAAAATTTCGATGTTTATATATTTGTAATTTAACAAAAAATTTGATAAATATAGAATATAGAGATAATTGATATATTAATAGAATCTAATATATACTTTGATAATGATCATTCTTTAACAATTAATTATATGCAATAATTTCTTAATAAAACTTGTTACATAATTTTGTTTTAAAGAATCTTCCTTTTGGAGAACCTTTAGCGATAGAGCAATATGAATTTGTTTTGACTAAAGAATATAAATTTTATAGTAAAAATAATTTACATATGATAGAATCAGACAAAAAAGAGTGATTAAACAAATAAGTTTGATTAAATCAAGAATATGATAATTGTCATTGTAGCTATAATATGTAGATTAAGATTAAATATAATATGTTATTATTATAAATTATTAATTCACGAAGATGGGGAGTAGTTGTTGTAATCATCGTGAAATGAATCAATCTTAGTAATAAAAACATACATAAATTTTGACCCCAATAATGAAATCTAATGATAATTGGGATTCCTTTTAGGATGATGATGACTTAATTTTACCAATGCAAAAATATAAAACATTATGTGCAATATCAAAAACAGAACTTGATTTTACATAGGTTACTAATCAGACGAAGATGAAGTAGACAATTTAATTGCCATCAGCTAGAAAATCAGTTAAAATAAGCTATGATAATTTTATTACGATGAAATAAGGAGAATGGAATGAATAATATAGCATTTTAAAAAAATTAGGTTAGGGAAGTTATGGATGTGTATGGTTGGGTAAACATAATAAGACAGGTATCCTAAGAGCACTCAAATAAATTAAAAAGGATTCATTATTATTTGAAGATTAATAAAGAATGTTATCAGAGTTGAATATCCTTAAATCTTTAGATCATCCAAATATTGTACGTGTTTTTGAATGTTTTTAAGAAGATGAACAATATATAGTTGTAACAGAGTATTTAATTTTAATAAATTAAGATATCTTCCAGGAGGGGAGTTATTTGAAAGAATAAAGAAATTATAAATATTTAGTGAAAGAATGGCAGCAGATTATATAAAGTAAATTTTATAAGCAGTAAGTTATTGTCATGAAAAATAAATTGTCCATAGGTATTAATAGCAATTAAATTATAATTAGAGATTTAAAACCAGAAAACATTCTATTGAGTGGATAGGGTGAGGAAATTAAAGTAATTGACTTTGGAACTTCTCGTCATTTTACTTAAAACTTTGATATGAAAAAAAGATTAGGAACACCATATTATATAGCGCCAGAAGTTTTAAATCAGAAATATAATGAAAAAGTAGATATTTGGTCATGTGGAGTTATTTTGTATATTTTTTTATGTGGATATCCTCCTTTTGCAGGAAAAACTGATAAAGAAACTTTAGCAAAAGTACAAGCTGGAAGATTAATTTTTGATAGAAATGATTGGTCAACAGTATCAAGTGATGCTATAGATTTGATAAGTAAAATGCTGAATTTAGATGTTACAAAAAGATATTCTGCTTAATAAGCATTAAAACATTCTTGGATTCAAAAAAATGCAAAATAAGAAATAATTTCTTTGTAATTACTAAGTAACATAGAAAAGTTTTAGGTTTAAATATTTATATATATTAGGTATAAAGTAATTTTAAAAAAGCTGTTATGACTTATATGGTGAGTCAAACTTTACAAAGTTAAGAAATTAGTGAACTAAAAGCTACATTTAATGCATTAGATAAAAATCATGATGGCAATTTAAGTAAACAAGAATTAATAGCTGGATATAGATGTTTATTAAGAAGCAAAGAATAAGCTGAAGAAAAAGTGAATTAAATTTTAGATACTTTAGATTTAAATCATTCCAATCTTATTGATTACTCAGAATTTATTATGGGTGCAATGAGAGTCGAAAAATTAGTTTCAATAGAAAGAATTAGATAAGCATTTAGAATGCTTGATATTGTAATTAATTTTATAATTTTAGAATGGTGATGGATATATTTCAAAAGAAGAACTTGAAGAAGCTATGGGATTTTTAGAACCTGAAATATGGGAATAGTTTTTAAATGATTGTGATCTAAATAAAGATGGAAAAATATCTGAAGACGAATTTAGTAAAATTTTAACTACCACATGATAATATTTTCTAAATTTTCAAACTATTATCTACTTCATTCTTTTATTCCTAAAGCACATTATAATCTATCTACCAACTTTGAACCTCCTATATCTGAAGCCGTATTTAACATATCTCCTATTCTACATTTTAAAGATATAATTTCCTCTTACAATTATTCAATTTATTAATCTGAAGTTTCTTAGACTTTTTCATTTATATCATTCTCTATAACAGTATGCTAATTATTCAATTACTAATTTGATATCTCAATTTCCAACTAATCTCTTTTTTATTCTAATTCTTTTATCACTCCATTTAAAAATATTATTTTCTATTCATATTCCTTAATCTATTCAAATTATTTTTCATTTGTCAACTATATTCGTTTTGTATATTCATAATTCTCTTTTTATAATTTTTCTAAATTCTCTTTAGCACTTTCTAAAAACTTAATCAAATTTGATTATTCAAATTCATTTTATTAATATTATAAGATATCTGCTTTCATTTATTCTATAATATCTTCCTTTTCTCTTATTTTCATGTTATAATTTTTAGTTACAGATTATAACTCTAATTTATTTTTCTCTTCTCTTAATTAAATATCATCATCCTTTTAAATTATCAATCTCTTAAGATTATCTTTCTCTTACTTATGTTCTTAAATTTATTACTCTAAACTTTCAACTTGTTTTGTTAAATTTTCAACTTATAAATTATAATCCTTGTTTATTTCATCAACCTAATGTTACCATTTAAGTTTGTTACTTCTATTTTCTTTATCTAAATCTTATACTTTTAGTTATATTTCATTTAACAGTTAGTTTTAACTTTTTAATGCTAAATTCTATTCTTAAATCTTTGATAACTATAATTCCTTTTCTTTCAATTGTTCAAACAATANTGATTACTCAGAATTTATTATGGGTGCAATGAGAGTCGAAAAATTAGTTTCAATAGAAAGAATTAGATAAGCATTTAGAATGCTTGATATTGTAATTAATTTTATAATTTTAGAATGGTGATGGATATATTTCAAAAGAAGAACTTGAAGAAGCTATGGGATTTTTAGAACCTGAAATATGGGAATAGTTTTTAAATGATTGTGATCTAAATAAAGATGGAAAAATATCTGAAGACGAATTTAGTAAAATTTTAACTACCACATGATAATATTTTCTAAATTTTCAAACTATTATCTACTTCATTCTTTTATTCCTAAAGCACATTATAATCTATCTACCAACTTTGAACCTCCTATATCTGAAGCCGTATTTAACATATCTCCTATTCTACATTTTAAAGATATAATTTCCTCTTACAATTATTCAATTTATTAATCTGAAGTTTCTTAGACTTTTTCATTTATATCATTCTCTATAACAGTATGCTAATTATTCAATTACTAATTTGATATCTCAATTTCCAACTAATCTCTTTTTTATTCTAATTCTTTTATCACTCCATTTAAAAATATTATTTTCTATTCATATTCCTTAATCTATTCAAATTATTTTTCATTTGTCAACTATATTCGTTTTGTATATTCATAATTCTCTTTTTATAATTTTTCTAAATTCTCTTTAGCACTTTCTAAAAACTTAATCAAATTTGATTATTCAAATTCATTTTATTAATATTATAAGATATCTGCTTTCATTTATTCTATAATATCTTCCTTTTCTCTTATTTTCATGTTATAATTTTTAGTTACAGATTATAACTCTAATTTATTTTTCTCTTCTCTTAATTAAATATCATCATCCTTTTAAATTATCAATCTCTTAAGATTATCTTTCTCTTACTTATGTTCTTAAATTTATTACTCTAAACTTTCAACTTGTTTTGTTAAATTTTCAACTTATAAATTATAATCCTTGTTTATTTCATCAACCTAATGTTACCATTTAAGTTTGTTACTTCTATTTTCTTTATCTAAATCTTATACTTTTAGTTATATTTCATTTAACAGTTAGTTTTAACTTTTTAATGCTAAATTCTATTCTTAAATCTTTGATAACTATAATTCCTTTTCTTTCAATTGTTCAAACAATATCACTTTATTATTTTCATGCTCTTCAACCTATTTTTATAGAATTTCTTTTTCCTTTTGCCATTCATCATTCTCACTAAAAAGTTATTATTGTAATTCCTATAAATCATTTGTTAAATTGCCTTTAATTAATTTATTTTCTGATTCTAACTTACTGATTATATTATTCGTTTCGTTCATCTTTTCTTAAAACACTACAATTTATTTTTATTTTTGTTAAATCATTTCTTATTATTCCTAATTCTATTTATTTAAAGATATAACATTTTATTTTTAATTTCTTATATAATTTTCTAATTCTTGTTTTTCTTATATTACTTTATTATTTTCTAGTCTTAGTTCTTCTATAATTAGTTAAAAATTTTATAGTTAGTTTTATTAGAATTAATTATTTTAAGATTTTTCTTCTAATATGATCTAATTTTCCTTCCAAATTTTTACCTCCTCTTCCATTTATTAAATTCTTAATTAACTTTTGTCTTATAATTCTTATAATTCAAGTTTATGTAGTTAATTTTATTAATCTAATCTTTCCTTACATTGATCAATTTAAGCCTTGATCTTTTCTTCCTACTAATCAATACGCATTTATTATTCTTGTATTTACTATTTATTTTAGTATAGAATATCTTCTACCTCTTTAGATTAAGATTATTCAGAAATCTTTTCTTGATATAATTTCATTTATTGCTATAAACCATTTATTTACTGTTTAAGTTCGTTCTTTTCCTATAAAAATTAGTTTTACTACAATTCTAATTGAGTTTGAAAGATCTTATTTTATTCAATTTATTATTCACATTTTTATTATTCTTCCTAAATTTTTCTCAATAACCCTTAATTTGTGTTTCTTTATTTTTCAATAATTTATTCATCTTCTTAGAGTTTTAAGCCTTGATTCCTAATTATATCCTCTTTATCTTTGAGTTCACTTAGAATTTGGTTTATTTTTATTTAGTTTTATTGCTATGCCTCAATTTCTTATTAATCTAATTTCAAGTTCTTTAAATTGACTTAAAGTCCTTGGCTATAACTTTATTAATCAAATAATTAAGTGTTTTATTAATATTGTAAAGTATTTCCTTTATGTTAAATAATTTAAATATTACTTTCATCTACTGTTTAATTTAATTCTAAAAATTTTTGATTTAATTAAGTTATATAATTGTCTTGCTCTTTCATCTTCTTTGTTGCTTCTTAGATTTCAGAATTTAATTTTGAATTTAAAAGTTCCTTTTATTATTCTCTATCTTAAATTTCTTTTAGTTTGTCTTGTAAAGATTTTGTTTTATTTTTCTCAAACAAAACTATTTGTTTTAAGGTATTTAATTCTTCTTTCAAATTATTATGCTTTTCTAAAGAGATTTTATTTTATAAAGTTAAATTTTCATTTTCAGTTTAAATTTATGATAATTGTTTTTCATAAAATAAGATTTAAACTTGATATTAATTATTATTAAGGTTTTGATCTTATTATTATATTAAATCATGGACTTAGATTAATAATTATTCTTTTTTTGCTTTTTCCATTTAAATTTCTTAGCTTAACTAATAATTTTAATCTTTTATTTCAGCATATAATTTTCTTGATTCATTGAGTTCATCATTATTTAATTAATTTTAAGTGAGAAATTAACTTTATAAACTAATAGCTGATTCTATATCACTTACTAATGGAGTTTTTGGTTATATTTTTGAATTAGAATTATCAATACATGAATTTGTAATCTATTTAGTTTCACAAAAGTTTTTTTTAGCTGTGCTTTCAGTTAATTATTTATCAGGAGTTAAAATTTATTATTTTTTATCTGTTACTTATTCTACTGTGATTTCGGATGCTTGACTAATTGTTTCAAAATCAATTTCTCCTAATTGAATAAATTTAATCTTAGTGAAAATTTTTGCATGCTTATCAGGACATTTATCTAAATGAAATTATTCACTAATGTCTATTTTTGCCATTAAAAATACCATATTTATTTTAATTTAAGTATGTTGAGAAATCTAATTGACATTAACCAGCTGCTTTATTTCCTTTATCAGTAATTATTACAACAGTTAATTATGCCTTTTTCTCTTAATAAATTCCATTCACTTCATAAATATTGGTCTATAATGACAATGTTTCATTAATCTATGCAACACCTTTTGTAAAATCTGCTAATTATTATGTTTCAATTTTCTAATTTCCTATTCAATTGTAAAATCAAATATTACCTCTTTTTAGAAGTATTTGCATTTTACATTGAAAATTTACATTTATTACAACCTTTTCAATATATATATTCAATTAGAATTTGAATCCTTTAGGGTTCATGTTTGTTATAAATAAATTATTTTTAAATTCTCAAATTTATAATTCATATAACTCAATAAATTATTTTTTGTCACATTTACAAATATACTTTGTATTTGCATCTTATAATGCTATGTAAATTGGATTGACTTTTTTATAATTTAATTAATTAATACATATATGCTCATTATCTTTATTTGTAAGTAAACAAATCCATAATTTATTTGTCATTTTAAAATTGAATATTTATTACAATATTTTTTATAAATTCTGCTTTGATAAGTCTACAATATGAACTAAAGTATTTAAAGCAATCTTATATTTTACTTCATCATCTAAACAATCAAAAATTAATACTGGTTATTAAGGATTATAAATTTATTTACTGAATATTTATTTAATTTTTTATACCTATGGGTGATTTAAATCTTAAATTTCCCATTTCTCTGTAAATAAAATATGTTAATTAATCATATCCTATACTTCATAAGGTGATATTTATATCAACTCTAATAATGGCTATTTTTCTTATTCCAAAAATATTGGTTTAGCATGATGATTAAATAGATTTAAGGAATCTAAATAAATCCAAAACTATTTTGGTGTATAAGTATGTATTTTTAATGCTATTTTAATAATATCATAATAGATCTTTTCATCATCTAAAATTATTTTTGACAAAAAATATGGTAAATTATCAGGTTTAATTTATAAGATTTCTTTTTTTTTATAAATAACAATGGCAATATTAAAACTAAAGATGAAATATCTATCATTTATCAGAATTGTATTTTCTATTATCATTTATGCAATTGGAAATGAAGCTTTGTTAATACATAAAGTGATAAACCAAGGTATAGCATACAATTAAGGTGAAATATCGTGTAAACTTAATGTATTATACAATTCCATATCATGATATTTTAGTAATAAATTGTAAACACATAATATTGATTAAATGCCTGAATAATCCTAAGAATATATTAATTTTATATACATTATCAAAAAAATTAGTCATATATCTTCGAATAAATTCATTGAACATAGAATAAATAACAGATATTTCTAAACCTGCCTATAGAAATATTATAAATGGAGCTGCAATTTCATGTAAACCTTATTTATAACTAATTTTATTTGAAATCACATAATAAGTAAGTAATTATTCAAGTTAAGTTTTTAAATTTTAATCAAGTAAATTTCCTCTAGTCCTTATTACATCAAATCTAATTATATTTTGTTATACTTTATTACTCTTTAATTTTATTAATTCAATAAAACACTTTATATTGGATGAATCATCTTCAAATCAATATCCATCAATTTAGGCCACATTATTGCTCTAGTATATAAATAATTTGCTTTAGAAATTATTTAAGATATTTGTATTTTTTAATTTTCACTCCTAGATCTCATTATAAGAATTTTTATTTTTTTAATATTAAAATTAATTAAAAAATATTTTTATCATATTCTTGTTTATCTTTTTCTAATAAAATTTCTTCTGATTTCGTTATCAACAAACATATAGTGATTTCTAGCTGAAATTTAATGAGAATAAACAAAATGCCTCTCCTCTTTAATATCTTTAGTAGCAAAATCTATGTATTGATTAATATTTTTAAAGTGATGTTTAATTAAGGTTTTCCAATTCGTATTTGTTATATGATTTTTTTATTCTAAATTGTCCAACAACAATGCAAACTTTGATTCTTATTCTTATATCCTATTTTTCTCTTTTGAAAAAGAATCTTTAATTTATTATAAAGTTTAAAGAACTCCATCTTCTAACATAGAGATATCAGATATAAGATTATTTAGTCTGAAGTTTTTTGTTTACTTTTTTACTACAACACTTTTGGAACATGAATATAGCTATTCTTTAGAAAAACTAGGAGAGCGAAATTAATTTAAATAGAATTCATGTTCTATTGGTGGTAATTTTACTTATGCTTGAATTTGATCTATAAACACTTTCACATCCTATTTTGATTTAAAAGCAGTAGCTTGCTTATTAGGAGTTTTAGTCTATTTTTATCTTTTATAATTAAAGCAAATTTCAGCGTATGTGTCATCAAGCATTTTTACTTATTTACAATATTTTTATAACTTATTCACTTTATCTAATTATTTCAATAATAAATGAGCAAAACTTAAACATCATAAAAAGATTAAAATTATCAATATTTTCTTAAATTCTTAATCAAGAAAATATGAGATCAAATTTAACAATTTATGTTACGTAATTTAAGACGTATATTTATTATTCATCAAAAAAAACATATATTATTGATTGAACTGAACTAATCTGATTCATTTTAAATAAAATAACCCTTAATAAATGTTTTGCAAATGCTATAGCATGTTTCATATAAAATAAAATTGTTTATAATCTAATTCTATATTTAATTTCCATCTTTTTTTATTAGGTTAAGTTTATAATTGTAAAAGTTCCATATTTAACTTAATATAATTATTAGAAAATCATCATATTATCAAGTTCTTCATTTCTTAACAAAGGTTTTGTAATTTATTAAAGAATTTAATAAAATTTGAAACTTGTGTCTTTTAATAATTTTTTTCAAAAAATAACTCAAATTAATAATATATAGATTAAAATCAATTGTTTGTTAATCAAAATATAAACAACATTAATTTCATTTTAATCATTAGAAATATGGCCATAATTTTTATTAAAAATTAATTTTATTCCTAGAGGCTGTTGTGTCACTAGGTAATGTTTTAATTCTTGTAGAATTGCATATTTATGAATCTAATTTCATAATATTAAATTATTTATTTAAAAACTAATTTTATTTGCTATTTAATTAAATTTATTTAGGTAAATTATCTGATGATTTAGATTGAATTAATTATTATATATTATTCTCAATTTGAATACTATTTTTTTTTACAGCAATAAAATACTAATTAAGTTCATTTAAACTAGGTTAATTAATATCTGGTAATTTAGATTAAAATATATTATTATTTTTATGATTTTTTTTAGTTTTTTCAAGAACATATTATGCTATGACACTATGAGATGATTTTCTTGTAAATATATTATGATTTGACTAATAATGTAATCTAGGAGTGAGGTATTAGTGATTTCTTGAATCAATAGTTTATAATTTCTATAATTAAGTTTTTTTAAATTATAGTCTCTAGATGACAACTGGAGAAGATTCACAAGAAGAATCAAATTAATCCTAAAAAATAAGATTTGATTTAATACAAACTTCTTAGCCATTACTTCATGATATTTCAATAATTTATCCCTAGATACAAAAACACTATTTTTTGGTTCTTATATACAAGTTCTTCTTCTTAAGATAAGATGAGAATCTCTTTTTCTTCTAATTAGTATATAGATTTTTCTCTCTAGTTCTGGTTCTATTTTAGTGATAGGACCTTAATATTGTTGATCGCAATTAGTTTTTGATCTCTTATGAGTAATTTTTAGAATTGTTGTTAAAGGAATACTTCTACTTCTATGTTGACGATAATGTTTTTTTTAATTTGCTCTTTACATAAATTCTAATTAGTTATTAATCATACTATACTGCATTTTTAATCTATTCATTTTCTTTTTTTTTAATATTGCAACATCTTTAGAATGTTAAAAGACTTAAAATTAAGGAGCTATATTATTAAGTCTTTTTTATTTTGAACTAATATATTCATATTGACTGAATCTTCTAATAATACACTTTTTCACAGGACTCTCAGGAATAATATTACTTGTATTTTAAACTACTTCTGAAATTTCAACTTTTTCTAATCTAGACGATCTTCTTGATGATTGTCTAAGATGTGAAACATTTGGTATATTTAGATTATTTCTAAACTTTGGTTGTTATCTCTATTATTGATTAGATTATAGTAAAGAAACTGATGGCAATTCAAAAGATTTAGAATGCTAATTCTAATAAAATCTTTGTCCTAAAATTTGACATTTCTATTTTTATAGTAGATTCAAATTGCTCCTTTTTTATCTAATCTCCTTTAAATTGATTTTTAACATTAAATTTTATATTGACAAAAATAGGATTAATTTTAGACTCTTCTTATAAGCTATCAAATTAGTATATAAAAGTCATTCAAATATTTGATAGTCAATTAAGTTATATGAAATTCAATAGGAATATATGGAGTATTATATATATTTAATTATGAATAGAATTAAAGGAAATGCAAGAACCAATTTGAAATTAGTTGAGCTTGTTTAAAGAGGAATTTCAATTCAAGGAAAAAGTTGAACTTTGCTAAAATTATAGTATATATCAAAACATAGTAATTTTTATTATTTATTGAATTAGATAGAAAACATGATAAATTATGGATATTTCATAATACAAGTTTATATGAACTTCCAAGATCTTCCTGATATTAAGATCTTTATAAAAGAGAACTAAAAATAAAGAAAAATAGAAGAACAATAACTTTTTTAAGCAAAAATGTTATGACTGAAAAGAATGTAAAAATAACTATGAAATTAGTTTATTTTTATAAATATAATAAATAATTAATGCAATTGCAGGACAGTTTATTTTTTTAGAGTCAACTCTATGTAGCAGAATTGTGTGAACCTATAAATCTTATAGAATTTGTAATAGAGGATGTATAATAAAATCAAGAAAAAGAACAAAAAATATCATCAGGTCATTAAGTTTCAGATCGAAAATAAAAAATAAAAACTTCAAATGAAAAGAGTATAGATTTGTTGAAATAATCTAGTTAGTTAATCCATCCAAATCTAATGTCACTCGCAATGAATAAATTAAAAATAATAAATAAGATTCTTTATCAAAAGGAAAAAATTGGATTATCAAGAAATTAAATGAAGAAAATTAACCTAAATAGTAAGTAAAATGTTTACCTAATTTGCCTAAACCTATTAAAAACTAAGTAAAGTTATTTTCAAACACTGCTTCAAGATAAATTAAATAAAGACTCAATAAATTTATTGTTGATTAGAATAAGAATTAATTCATCATCCAAAATGACATTTTATTAGGATAAAATTCACTACCTAATTTAGGTAATAATGTTCTTGAAATTATAAAAGTTAGATTAAAATCAGATTCTCCAAAATAAATGCCGATTTATGATGTTAATTTTTTTTAGAATTTTTAATAATTTTTTTCTTGATATTGAGTATAATTAATTATTTATTAGTTTCATTTGTATTTTTTTATTTATATGTCATACAAATACATAACTTAAAATGTTTTAATAAAATAAGAAAATTATATGAATAATAAATATACAATATGACGTATAAGTTAAATATTATAATATCAATGACAATTAGGAAGATTAATCTTAGGATAATATTAAGAAAATACCAGCATTCATTTTAAAAAGTAATTAACTTCGAGATTTTTTAAGTCTAAGTTAGGGCCATCATCATTAGCCATATCCAAATCATAATCATCATTAGATTATCGAAATTTTCTATTTTCTTTATGTTCTTAACTTTATTTAAATGAAGTATAAGATTTAGAATCTTTTCTTTTAGTAAATGAATTAGGATTATTCTGTATAAATGGTTATGATTCTACTTGAATTAAGGTGTGATTACTAATTTAATAATTATTTTATTTGCTTGTAGCTTAACTTTTAGGTTCAATAGATGTATTTTTTTAGAATTAAACATCATCATTATTTTTATAAGTATTATGATCAAAGTATTTTTCATGTAATTATTTCATAAATTTAAGATTATGTTAATTATCTTATTTTAAATGAAAAGCTTCTCCTTCTTCATCAACAGGGGGAACTAAATCAATTTCAGTTTATAATCTAATATTAGGGATTGAATTAGGATCAATAAGTATATCTTATTTTTACATTTCCAATTATTTTAATTCCCAATCATAAAGTTGATGATCATATTCTTATAGTTAATTTTCGAATAGATTTCTTAAATGTGAATAATTTGGTTATTATTAAAAGAGTAATGATTTTACATGTTAAAAATAATGTATGAAACACTTGGAATGAATAATTAAATAAATACTTTTGGTAAATTGAAACAAAGTTAACTAAGTGGAATTCCCATTTTGATTTAAAGTATTTAATCATATTTCTCTTCCTTTTCAATAATTTTAACATTAGACCATGGTAACTCCCCTTTAATAAAATATATTAACATATAACCCAAACTTTCTAAATCATCTCTTCTTGATTATTCCATCCCTAATAAAATAAGATAATTAATACATTATAATGTATTTATACTAGCATAACGAGCAGTTCCTATAACTCCTGTTTTTTAAGAAAATTCAATGTGTTTTCCATCATTAGCTCTATAATATTTAGATAAACCAAAATCAATTAAATAGACTATGGAAGAATCTTCTTTAGATATAAGAAAATTCTCTGGTTTGATATCACGATGTATGAAATTCATACTATGAAAAACTAAATGTTTAAATTAAAAACAACCTTCTAAACGATCTATAAGTTGAATTGATAATTATAATGTAGTTTAGAGAGAAAATCTACCTCCACACTTTTTTAATAATACTTCAAGATTGTCTCCTAACAAAGTACTCATATAATAGGAATACTATCGATCCTTTCCATTATGTATTAATTCTGGGAATCCTATAATAATAGAATTAAAATTAAGGTACCATTTATTCCTTTCAATTATTTTAGTATCAAAATTTCTCTATTCATCATTCTCATTTACATATTTCGATTTTCGAATTTAGCTGCACAATATTCTTTTTCATCTAAATCAAATGTTAGATAAACTATTCCAAAACTACCACTACCAATTCTCTTTAGCAATTTGAACCTTTAATCGATAATCAAACCAGGTTATAAACTATTATTCTAATCCATTTTATTAATAAATTTAATATGTTAAACAATTTAATAACTATAATAGCTGAATGTTAAATGAATTCAGAATAGATTAAACAACTATTTATTGATCCACATATGGCTTTTTAAATGTTATCATCTAATGGACATGATATAGATCAATAAGATATCAAAAGATTCATTTCACTTAATGATGAAGAAATTAAACATTTAATCACATAATTCAATTCGAACTCTGATGTACGATTTACATATTCTGAGTATTCTTTATATTATTTATATAGCTTTGTCAATTCTCTTAAACTTAATAACAATACACATGTCAAAGATGTCCTTATCAAACTATTGTAATAGGAGGCAATTAATTATAAGTAAATTCTTTGTGTTTTCCATAGATTTTAGTAAAGTTTAAATACTCAAAGAAGATAACAATTTCAATCCAAATGAAATATTTAATTAAATAGATTAGTTTCGTAAAGGTTATATTACTCAAAGGACTTTAAAGAAATCAACTAATTTATCTAACGACTACATCTCAGCTTTCTTTAGATTTCTCGATAAAGATAACGATGGTAGAATTTTTGAAAGTGAATTTTTATCAGCCTTCAAATCCTCTTAAAAATAACAATTAGCTGTTTAATACAAAGATTTGAGATAAAGTTAAGAAAAAGAAAAATAAATTATTTAATAATGTTAGTAGATCTAATAAAATCTTTAAATTAGTGAAGAAAAAAATAGTCAATCAAGAATTAAATAAGTCTAACAGTTATTATAAAGTAGATAGAATCTTGATCGCTCTAAGGGATAAAATTCATATTCATCCTTATTAAAAGTTAGATAATAATTACTTCAAATTGATTACATTAGAAGAAATTCACAACGTGAAACTTTTGAAAGACTTCTCAAATATCAACATTAATTGATTAAAAATATTAAAGAAAAAAATGAAGAAACAACTTAAAAATAAAAAAATCTAAGTAGTCTCCATGATTAATTATATACCATGAGAACGTAATAAGACTTAAGTCTTAAAAGAAAAAGAGAGTATAGTATTCATAGCTAATCTTAATTATGATTATTTTATTTATGGACTATTTAAATATCTAAAAATCACTTAATTATGTTTTAATTCAATTTTTGTTTTTTTCTATTTTTATTTTACATAAATAAATAACTATTAAATTTTAATTTTTAGAATGTTAATATATGAAAGTTTAAATAAAAATAAAAATTTAAATAACTTTAAGAGATTAGGGTATTTAAATTTTGCCTTAAGAAATGAAACTATGTATATTTCATCTTTAATTGTTCTAATTGATTTCATTTTATGATATTTATATATTTTTTTATTTCAAATGAATTTTAATCAACAAATATATTTTATAGTCATTATTAACAATTATTATTAAATTTAAAAATTCTTTTGATCCTCTGACAATACAGTAAATCTTTTCTTTTATTTCATGTAACTATTAATTGTATCAATTTTGATGAATTTGTTTTAGTTTATAATTAAAGAATTTAATATTACATATTTAATCTTTTAAGATTTAAAAACAACTCTATCTATAATATTAATATTTTATAGAAACTAATTCAAAAATAGTAAATAAAATGAATTATATATTAAATTATGAATTATAACTAGATAATATTTTTAGAACTTTAATAAAGCAAAATATTTTATAAATAGATCATTTTTTGAAGTAATCATTAAAATTAATGATATTTTATGTTTTTGGAGGGAAATAAAAAGGAATTAGAAATTGTTGATGAGAAAATTAAAATATAGAAGGGTTTAATTTAATTAAAGTAAATTTAATGGATAAATTTTCTAGGAATTTCAAAGAGAATTTTGAGAATTGCATAAGAATTCTTGAGCAATTAAAATATAAATAATTTTTCTCATTAATTTAGTTAATAAATTTGATCAAAATAATGGAGCAGCAATCCATTTTCGAATATCTCGATACATTATAGTTACAAATAACAGATCCAATATAAAAACAACTTGAGTATTATCATGATAAAAAAAACATTATAACTTGTTAAAAAAAGATTTAAAGTTCTTAATTAAGGTCACCTTTAATAAATTCCTAATAAAGTGATAAGTTAGAAATAAGAAAAACTTCATCCCTATAAACAATAATTTTACCTGAGCATGAAAATAGTTTAAATATAAATTCTCATAAAAAAAGCATTTTTGAGAAGAGAATTACTTTTTAATGACATATATATATATTACATTATAAATTTAATATAAATGAAATCAGCATATACCATCGTTAAGGATGATTTTGAGTAAATAAAAGCAATTCAATCAAAATGGAGATATTAAGAGATGAAAAAAGAATAAAAAGAAGATTTCAAAAGATTACATTTAACTTTTACTGAGGAATAAAATTAAGATTTCCAACTTCCTGATGTTTTTATAACGACAAAGCAATATCATGCCAAACCTGCAAGTATTATTACAATACTTATAATGAGAGAGTCCAAGAATAAAAAAAAAACAATCGTTCAGTTTTGATTTAGGACTATAATCAATAAGTATGTCTAAAAATTAAAGAAATCTTGAACTATCAACTATGGAATCTAATTATAAAAAGTTTAAGTAGATATAGATTATTAAAATAGAAAATATTGTTGTTCTATTAAATAATCTCCAAGAGAAGAAGTCTTAAATCAATGTATAACAATTACAAGAAATTATAACTTTCATAAAATTGATGGTATTAAATTTCCAGAAAGTCTTTATGCTATTCATAAAAAAAGAAGAGAAAAGTTAGATGACATATTTCGAAACTAAACTTGTGAGAATTCTATACATAGAACAAAATAATATGAAGAATAAAACTAAAAATAATGTATCATTTAAATAGTTATTTATTATTTTAGAACTATAAAAATAGAAAAAGAACAAATAAAAAGAATATAGAAGTAGATCTTTTTTAGACAATGCTTATTTTTCAATTTTATCTGTAAATAGAGAATCTCAATAAAGAATAAAAAAAATGATTCAATATTCATTACCAAAAGAATCAAGATTTTAATAGTTTTGAGTATTGTTTTAGTGTATAATTATTACTTTCATAAATAAAAATATAATTAATGTAAGGAAATTAATCATGTTAAAAAGACTATAAAGAAGAAAACAAATTAATAAAGTAAAAACTTTTAGAATATTGGGTTAAACTTTAAAAAGCCTTTGATGAAGATTATGAAGAGATTTTAAAATTAGGTTAAGAATCTGATTCAAATGATATAATAAATGCATTATTTATAATTGAAGATGCAAGATAAGAATAATAAAAGGTGTAAAATTCTTTGATAAACTTAGTTAGATAAGTAATATTTAGAAGTTTTGACAACAGAAGTATAATAATAAAAAGAAAAGATAATCGAATTAGAATAATAAAATTAAAACTTATCCAAGTGTAGTAATAATGCAGATTTTCAATAAATAATAAGATAATTAGAAATAAAAATAAATGAGCTATCTTTAGCTTTAGTTTAATGTAAAGAGGATAAAATAATATTCATGGAATAAGCTTAAAAAGAAATCTAGTATTTAAAAGAATAAGAATTAGAATTAAAGAGTAAAATTTAAATGCTTTAATATGGATAATAAAAAAAGTCATCGTTTTTAGAAAATGAGGATGATTAAAAAAGATTATCAAAAGATTTTACAGATGATGATATTCCACGTTAATCAATTTCTCCATAAATATAAAAAGTAAAATTGGATTACTCAAAATTGTGTTAAGGTTAAAATTTTAAGAAATTAACAAAAATAGAATAAGTTTAAGGAATATCTCAAACATCATTTAAGTTTGGAAATAAATGAGTTTAAATATATTTTGTTAAATGATTAATAATTTTTTACTTTTTATTTATTCTAATTAGAAACATAATTATTTAAAATGATGATAAAATTAATTACAAAAATAATACAATACGTATATCATATATATCTGTTTAAACTCTTTAAATCTGTAAAACGTCTATGTTAGTCACTCAATTCAGTTGAATCCCTTAATAACAATATAAAATATGATACGTTTAATGTGTAGTTGAATCCATTCTCTTATTATTACCAACGGCTTACCATATATACATTGTAGTTTCTTCATTTCTTCTAGTAATAATTTCAAGCTATTCCAATTTTTTTAAGTACAAATTACTTTACTAAAATATTAGAAAATTTATACTTCTCTTTGCTTTCTGTTATCATGAATAACTTATTATACTTATTATAAAATAGTTTTATTGAAATCTTCTTATTAATCTTACCTTTATTTTAAAGACATTAATTCTCTTTCTATTTTTTTAATTTGTGTTTCTAATTTTCTAAAAGAATCATTTTAAATATCCTGTTTATTTGCAATATGACTAATAGAAATCTTTTTATTTTATTAGAAAAGATTGTTAAAAATTGAGACTGAAAGATTACTTTTTAATTTATCACTTTCATTATTAGCATTAGATTTATCTGATTTTTAAAATGGTGCTTCTACTCCAGATGGTTTATTAATAGCCATAGAAGGTGTTCTTTTTCTATCAGGAGTTATAGTATGTTTAGTTACATTTTTTTAAGAATTTTACTGAATCAGTAATTATGGTTATTATATATTAGGATTTTATAACTAAAGTATATTGTTATTATTAAGTTGTTGATTGAATGTTTATTAATGTTAAGATTAAGATTATTATTATTATGAATAATTATGATTTAAAGATGGTTACAAAGTATTTTAATGACTATATGGAACTTAAACAGGATTAACTGTTGTTTTCTTTTATAGTTCTTTTGTAAAACTCATTTTATTAAATTAATCTATCTTATCACTATTCATAAGATGAGTTACATCTTTTAATTATGCTTACTAAAATTTATTATTATATCTTACTATCTAACTTATTAAAGTGGAATTTTGTCTATTGTGTTCATTTTTTAAATTCTCTTTTTAATCATTATTATTTTTTTATTCAACACTATATGTTTATCTTTTTTAAGTATTCACATTTAATTTCATTCCTGAAGTTAACTTTTTACCTGATTCTTATGTTTATTCAACACTTGATAATAAATCATTCTATTCAGGAATCAAAAATAAATTATTGGGTTAATAAGATCCAAAATTTGATTTTTTTTTTGCATTACCAAATGTTAAACCACAATTCTCTTTAAGGTGTTACATAGCATAATCATCTTCTAATTTTTCAATTATAACTTCTTTTTCTGGAATTTGAGGTTAAATATGTGATGCCTAGTAATCATAATTTACATTATTAAATACATGATTAAATATCTCTATGAAGTGTTTCTTATCATCTTATTGGCATAATGCATTTTTTAAATCAACTTCTGAATTAGATTAAGTTCTTCTATGTTTATGCTTGCTCATTCAAATTTGAATATTTCTGTTTATTTTATATATTTTATTATAGTTAAACAGAACATTTTTATTTAACACATAAAAAGTTCAACTTTTCAATTTATAATTGATAAAGATATCATTATAATTCAATTGAACTTTTTAAATTTAAGATATTTTTTATTAATAATATAGAAATATTACACATGAGAATATCATAATTAACTTAATTCAAGTTTGATTTTTCATTTTGAAATATAATTATATGAACATCTTATTTTCTTAAACTGAAGCCTTAAATAATCAAATGGATAAAATGCTCTTAAATCTTCCCTCGAAAAGTTGTAATTCTAATTTACTTTTGAATTTATTTTACTTAAAAATTAGAAGTTTTAATTTATAATGTTTCTATAGGTTTTAAAGGAAATTAAATTTATTCAAGTTCTTTACAAGTGATATTTTTCCTTCCTTCTTTATGATTAAATAATTTGATATTCATTCTTCTAAAAGCTTAATGCAATTCTTAAATAGTCTTTAAAGAATATTTGCTTTATTTAAGATGAACCTTTTAATAAATTTATTATTGCATTAAATCATATTCCTTTGTAATCTATTAACTTGTATACAATATTAAATTTGTAATTGGACTCAATGTTACATAGATTACTAATGAACTCAAAATAATTGAAAACAATGCAGTTGAAATTCCAATTAAAATATACATTCTGAAAAAATCTTAAAAATTGTTTTTAATTTGACTTATCTGATTTAATAGTTCCTTCTCTTACTCTAGAAGATTCACTTAACTAAAACGATAAGATTTCATATCTATTACATCAGCAAAATCAAATCGGTAGGATAAAGGAACTTTGCTACAATTAATTCTTCGGTATTAGCTACTGTATTGTATCTACAAAGTCTTTCATTATTAAGTAATTGATCTATCCTTGAACAATTATTAATAAATTATTTTTTATATAATGAATTATTTATTTACTCGAAATCCTCCTTATTAAAACCTGATTTCTCAGTATCATAAATGTATGTATCTTAACTTATATTAAATTAACTTAATAGAAATTGCCCTTTTTTATCAATTATTGAAAATGTTACATTTTCTTATTTCTATGATAGAGTTTTAAATAAACTAAAGTTTAAGTCGCTTCCAAAAACACCATCTATTTATCCATTTAAATTCGTCATATTCCTTGTTTATGTCACCATAAATAAAAACCAAGTCCAAACTATATATGGATCACTAAAATATGTCAAATTATAATTTTTATCTTCTATTTACTTTAAATGGTTAGTGTACCAAATCCTTCTATGTGGCTTATAATTAGGAAAAGGATCTCCAGGCCAAATCGAAAAGTACATTTGATCTCCGATTGTTGAAAATAATAAATCCAAATCCATATCCATAATTGGTAAGATTTAAGTTAAGAAAGAAGAATAATTCATTGCTAATATATCTTAATTAGTAAGAGGATATACTTTATCTCCAAAGAAACCATAACAAAATGTTTATTCATATTAATATTTATCATATTTATCGTCATAATTTAGACAATCGAGAGGTTATTAAACATACTACAACTCTATAGATTATATGAACTGATATAAGAAATCAGACTTTAAAAGATGAGTTTAACTTCTCAATAATACTTCCTGAGAACTTCTCACTTATAAATAACTAATCATATCAGTCTTTTTGTAATACTATAAGACATAGCATTCTAATGAGATATTTGAGTACCTATCTATTATGTATTAAAATGACAAATAGCTTATTAATGTTAATAAGGTTCCTACTGAAAATTGAATTAGCACTTGGATTATTAAAACTTATGTTCTAACTTTTAATTTATTAAGACAAAATAAAGAACGAAAGCTGGTTTAACTTTTACGATTTTCTAATTTTTCCATTATTTGATATTTTATTTTTGAATAATAAACAAAATAATTATTGNTCATATCTATTACATCAGCAAAATCAAATCGGTAGGATAAAGGAACTTTGCTACAATTAATTCTTCGGTATTAGCTACTGTATTGTATCTACAAAGTCTTTCATTATTAAGTAATTGATCTATCCTTGAACAATTATTAATAAATTATTTTTTATATAATGAATTATTTATTTACTCGAAATCCTCCTTATTAAAACCTGATTTCTCAGTATCATAAATGTATGTATCTTAACTTATATTAAATTAACTTAATAGAAATTGCCCTTTTTTATCAATTATTGAAAATGTTACATTTTCTTATTTCTATGATAGAGTTTTAAATAAACTAAAGTTTAAGTCGCTTCCAAAAACACCATCTATTTATCCATTTAAATTCGTCATATTCCTTGTTTATGTCACCATAAATAAAAACCAAGTCCAAACTATATATGGATCACTAAAATATGTCAAATTATAATTTTTATCTTCTATTTACTTTAAATGGTTAGTGTACCAAATCCTTCTATGTGGCTTATAATTAGGAAAAGGATCTCCAGGCCAAATCGAAAAGTACATTTGATCTCCGATTGTTGAAAATAATAAATCCAAATCCATATCCATAATTGGTAAGATTTAAGTTAAGAAAGAAGAATAATTCATTGCTAATATATCTTAATTAGTAAGAGGATATACTTTATCTCCAAAGAAACCATAACAAAATGTTTATTCATATTAATATTTATCATATTTATCGTCATAATTTAGACAATCGAGAGGTTATTAAACATACTACAACTCTATAGATTATATGAACTGATATAAGAAATCAGACTTTAAAAGATGAGTTTAACTTCTCAATAATACTTCCTGAGAACTTCTCACTTATAAATAACTAATCATATCAGTCTTTTTGTAATACTATAAGACATAGCATTCTAATGAGATATTTGAGTACCTATCTATTATGTATTAAAATGACAAATAGCTTATTAATGTTAATAAGGTTCCTACTGAAAATTGAATTAGCACTTGGATTATTAAAACTTATGTTCTAACTTTTAATTTATTAAGACAAAATAAAGAACGAAAGCTGGTTTAACTTTTACGATTTTCTAATTTTTCCATTATTTGATATTTTATTTTTGAATAATAAACAAAATAATTATTGTATATTAAAATCGATTCTAAATTTATAATTTAAAAACAAACTTATGTAATTATTTAACATTCACATTTTTTGTAATTTGAATAAATACTATAATTCAATTTTCAAGTTAGAATAATTCAGAATTACAATTAATTAAAATCATTTAATCACTAAAATTAATTTTGATTTACAAATAATATTTAATAAAAATTATCAAATAATTAAAATTTATTTATTCTTGCATTCCTTTTAACTGATTAGAATAGATTGATAAAATGATTTTCCGTTATTATAATAAATAGATAAATAAATAAATAACTACATTTAAATAATTATTTTATATCATAATAAAATGTCCACCATTATATTGAAATAATCAATACGTATCAAACAAAATGCAAAAAAGATAATCACTTAAAATCCAATGGGTATTAACAAATATTCAGGTTACTTTATTTTATTGATACCTAAAAATGTTAAGTTATTAGTTTTACTAGAAATTTGCTTAAAAATACTGTAATAAAATTAATAATTTGCAAATAGGTTAAGCATATTATTTACTTCTAATGGACTTATGATTAATAATTTGATAATGAACTAAAGAATATTGAATGTGTAATTACTAAGCATAAATAATTGTAAATGGTAAATAAAAATAGCGAATAGAGGAATGCTTCTAAAGCAAATATTAGATGAAATTATGATTGAGGTATAAATCTCTTTAGCAAATAAACTACTGAATACCCATAAAAAGCATTAATTGTAAAATGTTTAAATAATGCAATAATAAAAGCATGTTTTAAATAGAATATAGAATAAATGAATACAACTAACAACTAAAATATTAAAATTAGTAATAGAAAAGAAATATTGTTCGGCTATCTCAACTATATTTCTAAAGTATGTATTATTACATATTACCATAATTCCATTATAGGGCCTAGAATCTGTGAATATTTTAAATCAAATTACGCTTATCTTTGATTAGTTAATAGTAATTTCATTTGATAGATTGACTCTTTGAAATCATTTAAATTTAGATGATATATGGTCTGTAGATATATCAATAAATCATCATTTGGTTGAATAACTTGTGACTCAGTTTTGAGATCTATCTGAGCTTCTTGATCCATATAAAAATATATATATAAATTAAATTATGATATTTTTAAATTAAATTGCTTTGATATATATTAGAATATAAATATTATAAATTTTTGAATTATTATTCATTAACTCAATTTATTTGCTGTTTATCGAATAAAGATTTAATGCACTTCTTTGCTCATCTGTAATGAATTTTTTAGATAATAGTCTCTTAATTCATCATAAATAGAAATTTGATAAGTTTAATGTTAATCTTAAATGTTAACATCTTAGAATTGATTCACTAATAATAATATGTTAGAGAATTCTTAAGGATCAAAGAGTATATGTTTATCAGCTAATATTCTAAATAATTAAACTAAAATTATTTCAGGATAATCTTTAACAATTAATAAAAAACTAAAGATTTATTTAAGTTCCTGATAGAAAACTTCCTCAGGTTCAAAAGCATCCATAATCTAGTCAAATAATTATTAATAATACTATTAACATTAATTAATTTAAATAATATGATTAATAAGTTCTAAGACTTAAGTTTTATATTGATGATTAATAACTCTTTTTGATAATATTAATTATAATAACCATTCTAAATTCTCTGAATATTTAAGATAAAAATTAATATAAGCTAAACAATCTAAATCTTTATATTTTTAAGAATCCAATTCAATTTGTTTTAATGGGTAATTCAATTGCAATTACTTATTAAGTTAAAGTTTTAGTAAAATTCTATTTCGTGAATTTTTTGAAATCATGAATGATAGAACAAGGTCTCTGTAAATTGTTAAGAATAATTTAACATTTTCAAATTAAGATTATGAAAGTTTTTCAAATAGTAAACTAATGTATTTATGAGATTTGTAATCTAATTCTCCATTTTATTAATTCAAAACAATATTTATAACAAGTGTATGATATTATTAATAAGTATTATCATCCTATAAATAAAGCCATTTTAATAAATATTTAGATTGGACATTAATGGATCCTTAATTCTCAATATCTTCTAGGATTTGATCCTTTATATTATCATTAAAATATTTATGGTGATTTTTGCAAAATAGTTTAATTTTTTATTATAGACTTAAATGTTCTAAGAGATTATCTTTATAGTATGGTTAATCAGGTTTAATTCCAAAACTTAGAATATTTTAAAATAATTTATTAAATAGCAATCCAATAGTGTAATTTTGTGGAAGTGATTTATTTGACATATCCATTAATATTAATTACTACAATTCTGCAGAGCCTTTTTTTAGAAGTGTATATTTTGTAGCTAAACTTAATTTTGATAAATGTTTGACGGCTAATGATTCATTAACATTCAATCTCAATAATCTATCAATAGTTGAAATACTATTAGTGTATAATAGTTATTTTTTTATTTTATTCATTAAAATGTATTCTATGAAATTTTCAAGTAAACCAAACTTATAAACCTCGAAATCATCTAAATTTTCCCTGATTACAACTTAATAAAGATCTCCAGATTCAATTAAATTGATGAAATGTATCTCAAAAATTAAGTCTACTTTTAGTAAAATAGACATGCCTCATTGCTAAGTAAAGTCCAAAGTTTAAAACTGAAAGAACTAAAACATTTAACTTTGGTGAGAGTGAATTGAAGCCTTTAAATAAAATGGAGAATATGAAAGAGAAGATTGGAAAATCTATCATTTTATTATAAAAAACGAAAGGATAAAAAGATATATCATTTTAAGTAAAAGTTGAAGAAATGATTGATTAAATGATGAAATTATGTAGAGTTGATATTAGAATAATGAAATTATTATAATAGATAAAAGATGAGAAAGAACAAAAATAACATTCTTAATTAAAAGCAATGCTATTTATAATTAGATAATAAAATTAAATAGATTAATTAGTAAATATATTAAAATAATATTTTTTAGAAAAAAAGATGTTCAGAATATAATTGATTAAAAAGAAAGATTGTTTATGTATTTATCTATATAGATATATTAATAATATCAATAATTTTATCTTCTTGGTCCAGCTTTGCTATAACCTGTTGTTGGTCTGATTCGTTCTCTTTCTACATTTTCGACATATTTGTATGGATGCAAATGAAGTTTTTCAAATTTAGATTTGGTATGTTTAGAGTGATTTTCAGAAATGTATTTATTTTGAACAAAGCTTAATTAATCAATAGATCCATAGAGACTAATTAAGTAACAGATGGTATCATAGATTAATAGAGTCTTGAATTAGAATTCTTAATTAAATTATGACCTAAAATAATGATAAATTAAATATTACCAATCTTCAGTTTCTTTTCTAAAGAGTAGACTTCTTCCATTAGCATCTCTAAAATCTTTAGGACCAACTCCATATATATAAGCTTCAAATGATTCACTGTATTCTTCTACAATTATAATAGAGGGAAAATAAGTAGATAGAACTTTTTTGAGCCATTCAACATTTTGATTAATATCTTCCCTTTATAAATAATATAAATTAATAACAAATTAACCTAGATTCCATTGTTCAGGTAATGATATTGGTTCATAAATATTGATTTATTTATCTTCTTCTTCAAAATTTTATTTTTTTTCAATATTAGTTTCTAATCTTTAATCACATAAAGCTTTGATTGCAAATAATTTCATATATATTTTGGATCCTTTCTATTCACAACTTATTTAAATAGATTATATTTCTTTTCCTTCCATTGTAACTTTATGAATAATAGGTTCTGTTTTTCGAAGATGTTCTTCTAAATAAAAATAGATAGGATATCCATCAATAATAAGTTTACTAACAAAATCATTTTTAACTTCAATGACTAATGTTTCTTTAATTTCTAAATCAACATATTCAGTAACTTTATCAATAGTAATTTCTTCATCATCATCATTTTTTTATTCAATTGTCTATTATTCTACTTATTCAGGTAAATCAATTTCTAATGGCATTTCGTCAAAACTAGGTTCTTCTTCAGAATCAATGTCAATTAAAGGATATGATTCTAAATCTTTGATTCCTTAATCAATAGTAAGTGTATTATCAATAATAATAGTACTAGCTTCTATATTGACTTCTTTTAATGGTAGATCACGTTCAACTATTGATGGAATATTCTGCATATGAATTTATAATGGAAATCTTAACTATAATAATAGTGCATAAGAATCTAATATCTAATTTAAGAAGTAAAATACATTATAAACAAATAAATGGACTAGCAACATTATGAGCAAATTATATCTTATCATTCACTTTTTATTCATCCTATATAATTATTGATGATTAACTCTTTAAATATTAAGTATGTTCTCTCTAATCTTCTTCTCTTATTAAAGGTTATACTTTAAAACTAAGTGATAAATCTTATTTATCTAAAGCTTCTAATGGTTGCTCATGCATTTCATTATCACTTTCATCTGTTTAATCAACTATCTCTGGTTATTTGTATTTATGTCTTTAATAGTTACAATTATCTGCACTTGGAACATTTACAAACTTTTCTTTGAATTATTATTCAGGTTTTATCTTACATTAATCAACTAATCTTAATAATACTTTTGTATAATTACTCTTCGTAATTGTCACGAGTGATTTTTGCATTCGTAGACATCTTATTGTAATAAAATCTATAAAGAAGTGCAAATGTTGATTGAATTTGAGTTTCAATCAAATATTATGGATATGATTATATGCTCTTCACATAAAGTGGATCATAAACATCTAAATCTGGTTCTGAACTTGATGAATCTGCTTATTCCAAATCTAAAGGACGATATTCCTTTTTTCTAATATGAAACCCACCTTTTTAATCATCAAAAGCATAATCTTTTGTTATATTTTCTGTCTATTCTGTATATAAGCTTTTTAGACAGATGTCATCTATATGCATTATATGATTATCAGTTATCTAATCATTTTTATAAGTGTTAATTGAATTAAATTTGTTAGATAAACTATATACCTAATCAATAAAACTTTGTCATTACATTCAAATAATAAACTTTAGATAGGAAATCAGGATCCTTTGTGTATGATTCATAATACATGTTCTTTGGATGATATAAATTCAATTTATTCAATGCCTTCTCTTAATTCATTGCTTAAGATTTATGCTTATATACAACCTGCATATATATTGGCAATCTTGATCTTTCTTACCCAAATATCTTTAATTCCTTCCTTGTTTAATTATCCACATATTAAGGATACTTAATAAGATCTATGTATCCAAATCTGATGCATCCAAAAATATAGTTTTTAGCATTCCAATCTCTTTCTAATTTCTTTTTTAAATCTGTAAATGAATCATAATAAGCCACCATATTCTAATCATTAATATAACCTAATCTCTTTTATTTAAATTGAACCTTTCTTGCTGTATTTCGTGATAACAATCTCTAAACAACTAATTTATTATTATTTAATATTTATACTTCTAGCTGATGGAGATAATCGTTCTTCATCATCACTTGCAGTTGTTGTGCTTAATTCTTATTAAGATAATAAATTTTTATGAACTTAATAAGCCTATTTTAAAATAGACAACATTTACTAGTAATTTACAATCATTCCAAAAGTATTATCTTAATAAAGACAATCACTATATTATGATAACTACATCAAATGCTACATTGGTACAGGAATATTCAATTTAGAAACAGCAAAAAACATTCTATCTATTTCAATAAAATAAGAGTTTTCATTCAATTGTTATTATTATTTCAACTTACGATGAATTGTGAAAAATCCATCTGTCTCAAAATTCACTGGAGTTAACATTAACAATAGCTAAGATAACTTTTATGAATTGACATGTAAATGCTTACATGAATTCATAAATTCAGCATCATTTTGCATTATTCGAATCAATTAATTTACTACCCTGTTTAGCTATTATTTAGTCTAAATTCGATGATTTATTGTATGTGATAATGGTTACAGTATTGTCCTTTGTTTTTATCTGCTCTTCGAATAACTGGTCTGAATTGTTCTCTATAAATTTGAGAAATCAAAGTTTCTTGTTCGCTTTTGCATCTTCTCTGTGTCCAAACTTTAATAAATACTCTATTGCTATTCTAATTTCGATTATTTATTCCCAATCTTAGGTAATATAGTACTTCGCATTGTTGATTTAATACCATCAGGTGTAAGTTACCTGTTCATTATTTGTTATTGCAATATTTATAATTATTAACTTAAACATAGCAATTGTAGAATAAGAAAACAAAACTAAGTAATTAAATGTTTAATCGATATTAAGTAATAGAAGCAATATCAATAATCTTCTTTTCTGTTAAATAATGAGATTCTTTGCATTTAATCAACGTCGAATTGATTAACCTTTATTTCTTTTGTCTCATTCAATTACTTTTGAGATGCTTAAATATATTTAATTCTAATACTTCCTTTAAGTTTCTTAAAACTACTTAAGGGATCTTTAGCATAGAAACTACCTATTGTTGAATCCTCCAATCTAACACAAGTTGGCTTTTTAACTGAAGGTAGTTATCTAATCTAAATAGATGAACATTTATTCTCTTGGATATCAACATCAAAATCGACTTAATTTTTATATTTTTAACCAATCCTCTAGAATGGAGATTCTGCTTCAGATACTTATCCATCTGTTGTAGGTTGAAATATATTCTTAGTACAAATATTAGGCACATTAAATGCTTTATGTTCTATTTTTTAAATAGAAATATACTTTTTGATTGCAGAGGAGAGGAGGGTTTATTAAAAAAATCAGATTCTAGAGCTTATTAAGCTGTGAATCTTTCAGAGGGATTCTTTGCAAGCATTCTTTTGAGTAGTTCTTAGGCTTCAATAGGAATAGTATTCATTTCAGGTACATCTAGAATGAAATTGCATTTTTTATTTTATGCTAAAACTTCATTAAATGTATTTCCCATAAATAAACTATGACCAAATAGTAACTTATAAAATATACAACCACAACTAAAGATATCACAGACTTTATCATATTTGGATTGTCTATCAACTAAATTCAATATTTCAGGTGCAACATATCCAGGAGTTCCACATTTTGGAAATTAAAATTTAGTAACATCAGTGAAGGTAGATAAGCCAAAATCTACAATGGTGAGTGTTTCATAAGAATCTAATTCACGAAACATAATATTATCTGGTTTTAAATCTCTATGAATGATATTATTATCATGAAGTATCTTAACACCTTGTAATAATTGTTTCATGATAACTTTTACTAATTTCATTGGAAACATCTCCTTTCTTTGCTTATAGATTTTATTATATTTTACTTTAAGAATGTCTAACTCATCGGCTAAGGTACGTCCTTACATTAAATCTAGGATTAAATAAAACGTATGATCTCCTTCATAGGTTTCATATAATTTAATAAAAGGAGCGCAAGTATTTTACTTACTTAGATGACTTAGGATATTGACTTCATTTAAAAAAGCTTACATTCCAGATTCACTTTTGGAAAGATAACTTTTATCTATCGCTTTTGCTGCTAATTTTGATTATTCATTTCCTAAGTCTTTAATTTGGATAACTTTTGCTGAACTTCCTTTCCCTAAATTATATTATGCTTCATAGAAATCAGCAATCTTATAGAATGTCACTTTATTTCTGAGATGTTCCTTCAGTCTACTTAATTTTATATCCATTACTTCTACAAATCACTGCTACTCCCTATAAAGTCTTTGTACTTTTCCATATACTTTATTGTAAAAGCCTTAAAAAGTATTTTCTTATCCTTTCTCTCAATTATCCATCCAACTTAATTTGTCAACTATAATGGTAAAACATATTTTGGAGAGCAATCCTTCGCTTTCTTACATACTAAGCATATCTTACTCTACTCATTAGCAGGTAATCATTTAGAACATAGCAATAATACTTCACATCACTTATAAAATGTTTACGAACCATTATGCATTCGAATAAAACATTAGAGTAATCATACTATGATTTCATATAAAATAAATTAATTAATCATTCATAAACATGCGATACATTTTACTAATAATCACATTTTCAACTCTCACACATAAAACACCTTCTCTATTCAACAATTTATTTTTACGAGTATATTTTATATCTTTTAATTATTATTCGTCATTTCATATTAATCCTTTTACATATTTTTAACTAATCTTATAGGTATTACCACCCCTAAATTATATATCAACCTAAACACTTGCTTTAAATTAACCAACATTAATTATGTCTTTTAGATTATATTTAATTTAAATTTCAAGCATCTAAATAAAATGCATTCTTATGTACATAAATATAAAATTCTCAGTCTCTTTTGTTTAATATACTCAATTAACATCTTATATAAAAAGAAATTGAAAGTTATTCTTTAAATTTGATAAATATTTTAGTATTTATGATATTTGAGAAAAGAATTGATTTATATGATCTACGATGAGAGAGAGAGAACTTATAAGAGATTTTAATGCATCAGATATATTGTATCAATTTGGGAATGCAATATTAATTGAAAATTCACGATTACATATTTTATAAATTTTGATGACTTCATGTACATCCCTTTATAAATGAAATGTATTAGAAGATATTATCAATAAATTAAATGAATAAGACATTGATTGCAGTCCTTACAACTGTCTTACTAACAGCAACTACCTATATGAGTTAAGAAGATCCCTTAAGAACTATGTATTAAGAATGGAAACAATAATACTAAACCAGATTTGCAAATTAATTTGAAGATGAATACAGATTTGAAATCTTCAAATAAAATTACAACTATTATCAAGAAGTGAATAGTAGACAATCAAGCTATACACTTGGATTAAATCAATTCGCAACTCTTACAGATGAAGAATTTGAATAAACATACCTTGGTGGACTAGATGACTCTCATGTAGAAATTGATGAAACAATAACTTCATTTAATTATCCAGAGAAGGCTGATTGGTCTGATAAATTGAATCCAATAAAAAATTAAGGATCCTGTGGATCATGTTGGTCATTCTCTGCAGTAGGTGCTTTTGAAGCTTATTTCATTATTAATCATGGTAAGAAATAAGTTTTCGCAGAACAACAACTAGTTGACTGTGATAAATATTCATATGGGTGTGATGGTGGTTTTGCAGGAAATGCTATTGATTATTTAAATAAAAATGGTGCTGTTTTGGAGACTGATTATCCATATGCTGCAGTAGATCAAAATTGTAAAATACCATCAGGATTAGTTAAAGCAGGTGGAAGAAAAACTTGGACTACGGCCACATAAGCTTATGAAGCAATAGCTAAATATCCAATTTCTGTTAGTGTTCATGCTTCAAATTGGAAAGGATATACTAAAGGTGTTTTCACTGATTGTATTAATACTTCAACAAATCATGCAGTTGTTGCAGTTGGATATGATGTTGAAGGTAACTGGTTAATCAGAAACTCTTGGGGAGTTGGATGGGGACTTTAAGGTCACATTTGGCTTAAAAGTGGAAATACTTGTGGAGTTCTAAGAAGATTAGACTAAGTTATTTGAAAATAATTTATTTAAACAATATCATAATAAACTATAAATTCTAAAGTTTTCTCTTAATATTTCATGTAAATTTAGATAATTAATTTAATTATTTCATTATCTTCATATCCCATTATCTTTATTTTGCAGTATTTAACATATTCATTGTCTCAATATTATATTTATTTTCCATTTCTTAATGTTCTTATAATGTTTTATTGAAAATCTCTGAAATTTCTTGTTTATAATTTTGACTGAAATTGAATTCTTATACTCTCTTTTTAAATTCTAAAGCACAAATCATTCCTATATAAAAATGACCTATTTAAATTATATTATAATAAACCTTATTAATGATGTAATAATTCATCTATTTTCTCTCTTGTCCAAGATGATGGATCAATCTTACACCAAACATCTACAATTACTTAAATCTTATCATCTTCATGATGCACTTAATAATTATATCCAATTTTCCATCTTGTATGAGCTAAACCAGGATCATCTTCTGGAGGCATTCCTTAAAAATCATCCCAAGTTAATTTTCGCAAGTCCAAATTATTCTCACTTTTCGAATGACTTGGTTAACTCTAATTTATTGAAGAAGAACTTTCACTTTAAGAATTTATTGACTTACTCAATGGATTAGAGTCTTCACTCGAATTTATTGATTAAATATTTATCATAACTTTAATAATAATTCTTATTGATTTTTAGTGATTTTATTTTGTTACTTTAACAATTCTTCTATTATTATCCTTCAGCTTACATCAAAATTGCATTTAACTTCTCTCTTTTGATAAAAATTTTGTAAAGAAACTTCAGAATATATTTTATCTTAGATTTCTTTATATACATATATATATATTATACTGTATTGTTTAAAAATGTAAGAAATATCTCACTATTACTATTACTTTTATTCATAAGTCAATGCAATCGCTCGTAATTATTCAAAAGCATTATTTAAATTTTACTAATTTATATTATTTATTCTATACCATCGTTAAGGGGAATAGGTTTGTAGATGAAGTACAGTTATTTGGATAAATTAAGAATTATGCTAATAAAGGAACCTAGGACATTGGCTTTTATTATCTTTACTACTAAGCGATTGCTTAATTTCTAAGCTCTTAAGGTCCTTCTCCATAAAATTTCATTTATTCTTATTGCTAATTATAAGCTTATAAGGGCACCTCATTATTTTGTGATTAAGTTTAGCCTTAAGATTATGATTGATTAATATGTTAATGTTATATTTAGGGTTAATTGACTTAAGATTACGAAATAGGTGCATTTTGAATGATAGTTTATTATTAAACTTGTTGATTTACTTAATGAGGAACTTAATGTTATTATTAATGAATATCTTATTATTTTTATAATACTACTGGTTATTATTAAGCTTTTACAGTTTGATCAGCTTAATTTTATGTTTGCTATTTACTAGTTTGATTTGGTATTGCTTATTAATTATTCTACTATATTTTCTATTATTACTACGGTTATTAGGTTTAATGCTATGTATTTTATTTTGATTATTATTGTTGTTGTTGTTATTATTGTTATTGTTGTTGTTATTATTGTTATTATTGTTATTATTATTATTATTATTATTATTATTATTGTTATTATTATTATTATTATTATTATTATTATTATTATTATTATTATTATTATTATTATTATTATTATTATTATTATTATTATTATTATTATTATTATTATTATTATTATTATTATTATTATTATTATTATTATTATTATTATTATTATTATTATTATTATTATTATTATTATTATTATTATTATTATTATTATTATTATTATTATTATTATTATTATTATTATTATTATTATTATTATTATTATTATTATTATTATTATTATTATTATTATTATTATTATTATTATTATTATTATTATTATTATTATTATTATTATTATTATTATTATTATTATTATTATTATTATTATTATTATTATTATTATTATTATTATTATTATTATTATTATTATTATTATTATTATTATTATTATTATTATTATTATTATTATTATTATTATTATTATTATTATTATTATTATTATTATTATTATTATTATTATTATTATTATTATTATTATTATTATTATTATTATTATTATTATTATTATTATTATTATTATTATTATTATTATTATTATTATTATTATTATTATTATTATTATTATTATTATTATTATTATTATTATTATTATTATTATTATTATTATTATTATTATTATTATTATTATTATTATTATTGTTCCTTTTGAGAATCTTATATGTCCTAATTTTTAGATTCTTTCTATTATTATTTTGTTAACTAAACTTAGTTTTATTATTACTAAGGAATCTATTAATCTTAATAAGAATCCTTTAAAATATACTATGGTTATTACACAAAGTCTTCATTTTTATTTCTATACTATCTTCTCTAATTATTGTTTCTATTATTGTTATTATAATATTAATTTTAATTTGTTCTTCTTTAATTCCAAGATTCATTTTAAGTATTCTTTTAATATCTTTATTAACCTCTATCATTTCTATAATTTTATTGACTTTGTTATTGATCATAATCATCATTTCTTGCATCTTCTCTATAATTTTTGTTATTGTAATTCTACTAAGAACTAAAAATAAGGAAAATTATGATATACTTGAATGATTTTTGATGTTACCCTTGCCTTTCATTATTTCTTGTGTTTCGTTATTCTTGCTGTTTCTAGTATTGATCACTTTATTTTCTATTGTTTTATTAATCTTCATCCCTTTTGGAATATTTTCTGTTTTTGTTCTGAGATTTTGATTTTTCACATTCATTTGTTATCCAATCTCCATCATTATCATCATTATCATCCTGATTTTATAATCCTAAGATATCTCTTTCAACTAATTCAAACTTAAAGTAATGTCTTTTCGCTATATTATAAACTGCACTTTCCTAAAATTTGAATTTCATTTCATTACTTTAAAATTATGTATTTTAGAAAGTCTAATTATTTCATCTCTAACTTTCTATTCCAAACTGTCTTTTTTCTATTTCCATTCAACTTCTGCAGGTCTTTAATCTTATGTCTCGCTTTCTTAGTCACTCATTAAAAATATTTATAAAAATTAGTATCAAAAATTCGATTCTTAAGTAATTAAATCGCATATTCTTCCTTAAATGCATAAAATCAAAAAATATTTATATTCTAAAAAATCATCTAGTTTAATAAATTTTTTAAATCTGTGCTTAATAAACATAAATGATGTAAAATTTATTTTAATTTTACCATTTAATTTACATAAATTAATAAATCAAATGGTAAAATAAAAATATAATAAGGGAATAAATTAATTCAAATTTCTCATAGAAATTTAGTTGAAGACATTTGAAAAGGATAGTTTCTTCTTCAAGTTCCTCTTTAAGTTAATACCAACAATAATTATGTTTTTTAGAAATGAAAAAAAGTGATTTAGAATTACCAATTTTATTACTTTTTTATTTTATCAAATGAATTAATTAATAATTAAATTATTTATTAAATCTTTATAAATTTAATAGTGTATTATTATATTTTATATATAATTTTCTTTATAATTAAATCCAAGAGATATTTAAGAGAGTATTTTTTTAATACTCTAAATCATTTGACTTAAAATATTAGATTGAAATTGTCATATATTTTAGGTTTATAATCCTTAGATTATCAATTATTTTATAAATAACAGTAAATTAATTTTTAATGTTCGAGGTTCTAGGAAAGATGAAAATCAAATAAAAGTATTTTTGATTTAGTGAATATAGGATAGTATAATAAGAAAGTGCTTACATTGAATAAAAATGGGACTTAAATTTCATAGTTTTTATTTTAAGATTGATAAACAAATTTTTTTATATATAACGATGACTCTCCTACTGTAAATTAGATCTTAAACACGATTAAACATAAGAAGGATGACTTTCCATTTGTTTAATGATATATTTAATGTTTGAAGAAATAAATTAAGAAATGGATGGCGCGAATTTTCTCTAGATAAAACGCCCTAGAAAAGTAATGATTAAGATATGAAATAAAGGTTTGAACTGTATGAAGCATTGTTGACAAAGCATAATAAGTGATATTGTACTATTTAAAAATAAAGATTAGTATAATGATAAGAAATTGATAAAATCTCAAAGTTGAAATTTAGTGAAATGAAGAAATATTTCCATTAATATTAATTTTAAAATAAATTTTCAAACACAGTCATTCACCACGTCTATGTAAAATCATTTTAACTTTGCCTAAAGCTTATCAACCTAATTAAATAGTAATAAAAATTTTGATGGTTAGGTTTTATGAATATGCAACAATTATTGATACCAGGACTACCTCATGAATTAGAAATAAATAACCTTCAATAGATGGCGAGATCAATGACCTTGTAAGAGAATTCAGAAATGATAGAAGAAAAATAGGTACAAATTTTTTATATACAAGTAACAAAACCACCCACTTGATAAAAAGTGTACCTAGGATGGAGAAAGTGTTTAGCCAATTGTAACTCCAAGAAGAATGTGTCATGACTTCAACAGAGAATCTCCTTTTGTCAAGATCAGTGTTTACAAATAGCACCAAATGACTAATTAAAAAATATATATACTCCAAGATGACAAGTAAAAATTTATGTTTATTATAGAATCGTTGGAAGCAATTAGATTTAAAAAAATGAAATATCTATCATTCGTCGTAAGAAATAACAACATATAGGTGATAATAATATAGATTTGGGTAGATAATTTAAGTGATAATTTGTAGGTCTCTCTTCATAAGAATAAAATGCTGAATAGGTGCCTTGTAAAATTTCAACAGAATTTGGTTTTCGTCATTCCAGCAGAATCACACCATAAATTTTTTGTTTTTTATCTCTAAAATATTTCCATTCTAGATTTAAAGAATTGCCATCAAATATCTTCAAACTTATTCACTCATTTATCAAGTATTTAAGTGTAAATATTTTTAGAGAAAAACCAAAATTCTATATTTAGGATTGTGGAACATCTTTAAAAACCTTAGTTAGAATTAAAAAAGAAAGCCCACGAATAATGAACGAAAGCAATAATTACTTAATCGGGGCTGATTTCTATTTTCACGTTATTCAATTAAATTCAATACCTAGCCTAATTGAAAATAAGAAAAAGGATTAAGAAACTCCCATTGAATACTTTTTTTAGACTCTTGTAAGAGAACATGAAAAATATAGAGCTAGAATTCATGGATTGTCTAAAGAAGAATAGTAAACTTTTTAATGTATTTAAATTATAAATCTTAGAATACTTAGAAGAATATAGAAATTTAAAGAAGAAAGGAAGGAAATAATATCATCTAATAAATTGTTATAGACCATTTCTTAAAATTTAATTTGATACTCCAATAACAAAATAGATAGCTGTCTTTATAGCAAAGCCAGGATGTGAACAAATATTTAAAATTGGAAGATCTTAAGATTGTGATATCATTGTCAATATGAATACTGTTTCAAGAAAACAAACATAAATCAAATTTAACAAAACATAATGGGAAATTTGTGATGGAGAAGGAATACGATAATCAGCTAATGGAACTTGGTAATCCTTATAACCATATGAACAACCCTACTTCAACATAAAATAAAAACTTAGTGATCCACATCTTATTGAGGATATGATGGAAATTAAAATATGTGAAAACATTTTTAAATTTGAAATGATTGGCTTTGGAGTTTCAAAAAAGTAATATTATTTTTAATATATTTAGACGAAAATTGACTAATACACTCTACTAAGAATTAACTTAATTCGATTGAATTCATTTAATATGATTTCAAAAGTTTATATATGTAAATATTCATTATATTTATTTTAATTACTTTTTATATATAAAATTTTAACTTAATAGAATTAATATTATGAAATTTAAAAAGTGTAATAGAAACAAGACTTCTATTCATTCTAAAAAAAGAACCAATAAGATTTCAAAAAAAAAGAAGTTGAAGTCCAATTAAAAGGCTTAAAATAAAGATCTTGGAAAACCTCCAAATTTAAAAAATATTATTTTAGATAAACCGAATATTTGGGCTGCAAAAGAGAAACAAGTTAGATTAATTAGATTCTTAATAACTTAAGGGAGACATTTTCTTCTTCATTTAGCAGGAACAAAGAAAACTATAATTAATGAATCAAATTTACAAAAAAAAGAAGAAAAAGAGAACTTATCAAATCATATTAATAAAATGAAACCATTATATGATTTATTGGAATAAATATCTTTTACTTATCTTGGATTTCCATAAAGATAGAAAAAAAAAGAGAGATTAATTATATTTTTTTTTAGAACTAATTCTGAAATAGATCCCCAATATGATGGTCTAGAGCCTCTTAATAATACTTAATTCCAAAGGGATTTAGAAGAAATTAAATTTTAGCTTGATAAGGATTTTTATAGAGAGTTTCATAATCTCTTAAAATAACTAGAGGGAGATTAAACAGATATTTAGAATTAAATAAAACTTATTACTTAAGAAATAGTTACTCAAACTATTGATTTACATGATCTTTCGAAAGCCAACACAATAGCAAAAAATTTATTCATCTAATTAATGATTGAGAAAGGAAATGATAATTTATAATTACTGAAAAAAATTGTTGAAGAATTTAATGAAAAAAAATTATATGAATTATTTAAGGAACTTATTGTTTAGTATTCCTTTAGAATTACAGAATTCATAACAAAATTAATTCAATTAATGTAAGGAGACAATATTGATGATCTAAATGAAAATACATATCCATAAGATATAATTAATGATGATTTTTTGATTCAATTTAAATACTAATACCAAGAAAATGATAATTCTATTTATCTAAGTGATCAAGAATGAGAGAATGATATTATAAATTTTAGTATAATTATGAGATTTCTATTTAATTGTTTCTTAAAATTATTATTAAATTATTTATGGGATAATAAGAAGAAGAATTAAATCATAATTCATGATTTCATAAACAAGAAAATAATGAACAAAAGAAATAATCTTTCTAATAGTAAAAAGAGATTTATTTAAAAAAATGAAGATTATCCTAAAAACTAAAAATTAATCTTAATCCATTCTTTGTGTTTTAAATTCTGGATAGAATTTATTAATAATATTAGAATCACCTTCATCAGAATTATTTTAATAATGCTCAATAATACAAAACAAAAATTATGGCTGGTAAGTCGAAATTTGAAATATTTAATAATTATCAAAAACTACAGAGAATAATGATGAAAATGATGATGGCAGAAATCTAAATTAATTTTAATTAGAATAAGATGATTACTAATATTAATAATATTTATAGGTTGATTAAAAATATGCATGTAAATCAGGCTCAGAAATCATTTTCAAAAAAGCAAAGTGAAAAATAATATTTTAAAGTAAGATTTGTAAAAGGTTTAGATGAAATGTAAATCAAATTCTTAAAAGAGGAACTGCCTTAGTAAAGAAAGCTAAAATTGAAGAATCTTTTTTTCATGATTTAATAGCTTATGATCAGAAATTAAACTTAATACATAATATACTTCGCATAACTAAATTAAAGAATAAGTCTTTAGGTTAAAAAGAAGAAAATCTCTGATTGAAAGTAGGTAGAAAGGAAAATGAGATTGAATAAGAATCAAAAATAAGTTGAAAATTAATAGTAGCCTTTAATTGACTTAATAAAATTAATGTTTACAACAAAAGTGCTTTGTTAAAAAAATTTAAAGAAAATATTATGATTTAATATAAGATCTTATTATTATTATAATTTAATGAAATAAAACATAAAATAACTTCAAAGCTTGGTCTATTCACATATGTGATCATAATTTTTTGCATGCCCTTGATTATGAATCATTGTTTTGCAATTAATTCCATACCAACATTATGATCGATTTTTTAAATCATCTGGCAATTCATTTTTTATGGCTATTCTATATCTAAACACAATTTACTACCAAATTTATCCAAAGCAATAACTACATACAGGCTTTTATATTAAAATAAATTTAATACTGTTTCATGAGTAATTGTCAAATCAATGTTTCTAACAGGATTAGTTAGAATTCTATTGCTCTCAATATATCGGAATAGTCCTTTAGTAATATAATTTTCCAACATATATTTAAATATATGCTGAGTAGAAATATTATTATTTTTCTAATAATCCAAAAATCCTTTTTATTCTATATAATTTTATCGAAAACATTAAATATCTATAGTTCCAGGTACTTAATGATCTTAAAGCTTATGCATAGGATTCTTATTACTGATTTAAGCACAATTTTTGTTATATATTGAACAAAAGGACCTTTCGCATAATTCACATTTAAAAATGAGTCTTTTTTCATTTAAATCTAAATTAAATAAATAAAATACCAAACTTTGGCATTTTTGATTAACAATTAGTACAATTAATATGTTATCCTCTTTTTTAACATTGAAATCCATTAATAGTTCTTAGGCAAGTAATACAATCTTTAGTAACTGGTCCATCATAATTGGATTAATTTTAAATATTATTTTATATAGAAGGAGATTATTATATTTATTATTGCTAAATTGCTGCTCTTCCTCTGCCTCTTCTTGATGGTGCAACATTTTAGATAATAGGAACTGAAGGAGGAGGAACAAGAGGAGGAGGAGGAGCTTAAGTAAATACAAGAGCATCTCCTTTAATTTTATTTTTTTCATCCATTTCTTTATATTCCTCAGGAGGTCTTTTTTTTTCAGGATTCATTAATAGGAATTTCTCTACAACATTATTAACCATGGGATTTTTATTTACTTATTGTACATCTTTTCTACAAGATGGACATGTTTTTTATTTAGCCATCCAATCTGAAAAGCATGCTCCACAAAAATTATGTAAACAAGGCATAAGAGAAACACATTAGAAAATGAGATCATCGCAAATAGGACAATGAATATCCTCTTACATATCTTCCATCATTTATAACTTTTTTTATTATTATTCATCTAATTAAGCAGCTACTTAAACTTCTTTTACTTATTAAATTATTAATGTAAAACCAATAATATCTGATATTGGTACTTTGCTTTTATGCAAAATATATATTTCATCACCATTTTTAACTAAAATTTCATTATTCTTTCCTATTTTTTAATCTCCAATAAATGTTCCATTTGTAGATAAATCTTAAAGTTAGGTTATATTATTAATAGAATCCCATTTTAATTTACAATGTGTTCCTGATAATCGATTGTCTGGTATTATTATTTTATTAGTAGGTAATCTTCCAATAGTAACCTCAATTATTATTCAAATTTTACTTCATTATCAAAAAGATCTTATGAGCTTATTTTTGCTCCATTCATAGATACTAATTTACCCCAAGGTTTGCCTATTGAACTTATAGAAGGAGCTTAATCTAAATCAGGTGTTCCTTACATTAGAATTCAATAAGAAATTAATAATTTAAATAAAAAGTAGTATATAAATTTCAATAAAATAAATATTTTATTCATCTTCTTTTATTTATAACAACAGCTTATTTTGGAAGTTTAGTTTCAATTGATTCATGTTTGGGTCTCTTAATAGATATTGACTTTTTATTTGACGTATTGTTATTTACTTTTACACTCTTTTTTTTAAGTGTTGATTCATTGCTTTTATTTGAATTTGTTTATAGATTTTAAGATTTTTCTTTTAGTACATCTTAATCTAAAGAATTATGATTTTCAAATTGAGCTGTTCCAATAGATTAATGTTCAGCATTATTTTCAAGTAGATTTAATTAGCCAAATTAAGCAGCTATTGATCCAGTAACATAGTATTCTTTGATAGATTAAGAAACTGAAGATTTTACAGATTATGGATGGATCTCACAATTTTATTTTTCAACCTTTTTAGGAGATTCTTCAAATTATTATTTAAAATTTTCATTTGAATTATTTAAATCTTGATATTAGAATGATTCTTTATGGATTTGCACTAAATCTTAATGAACCTCTTCTTAATTTAACTCACATAATGTAACCACTTATTATTGCGTAACTGGTTATGTATTTTAAAGAGCTTTAGGTTCTTCTTCCTTTATTTTTATTTAAATATCATATAATTATGAAAAAGAAGTACTTAATTCTCCCATTGTAGGTCTAGAATTTGGATCTTCTTGCAACATTAATTTGATAACATTTTTCAAAACGTAACCATTCTTAACCCCAAATTCATCAACCGCTTCATTTATAATATCTAAAGTTGAATAATACTTTTTTACTTTTATTTAATGTATAAGTCTATTTATTATAAAAAGATTGTATATTTCCGTTTCCCCACAATTCTAAGGCTATCAATCCTAATTAATAAACTTCACTCTTTTCATCATTATATTGAGGTCTTAAGTCTTTCTTTTCCAATGCTGTTACTTATTCTGGAGATAAATACCATTATCCATCACTAGCTAGAATACGTTTATAATGATTATATCCAGTAAGTTAAGTACAATTGTTAAGCTTCACTTCACCTTTTTATTTATCAATTAGTATAAAATCAGGTGTAAGATTTCCATGTACAAAATTTTCTGAGTATAATTCTTTCAACCCTTCTGATAAAGATTTCAAAACATATAAACAATTTACTGATGCTTACTTAGTTATTTCCCTTAATGTTATATCATAGTATTCATATAAGGCAGATACCTTATAGAAAGTACTACATAAATTAGATTCTTCTTGCATATCTACTTCTACCAATTTCACTAGTGATTGTATTCTATTTAATTATTAAGTCTCTTTTAATATTTTGCATAAATTAATATAACTTTCATGATTTTGACAAGTCTTTTAGACCATTGCATATGATCTTCCCTGTGACTCTATTATTTTGAATGATCCGTAAATATCATTTTCTTTATATCCTAATATGGTGAAGTTCTTTGATTTAATTATTCCCTCTGCTACAGATTATTGAGCACCCATATAAACTCAAAAATAAAATATAATAATAATTTATCTGTTAAATAAAAGTATCAGTTAAAAATAATCAAAATTAATATCCACTTTTTTATATTCTGATTTCTATTTTTTCTATTTTTTATTCATTTTCCTATCTATATAATTCATTTTATTTGCGATTATTGTATTCATTTAGATCAAATTTGAATTCATCAAATGCTTAATCCATTTTTAATTATGAGCATTAAACTTTTACAATCAAATTCCTTAACTATTATGCTGTTTTGGAAGTTCTACCATTTATTTTTAAATATCATTATATATCTGTTGGTAAAAGTAAATAATGGAAATAACCATAATACTCTAATCTTAATTTAGATTCAACAAAGGAGTTATTTTTTATTATATTTTTTTTGTCAAGTTTATCTATTTTTTATTCACAATTTTATAATAAAGTTTACAATTCTTTTTTAGCAATGTTATTTTTTACAATGAATTCATCTTTGAACTTTCTAAATGATTCACTCTCTAAATATTGAATAGTTTTAAAGATGGAACGTTTTTTTCGAATAAAACTCTTGATCAGTAAATTCTTTGAAAAACAATAAATAAATCATCCAAAGATTATTCTGTGCACCAAGGTGTTAAAAAATTTAGCAAAAGTCTTACCAATTATATTTAAACATTCAATTAATGTTTATAATTTTTAGAATATTATTCAAAAATCTTAATAAATTCTTCTTCCATTTAAATGATCTTAATTGTTGATTCATTTTCTTCAGTATAAGGATGTTCTAATTTATTATTTTTGGGAGTTGATTGCATTAATCCTGGCTTAATAAGATTAATATTAGAATTAACTATTCTTCTGGAGCTAAAAATTCTTAGATTTTCTTAAGAATCTTCATCTTATTCATTTATAAATGTTTTATAAAGTTCATATTAATATTCTACTTTTCTTTTACTTCTAGATCTTAAGTTACTTTGCATTCTTTAAACAGCTAAACCCTGTCAATTTAAAAATGAACTTAATTTATATGGCTATTAATAATACATATCAACATTGATAACTTTTGGTTAAACTTCTTTCTTTTTAAAATCTCAAAAGATATAATATCCAAGATTTTCCTAGGAAATTCTTTTCGGAATATCTTCTAACATTGGTAATAAAATAGAATATTCATGAAATTTCTTTATATATTCAATTTATTATTCACAATTCATATATTTTGATGTTTTGAATTATTATCTTGAAAAATATTTTTAAAATTAATTATACAAGCTAATTTGTTGGAATTGAGTTTTTTTAGACTTTTAATTAAAAATTCCTATATCTAATATTTTTAATTGATCTTTACAATTCAATTAGTATTCTTTTTACATCTTCTAATTTTGAGAATTCTATAAAATCTTATTCATTTAAACGATATAGTTCACCTATGAAATAAAGTTCTGTTTAGTTGTCTGCTAATTTTAAATCTTCAATAAGAACAATTTTTTAATTTTTTACTTCTAATTTATCACCTAACACTTTACTTACTTTTAAACATAATCTTCCACATTATGCAAAAGACTTTAAATCAAATCCTCTCTCTACACATAAAAAGACCATTGGAATATTTCCATTCTCAGCATAATGAATTAAAATTTCATCTGTTCGATAAATAGTAAGAATTATTTAATACATTAATTAATGGGAAATTCTCAATGCTGTTCTATATAATCAGATGACAAATCTGAGATTATTCTTAAAAATGATCTCGAACGTAGGTCTTCCAATAAGGAATCAAATAAAAGATAATAAGAGTATATTCTGTTTACTCCAAATTAAGGGTTCTTAATTCCAAAAGCATAGATATTGTCCATCCAAATTAATACGATGAGCCAGCCACTCCTGGATTCGCTAAACTCAAATCTTATGAAAGCAAACAATCCCAATAATCTTAATCAGAGATTTAACTAGTAGAAGAAATTGCTTTCAATTTTGATGACTTTTCTTAATAAAATAACAATCTTTAATAAAGTCCAATCTAATCATAACGATCCTTGAAGAAAAAAAAAAAAGACGATTCACCAATTTGTGATTTTTAACCCAAGAATTCACTTAGATCTTTTGATTCCAAAAAATTAACTAAATTCTAAAACCTATCTCAACATAGAGTTAAATTCGATGATAGCAATGATAATGATAGTTAAAGAAGTAATAGCATTGATAATAAATCCATTAAAAGCATTATGAAATAAGAATTAAAATATTGCTAATTCCGAAAAATGTAAACTGTAGGGGATCCATAATCAAGAAAGAAAGTCTAATTTTCTATTCATAAATGACAACAATATAATTTATCTTTTATATCTTACATACATCTTTTTTCTTTATTTTTATTTTTAGTTTAATCTTATAACTATAATTATAGACTATAAATCAATTTAATTGATATTAACATTAATAAATCAATTTTCTTCTGAACATTCTAAAAATTTTAGCTCCTGTTCCTCTTTGATCCATTTTCAAATTCTAATTAAATCCTGGAAATTAATTATCTATATCTTCAAATTAAACTTTATACATAAATTGTTAGCCATCATTCACTCGTTATATCTAAAAATACAATTTTGTTTTTTATTATTTTTCATATATTCCTACTAATATTTAAGGTTTTACCATCAAAACACCTCTAAAGAGAAGTTTAAATCCAGATTTATTAATTTATAATATTCTTAGATTTATATTTAATTTTATTCGACATTCATTTTTATGAATTTAATGAGACATCTAAAAATCTAAATTATTATTTTATGCCTCTATATTCAAAGAATAATTAATTAAAATGCTTTCTACTTAAATTTCACTCATTTTTATCAAATCTATAATCCTAAATTTAAAATCAAAGATATTTTTATGAGGAAAGTATTTATCAAAATATCCCATTAATTATTCATATAATGGTAATTTATAGGATTATATCTTATCTTATTAATTTAACCATTATAATTGCAACACCATATTTATATCTTTTGCTTCGGTTATCTTCATAGGGAAGTGAAAATTTGAGTATTCAAATCCTTATTTTCGTTTATATTCAACAAACATTTTAAAAAGTATTGCTTCCTTTGTTTTCCTTACTGATTTAATTTTATAACATAGAACTTCCTATAAAATTTATTCAGTTTATATCTTTTCTATCTTTAACAATAATTTTCTTTCTTAATTCATAGAAAATTTAAAACTTTTAATTAAATCTTACCACTATTTCCCTTATTTTTTTGTTTGTGTTTAACTATTCTCACTAATTATTTCCAAACTCATATCACTCAGTGTATTTATTTAATTAAAATGCAGATTAGTTATGAATCTTCTACATGACTTTGGAATGTAAATCTATAAAAGATAAGTTTTAATATCTTGAAATTCTTCAATAATTATTATACAAGGAATTCTACTTTATTATAAATAAATCTTATTATATTGATATCTATTTACAATACAAAAAGGTAACTAAATAAATTATATCATATTATAGATTAATCTTGAACAAATTACTTCTTGATAGAATAATTAAAATTTTTTAGGATATGGAGTTACATCAAGATTGTCATAGTTAAAATTCAAAACCCATGGTAATGAATTTATAAATTTTAGAGTTTTGCCTTATTTGATATTTCTAATAATTATAATTGCATGCCTTGAATTTATAAACCTTTCATAACAAAGGTGGTTACAAATTAATATCTAAATATCATTAAACAAGATTTCAATGATATTATAGTGATTTACATCATACAATTTATTTAAAGTATTTTATAAATCTTCAAGGGTTAATATTAATTTATACATTTTAGTTTTCATATTTTTTTTACAGAAAAGGTTTACTTTAATCAAAATATATCTTCTTCTTAGTTGCTTTAATATACCCTTAGGTTTATCAAAAAATATTGTGATTTCTAATAAACAATATCCTAATTAAGCTATTTTACTGTGTGATAATTTTTTATATTAAATAAAAAAAGAATCCCAAAAATTTTTAAATTGATCACTTTTAAATAATTGATAATACAATATAGTTAAGAATTAGTAAAATTGTTAATTAGTAAATTATACTAATTAAAAATAATTATAAAGCAAGTTTTGATCATTACAATATTAATCTTATTTAAAGTATTATTTTTACATAAGTTTCTTCCCATTTAAACTTAAAGTCTTGCAAATCAATTAATTTAAGAAATAATTTCTTAACCTACATTAAATAGTATTAAGTAATTTTTCTTTGTTTTGTATTTAGATTTATTACCATATTTTCCTTTGGAATGGTCTCCAAATTTTTAAATATCCATTATTCCATATATAGTAAGTTAAATAATGTCTAAATATTTATTTTTTTTGATTTTTTAAAACTAATGTATTATATTATTGCAATAATTTCAATTCCTTATAATTTGGCATCTAAATAGTTTTTTCTTCAAATTCGCNCTATAAAAGATAAGTTTTAATATCTTGAAATTCTTCAATAATTATTATACAAGGAATTCTACTTTATTATAAATAAATCTTATTATATTGATATCTATTTACAATACAAAAAGGTAACTAAATAAATTATATCATATTATAGATTAATCTTGAACAAATTACTTCTTGATAGAATAATTAAAATTTTTTAGGATATGGAGTTACATCAAGATTGTCATAGTTAAAATTCAAAACCCATGGTAATGAATTTATAAATTTTAGAGTTTTGCCTTATTTGATATTTCTAATAATTATAATTGCATGCCTTGAATTTATAAACCTTTCATAACAAAGGTGGTTACAAATTAATATCTAAATATCATTAAACAAGATTTCAATGATATTATAGTGATTTACATCATACAATTTATTTAAAGTATTTTATAAATCTTCAAGGGTTAATATTAATTTATACATTTTAGTTTTCATATTTTTTTTACAGAAAAGGTTTACTTTAATCAAAATATATCTTCTTCTTAGTTGCTTTAATATACCCTTAGGTTTATCAAAAAATATTGTGATTTCTAATAAACAATATCCTAATTAAGCTATTTTACTGTGTGATAATTTTTTATATTAAATAAAAAAAGAATCCCAAAAATTTTTAAATTGATCACTTTTAAATAATTGATAATACAATATAGTTAAGAATTAGTAAAATTGTTAATTAGTAAATTATACTAATTAAAAATAATTATAAAGCAAGTTTTGATCATTACAATATTAATCTTATTTAAAGTATTATTTTTACATAAGTTTCTTCCCATTTAAACTTAAAGTCTTGCAAATCAATTAATTTAAGAAATAATTTCTTAACCTACATTAAATAGTATTAAGTAATTTTTCTTTGTTTTGTATTTAGATTTATTACCATATTTTCCTTTGGAATGGTCTCCAAATTTTTAAATATCCATTATTCCATATATAGTAAGTTAAATAATGTCTAAATATTTATTTTTTTTGATTTTTTAAAACTAATGTATTATATTATTGCAATAATTTCAATTCCTTATAATTTGGCATCTAAATAGTTTTTTCTTCAAATTCGCCTTCGTAATCTAGACCAATAAATTTTGGAATTTAAGTTATTGGATCAAGTTTACTAGGATTTGTTAATTATAAGAAAGCTTAATATCTAATGTCTCTTTTTTTTTATTTAAAATTGTTTTTTTCTCTATCTTTTAACAAATCTTAATATAACTATTCTAATCCTAAATTTGAAAAGTAACTAATATCAATTTTATCTCTTAAAAAAATACTTTCGATAACTTCAATTCTTTAGATTTCTAAAGTTCTTCTCTAAATATTTTTTATGATAGATCTATTTTTTTATTCTTCATAAAATTCAAATTTTAGTTTTGAATCCTTAATATGAGCGAATCGACTCAAATATTTAAGAGCAGAAATTTTTTGTAATTGACTTAATCCAAATTTTTAAACATATAGCGATAATTCAAAATCTGGAACAAACCATTTAATAAATTCTTTAAATGTAAAATTAGCTTAATCTTTCCAAACATTATCATAAGGAAATATTAATTCAAAAGTAATTTAAATTTTTACTAAATCTTTCATGTTCATCACCTATTGATTAAATAACTCAATATTCTCCTTTAAAATTTAGCTTACACTTACAATAAAATAATATTTTTCAATTTTTATTATTCCTATTAAAATTATTTCACATAAATTAAAAGGATTGTTGTATATCGACTTAAATATTTATTTTTCATATTTGGATTAATTCCAGAAATATTCAAAATCAAAATTTTAAATTCTAACTTTTCTTGTTTTTTTCCACTTAGATGAAACTGTAAAATCATCACATTTTTTGAAAACAGTTATAAATTTTTAATCTAATTCATTTTCATATTCAGGTATAAGATCGATGATTTTTAGAGCATCAGTATCAAATAATTCATTTCCAATTAAATTTATTTGAGTATCTAATAGATTATGGCCAGAAGAGAAAATACCTTATTATGAGGAAGAGATATTTGCAACATTTTTTTTATGAAAAGAAGTTAAAGGTGGTTAAAAACTTAATGAAGCACTTTAGGATAAAGATGGAAATTATAGATCTAAATATTTTGACTAATTATTTAATGAAACCATTGATTTTTATGATTAACTAGAGGGTGATTCTTCAACAAATTAAACAGAAGTTTAGTGATTTTTAGTAACTTTTCTCTAAAATGATCCAGGTTCCAATACTTATGAATCTTTTTTTTTTTAACTAGTTGGAATAAATGCAGATTAATTTCTTTATGGATATTTTATTTTTGAAATAGACAATAATTACGGACTAAAACGTTATATCTCCTAATTTTAGTTTTATTGTAAATTTTTTGGAATATTTACAGCTTTCAACTAAATTTAATTTATTTCAGGATCCCTTATAGAAACATCAAGCATTTATCGACATGATATTTGAGGCTCTTCAAGTAAGATTAATTCACCTACTGGTTTATTATCTTCTACTGATTCGAAAATAGGATTTGTTTTTATTGTGTAAATTGCATTACCATTTTAAATTTTTTCCTCCATTTTTTAAGAACAATTTTCAATTGATTCCCTAACATTTAGGTCAGTTTAACTAACTCTCAAAGTAATCTTCATACTAAAATCATCTGTCAACAAATTTTAAGGTTTAAAATAATACTGTCTCTTTTCTGATCTTTATTTTTGGTAATATGATTATAATAATTTCCTGCTATATTTTACTTAAAGTTTATTTGTAAAATATAATTTCTTACCAATAATTTTTGTCTACTCACAAGTATTGACCATTATGATAGAAAATAATTATATTATAGATGCCAAATTTTCATCAAAATTATCACCCTTATACATTAAAATAAAAGAAGCTTGTGAAATTTTTGTTAGATTTTGTTCTATAAATTCTTCCAATTGAGATTAGCAAAAAGAAAGGCTATCAAATTAACTTAAAGAAAGCCAATGTTAAGAGACAAATTAAATTGGCAAATAGATTTAATAAGATCTGATTAATTTTTCAATTGTGAAACTAAAAACTAATTGATTATTCATTATTTTTGTCTTAAATCCTATGAATCTTAATATCTAATCAGATTGATCTGAACAAAAAAAATTACATTCTCCTTAAACTTTATATTCAAATCCAGAATTTAAAATTTCAAGTACTTTTTGATATTATTATGACTCTTGGGTTTTTTCTCTAAGAATAACATAATCATTATTACTTTTCATATATTTCACTTTCAGATTTTATATTCATTAAATTGCTGCTAGCTTAACTATAAAAAGAGAAATCTTTTGATTTCATCTAAAATTTTTTTGGTTATAAAAAAGCTTCTTTTCTATGATTAAATTTTAATGACTCTACTGATGAAGTCAGACTACGTCTAATTACATTTCGAAAAATCTTAGGTTATACTACAGTTTCTGAAGGTTTTTCGGACATTTTTTCTTCATTATCTTCTTTATTTTTGGAAATTAAATCATTTTTTATTCTAATTGAGTCAATTTTCCGTTTAACATATCTTTATATTCTTAAAATTTTATCCATATTATTTTCATAATATTCAAATTAATTTTATTATATGATAAGATCACCTGCAAAATTATAATAAAATTCTAAATACCTAAAATATTTATAGATTTTTTAGAAGTGAGCTAATGTATCGTTTCTATTACTTAATTAGATTTTTTAGTGCTCAAATCGAAAGCTATTACTTATTGATTTTTTCTTGAATTATTAAACTCTTATGTATTTATTTTTTTCAAAATCTTTTTCAAAGGATCATCTATAGGATGAACACTAAATGAAGATGTTTTATTTTTTGATGAATTAAGTAAGTTTAAATATTGTGAATGCTTAATTTAATTTTATTAATTAATTTTCATTTTTGGCCTTTAAAGCATTAAATTTAATATTTAAATATTTTAGTCTATATTAAAATTTTTATCATCTAAATTCGATTAGGTTTAATTTTATCTATTGATGAAACAAGATGAAATAGGTTAATTTGGATTTTTGCTGTGAATAGTTTAAAATTAAGTCATATCAGTTTTATTTCTCTCTCTAAAGTTAGAATTAAATTTACTCTTGGTTATTGCAATTCATAAAATAATAAAACTGATTTTCTCCTTAACTCAAAGTTCTTGAATTTAGTTTTGTATTAGTTGTTTAATCATTTAACTTTTTCAAATTTTCAACACTGTTTCTGAAATTATAGTTATTTTAAAAGGATGTTTATGATTATGAATTATTTCTATTTATCGAATGAAATGAACTTCTTCTTTAATATTGTTTAATTTAGGAGGGTTTAATCAAATTTTATAAATCTGTATTTTTTTTAATTTGTACACTTGGCTTAATTTTATCTTTAATTAATTTGAAGGATTCTTGTTTAGAAATAGATTTTGTAAACTCAATCTTACTAAGATCTTCGATTTCTAATTCAAATAGTATTTATTATTTTATTTATTTTATTCTGAATAAAGTTTTTTAAGTTTCCTAATTTTCATCTCCTAGAAGTTACTTTTAATATTTATAAATCTCTGAATATAATAAAATTTGATTATTGATAGAGTTTTTGGTCTCTATTTGAAATTCTAACATTTAAATAAGCATTTTTAATTGATTCTTTGAATGATTACTACCTTTTTAACTTTTGATTAACAATATGCATTCGTTAGCTGCATAGTATTTTTTTTCTTTATTTTATAATTTATCCCAAAATTTTGCAATAATATAGTACAATTCTTAGAGATTTACTTAATTCGCCCATTCAAGACTTTTTTTATTTTATTTAATTAGCAATTCTAGCTATATCAAAATATTTAATCCTTATTGCAACTGTCCATCAATTTCTAAAGATTTACTTAATTTTATAGCAATAACTATCAATAATCTCCAATGTTAATTTGAAAATTAAGATGTTATAGATTTATTTTAAGGAAATAGTTTTTTATAAGCTTTAAATATAATTTCTAAGATATACCTTTAGTTAGAGTATCAATTGATTAATGAATTGATTATGTATCTGCAAAAGAACTTGCTAGGTTAACATAATGAAGTAATAACTTATGAGTTTCATAGTGTTATAAATCATAACGCATTAATTGTATTTCTAGTTGTCTCTCAAGTTAAAGAATCATAGCTAAATTGGTTTTAAACATTTAATAATAAATAAATAATATCAATAAGAATAAGAATTTTTTTAAGGTTGAACAATGACTTTAAATATTTTTTTGTCTAGTTTCTATATGTAAAATTATCTTTAAAAACACTATAATGATCCATTTTGACTTAAAAATTAAAATATAATTTATCATTTTTAATTTTCCCATTAATTTTAGGCCATTTTATACAATTCTTCAGTCCAAAAGTGTTAAAATGCTCCTTTAGGCATCTGTTTTAATTTATCTTTAAATTTATCTACTGTGTTTTATCCTTCGTCTAATAAAGATAATATTTAAGAGTAATTAGAGCTGATAATCGTATTTGAAAGTATTAAATCTTAATTTTCTTAGTTTTAATTTAATTCATATTTTGTAATCACACAATTTTTATTCGTAGAATAATAGAAATACAAAATTAACGCACTTATGTATTAATGAACCAATGTTCCTTAATTAAACACTTCATAAATTTTATTTTCTTAGTTTTCAACTGTTTGCTCACATATATAATATTAATTATTATCATCCTTAATTAAATACTATTTCGGAAATTTTAAATCAAATTATTACTATTTGCATTCAAATTCTTTAATCTTATTCAGATCTTCCTTGTATAATTACAAAAACCCTTTTACTATTAATTAATTATTTATTATATCTAGTGCTTGCTATTCGTTATTTAGAGTTATTTTATAGTCTTTCATCTTTTTCATAGACCAAATTTATCCTTTCTTTAAAACATTAAATCCTATTTCTGATAAGTCTTATTCAACCCCTTTCTCTATAAATGAAGGTTGGTAAAATAAATTTTAATTATTAATAGATTCAATAAATTTATCCATATTTAAGGATATTTGTTATATACTGAATTTGAAATGATCCTTATTTTTTTCTATTAGATCTATTTTGTTTTTATTTTCACATGTTTTTTTAAGCAATTAATCTAAAAATTTGGTTTAGTTCTTATTATTATTATTCTTTTGGTAAAATTCGTCATTATAGTAAAAGCTCTCAAGTTGTTATTCAAGTTTTTGTTTATATGTTTGATCATGTGAAGAAATTGAAGTTTAGTCTTATGAAAATTGTATTAGATATGAATTCTATAATGATGGAATGTGTATATCATTTGATTATTCAGATTTATCTATTTCTAAAGATTTAATCTAACAAAATAAATTAGATTTCTCTTTTTGTAAAGATTAAATCTATTAAAATTGATTGGATATTGTTTTAGATTGCCCATGATTTTCCATTTCTAAAGATTTAATCTCACCCAATAAATTAGATTTTTCTTTTTGTAAAGATTAAATCTATTAAAATTGATTGGAGATTTCTTTTGATTATTCCGATTTTTCTGTTTCTAAAGATTTAATCTAATCGAATAGATTAGATTTTTCTTTTTGTAAAGAATAAATCTATTAAATTTGATTGGAGATTTCCTTTGTTTAATCTTACTTTTCCATTTCTAAATATTCAATCTAAAGAGATAAATTAGATTTTTCTTGTTCTAAAGTTCCAATCTTTTCACATAATCCTTAGTTTAATTCTTTAATTTATTTTTTTGTTGCTTCATGGCTCTCATTTATTTTACAATTTTTCTCTTATATATTAAATAATTTTTCATTTTCTCTTTCAAGTAGCTGAATTTATTTTTGTAAATCTTCTTTATCTTAAATTAGATTTTGTAGGTTTAAATAACTAGTTTCTAGATTTTTTTAGAAAAGTTTATATTTTTATGCTTATTATTCTGTTTTTTGGTATTTTTTTTACAGTTCATCAAATTCTTTCCTTAGTTATTTATGTTCAATATTCTCTTTAATTAACAATGAAATATGGTTTTTTTATAAAGCAATTAATTTCTAACTTGAAGAAAAATTTTGTTTATCAATACCTAAGTCACTATGGTAATCAAACAACATCCACTAATCATCATTATTTATACTCTACAATTCTTTTTAAATTACTTAAAAATCTTTTTGAAATTATTTTTCTACAATCTCTTCCTCATTATATATTAAACATGTTATTTATTTAGGATTCATTGAAATAAATTAAATCAAATAAAAATATTAAAATAAAAATTTGAAGAAAGTGAATGATTATATATGACTAAAACCTGAAATGAATTTCATTTGATAAAATAATGTTAATTTTATTATAATGGAGGAGGAGCATCTTAATTTTCATAAATTATTAAATATATAATGAGTTTAATTTTAAAGAATAACATAGTTTTTCCAATTTTTAAACATCGTGAGACATTTACTTATCAAAATAGATAAAAATCGACCCATATTCCTTAAAGAGTTGATACTTCTTCTCCAATAAATCGTTTAGCATCTCCTTAATGCAAAACTATTAATTTAACTCCTTCAAGAGAATAGATTATTTAAATTAGTCCTAGAAATAAATAAAATAGTTTTATAACTCCAAAACCTATTCGAAATGAATAGCATCATAGTCTATAATGTTATTTAGATCATTTAAATAGTATGAGTGTATTAAAATCTCCAAAAAGTAGAAATTTATGAATAAAAAAGGAGAAATACCATAATCAATTGATAACAGGATTATTTTACAAAGAGTAAAATCAATAAAGGAATAAACAAATAAAAAAAAGAAAGTAAGTTTATTAGAAACAGTTCATAATCCAAATGCTTCACAATACAAAAGATTTACAGAACAGCTTTACAATTTAATTCATAATCTTCATTAATTAAAAGTATAACTTATTAAGATCTTAGGATTATTTGAATAATTCTAGAAAGCTTTTTTAAGTAGTAAAAAGTTTGATTGGTATCAAAAAGAACATGTATAGAATTTTAATCAAACCTTAAACAGAGGAGCTGCATGATTTTTCTGAAATATCTCGATTATGTTGCGTAAAAGATGTTTTATTTGTAAATGGAGAATAAAGAGTGATAGAGAAATTTGATTTATCTTTAATGGAAGATCTAATCTATATAACTGATTCAATTAAACAATTGTTATTACAGAATCAAATGAAAGCCATAAACAGAATGAGTGATAATGTATTTGCTATCAAAATATATAAGATTAGAATTGAATAATATGAAATCAGAAAATTAAAAGGATAACTAGGCATTAGAGAATCAAATCACTCATTATCAATTGAATCGTTGGCAATGAAGAAATTTTAACCACATTTAGAATTAAAATATATTGAACAGAAATTAGGCTNTATATAATGAGTTTAATTTTAAAGAATAACATAGTTTTTCCAATTTTTAAACATCGTGAGACATTTACTTATCAAAATAGATAAAAATCGACCCATATTCCTTAAAGAGTTGATACTTCTTCTCCAATAAATCGTTTAGCATCTCCTTAATGCAAAACTATTAATTTAACTCCTTCAAGAGAATAGATTATTTAAATTAGTCCTAGAAATAAATAAAATAGTTTTATAACTCCAAAACCTATTCGAAATGAATAGCATCATAGTCTATAATGTTATTTAGATCATTTAAATAGTATGAGTGTATTAAAATCTCCAAAAAGTAGAAATTTATGAATAAAAAAGGAGAAATACCATAATCAATTGATAACAGGATTATTTTACAAAGAGTAAAATCAATAAAGGAATAAACAAATAAAAAAAAGAAAGTAAGTTTATTAGAAACAGTTCATAATCCAAATGCTTCACAATACAAAAGATTTACAGAACAGCTTTACAATTTAATTCATAATCTTCATTAATTAAAAGTATAACTTATTAAGATCTTAGGATTATTTGAATAATTCTAGAAAGCTTTTTTAAGTAGTAAAAAGTTTGATTGGTATCAAAAAGAACATGTATAGAATTTTAATCAAACCTTAAACAGAGGAGCTGCATGATTTTTCTGAAATATCTCGATTATGTTGCGTAAAAGATGTTTTATTTGTAAATGGAGAATAAAGAGTGATAGAGAAATTTGATTTATCTTTAATGGAAGATCTAATCTATATAACTGATTCAATTAAACAATTGTTATTACAGAATCAAATGAAAGCCATAAACAGAATGAGTGATAATGTATTTGCTATCAAAATATATAAGATTAGAATTGAATAATATGAAATCAGAAAATTAAAAGGATAACTAGGCATTAGAGAATCAAATCACTCATTATCAATTGAATCGTTGGCAATGAAGAAATTTTAACCACATTTAGAATTAAAATATATTGAACAGAAATTAGGCTAACTTAACTTTATACCAAAATAAGCCAGAGAAACATCTGAATTGCTTTGTGATATAGTAGATAAATTGAATACATGAATATTAGTATTGATATATTAATTAATTATTGTTATTCTAAAATTATGCCACCTAAGCCTTGGGAAAGTTAATAAAGTAATATAGTTAAATAAATAATAAGGAGTTTAAAAAGCAACAGCTATAACATAAGAATTATAATAGAATCAAACAATAAATAAACAAATGGATTAATAAATATAAGATAGTGAAATTGGAGAAATGACACAAGAATAAGCTGCATAAGTTTCTGCTCAAGCCGCTAATCAAGGAACAACTAATTAGACTTCGTATAAATTAATTATGTATATCCAATAGATTATTAAATAATAATTTAAACTCCTCTACAGGATTGGGTTATGGAGGTTTAAATAGCTATGGAGGATATAGTGGTATGGGAGGATATAGTGGTATGGGAGGATATGGTGGTATGAGTGGATATGGAGGATATGGCAGTGGATATGGAGGTTTTGGAATGGGAATGGGTATGGGTATGGGTATGGGAGGTTATGGTAAATTTAATATATTTAGATTAGGAATGAATAGATTTGGAATGGGAGGTGCAGGTATGCAATAAGGGAGTAAAATGATGCAGGCTTTGGAATATTTGGATAGTGTGGGATTTGTTGTCAATAGTCTTTGTGAAATAGCTAGAATGATAGAAATGAACACTCAAGGACTATATAATTTAGGGTAATTTTTATACTTTTATAGTTCGACAGCGTAAGTGGCTTAGCGCTTTTAGCCAGATTGTATTCAGGCAATAAGTGGTTATGGCATGTAATAATCAATTTTATCAAAAAAATTTATTATTAAATTAAGACAACACTATTATTCGAAAATGAAACATCTAATTAGATAAATTAGAAATACAAAAAATTATTCATTATTGGAGTCATTGTATTAGCATTATTATTAATTACTTTTATTTATCCTAAAGTGATTAGCACAAAAACTTAGACTCATATCTTAGATGAAGTATTTAATTAATAAAAAATATGATTCATTATCATTATTTTTTCATTGTACTAATCATTCTACTAAACTATTCTCTTGGAAAAACTATTTTATTCTTAAAAATTAACCTCATTATATATTTAATAATTTATGAAAATTAGGATGCTCATCCTCAATTAATATTATTTTATCAAATTTATATTCATTTAAGGTTTTAGTCATTTCCTATCTTCAAATTTTTATTTTAATATTTTTATTTGATTTAATTTATTTCAATGGATCCTAAATAAACTTATCTAACTTGCCTTATAAGCGATAAAAACAAGGTTATAGAAAAATAAGTTAAAAAAGATTTTCCAGCTATTTAAGAAGAATTGCATAAAATAAATAAGGAAGCTTAATGGATTATGTCTGATTTTAACTATCATATTAGAATAGATTAAACAAACCTTTCTTCATGTTCGAAGTTGGTTGCGGTTTAATAAAATGATGTATCTATGCTCTTAGAAGACCGCATTAAACTTAAATAATTATAGGAAAAATATGATAAACTTTATATTGAATTCCAATAAGAGAAATAAAACGCTGAAAAATACAGAAAAATGTAAAAAAATTTGGAATCTGAATTTTTCCATTCAAGTGACTTAAAAAAAGAAATATTTACTTAAAAAGAGTAAATTAAACATCTTGAGGAAATGAATTTACTATTGCAAAATGAACTAGACGAAAATCATAAGCATTATGAAGACTATAAAAAAAATTCTTAAATAACAATTAAAATATTAAATAATGATTTATCTAATTTGAATCTAAAAAATCAATCTTTAGAATTAGAAAAGCAAGAGTAATAAAAAGAAATATCCAATTAATCCTAATAAATAAATACTTTAGAAAAAGAAAATTCTAACTTGTCTGAAAATAACAAATCTTAATTATTAGAAAAGAATAAATCTTTAGAAATAGAAAAAATATACTTATCTGAATAGATAAAATAATTAGAAATAGAAAAGATAAACATATCTGAAAAGTTCAAATTGTAGGAAATAGAAAAGAATAACTTGTCTGAAAAGATCAAATTTTTAGAAAAAACTAAAAATTAAATTTTTTCACAAGATCAACTCTTCTAACTACTTGATGATTTCTATAATAATGATTAATGTTACCAAGAGAATGATAATAAAAATAGATAAGTATAATTTTTAGATTAAATGCTTTAAAAAAAAATTTTAGATGAATAAATAATAGATCATAGAGAAACAAATACGGTTAATTTTCAATTCAGATTATAACAAATATCTTTAAATATGGAAAAATTTAGAGAATCTATTAATAATAATATATTTTACAAACCATCATATATAGAAAGAGGTGAAGAATAAAACTTGAGTAAAAAAGCATTTGAAATTTTAAAGAATGGATAAACTTGGTTGATTGAAGATAATTATACGATGTTAAGTATAAAGATGAAAAATTATCAAATACCTCTAAATTAAGAATAAAAAGCAATAGATATTATAAATAATTTATTAGTTGTAGAAGGATTTATGCAATTATACAAGGAAGATTTAAAAAAGATTACAGAATGTTAATTCAAATAAAAATAATTTGATTTATAATTTCCGAAATAGTTTTTAATTTAAGATGATCAGAATTAATTCTATGTTTGCGAGCAAATAGTTAAAGATTAAGCAAATTAAATATATGAAGCATTTAATAAAGAGACAGAGGTTAGTTAATACATTAATTCATTTATATTATATTTCTATTATTGCTTGAATAAAAATTGTGTTATAACAAAATATGACTTAAATTAAAACTAATAAAATTAAAATCTTATACTTTCTAATATGATAATCAGCTCAAACTACTTTAAAACATTAAGTTTACTTGATGAAGGGAAAAAAGCTGTAGATGAATTTAAAGAAAAAATAACCCAAGAACAATCTAAACTAGAGGCTTCAAATTTTTGGACTAAAGAATTATAAAGAGCGGCCTAAAAATAATGGTATAATAAAAAATGATAAATTATCAAGTCAATTTATTGGTTTTATTTTTTTATTTTGTTTAATAAAAATCAGATCATTACATTTTTCTTTCATAAAATTTAAAGTATAAATACGAGGTAATAAAATGATATAGTTTATTTATTATTAAATGTTTAAAAACCAATTTGGTATTGATTCTTTAACTTGAGAAATATCTTGGAATACATGAAACTAGAAATTTTAAAAAAAATTTTTAATTCTTAAAATTTGTATTTTTATAATTTTAGCATTTTTTTGTTAGACCAATATGATTAGCATATTCCAATTGTAATCGAATAAGGTCTGCAAATAAATACAATTGTTCTTTTTAACCAAACAACAGGATAGCTTTCATGAAATTATGGGAATAATGTATTAAACTTATGGATACTAAGGATGCAATTAAATTCATGATTTTTCTTTCACTTAATACTAATAGAATAAAATATATGGCTGAGTGCAGATTAGAATTGCAACACCACATGTTATCTTATAGTTCGAAAACAGTGATAGATAAGCCCCGATGATAAAAAATAAAGATGCAATTAAATCTTTTGGAAAGGACTTAATATCTATAATAAGTAAAAAATATTGCAACTTATAATTAAAATTTATTTATTAGTTGAATATTATAAAACTCATACTTTTAAATATCTTTTAAATTTTTTATCATATAATTTCCCTTTCTCATAATAAAATATAATCATGAAATATTTCAGCTCTGCATATATACTATTTTAATCTTTTTAAATAATTATTCTTAAACAATGAATAGTAAAAAATTAAAAGTTTCTCGATTCATAAATATTTAAGAAAATAAATAAATTTTTATTAATACTATTTTACCTATGGATTGAATAGGTAATTAAAAATGATTGCTTTTTGCTTTTTACCTTAAGCTAAAAAAAACTTTGCAATAAATGAAACTTAAAACAAAGAGATAAAAATACTAGAATAAATAATCAACTTTTTAATTAATTTTAATATTTTATAATCATATGACCTTCCAAGATTTTAAGTCAAAACTAGTTTTAATATAAATTATATTTTTACAATTGTAACTTCATTAATTTATCTTTAATTACTGTAAAGTAAATTAATCCATATAGCCATCCTAATAGCACAACAGTTTTATAGGGGAGCAAATGTAATAAAAATAATGAAACACTTGCTGAAAACTAAGTTCCAAATAAATAGCTGCTAAATAATAAGGTAGCATAGGTTCCTCCTATTGATGGATCAGCAATCCTCAAAAAAAATCCTGACAATGTACATGAAATGAATGAATTATTAAATTCATACAAATATTATAAAAAGAACTAAATAAGATAATATTTTTTACATAAATAGTTTAAGTAATATTATTATAGCCCCCCATTTTAATGAAACTGATGACATAAACAAAATGTGCACCCATAACCAAAAACATGAAATAATAAGCATTTAAGACCCAGGTCATTTCTCTCCCTCTTTATAAATATTTAGCAACCAACAGTGAACTCAAAATCCAAGAAGTAGTGCATATTGCTTCAATTGTTGCATATTCAGATTGAGGAAACCCCATTTAAATTAAATTTAATGATGTTGAAGCTATTACTGGAGCGAATGCAAATCTCCTTGTTAATAAAAAGAGTAATAAAAATCTTAAATTTGGATTTCTTAACAATGAAAATGATAATTTTAAGACTTATAAAAAATTTGGCTTTTCTTCTTCCACATAATCTTCATTAGCAAAACATTAAGTTAGGATAGCAATAAATAAAATTAGGGATCCAAGAATGTAAGTATATGAATTCAATGATATTATAGGTTAGTCCAAACCTAAATATTAATGGCAAAAGTAAGAGGATGTGATGTTCATCAAAATAGCATAGCTAAATACATACCCTAATGATAATCCTACCATTTAACAGGTCGCCCCCAAATGAACATAATGTTTTGAAAAGGATGTTAGAACCCATCCGTTAGTTGCTATTGTTGCACACGCTTATAAAACTGTAAGTAATATAGTCAATCCAAACAAAGGATACAAATTAAGTTCTTCAATCCATTATGAATATCCACTATATGCCAAAGTTAGAAATGTTAAACCGAGCATATATAAGGAAGGTATCACATATGACTTTCTCTTTCCAAATTTGCTTATGTAGAAACTATCCACAAAAGGAGCCAAGATCAATTTGAAAGATAATGGATAAAGACAAGTAACCCAAAAAGCTATCATATTATCATCTCATCTTACCCATCTAACCTGATGAAATGCCACTTCCCTAAAGTAATAGAGTTAAAGAGGCATAAAATCCAGCAGGAATTCCAATTACAAAATATAATACAGTAAATCTTATGATGGCTTTTTATTCTGAGTTTGAAATTTAAGGTTTCATTTTCTCAGAGATTTGCTCTTCTATTGATAGTTCTTATGGATCTTCGATCTAGAACTCATTCATTTCTATTTCTTCTTTTGCATGCATTTTAAAAATTAATATTATAATAATTCATAATTGTTAGAAAATTATCTCTTTTAGGTCCATACACATGATCCATCAAATTAACAAAAAATAAACTAAATGCTGCTATATATCATAAATCTACTTCAATATTGAAATTTTGAATAAAAATTATATTTTATTACCACTGCTTTTATCAAAATCAAATCTGCCATAAAAATGTTTATTATAAATATGTACATTCATTATAAATTTTATATCTTTACAGATAAAAAGATATTAAATTATTTATTCTGCTCTTAGATAATCTATTATTATTAACAATTTTATTGTATATATCATTCAATACATTAAGAACAGCAACACCTTTATATGCATAAACAACACATATCACTATATCTTTCTTCATAAAAACTATAGTCTAAAAAGAAAACACCTGAGAGTATAAGTGCTTTTTCTTCATAAGAGGATAGTTTCGGAAATTAGACTGCATACTCTGATTCTACATTCAACATACATTCATAGCAGCATCCCTTTTTGTGGCCAATCTTCTTTATTTCAGCTATTTTCTAAATATATTAAATATTACTTTATTGAACTTATTATGAATATCAAAAGATATAGTTTTACAAAAATCATAGGGCAAATAACAATATGTTTATAGTTAATTCCAAATGCCTTTTATATTAAATAACAAATTATTATTTGCATCAAATATCTCAACTGTTTTTTATATTGAAAATAAAGGGGATCTAACATAACCAATTTTTTTTCCTGATGACCCTATTACCTAAACATCAGGTCTTATATTATAATAATTACAATACCTGTTCAGACAAAGGCATGTGTACCTATAATTTCTTTAGACAGTAAAAAGTAGTTTTTGGTTAGTGGAACTTAAATTTTGTTTTACTTCCATATTGAATGATCTACAAGAACTTGGTAATGATATTCTTTCATAGCATTCGGTTTCTGCATTTGCTTTAAAGTATGGCTTAGATTTTTTCTATTCAATATCTGTGTTGAAATTGTCCATTGAATAAATAAAGTAAAAATTTTAATTCTCGCATTGGGATGAAGCTGTGAAAACGTCAAATCTTTGGACTACATATAAATAGTCAATCTTCAAAAATGCATCACTTTCAGCGCTATCAATATTAATCTAAAATTGTCTTAAAGATTACTTAAATGTTCGAATCTATTGATAAATTGCAATCATTCTAAGTATTTTTCTTTATATTCATAGATCCTAATTAAAAAAATATATATGAAATTTTAATGTAATCGTTGCTTTATAATAATCAATCTACCTTTTTTAACATAATGCTATTCCTTCAATATTATAATTATAACAGCATTAATTCTTCATACCCCTATTATCTCAGAAACATTTTTAATAGATGTTAAGAATATCCTTATAAAAGATCCATATTGAAAAGTAGTCCAAATAGATTATTCTTAGGAACCCTTTTTCATTCTGTTCTCTTTCTACTTATAAACTTTTATTTGACTTAGTATTGAACTACGAACAAACGAAAACTTTTGGAGAGAAAATATGTTTTCAATCAAAAAAATTATATTATTTTAAGAAATTTATAAATCTACATTTAAGTCATAAGAAAATTCATAAGATTTGAGTTAACTGTTAGAAATTTTATTAACAAAAAAATTTTCAACTTGAAAATTATAAATGGAGAACTGAAAACTTAAAAACGAACAAAAATGGAAGTTACTTGTCGGGTTAAATCGAGATATTAATTCTATAATATAATTTACATAAAATAATCAGGATTTTAATATATCTCTGTTTTACTGGGCTTCCAAATTCAGAGGTGTTTTCACAATTGAATTTTAATCCAAAGTATGGAACCTTTATCCAAAGTTTTATTATTTTTTTCCTAATATTTATGATTCATTCTAAAAATCGGCATAGAATTCACCAACATTCATTAATTAAACTTTTGGTTTTTTTCTATCCGAATATCTGCAAATTCTACTTACTTTGTTTGGCGAAAATGTTTGCTATTGCCTGGATTAAACTAATTATGATTTTGCTCTGGTTGAGAGGGTTTAAGTTTTTGTATATTATGTAGAAAAGCCTGCATCTTATTCTAAAATTGGAGGAACATATGCTTTTTAGCAATTTTAATTTTAATTGTTAGATGTCATGTTTTGATTTCCATTATTTTAAATAACAAATTGTAAAGGCTATAACAAATTACTAAATTTAGGAGGTTATGCTTTTTGGCCTTCAAGTTCTTTAATTTGATTGTAAAGCTTATAAAATTGTTTTTCAAAGAATGTTTTGTTAGCAATCTAATCTATGAAATACAACTATGTTTACTCAATTATAGTTATAATGATAATTGATCAATAATCAAAATCATCATCCTATTGACAACAGAATTGTACTCGTATTCAAGTTTTTTACTTAGAAAACCACTATACATGTGATTAAATTAAAATTAATTTATTTTTTAGATAATTTAATTACATTTTATGAATTCCAATAAGTTGCTAATCATTACATTTATTTTTTAAATCTCTTGAATAGTTGTATGAAATTTTCTTAAATATTCAGTCATGAAAATTAAGGAACTAGATTAAAACATTTATTTTAACTTATTTTAACTTTAATGAATATAGCTTTCAGAATTTTTATTTAATTATTCAAAGTTATATTGTTTTTAATAATTTGAGTGATTAAAAAATTAAATTTATGTTTGATAAAACTATTTTTGTAAATTTAATACATATTTAAAAAAAAAAGTATATAAATAAATATTTGATTATGAAAATACTTGTAAAAACGTTTTGATATGATGATTAATTTAAAGAGATCATCTAAATAACAAGATATCATAATATAATATTAAATGGTATAGGAAAAAGAATATGATTTATAAAATTAACTTTTTTATTTTTATTCATTTTACTTCAACATGCAAAGAGAAATTGATAATAAATGGTAATTGGAAAAATTGGAATCTGTTTTGATTATTAACAATAATATATTTATATTGAATGGGAATAGTTTGCTGTTCAAATTAAGATGTTGGGATATTGAATATTTAACCAATGATTCCATTGATTCCAACAGAAGAAGCTTCTTTAGATGAATAAAAAATAGTGAAAATATAATCGAGTATCAGACGTAATTGATGATTAAATTTTAAGGTTACCTAGCAAAAAGTAAATAAAAATAGAAACCTGGGGCATCTGAGACTACAGCAGTTTAAGAGAAATCTAATATGAGTGAATAAATAGTTTCGATAATTGAAATGATTCCTAAAGATGCATAAAAAGTAGATTGGCCTTTGAATTTGCTATAAGCTGTGCAAAACAAATTAAAAGAATTACCACCATTAGTTGAACTAGCATAGTAATGCTATTTATTGAGTGATGGTTGCTATTACTAAGGACCTTTTGTGAATTATTAAAAAGAAGGTTTTGGAAGATAAATTGATATGGATGGTTCTTTATATGAAGGAACATTTAAAAATAATGTAAAACAAGGAAAAGGAAGATAAATAAGTTGTGATGGAAGTGTGTAATTGATATAAAATTATGTAGATATGAAGGAAATTTTGATGATAATGAGTATGATGGTTATGGTGAATTTTAAGATTCATATGGGTTTGTTTATAAGGGAGAATGGAAATAATCATTATTCAATGGAGAAGGTCTTGAAATAAATGAGTAATTTTAATACAAAGGAGCATATAAGCTTGGACACAGGACAGGATATGGAGAAATCATTTATGTAGATGGTAATAAGTATATGGGAGAATTTCAGAAAAATAGATATGAAGGACTAGGTATTTTTCTGTATGCTGATGGAAGAAAAGTAAATAAAAAATAGCATATAATTTAGTATGAAGGTGGTTGGATGAATAATTAGATGCATGGAAAAGGCACGTTTTTTTGGCCAGATGGTCGTAAATATACTGGAAACGTATAAAAATTTATTTAATGATTAAGTATCATTTAGATCAGAAAGAAGGATTTGGAGAGTTTCTATTTGAAAATGGAAGTAGTTATAGAGGGATGTGGAAACAAGGAAAATAACATGGTCATGGAGCCATGATTTCAGAATTAGGAGATTAAAGAGAAGGAGAATGGGTAGAAGGGAGAAGAATAAAATGGAGATGACTATTACTTTGATTGATTTTAATTAGACTCTTTTCGTAATATTTATTATTATGTACTCAGATAATAATTAATAGAATTTATAAATCTATATATTATCATATCATTAATCTGTATTTTTTAAAGAAAATCTATCACTTATCATTTTATAGCTTCCTAACATAATGCTTTTTTGGAAACTTAAATTGATTTGTTTTTTTATTCCATCAACTTGTTTTATATTTTCAAAAGATATTTCCATCATTTAAAATAGTAAGTAAACATTTTTTATACTATTATAAGTTTGCTAAAATTATTAAGGATGTAGACCTGAATGACTTTCACCATGATTGTAAAATAATCTTATTTACTTCAAAAATTTTCATTTTGATTTAAATATTTAAGTTCTGAGTAATTTAGTTATTGCTTTCATCTATCCTTTTTATAAATTAAAAAAAAAGAGATACATTAAAATTACTTCCTTTGGAAAAAGGATATTGTTAGAATAATTTTACTTCTCAGAATGATAATCTATAATATTAATAATTTTAGTTGTATTAATCAATGAAATTAAGTTGTTAATGTAATTTTTTTTTTATTTATTTTTTTATATCTATTTTATGCAGGAAAAAGAAGTTGATGCTTTATGGAATTAATTATTAAAAACAACTGTGGAAATGTTTGGTTTTGAATTTAAATAAGAATATTTATCGAAATCTTTTAATCGTTTATATTCAGATTACAAAATGTTCACTCAAAAAAGAAATTATTCACATTTTGGATTATGGCTCTTTGGATTTTATATTCTAAATTTTCTATAAAGCTTTTAAGATAAAAACATGTATTTATTAGTATTACCATAAGCACTGAAATCCCAAAAATTATAGAATAATTAATATTTTGTCCCATATTGATTATGATATTAATTTCAACTAAACCTTATCTTTACAGATATTTTGAATCCAAATTGCTCTATTTTCTCTAAAATACTATAGTTATTTTAATAGGGATATTTTTCCCAAAACCTTAGTAAACAGAATATGAAATATTTATTGAGTTTTTTATTTATTAAGCAAACTTGGAGAGCCTGCCATTTAAGATTATTTATATCATAGTAAGCCAACTAATTCAAAAAGAGATTAAATCATTAATGGATTTAGTTGTTTTTGTAATTTTACTAGCATTAGCAGTTTATTAAGAGATACATAGATATACTTCATACATATCAGATTATGAGTAAGTGGAAAAACATCGTAAACAGGAAAAGTAAAAACTTATAATTAAATTATAGACAAATATTAGAATTCATACTTGAAACTCAAAATTATGATGAAAGAGAAAGAATTTATCGAAAACTAAAAAAACAACTAAAAGCTAAAAATAGCAAGAAGATAAGTCTTGATACTGTGTTGGATTATATATTTTGAATATAAAATAAATATTTAATCTCATAAAATGGATGTAAGACTACTTAAATATGACATTTTTTCATCACCATTTGCTCATAAACCTTCAAAAGGCTATCTACCTAAATACGCTGATAGGAGTTTGACATCATTACTAAAATATAAAAATGAAACAATAAAACAGCCAATCCATTCAAAGATATTCAAACCTTATGGAGAAGAATCAGAAACAAAGACTTAGTAACTTATGTATACAACTGGGAAATTATCTTATTCAAGTTCTGTTAAAAATNAAAAAAAAAGAGATACATTAAAATTACTTCCTTTGGAAAAAGGATATTGTTAGAATAATTTTACTTCTCAGAATGATAATCTATAATATTAATAATTTTAGTTGTATTAATCAATGAAATTAAGTTGTTAATGTAATTTTTTTTTTATTTATTTTTTTATATCTATTTTATGCAGGAAAAAGAAGTTGATGCTTTATGGAATTAATTATTAAAAACAACTGTGGAAATGTTTGGTTTTGAATTTAAATAAGAATATTTATCGAAATCTTTTAATCGTTTATATTCAGATTACAAAATGTTCACTCAAAAAAGAAATTATTCACATTTTGGATTATGGCTCTTTGGATTTTATATTCTAAATTTTCTATAAAGCTTTTAAGATAAAAACATGTATTTATTAGTATTACCATAAGCACTGAAATCCCAAAAATTATAGAATAATTAATATTTTGTCCCATATTGATTATGATATTAATTTCAACTAAACCTTATCTTTACAGATATTTTGAATCCAAATTGCTCTATTTTCTCTAAAATACTATAGTTATTTTAATAGGGATATTTTTCCCAAAACCTTAGTAAACAGAATATGAAATATTTATTGAGTTTTTTATTTATTAAGCAAACTTGGAGAGCCTGCCATTTAAGATTATTTATATCATAGTAAGCCAACTAATTCAAAAAGAGATTAAATCATTAATGGATTTAGTTGTTTTTGTAATTTTACTAGCATTAGCAGTTTATTAAGAGATACATAGATATACTTCATACATATCAGATTATGAGTAAGTGGAAAAACATCGTAAACAGGAAAAGTAAAAACTTATAATTAAATTATAGACAAATATTAGAATTCATACTTGAAACTCAAAATTATGATGAAAGAGAAAGAATTTATCGAAAACTAAAAAAACAACTAAAAGCTAAAAATAGCAAGAAGATAAGTCTTGATACTGTGTTGGATTATATATTTTGAATATAAAATAAATATTTAATCTCATAAAATGGATGTAAGACTACTTAAATATGACATTTTTTCATCACCATTTGCTCATAAACCTTCAAAAGGCTATCTACCTAAATACGCTGATAGGAGTTTGACATCATTACTAAAATATAAAAATGAAACAATAAAACAGCCAATCCATTCAAAGATATTCAAACCTTATGGAGAAGAATCAGAAACAAAGACTTAGTAACTTATGTATACAACTGGGAAATTATCTTATTCAAGTTCTGTTAAAAATATCAATAAACTTCCAGAAGTTTAATTAGATCCAAAAGCCGTAAAATTGCTTGGATAAGGTAGACATTATTTAAGAAGTGATTATTAAACAAAAAGAAGAAAGAAGGAACAAACAAAAAATAATTAGCAAATAAAAAATCATTCTTCTGATTACCTAATGTAAAATATATAACTGAAGTTTTGTGAGAAATCTGTAAAATCGTAATTCAAAGCAAATCTAATTTTTTTCAAGAAAACAAAAAATATTCCAGCTTAGATATAATTGTTGAAGAAAGAGGAAGAAAAAAAATCAATGCCTGAAACAAAGAATGACTTTTATGATTCTCGATAAAGAAAAAGATAGATGCCTGCTTAAAAATAATAACATACAGATCATTCAATGTTTTCAAGCACTTTTAGAGATAATTTTTTGAAAAGTCAAAGAAGCAATTTTCATCCTAAACCGATTAGTTAAGAAAAATCTACAAGACATGGACATAAAAAGACCTAGTCTGTCTAGTATTTTATATTAAATAAATTTAATTAGAACACAGAATTAAATGGAAGAAGGAAATAAAGAAGTACCTCTTTTTAGCAATAATCATCAACCTAATAATTGATATTCTTTCAAAATTAATTTTTCTAATTTAACTATTATATAATTCAAAATAAATGTTTTAGATCATAAAGGTGGATTCAGGCATAGATGCTAAATAGGAGTTTGAAATATCAAATATTGTAAAGGCTGCTTATGATAGATTTAATAACTAATATGATCGATCAAAATATATCTCTGATTATTTGGATGAAAAATATGGTGGCTGTTGGAGAGTAACAATAGGAAAATAATTTACAAGTTGTGGAACTTATTATTTATCACAGTTATTAAGACTTAGCTATTAAAATGATTAAATAGAAATTGTTAGAACTTAGGGTGATTCAGAATTTGAAATTATATAAAGAGACTAAGGAATGAACTAAGCTGTTTTTGATTCAATTTTGGGAATGTAATCTTTATTTAAAATTAGAGAATTTAAAATGCATAATAAATGTAGAAAAACCTATCTGCTCAGGTTGAATACATATCTGAATGTGTGGAATCAAAACATTCTGGAAAATGGGCTGTGATTTGTGGGTAGTTTTTTCTTAGATATCTTAAGTTACGACTTTAATAGTCGAGTTCCTTATGTTAATAATAATCTTATTTGTGTGGCCAAAAAAGGTATCAGATATACAGTATTAATGATAAGTAAATGAATATAGTCATTGATATAATTTCAATAATTTACACAAAGAAGACTTGACACTTGTATTTAGGTTTTCAACTTTTTCTACTTTTATCTTTTTATTTAAACTATAAATAAGTGTTTAGGGTCGCTCAAAATACCCTAAGAAATTCTGGTTATATTTAGTTTTATTCTCCTCCTATTGGTCCTTTGATTGAAACTCTTGAGTTAGTTACTTCTTGTATTGTTTACTTTCTCACACCTTATTCTTGGGTCTATGTTCTTGTTTCATTTTGTTGAGTGAATTTTTTGATTTCCTTAACAAAATAAACATTGATTTTATCATCTTTAAATATTACTTTTGGAGATATCTTCTCATATATATCTCCATCTTTTATTTAGTTGGTCTCTTGAAAATCTTTCTATGTAGTTTTTAACATTTTTTAAGATGTACTATTCACTATAGATTTCAATTAAGTTTCACCCAACCTATGTTTTTGGAGAAACTTATCGAGTTGAAAAATATATTTTATCTTAATGTTAGATAATTTCATGTTTATTCTATTCTATAGCCTAAATTGATGATTTTTTAGTATGATTAGCTGACAATGTCATATCTTAATTAATTGTTAAAGATGTTCAGGTTCTTTTACTATTTATTAGTTTATTTGATCCTGATGAACTTTTCATTTGATTATTAATTAATCACTTATAAGAGGTCAAAGTAATAAATGATATAAATTTTTATTTATTAGAAAAAAACTTTTAATTTAGTAGAAGAAAGAGTTTGAATTTGCTATGAGAGAAAATTTATTCAAATAAAATAATTAAACATAATTTGTTAGATTTTTTGTTCATCAAATGTTATGTTAATTAAAAGTGGTAAAATCTTAAATTTAATATTGCATTAGTCAATATAATAATTAATCAATGAAATGAAAAAGAGAAATTCTTATTTTTTATTAATCCTTGATTATTATAATATTTCTGATGATTTTTATTACTATTTTTAGTGAAGTTGCACATTAAATCCTTCTATTGATTGATTTTGATATTTCGTTAATAAATTAATGAAAAAAGCTTGGAGCAGATCTGCATCTTAAATAGTGACGATGTTCACTTAAGCATAGTAAATATCACAATAATAATTTAGATAAGAGATGGAGTTGATTGTTGCCAAAAGATAATTTGATGAAATTGCTAAGGAATTGAAACAAAGAAGAGAGGAAATATACGGGAGAATGAAAGGGGTGCCAAAATTAGAAAAAAAGCCTGGGTCTTCTGGAAAATAGGAAAAGTTTAAATCGATGGTAAATATTTAAATAAATTCAAAGGATGAACATAGAATTGCATTGCACGAGCTGGAAAATAAGATGCAAACAAATATTGTAAATGGACTTGATCAATAAGAGGCTATAAATAGGTTAGGAATACATGGAAAAAACTAAATGACAGAAAAAAAACAAATACCTTGGTATTGTGATATATATAAATAAGGTATTTGAGATTACTATAAGAATTAACTTCAATATTTGCATGCATGATGTGGACAGGATCAGCTTTATCATTTCTAGCATTTGGATTAACACCAGAAGATCTTTCAAATTTATATTTAGCAATAGTACTTGGATTTGTAGTAACAGTTACAGGAATAATGGCATATTTTTAAAATCAAAAATCTGCTGCATTAATGGAAGCATTTAAAAACTTTATACCACCAGAAACATAGGTTATTAGAAATGGAAAATAGATGAAAATTCCAGCTGAAAATTTAGTTCCAGGTGATTTAGTTGTAGTAGAATTTGGTAAGAGGATACCAGCAGATATCAGAATAATAGAGAGCAATGGAATGAAAGTAGATAATTCAAGTTTAACAGGAGAAACATTATTATTATAAAGAATTCCTGATTGTAGTCATCCAGAAAATCCTTTAGAAACAAAGAATCTTGTATTTTTTGGTACTTTATGTAAAGAGGTATAGAAATAGAATATAATTAAAAGGGTAATGGAAGAGGAATAGTATTATTTACTGGTGATAATACAGTTATTGGACAAATTGCAGGATTGGCTTAGTCATCTGGAGAAGAAGAGTCTGTTTTAAGAAAATAAATCAATTAGTTTGTAAAAATGATTGCAACTATTGCATTATTATGTGGAAGTGTTTTTTTTATATTAGGAATGTCATATGGTTATCCAGCATTACAAAATGTGATTTTAATGATGGGTATAGCAGTTGGATTTGTTCCAGAAGGTTTAATTGCAACAGTGACAGTAGCTTTGAGTTTGACAGCAAAAAGATTAGCTTAAAAGAAAGTGTTGGTTAAAAATTTAGAATGTGTTGAAACTTTGGGATCAACATCATGCATTTGTTCTGATAAGACTGGTACTTTGACTTAAAATAAAATGACAGTTGAGCATTTATGGTACAATAATAAAAAGGTTAAAGGATTAAATTATTAAAAATTTGGTAAGAAATACAATTATGAATATGATTTATAAAATGTAGGATTTTAGGCTTTATTTGAATGTGCATCATTTTGTTCAGAAGCTGTTTTTGATGCATCATTACCTTAAGAAATTAGAATGAAGATTTAGAATGATAAAATATTAAATTAATAATAGAAAGAATAGAAAATTAAATTAGCAGTAAATGATTGGGAAATTAAGTATTAATCAATGAGTTGGTTAGAAAGACCTACTATAGGTGATGCATCAGAGAGTGCATTAATTAAATTTTTATAACCAATAAAAGATATATAAGAGACAAGAAATAGTAAGAAATTAGCAACAGATGTAGATGGTAAAAATGCAAGAATGCCATTTAATTCAAATAATAAATATGCATTTGTAATTCTTGAATATGAAACAGAGGAATCATTTTATTGTTTGATGTCAAAAGGTGCACCTGAAAGAATATGGGAATTATGTACAACTGTAAATAATGATGGAAATGAAGAATAAAAAGATTAAAATTGGGAAAAGGCATTTAAATCTATAAATAAATTATTTGGCAAAAATGGAGAAAGAGTTTTGGGATTTGCTAAAGTACATTTACCAAAAACAGCATACCCTAAAGGATATCCATTCAATTTAGATAAAATGAATTTTCCTTGGAATAAATAATAATTTTTAGGTTTGTTTTCATTAATTGATCCTCCAAAAGATTCAGTACCAGATTCAGTAATAAAATGTAAAACAGCAGGTGTATAAGTAATAATGGTTACTGGTGATCAACCTGTAACAGCAGCATCAATAGCTAAATAATGTAATATAATAACAGAGAAAACAGTTAATGAAATATCAGAAGAGGAAGGAATAAGTTTTGAAGAAGCATTTCATCGATCAAATGCAATAGTAATACATGGAGATTCATTAACAAAAATGATGATAGATGATGAAGGGAAACCAGAATCTGAATAAGGTAGATAATTATAAGAATGGCTTAGTAAATCTTAAATTGTATTTGCAAGAACAAGTCCAGCTTAAAAATTAATTATTGTTGATGGTTGTTAAAAGAAAGGACATATTGTTGCTGTAACTGGAGATGGAGTTAATGACTCTCCAGCTATTAAAAAGGCTGATATTGGTATCTCTATGGGTATAACTGGATCAGATGTTGCTAAAGATGCTGCAGATATGATATTACTTAATGATGATTTCTCTAATATTGTTATTGGTATAGAAGAAGGTAGAAAAATTATAGATAATCTAAAAAAGACTATTGTATTTGTTTTAACTGGTAACATTGTTTAAGTCATTCCAATATTTTCCTACTTTATTTTTAATATCCCATTACCTTTAACAACAGTACTAATTTTATGTATTGATGTAGGCACTGGTATTATTCCCAGTACTGCCTTTGTTTATGAACCAGCAGAATTAGATATTATGACAAGAAGACCTAGAAATAAAGAAGAAAATTTAATCACTCCTAAAAGCATTGTATTTGCTTATGCTTAACATGGATTCATTTAACTTTGTGGATGTTTCTTAGCTTACTTTCTTGTTTTCTATGATTTTGGTTTTCCTTCAGATTCTCTATTTGGAATCCTCAATAAAAATGGAATCATACCATTATCCAGTGATATATATGATCCACTTGATCCTTTCTATGGAAATTCAAATCTCAAAAATCTTTATAATGATCGAATTTCATAGTAACCACAAACCTTTGGATTACTTTGTACATCTGATGATGAAAGTAAGTTTGAATCAATTGATTGGTTATTCTCAAAAAATAACGATATAGATTTGAGAATGTATTATATTCAATGCAATACTGAAACTAATAAATGGGAATTAAGTGTTGTTTGGGGTGAATGCAATATTAACCAAATATCACCCATAAGTAATAAGCCAGTATGTTATTCGACTGAAGCTTTATAATATGCTTAAACTGCCTATTTTGTTGGCCTTGCTTATACATAAATGTGTAATTATCAATCTCTAAAAACTCATAAATCTGCAGGAATCTTCTAAGAATTTAACAATGTGTTTATGCATTTTGGATTTATGACTTTGATAGTCTTGGTTATTTCTTTGACTTAAATTACTAGTCTTAATTCTGCCCTTTAAACTAGAGATATTATTTTCCAACATTAAATGCTAACATTGCCTTTTGGTCTATTAATGTAAATTTGGAATGAAGCTAGAAAATATATGGTTAGAAATGTTCCATAAACCACACCAAATATGCCGAATTGGTGGGCTAGATGCACATCTATTTGAGAATTTGACATTCAATTAAATGATTTATATAAATCATTTATTAATATTAAAATTCATTTATCAATAATTAATAATTATATTTTTTTAATGGAAAATTTATACTCTCTTTTATCCTAGATTCTATTGATTACAACATCTCTTATTTTATTGATCTTAATGACTATGGCTTTTAGAAAGATTATGAAAGATGTCAATGATATATTAGATTCTACTGATAAACTTATATTCTTTTTTGCTGCATTTCAATGTACTAAATTTTGAAATTTAGAGTTATTATTATTCGCTTTCTTAATTTAATAGTATACAATATTCCTAAGTGGATTACGCATATTCAGAATGCTCTAAGACTTAATGTTATTAAATTGTTTAATCAAATTAGATAATGATAATGAATAGTGCTTAGTAACTATCAATAGTATATAGCTTACCAGAAAATTGTAGATAAATTTTCAAAGCTCCTCTCATTTATTCTTCTATCAATATGGTGTGTCATTATATTTTTGGAAGGTTTTAAATCACATTTTTAATGTGATCAATAAATATGGATGATCCTATCTGGATTACTTCTTCTTACTAATGTCATTTAATTATATTTCGGACTCAATATCTTAATTTAAATCTCTAAATATTGTTAAGATTCAAGTAATTAACATATTTTTGATGGTTTACATAAAATTATGATGGATGAATTATAAAATAGGAAAGTTTAAGTCATTGTCTTTATTTTATGTAGCATCAATTCATCTATTGCTATGCTATTGTATGATTACACTCGTTTTGATCAATTAAACCCTACAATCTGTCTCCAAAAAACTAATATTACTTAAATTCTTATTTAAAATGCTGTCATTATTTTCTCATATTAATTACCATGTCTAGGAATTTATTATGTGTTTTATCATAAGAATAAAAAGTATTTAAATAATCATAATTGGGAAATACAAAGAAATATAGTTAATTTCTATGATGAAAGAAGTGAAATTGAATTGGCAGATTATTAAAACCCATCATGAATCCATTTATTCATTCTTATTTTATAAACAACTAATATTATATATGATCACTGTTTTTCATAGTTGAATTTGCAAAGTTTCACAATCCTATGTATCAAAGATATTCCTTTTTGCTTCTCTGATAAAATCTTATATTATACAACAACTCATTGTTTAACTTATCAAGCATAATTATTCAAAATATTTATTCAATTTTATTTATCTATTTTAAACTCGAGATAGATTCTAATTAGTTTTCCCAAATAAAGATCGTTTTGGAAATTATGGTTTTTCTGCTTTTGTTTTACCTAATTAATCATCTAGAGTTTTTAATTAAGAATAACGATATTTTGATAAAAATGTTTCACCACTGCACTCAAATCTAATTATTAATATAAAAAAGTCTTACTTTAGTATGTATTCTACATTCGATTTGTTAAAAAAGAAGTTTGAGATTGATATTGAGTACATTTTTATATAAATGGTAATTTATTTTATAAACTTTTAGAAAATTTCGTTTTATCCTAAACAATATGCATTAAATAACTTAATTTAAAATCAATATCAATTAAAATCTAAGAGAGCATCTAATTCATTTTGTTATAAAATCGAAAATAAAATTCAACATAAAAATATCTCTAAAAAAATGTTAAACAAACTTAAAGCATACATAATTCTCAAATTATTTTTTAAACATCAATATTGTTAAGTTAATGATAAGTTAAAAAAAGCATTTATTTTTTTAATTAAAATCTAAATGAATTTTAACTATTAAAACTCTAAATAATGATCATTTAATCATTATTTATTTGTTAGCTGCATGAAAATTTATTGAAAAGTTATTAAAATCATAAAGAATTGTTTAAATTTTTTAATATAAATTTAAATCTTAAATTCTTAATCTTTTTGTTTAAAGATTACTATTATTTAAAAATGATATATATTTAACAAATAATTTAAGAATGGTGATCATAAAGTTATAAAATTGAGAATACAATAATAAATGAATAAAATTTTTGATTGATTAATAGATTAAAAAAGTAATAAAAATTGAGATAACTAAAAATATAAGATCATATAATTTATAAATAAACAAAAAATAAGATTAGATAAAATAAATTATTAAAGTACATAGATTGTTTGTTTATTTATGTGTATGTATTATTAATATACTTTTGTTTCATGATCAATCGAATAAACCTCCCATATCGACATCTTCTTCAGGTTCTTCAACTTTAGCTGGTGCTTATTGAGCAGCTGGTTTTTCTTCAGCTTTAGCTTAAACTGGTGCAGCAGTGGTTGGAGCATTAGATTATTTGATTTAATCAAAGATGAATCCTGATTATAAACCAATAGCAGCTAAATCTTTGAATGCATTAGCTAATAAATATGGAGCTGAAGCTTCATTAACCCAACCTAAGAAGAATATATAAAAATAGAATACCATTTGCTAATGAAATAGCAGATACATTTTTAACATTTTATTAGAATTTGGTAACAATATCATTCAAGTTAACAGATACTTATTATTTATTTAAGATAGATCCATTATCATAGCAAGCAAGAACTTCCATTCTATTATAAAAAATAATATTAATAGATACCCATATAAGAATGGTTTTTTGCCTAATTTTTATAATAAGACAGCTTATGATTAACCAACTTTTTATCCAGATTTCAAGACAACAAAGTCTTTAGTGATTTGGATTTAACCTTTTTCAATTTTGGTAGGGATTTAGAGTGCATGGAAGAATTGAATAGAAGCTGGATCCATACCAGTTGGTCCAGGTGGAATAACAACATCAATAGGAGCAACAGCACCAACTCTAGCTGGAGTTTCAACTTTGTTCTCTTCAATGACTGGTTTAAGATCAAAGACTGGTGTATCTGTGAATATGAATCCTACTTTGCCTGCAACAGAGTTCTTTAAGGCATCCAACTCTTTAATTGCATTACCAAATTTAGACAATTCATCATAATATTCATGTTCTTTTGGTAATTCTTAAACTCTTGTAGCTAATACTTTTTTGAAGAGAGTCTAAAATACTAAACTTTTAATACATTTTTGCCAATAACTAATAGGGCATTTCTCTTAGCCAAAATTCTTCTAATGTCTTACACTTATTTAGATCCAACATTTGCTAATCCAACGATGATTACTTAAGTATATTTAGATAACAATTCATAAATCTTTCTATTATAATTAGCAACAACATAATTACTTGAATTGTGCTGGCTTCTTATCTTTTGTTTCCTTTTTGCCCATTTATTATTTATTTAAATTAAAAAAAGATTTCAAATTTTTGATAAACAATTCAAGTATATATATAACAAATTTCTTTAATTCATTAATATACATTTCATGTCTAATTATCTATTCATCATTATTTCTTCCCTTCCTTCTACATATCTCTACTTTTAATATTATCATTTACTCTCCATCTTATTTACCCTCTTTGCAAATTTCACATTCTCCAATACCAATATTTTTTATCATTTTTATATTAACTTTTATATTACTCTGCCAACTTTTCAATTCTTCATTAACCTCATCTATTATATTAAAAATGATATCCTTTATTATTTATACTATCATTTTATCATTATTCATCCAAATATCAAACATCTTTCCATTCATATTTGTCTCATACTTATTTCTTTTCCCTTAAAAATATAAAATCCTATGTATATATATCTATCATCCCAAATCTTTCTACCATAACTATGTAAACTATTCACTCTTATACTTCGACCAAAAAAAAATAGTTATAATTTTCCTATCCATTTTCCATTTACTTTTTTACTAATCTTATTCTCCCTCCAATATATATTTATATATATGATAAAATATTCCACTTTCATATTCCTTATTTATTTTTCCATTCTTCTTCATATTTTCCTTTATTAGGCCAATCTAAATCTCCATTCCTTCTCTTCAATTTCCACTCATAAATTGTTTCTTATCTGGATTCGTATTATTCTCAGCTTTCTAAATAATCATATATCTTCGACAGAGTATTTTTAATTCTCTATCATATAATTTTTATTTTCCCCTATATTTACATTTCTCATTACCATTTTCATACTTTCTTATTCATTTTTTTTCTAAATTTTATGTTCTCAATATCTTCTTTATATTTTAATTACATCTTCCAAAGTTTTCTCATATATATATATATTTTTATTATTCATTTATTTTAATATACACTTTTATTTTCTATAATGAATTGTTGATTATTTCTCCTTTCTTTTACTGCTATCTTACTTTTTAACTATATATTTTCTATACTTCTACATCTTTAATACTTGCTATTGAACTTTTAAATGGATTCTTTTTATACTTCAATCCTTTATTATCTAACTATCTTATTCAACTTAATTATTTACATTGATTTCCATTTCCTAAATCATATCTATTTCTCTAATATATGCAATCACTTCAACTAAACTACTATTAAAAATATGTTATCAATATTCCTTAATTTAAGTTTAGTTCAATATCTAGGCTTTTTATTAGATTTTTTAAGAAGAATATACTACAATTCACATACATTAATAAAAATATATAATCAAATCATGAATTATTGTTTTACTTAAGATGGTTGAAATATTTTAGTTGCCTAATTTTGCAACAATTCATAAAATTAGTTTTAACCTAATTTGTTACCAAATTCTAAAGATACACTTGAATCTTGTAAATAGAATGGTAAAGGGGTTAATCTATCATTTGGACTTCCTAAATATGATGATATTGATTCCAAATGAAATTCATTAAACACCTTACAAATACTTCGAATTATTGCTAACTCTTCTTTATGTTATTCATTATTTGGTATCAATTACATCACTTTACATAATAATTAATAAGAATGCTATGCCTTGATATTTATAGTTATATCATGAGTATTAATTTGCTATTCATTAAAATCATTAAATTACATTCATCATTTAAATAATTCGAAGTTTTAGTTACATCTATAAATGAATTTGCTCATTAAATTTCATTTGAATTTATTTTTACTAAATTTAGAGATCTTTCAAGGTTTCAGTCAATTACTGATGCTCTGCCTCATAAATTTAGTGTTTCAGATTATTATCCTAATTGCTAAGTTCTTCTAAAACCTTCAATTTATTTTAACTAATGATATTTATCAACTATTTTCTACTTCATTATAGGTATTCATACTTATCTCCTTGAATAAAATATCGATGAGCAAATAAATTTATGTTTCTTTTAATCTTTGATCTCTTAAAACCATATAAATTTAATTGCCTATCACAAATAATAAATTATACTAACCTAATAAAACTTGCAAAGGATTTCTATTTATAAAATACCTTAAGTATTTATTTCTCCAACTTCTTAATATCAGATACCTCAAAAGATTTACCATCATCACTCCATCTCAAGAATCTATATTACTCAGACTAAACCATAGAAATTAATAATATACTTCAAGTAAATCAAAAAGCTTGTTTAAAAACTTTGGACTCTTTTTCTATTGCATACAATATTAATAATATAATTTTTCTGATGATATGTAATGTTTTAGTTTATTTGGTCATAATAAGATTAATTTAAATATATTTTATCAAATTATTTAAAATTATAAATAAAACATATTAAGCATCACAAATCAAACCCAAAGAAGCTCAAATCTGATTCTTGTTAACCAAAAAACCAAACAGGCTCCAAAGTTTCAAGATTGAATTGATCCTACTTATGGCTAAGATAATTTCCAATATCATCAACAACAGCTTTCCCAAAAGGAGCAGGAGAAGTTGGAAATTGAATATCAATTTCATCTTCTTTTATAGATAATGTGTCACTCATCCAAAGATCTTCCTCTTTTGGAAATACACACTTTATTAGATACTAAAATGAAGCCTCTATCAATTTATTATCAATTTTTATTACAAGCCTCTGGTTTCATTGCTCGAACTACCATTCTTATACTTTCAATAAAAAATACTCCTCTTCTTTCCTAAATAGCCTTAATTTCTAAAAGTTTCTAAAATGATTCGATAAAATGTTACTTCAATGATTAATTTGAAGTGACGCTAAAATCTCAATTATTGTTAAATGAAAGTAACCAATTATTGCTAAATATTTATTTATTCTTATTTCAAAGATTTCATTGTGTTTTTTAATTCTTCTTATTCCATTAGATATGTCCCTATTTGTTGTTTCTCCACTTGAGTTTGCTTCTTTTTCTATATGAATTTCTATATAATCTTGTTCTAAGTAAAATATGGGTGTTCATATGTCAAGATCCCATTTTAATCCTTACAACTAGTAAAACCATAAATATTTAATTATCTGTTAAATTCAATGGAAATACCTTAAAAAACTTGAATAATTGCTATGCTTGAAAAATCGAGGTAACACATTCTCTTATAATAAAGATTTATCAATTATTTTAATTTTTATTCCTTCTTCATCCCACTTTATTATGTCTATATACTCAGTACACTAGATTTGTGATTGATAGTACATCAAGGATCTATTTGAAGATCTCAATGAATCTGTTGTTTTTTATTTTGTTACTTTTTTTGCTCATAATTTTTATAATTTCATTAAAGGAAATTCGATTTATAAGAAGAATTAGAATTCTTATTTACCTAAAATTTGTTCATAAATATTAGATAATGTTAAGATCAAAATTAGTACAAAATATTGAATGTTTAAATAACAAAATTTTATTACCATATCAATAATTTATATATTTTATAAAACCCCAAGCTTGTAATCCATTATCATTAATGATAAGTTTCATTCCTTTTGTGATATATTCAGAGAAATATTTGAATTTTAATCTTATTAGATAAGGTTATTTAGGAATTAATTCAATAAACTCTTAGGGTTTTTCTATTTTTTCATTTATCACAAATAAATCTGTCTTTTTTTGATCATCATCATTTATATATGATTTAATTTAGCTACTACCTTTTCTTCTTGGACTACTATATATGATTATTTGTTTAAATTATTAGAACTACTTGCTTTTTTAAGTAGTTCACTTTATTTTCTAAAAGATGTTCTTGTTGAAGGAGTTTAAGGTTTTTACATGCAAGACTCATCAATAGATTTTGATTATTTTTTTCTTATTGTTAGAGTTTCAAATTAGATTAATTCTTCTTCTCTTATAATCTTACAAATTTATCTAATATTAAATAAATATAAATTACCTAGTACATTGAGTATTTATTACAGGTTCAAAACTAACTGCAATTTTTTTGGCTTCTTTTTAATCATCAAAGAGTCAAATTTCAGCTTGAAAATCCCAAGCATATTATTTATTGCTTTTACCTTCAATTAAAACCATTCCTCGTCTAATTGGATTTAAATCTGATCCAAATTATTAGGTAAGATTACTTTATTTAAATCTAATTGTACATATTTATCCACATTAAGCAGATTTAACCTTTATTTATAATAGATTATTATTACTTAAACTCTATTACATTAAATTTCTTCAATTTAAATAGGAAAAAAGCGACCATATTTATCTGGTCCCATTTACAAGATTTATTTGACTCTGATAATTCCTTTGAGTACTGTGCCTCCAAGAACTTTTTGATTGTTAATTTCAAACACATTGTGAATACAATATTCTGTATCTAAATTAGAATTATTTTTTAATTCATTTGTTGAAGGTAACAAATTCAAAAATTCGATAAAGTAATCTAATGTTTTTTATTTAAAATTTGATATTAAGAATATTGGAATTAAAGTTTGACTTAGGATTTATTTACTAAATAAGACAACATCTTCTTCAGTTCTAACTACAATTGGAACACTTTATATTTATAATGATTTAATCATATCTTTCAATTATTCTATTTTATCTGCATAATAATGTTCCATAATTTAATCAACATGAGTGACAGCAATCATAAAAGGTATTTATTAAATTTAAATTAAATTAAGAAAATCCATAGTTGGTTTTCCAATTTATTATAATGAAGATATGGTTAAAAAAGCATAATCTGTAAATTAAGAGTTAATAATTTAAATCATTTAATTATGTGCTCTTTTTGTTCCACCCATATCAATAAAAGTAATTAATTTAGTAGGTAAATCTACTAAT